TGTTCTTGACAAGGTTCAGTAATCCCGCCGAGCAGGTATCGGAGACACCCCTGAAAGCCTTCTCGACCGTTGACCCTCGGAGCACGTAGCTCAAGCCAGCTCGACGATCATCGAGAACTCGTGAGCACGACGGGCTTTGCTGCTCAAGCCAACTTCAGCGCATCTCGCCCCAGGAGGCTTTCTTGGTCGATTGACGCCAAACGAGTGGCAGCCAAGTGAACAAAGTGCCATTCGCTCGTCGATCATTGAAGCGCGCGTGCCCTTGATATCAAAGAGAATGTGGTCATCCAGCGCGAGCCTCTAGCTCGTCGAGGCGTCCGATCCGCTCGATGAGGTGCATTTCCAATGACGCCAGATTGTTCAAAAGTAGCCCTGCGCTAACAATCCTCGTCCAGGTTGACAGTGCCCGAGACGGCGGCTTTGATCGAGAGCGCACCGATTCAATGACGAGAGGGGCTCGGCAAAGCGTCTCCACGACGATCAGCTGAAACCTAGCCGGCGAGTCGATTCCCCGCGCCTTTTTCTTGCTGATCCGCCCAAAATATTTTTCGTGCGATTTCTCTCGCGCTGTCACTTTACGCGCCAGTCGCGCTCGCGTTTACACCGCGTCGTGTCACGTGATCCGGCCGCCTTTCGGCTCCAAGGGCTTCTCAATTGCAGCAGACGCATAAAACTGTGAAAGATGATGCATGGGTTGCAAAAGAGTGTGCAATAGAAATGCTGCTAAGAATTGGGGATGCGAAATGGATCGTGGTGTACGTACTAAAGGCTGGCAATGGCTTCGATGACAAGTTCTATCTCCTCCTTGGCATCTCGAGTATCTAGGTGGATAGTGTAGGATCGCTTCGCTGTGCTCTCTGAAACAAGACCCGAAGCACGGTCGTCGCTCGCACTCTGCTGCACCTCGAGCATCAAGGTTCGGTCCATGGTCCCATCTTCGTGCTGATCGCTGACAGAGATCAGGCGGGTCGGATCTAGGGGGATGGTTGTCTTCGGACTGCGGTCCGTGGCCGAGCGAGAGAGGATGAGCTGTCGTCCTGTCACTGCATACCAGCGCCGCTTCCAATGCACTTCGCCCTCGAGCTGAAGGTTCAGCCATCCCTTCAAGATCGGTGAAGCTCGCGCCTCGGCGTCCATTTCGTTCTCGTTTCGCAACGCTGTTGTGAGCTCCAGCAAACGCCCCTGGCGATAGCTTTCCCGGGCCGCTTGCTTGGTTCTGAGCTCTCGATCAAGCTGCTCTTTGGCTTCTGCTTCGGCTCTGAGCTTTGCGATTCGCTCCGCTTGCACTCGCCTCTGAATCTCGTGCTCCTGCTCGAGGCGTTCCGCTTGCTGCTCTCGCCACTCCTGCTCCTCCCGTCGGCGCATGGCTCGCTCGCGGTCGAGAAGCCGCTGCTGCTCCACCGCCCTTCTGCGCCGCTTCTCGTCCGCTTCCAGCTTGCTTCGCTCGTATGCGTCCAGCTGGTTGCGCGCCGCCTGCTCCCTCGCCCACTTGGCCCTTCGTACCGCTTCGGCCACCGTCACCTCCTGATAGCCCGTTTCGATGCCCGAAAGCCGCAGTGTTTCGATTTTGGCTTCTCGATTAGCGACCCGGATCGATGGCTCGGCTGTTCCCGGGGACATGACAGTGTGGACGAGTCGTTCCCGCAGACCTCGCGTCTGCGCTTGCTCGAAGCTGCTTGCGCTGTGCGACATCCCCACCACAGGCGTCGATCGAACCACGTTCCACATTGCTGGCACACGAGACAGCCAGTCAGATGATACCGCGCCCACAGAGCTGTCTCCGTCATCGCTCAAAGGCGGTGTAGGCAGCTCCTTGTCCAAGTTCGAGGACGAGCTGACGCTTCCCTGCGAGCTTGATGCTGGACATGACTGGACCGGGGCCTCGTGTCCGTTCGAAGTTGTTGAGCTCTCGTACGAGGTTTGACTGGCTGGCGTTCTGCTTGCACTCGGCTCGGTCGCCGAAGATTTGCGAGCTTTTGAGCGCGAATCGGCGTAGCTGATGTAAGAAATCTGGCTGTATAAGCTCACGAACGAGTTGCGTGAGCTCGCTGCTTCAGCATACTCCCAAAGCTGCGAAGACTGAGCGCTGCTACGGATGCTCTCCTGAGCCTCGGAAGTTCTCGGGCGTGCTTCGAGCGTTCTTGGCGATGGAGGATGTTTCACACTGTGGCTCGGGCTGCTCGGTGGACGCTGCTGCGGTCGTTGCATCACGGCCCCGACGGTGCCACTCCTCTTTCGGCGAGAGGAGCTACCGCGCTCCGCATGAGCAGCTTTGTAAACGCTTCGCAGCGACTTGCTGCTGATGGAGGGGCGACATGAAGCCACAGAGCCTGAAGGGGATGGAGGGACCGGAGGAGGAGCGAAAGGAGGCGGAGGAGCAAGCGGAGGCGTCACCGCGCGTCGTGGAGTACGAGGGGTTGGAGGCTTAAGCAGGTCCTGCTGCTCGGCTTGTAGTTGCTTCATGACTTGATCCCTGATGATCTCGTCGGCACGGAGACGCTCTTGTTCGTTCGAGAGCTGCTTCCTCTCTTCGTCTGAGAGGCGTCGGGCGTAGCGTCGCAATGTCTTGTTTCGCTTGACATCGCTCAGAGTGAAAGGCTGAAGAGGCCCTTCCAAAGCAACTTGTGCCGTGTCGGCTGCATTTGATGCGGTGTCTGAGAAACCTTCAGCGGCAGTCGGGACAGGTGGAAGCTCTCTCTCGCAGGTCAGTCTCGGAGTCGACTGATCGCGAAGTGAAGGTGCCCCACTCGAAGCTGGCGAGTCCAGAGTCGGTCCGATGTCGATCATGATCCCCGGGCTGGCGGCTTCAGTTTGATCTGCAAGGGTGGCCGGAGAGCTTACTGAAGTTGGGAGGCTGTCGTGATTTCGATAGGAGGCACTGTAATCGATTGCTGGCTGGTGGGCGGCAGCTGGGGCGCTTGATTCGGAAGCGTTGGCGGGCGACAGATCCTGCGACATTATATTTGAAGAGCTGCTGTCGGCGATGTCATTCGATCGTACGGATACGTGTCAATGCCTTTGATGGTCGACAAGGAATGACGTGTCGGTTCCTGTCTGCGTCGTCGATGCTTATGCTTCGTCGGCGGACGATTGCTCTACGGGTGATCCAACGTGCGAGCGGTCTGAGCCGAGCCGCTCGAATTTACCTTATCGGCCTGCCTGAAGAGGGTTTAGTGGATGGTGGGGACACGGCATGGCAGTCGAGAATCGGGTTATGTAGCGAGTCGAGGTCGGCCGATGCTCAGCTACGCTGGAGAACGGCTTGATCGTCTGATGCGACAGCATCTGGCAGAAGCACTTTGCTAGCTCCGCACATCTCGAAGCAACAGGTCGGCATCCTGCTGCCTTCCGTCGGCGGGTCTTCCCATCGATGGTCACCGATTCGATGGCCGCGTGACAGTCCCTTTTGGATCAGCGCAATGACCCACTCGAGTCTGTACGGACGACGCAGAGCCAAGCGGCGCAAGATCCGCTTCGGAGAGTCACTTTGCCTGAGCGGAAGCGAAGGAACAGCATCCGTGCTGCGTACCCATCGAAGGATGCTGTTGGAAGCTTGGTCAGGATCTGGGCGTAAGGCTTGAAAGTCCGCCCTGGACCGGTGCCACATGGGAGAACCAGTCGACCCTCACCTGTTGTCTGCTTCCACCAAGCAGGGATCGTCCTGCATGCCGGTGCATGCTGCTGGCTGCAGTGGTGTGCGGGTCAAAAGGAGGATCCTTTGCCGATGGACTGCGCCGTTGTGTGGGTTCTTCTGTGGAACTGTCACGGTGACTTTTCAAGGTCAGCCGATGCACCGTTGATCCTGTTGCTCTTGAGCGTGTTTTTCTTTTGGATTCACAAGCGGCGCTTGAAAATGGGCGCACAAGTTAAGCACATGGTTGTCTGATCGTCTCTACGCCGAGCAGTGATGGCACTCTATCACAAGTCGTTACTTCCTCCCAGTTACTATCACGGAGGTGAAAGCAAAGGACCACGAACGTGGACGGCGTAGAGAGTTTGGCTTGGCTACGTAGGGGAGCTTAGTTCCTTGACAACCGGCTTCTCATGTCCGCCCTGCCTCTCAAACCATCACAACGGACTGTGTGACCTCGCCTTTCTGCGATTGGGGATCAGCATGTACGCCGCCGAAGCGAGAGGGGAGCAGGCTTCGGTCGAGTGCGCCCATGGTGGGGCAAAGTGGCGCTTGTGACTGGTGTTGGGCGTTTGTTGTCCGGCAAGCTGCGCTCACAGCCGAGTGAAACCGCTCTGCAGCTGGTAAGCTTGGACGCGTTCCTCGACTGAGCTCGGCTAAGTTAAGCCAGGCCTTGCTGTCTGTTTGCGCACCGCTGTTGAATCTCAGACAGACACTTCGATCAGCCCCTTTTCGACCACGATGAGCTGTTGACGCTGCTGCCCTGCGCAGACCAACATCGACGACTTTGGCAATCCCACCAGGCCCCTGCTGACATGACGCGTAACGCACAACAATGGACTGCATCCAGATTACCGCTTACCGCATTGATCGTTCTCTGGAGCAATGCAGGTACAGAGACAGATCATGCCGGTACTGTTGGGTATGTCCGGCAAAGGTGGCAATATCCGTGAAGGATATGCAATCCGTACCGAAGCGCAAGCTCTGCCCTTTGCCAAATGAAGTCGACCCTCGCACTGCTCTCGTCAGGCTGCATCCCCATCGTCTCCCTCCGGTCATGAACCTTCTCACGATGCCCACACTCTCATCAGCAAGCAGCGTCAGTTCAGGGAACCAAAGTACTGCTAGGTCAAATGATGACAGGAATCGGCGCAGTGGGACAACTGCTCAGGAGCGGTAGGACAACCAACGGCAGGCTGAGCCTAGACTGCACCAAATGATGCTGCCTCCTCCTCCGGTATATGGGCACGACAATGACCCACGACCCATTTCATCTCTGTCGTTGCGTGATAGCGCTTTCCGATGCCGTACGGACCGGTGACGAGCCAGGGGCGACGGTCAGGTATCCATCACTCGGTCTATTCACAGACGCCTCTCTTCAGCGAGCTCAAGTACCGTTCTCCTCTCATCATCACAGCAGTGCAGCAGATAATATCCCATTGTGTCACAATGGACGGTCTCGGTTTCATCGCCAGCATGCATGCAACCATGCTCGACTCGCAGGAACCACATTCCGTCTTACTAAGACCCATCAGACGCAAGTCTCACGGTGCATCTGGCGGTTCCATCTCGCTCAAAGCCAAGGGCCTCGTCAACAGAAGCAAGAGCATATTTTCGTCTTCTTCGAGCTCTTCTTCTACAGCAGGTCCGAGAAGTTCGATCTCTTCTTTCCGTTCTCGCAGCGATCACAGCGATACCGGCGGTCGATCGCATCCTCAGAGTCATGTTCTTCAGGACCCGCCGGTCTCGCCAAAGCAAACGACTGGCGGCCAGGGTCAGCAGCATTGGACAATGTCTCCCCCTTCCATCAACTGCCATGACTCGCTCGATCTCAGCGGTAGAGTTCGAAGGAAGGAGCCTCGATATAAGAAGCCATACGAGTCGAGCTGGATCTCGAGCCTCATCGACAGCGCATACACCTCCACGCCCGAGTCCTCGCCTTCCAGCGGATCACACTGGGACTTGGATCTCAGCCGCGACTCGCTGATTGAGCCCAGTCGAGCTTCAAGCATTCTGGACTACGACCTGGAGGAGTTGCCACACGAGCAATCGATCTTGCCACTGTCTCAGCCTATCGACCTGTCATCAGCCAGTTCATCAATCGTTGCGCCGCGTGCATGCTCACTCGATCGGGACTGTGAGCGGTCATGGCAGGCAGATCACGGCGAGCCAGCGCAACCACAGCTTATTCCGCAAGCATATGTTACTGTTGTACATTGCACAGCATCGAGCTAGAACAGATCCGATGCCTTCACTCGAGCCTTGACCTTGCTCTTCGCTGTTCCGCTTGGCTTCTCCATCGCCCCCTCATCCGCATCACCGTCGTCAAAGTCAAACGTGAGCAGCGCCTTCTTCGCCGCCTTATCCTTCTTGCGTTTCTTCTCGCCTTGCGTCTGCGCTGCTGCGCCCTTCCCTCCGTCGTGTTCGGCATCTTTGCGCTTCGACCGCGCTTGAAACACCACGCCTGCTCCAGCGTCCGGGTTCTGCATCTTGGGCTTGGCCGTCAAATCGGCGTCTTCCGCACCAGAGGTCTCTTCGTCGGAAGCAAAGATGGCCTTGTACACATCGATCGAAGGCTTCACGTAGGTGAGCGTGTCGTGGCCCTGTCGATCGTCGTCGCCTAGACCGACAGTGGTCTCCTCGCTAGCCTCCTCGGATGTAAGCGACGTGCGGGAGGCGTTTTGCGAAGAGAACCCCGCATCGAGTGACAGCGGTGTCGGAGCGGAAGCGAGCGCCTTGAGCTGCTCCTTGCTTCGCTCCCAATGCTGATAAACCCGGATCGACTTGGATCTCGCCACCTTGTTCGAGCCGTAGAACGGATCCGGGTCGTCATTCAGGTCCGGCCTCGTCGCTGAACTCGCATTTGTCACCAACCCCTCATCCCTTTGCTTGCGGGTCGACGCAGGCTCCGGCACGCCAAATCGCTTGCAGAGCAGCCTCTCTGGCGCCCACGTTTCCATTGTGCGTGTCAAATGCCCAAAGTTGCCCATCTTGGCTGCCTGCTGTGCTGTCGAGAGCTGCCTCTGCGGCTCGATGGGTTCTTCTGGAAGATCGGTCGACGAGGAAGCGGGTGCGGGCTGTCGTAGGCCAGGCGTGCTGCTCGTCCCGCGCGTCTCGTGCTCCATCACTGCCGCGCTCGCCGGCGCGAATCGACTCGCGATGGCCGCACTCATGGGTCGGAACATCGATGCGCTCTTGGCGAACTCCCGAAGCTCGTTGGAGAATTGCTCGGCCGTCAGCTCCCGAGGCACCTGCAGCCGCATCGCCCGCTCCGACGCCGGCTCGAGTTGACCTTTGAGATACGTCTCGTAGCGATTCTGCTTGGCAGCGTCCACGCCAAAGGGTGCAAAACCCACCAGAGCCTGCTTGGCGGTGACTGCTTCGAGTCGCGGGCACTCCACGTACTGCAGCGATGGTAGCGACGCAGATGAGGGCAGAGCGGCGTTTGACTGAGCAGCGAGCCGTTCTTGCGCTTTAGCCGAGAGGAAGGCGGCGATGTTGGGCGGAGGACCGGGAATCTTTGCTTCTCCAAGCAGCTGCCCTCGCGTCGAGGGCGTCATGACGGTGGTCTTGCTGTCGAGTTGAGGGTCATAGCGAGACCAGACGCGGTTTGGGTCTGGTTGCCATCCTGGCGGTACTGGTGAGGCGGGGAAGGATGGCTCGGGTGGAAGTGGCTGACGGGCCAGATGGAAGCCGGAGAGTACGGGACGGCCGTCTGACCAGACATCTTCCTCATCTTCCGAGGCAGCTTGTGCGACTGCGCCTGTCGTTTGTTCTGCTTCGTGGGTCTTCGAAAGCGTCTGAGCGAGCGTCGGGGCGTCTTGATAACCCAATCCTTTCCTTGTGCGCTGCTGCGTTGCCAATGAATGAGTAGCTCTGACGGGAACTGTGTGCGTATGCTCCAACGTGACTCTCGACGAGCTCGCTATCGACTCAGAGCGACCTATTGAGCTCCCCACCCTCCCCTTCTTCTTCTCGTCCACCCTCGAGCCCATTTCTTCCCCCTCCTTCCACCCCATCTTCCTCAGCAGCTTGTACCCCAACTCTTCATCTCCACCGCCGTCCACATCCAAACTGTCCCCCTTAGCCTTCTCACCCCCTCTCAGCCCGGCAATCTGATTCAACCCCACCTCCTCTCCGCGCCTCGCCTCGACCCGCTGCACCTGCTTCCAGTCATCTAGATCTTCCTCGTCCATGAAGTCCTCCACTCTTCCTCCTACAACCTTCATCTCCTCTGCTCTGCCCTTATCCTTTCTGCTGGAGCGAAAGCTGCCTGGCGTCCACCCTTCTTTGGACCCGACCGTATTGAAGTAGCCCGCGCTCCAGCCGCCGGTGAAGGCGCCGTGAAAGCGCCTCCGTCCCTGAGCATCACGCGCTTCCTGCTGCCAGATGGGCTTGTGTTCATCTTGGTCCTTCTTGGCGGAAGACAGCGAGGGGAGGGGGGTGCCGATAACGCAGAGGGAGGTGGTCAGGGTCGAGAGGGTGTCTGGTGACAGGGCGCGCTGGTTGCGCCTCAGACGATCGGTTGCCATCCTGACCCCTATGCTATGCGCTCAGCTTACGCCATTGTCTTGTGGGTGGATAGCATGGCGATCTATTGTCGCCAACTTCTGGTCATATGGAGCCTTGATGGTCGGTGTTACTGTACCGGCAAAGGGGGAGACAAAGAGTCCGTGAGTGTGGGAGCAAAGGGTCCTCGAAAGCAGCAGTGTTGGTGTGGAGGCTGAACATCTTTCGGCCGAGAGAAACTGCGACCACCCTGGCCGGTGGCGACTCTTCCCCCTGCTGGAGTCAGGCGCAGGCCGTCCCGCGACCTCAATGAGGCTCGAAGAACTGAAAGATTCACACAGCGGAACGCACATCGAGAATGGCAATCTCTCGGGTCCGCTAGCCATCGGAGCTGCTGGTAGGTCAGCTTTGGCTTTGGAGCTTGCGCGATGTGTGACTCTGCGCCGAGATCTCGTTCGGCATCTCACAAGGCGGCACAGGCGAACACAGACAAAGACAGAGGGTTGTAGTAGCTTGGAGAAGATGACATTTACAGAGAGCTTGTTGTATGAAGCGGTCCTGGTCCTGACGGACCTTGAGTGGGTTTCTATGCATGTAGGATGCCTGAAAAAACTTCAGTAAGAATGTTGGTGGATGAGGCATGCGCTGAGACGCGCGCTTACTCGGACATGGCGATGCCAGAGTCCGAGGCGTAAGCGCTGTCAGGCGCAATGCGGCGGTGGGGGACACCGTCAACAGTGCGGTAGAAAGCGACCTGGTCGTTCTCGTCAACGAACTTGCACACGTTGATGCTGTTCCAGAGCGCCTTGAAGATGTTCTCCTCGCTCTTGACGTAGTGGTGGCCGAGACGCTGCTTGAGCGCCTCGGTGGCCTCCCAGGCGTTGTAGTGAGGGATCTTGGACGAGATGTGGTGGAGGACGTGGGTCTCGGCAATGCCGTGGAAGAGGTAAGGGCCGACGGGGCCGAGCCAGTTGCGGTCGATGGTGCAAAGGGCGCCACGAGGGAAGGTCCAAGCCTCAGCCTTGTAGTGGGGCAGAGCAGGGTCGGTGTGCTGGAGGTAGGTGATCATGACCAGCCAGTTGTTGCACCAGAGGTAAGGAATGACGTAGTAGCGGAAGACATCCGAGAAGCCACCCTTGGAGAGCATGCCCCAGGCGGTAAGAGAACCGAGAGTAATGGCAATGCCGAGGTCCGAGATAAGAATCTGCGAGCGGTGACGCTTGTCAAAGATGATGGCATCGGGGTTGAAGTGGTTGGTGCCCTTGGGGTAGTGGAGCTGACCAGACGAGTTCTTGAGCAGGTACATGGGCCAGCCGAAAAGCTGCTGGACAAAGATGTAGACGAGGTTGTACAGGGGAGCGTCCTCGAGAGTCTCGGCGAGCCACTCGCCAAAGGTCTCCTCGACCTTGACGGCACCGACCTCCTGCTCAACGGCGTCCTCGTCGTTCGAGTCGTCGCCCGACTTGGGAGCGGGCTGGAGGGGGAGCTTGCCGCGCTGCTGACGGGTGCGGGGCACAAAGACCTCGTCACGGGTAAGGTGACCGGTGGCGGCGTGGTGGCGGGCGTGCGAGATCCTCCACGAGTGGTAGGGCACAAGAAGAGCCGAGTGGAGGACCCAGCCGACGGCGTTGTTGAGCGTCTTGCTGGTGCTGAAGCTCTGGTGGCCGCACTCGTGAGCAATGACCCAGACACCGGTGAAGACCATTCCCTGAAGGATCCAGTAGACGGACCAGGCGGCAAAGCGAGTGAGCGCCTGCTGGATACCGACGGAAACGAAAGGAGAAAGAGCGTTGGACTTGAGGCCAGAGAAGGTGCTAGCGACGGTAGGGTCGATGTAAGAGGCGGCGAAACCAAGAGCGGCGATCATGGCAAAGTCGGCAAAGACGTAGGTGAACGACTTGAAGGCCGATCGCTCGAAGCAGTGGGCAGGGATGGCCGAGAGCAGGTCCTTGACGGTGTACATGGGAACGTCGAAGGTGGGAATGTCCTTCTCGTCGTACACAGCAGCCTTGCGGTGCGAGTATCGCACGCTTTCGGTCTTGGTAGCCTTGTTAACGGCGGGGGCGGCAGCGCCCTTCTTGCCAGCGCGCTGACCGGCAGCGGTGACGTTGGCAGCAACAGCGGACGACATGATTGATGTCCGATCGATGGTGCTTGATGAAGGTGGAGAAGGGTGAGGGGGAACGGGCCAGATCGATGGAGAGGTTGTGGCGTGAGGGAAGGAAGGGAGAAGTGAGCGCTGCTGGTGGTTTTGATATGTGTCCGAGGGATGGCAACTTTCGGGGCAGCGTGGCTAAAGTGAATTGCAGTTGGACTGGGTGGCAGGCGCTGCTGCAACGCACGCACCAGAGAGGTCCCTGTTCCCCCTACAGCGACAACCACCAGCTAGACCGAGTAGCCACCGCACAGCGCTCGAATGAAATTTGACTAGAGCTTCAACCTTCTTTTTCGCACCTGCAGCCGCTAAGAAGAAAAGAGTCGCCGACTCGGAAGAGCGCGGGGTGAAAGGACCCTCCTTCTGCTCGCTCAGCCACCCGCCTCGCTCGCTATCTGATCCAGAAGGATTTTTGACAGAATTCGCGGCAGATTCACCTCTGAATTTGAACGTGGACCCTCGGCAAGTGTGAAAATAGGGCGCGTCCACGCAGCAAGACAATCTGGCCTCGAGGCTGGCCAGCACGACCCGAGCGGCGACCCATGCTGAACTGAACAGAAGGCGCAAAATTGGTTGGGGCAACTGGCCAGAAAATTCGAACTGATCAACCTCCGTTCCAATCACATGCAGCCCATTTGGCTCAGCCGTGCACTCACGCCTCCCTCTGCCTTGATCCACCGCCCTTGCCACTCGAGGTGAGCCGCTCGAGCTTGGCGTCCACGCGATCGTTGAGCCTGTTCCTGTCGATGATGGTAGCTTCGCCTGCTGTCTCTGCGAATCGCTGCACGCATAAGTCTGATAGCAAGTCGAGTCAGGCACAGGTTGAGGTTGAGTTCAAATGGCACGGTCAAGCCAATCTTACAACTTGACCACAGCAGAGCTAGAAAGGCTGACTGGCTGGCTGGCTGATTTCCCCGTGTTGTTTGTGAAAAACGGACACCGTCGAGCCAGGAATTCTTGACGCTCCTTGCCACACGGTTTGTCGCACGAAAGAGCAATATCGGGACTGAATCTATCCGATTTACTTCTAGCAGCTCACACGACCCTTTGCCCCCTTCGGAGCGACATGGCGAAGCAGAAACGCCCACAGCCTACCGCTCTCCTTGCCCAGCGTCCCATCATGGCTGAACCTTCAGACTATCATATACGAACAAGGCGTACATTCGTCGAAACTGCACGACTACTGAGCCAGTCATCATCGCGAGGATGCTGCAACCATGTCGAGCAGAAGCTTGTCACCTTGGTTGAATGGCCAAGCGCTCGCTGCGTTTGTAAAGTCTTCCGAGATGACGCAGCCGTGCCGAAAGTCGAATTCCAGCCTGTCTCTCGATTTAGGCACTTTCTCTGGTCACGGCACCCAACGTTGGAATTTTTTACTGTGTCTGCTGTGCCTGTTCATGACAAGCCCCAGTCGAAGCGAATTTGAGGTTTTTCCTGAGACAGAAGAAAGGCCTCGTGGAGGTGGTCCATGGCAAGGGTCATCAGCGAGCCCACCATCTCATCCTCTATCATCCTCGTCACCTTTCATCTCCTATTACCCTTTCAGCATCGCCATCTCGCTACTCAGTCCAAGCTGTGAACCGTCTACATCCGCGGAACATCAGCCTCTGACTTTGCGTACCATCTCACAAGGGGCAGTGACACGCACCTGCTCCACCCGCCCACCATTCCACGTCAAGTTGTCGATCTACGTCTAAAGGCCGCGGCCAAAAACTTCCTCACAGGAAGCTCCAGGTACGTCTTGACACAAATATGTCCACAGCGGGCAAGTCAAGCAGGACAGCAGCATGCAAATTTTAGCGACGTCTGAGCACGACATTGGATCCACCTCGACACCACACGCATCAGCGCTTCCTGCTTGCTCCTGCTCAACGGCAACGAAGCGTCAAGCTGCTTCGCTGAGCGTATCATGCTACCTCGAGCCCTTCTGTTCGCTTACTGACCATCTCGCCAACTCGATCTTACCTGCACTTCGCCGCGCGTTGCAATCGACCACCCACAGACCCCACTAATACGGCTATCGCAGCAACTGCATCGAAGACATCTTGAAAGAATACTAGAAAAGGCCGCCTGGCTGTCCTAGCTGGCGACCCAACCTTGAACGACCGAGCTCGCTCAATAACATCACAGGTAAGCTTCACCCATGTGCCTGTATTCGTACAACGAGGTCCGAAAGTAGGACACATACGGAGTCCGGAACGCAGCAGCCGCTCTAGCCTTCGTCTGAGGCACCCTAGATCGGATCAGATGCGAAACCCTCGACGGATCATCAGGGACCGAATCACAATCGGCAGATCATCAAGCATGGTCGAAATCTCAAACAGCTATGCGAGTTCATCGCAATGCACACCGCCGATCACGGTCATCACTGCCCAGTGCAAGTCCAAGCGCTCGCATACCCCATGCTAGCTGCAGATTCCTGTCCTTAAAGCGATCTCGGGCGGCTTTGGCTCCGGTACTCGAGCAAAGAGGAGGGTCGGGGTCTTGGGCTCATCTCGGCTGTTAGCAGGGAGATGCCACCGCCAGCGGCAGCAGCGTCGGCAACGGCGTCCTCACGCGACGAAAATCAGGCTTCAGGCAGGCAGTCGAGCAGATGGGTCAAGGGTCAGCGTTTTTTCTATTTTGGAAAATCGAAATCGACCACGGACTTCCTTCAGCCAGCCGAAAGTGGATCTCCCCTGAACCCTTTGGACTTTCGATGCTCGGCTTGAAGTACCCGCAACCCTCACTCAAGTCAAGTTGCGCAGCCCGGCATCAACAACGGTAGCCTTCACCTGACGTGCTAGCGTTGCTGATCCATCCCTTCTAGCCGACCTGTCATTGTCAGCTGGATGACCCCGCTGGGGATGTCAACGTCAGACCCCTGCGCCCACCTTGGCTGCTTCGCCCTGCCTGCCAGACGTGCCAGGATGCTTGGCGACAGAAGTGCTTGGTCTCGTTGCATCAATAGCTTCGTTAGCGGGTCGGACCAACCCTGGGGCCTCGTCGCCTTGCCCGCTGCCGATTCTTCTTTGCGGCGTTCTCGACAGCTATGATCTGCACTGGGACCTCGTTAAGCACCTTCCATCTGCAAGACTCACACAGTCTCACTGACACATTCTCCTTCATCTTGCCTCTTTCCTTTCATTCGACCCTTGCGCCTGTCTGGTACCCTTAACCCTCCCTTCCACCCCCTCCTTTCTCGCCTTGTGATGATGTGATCTCTCGCCACCGTGTCTGCCCCGACGCTGCATGCCCTACGACCACACCAGCAGAGCCGACCACTGTCGCGCCGACTTCAGTCGAGTGACGACGCTCTCCCACGAAAAAGCGCAAAGCCCTAGGTATGTTGTCGATCCTCCATCCTCGCGACGGTCAAAAAGACCTACTTTCCAGAACCTCGCCAGGCTGACCCCATCCTCCACCATCCCACTCCTTCTGCTCTCTCCCGCTCCGCCAACCTCTTGCATCGCCAACATGACCTGCTGCACCCTCACCCCTCTTGACCTCACCCTTCCCGGCCCGTCTCGTTACGCCCAGCAGTCGATCGCGATCGACAGCTCCTGCAAGACGTTCGCGCCGATGGCTGCTCCTCTTGCCGCTCTGCCCCACCAGCAGCGCCTGCGAGCCGACACCCCTCCGCTCGACGACGATGAGCTCGACTGCTTCAAGCCGTTTGACGGCCACAAGCCCATCTACCGCGGCTGCATTGACACGCAGCTGAAGCGCGTCCTCGACGACATTGACATTCACGGCTGCGAGGCCAACGGCGAGAATGCCTTCTTCGTCGCCGACCTCTCCGAGGTGTATCGCCAGCACCTGCGCTGGATGCGTGCCCTCCCTCGCATCGTTCCCTTCTACGCGGTCAAGTGCAACCCGGACCCGTACGTGCTGCAGCTGCTCGCTGCGCTCGGCACGGGCTTCGACTGCGCCTCCAACGGCGAGATCGAAGCGGTGCTTAAGCTCGGCATCAACCCTGCCCGGATCATCTACGCCAACCCATGCAAGGCCGCGAGCTTTGTCCGCCACGCCGCCACCCACAACGTCGGCCTCACCACATTCGACAACATGGACGAGCTCGACAAGATGAAGCGCTACCATCCTTCGTGCAAGCTGGTGGTGCGGATTTTGACCGACGACTCCAAGAGCGCCTGTCAGCTGGGGCTCAAGTTTGGCGCTCCGCTCGACTCGGTGCCTCGCCTGCTGCAGCGCGCACGGGAGCTGGAGCTCGATGTAGTGGGTGTCAGCTTCCACGTTGGCTCTGGGTGTTATGATCCTGATTCGTTCCGCGATGCGGTCTACCGCGCACGTCGGGCGTTCGACATGGGCAAGGAGGCAGGCTACACGTTCGACCTGCTCGACATCGGCGGTGGGTTTGGGCACGACAATTTTGAGATGGTTGCCGGCGTGCTTGGTCCTGCCATCGACCGCTACTTCCCTGACGACGACTTTGCCCCTGGCGGCAAGGAGGTGGAAGGCAAGCTCAACGGGCTGCGCATCATCGCTGAGCCAGGTCGATTCTACGTCCACTCGGCCTTTGCGCTGGCGACCAACATCATCGCCGCCCGGCGAGGCGAGCCCTCCCCCGTCGGCGCCATCGTCGAAGCCGTCGCTCCGACCAAACCTCAGGTCATGTACTACCAGAACGACGGCCTGTACGGCTCGTTTAACTGCGTCATCTTCGACCACGTCACGGTGCACCCGAAAGTGCTGACGCTGGGCTTCGAGTATGCGTACCGACCGGATCTCGAGGCGCCAGGGAGCGAGGACGAGCTTCAACCGTGCAGCGTCTGGGGCCCGACGTGCGACTCGATCGACTGCGTCCGCGCACTCGTCCATCTGCCCAAGGGGTTGAAGGTCGGCGATTGGCTCGTGTACGAGAATATGGGTGCCTACACCATCTGCGCCGCCAGCACGTTCAATGGCATCAGGAGGAGCGAGGTCCGCTACACCCTGGGCGCAGGGGAGGATGCAGAGGTGGTTCGAGAGCTCATGATGTAGAAGCGTGACCGGATTTCGTTGTCGTGGTTCCAAAATAATCTCATGATTTGCTTCCGTCTTCAAGACACTCTGTGTGCGTGTGATCATCGGTTCGTTTCTTGAACTCGCTCTCAATCACAAGTGGATGTGTTCGTGCATGCGATCGTTTGATTCATGCTCATTTCTATGGAGGATGCTACAACAAGCCCATGGTGGGACCGCTTACTGGGCCCACAACTCCTTGATATGCCTGCTGATGATGAGCCTCTGGATCTGGTCGGTGCCCTCGTAGAGGCGGAAGATCCTAGCGTCTCTGTACAACTTCTCGACAGGGGACTCGGTGTTGAAGCCCAGACCACCGAAGATCTGCACAGCGCCGTCGGCGTTCTGGTTGGCAGCTTCGCCGGCGCGGCACTTGGCCATGGAGGCCCAGAAGCTGTTGCGCTGGCCTTGGTCCTTGGCCCAGGCGCTCTTCCAGACGAGGTTGCGCGCGGCTTCGACGTTCATCTGCATGTCGGCGAGGAGGAAGGCGATGGCCTGGTGGTCGATGATGGCTTTGCCCATGGTCTTGCGGTCTTGGGCGTAGATGGCGGCCTCGTGCAGGGCGCGTTGGGCCAAACCGACGGCGCCAGCGGCCACCAGCGGACGCGTAATGTCAAACGCTCCCATGGCAGTCTTGAATCCGTCACCGGGCTTGCCGAGGACGTTCTCCTCCGGCACCACCACGTTTTCAAACGTAATCTGGCGCGTGTCGGAGCAACGCTGGCCCATGTTGATCTCCTTCTTACCGACGTGAATACCGGGCGTGTCAGCATCAACGACGAAACCAGTCATCGACTTGGCCGCCTTGGCGGAAGGGTCGGTCTTAGCGAGCACAAAGTACCAGTTGGCATGACCACCGTTGGTGATCCACATCTTGCTGCCGTTGATCACCCATTTGTCGCCCTGCTTCTCGGCCTTGGTGGCGATATTGGCCACGTCGGAACCGGCACCGGGTTCCGTGACACAGTAGGCGGCCATGAGGGGCTCCTCGGTCATGCGGCCGAGGTACTTTTGCTTGATCTCGTGCGAGGCGGATACGAGCAGAGGCGCCTCAGCGAGGCCGTTGGCCTCCATAGCGGTTTGAATGCCCGAGCAGCCGAACGCGAGCTCCTCAGAGATCAGCGCACACTCCATGAGCCCGAGACCGGGTCCACCGTACGCCTCGGGGATGTGCGTGTTCAGCAGTCCTACTTCCCAGCCCTTCTTGAGGATCTCGGTAGGGTACTCCATCGTCTGGTCGTGGTGGCGCGCATTAGGAATGATCTCCTCGCGAGCGAACTTGCGGGCGAGATCGCGGTAAGCCTCTTGGTCCTCGTTCAGGCCGAACGAGACACCGGAGCTCTCGACGGGCGTCGAGTAGGCGCGGGTAGCTCCATTGCGGGCGGCGAGGAGGGCGGCCTTGTTGGCGGTAGTGATGGCACGGCTGCTGCCGGCGACGGCGCGCTTGGCGAAGAGAGACATCTTGTGTTGGAGGTAAAGGGGACGATGTGATGGTCGAGACGAACGAAGCTGAACAGAGTCTTGGCTACAAGTTGAAGCGCTGGTGGACACCTTCCTGTAGGAAGCGGGGAGCGCGAGAACCCTTGCGAACACCTCGAGTATAAGCGAGAATCCGGTTCTTCGTCCAAGCAAAAGAGGGACCCCGCAGAAGCCAGCGAGCTCACCAAGCTCGTTTCAATGCGTGCGTTTCTCGAGCCGGCTGTCGAGCCCATTTTGGCGCGCGCGCTGCTGCTGCCGCTGCTGGCCCGGTATTTCGCTCTGCCCTTCTTACCGAAGCACTGCAGCAACAACTGCATTTCACGCTCAAAAATCACTGCTGGCTTTGAACCGGCCTGGCCGCGCCTACCGACATCCAATCAGCTCAGAATCCCGATCTGGCCATCGGGCTTCTCCTCACCATACCTCGACATGCTTGTTCGTAGTCTGACTCTCGCATCGCACGCAAATATCTATGTCACACACTCGCCCGCACAGCAGCACACCTCCGTCCACACTCAGATTAGCAATGGTATCAAAAGATGGGATTAGAAACAGTCTTGGATCGATACTGATCATTCCCTTTTTAGGTGCGTGGAGCGCTGACTGGCTGAGCGGTGCTCGCAGCGGCAGGCATCCTCGCAGCAACATTAGTGGGCGTGTCACGTCGGACACTGCCGCTGCTCCTCGACTGACTGCGTTGATCGCGTTCAGCAGGTCGCGCAAATCCACGCCAATCACCCGCCTTCTCCAGCTTGGCCTTGCCATACAGGTTGTCCCAGTTCCAGTGGTCGTCGTCCTCGTCCATGTCTTCAGGGCGGGCACGCTTGTCGCCGGGCCGAGGCGCTGACGAGGCGGGGGTCGAACGCGCGTCGATTCCCCACGCAGTAGCCTTGCGAGCGGGCTGAGTTGCAGCCGTCAATTTGTTCTCCCCCAAATTAGAGGCGGTGGTGGGAGGAGAGCTGCGTTTCAGCGGCACGGCCGCCATGACTGGGAGCGACGCCATCCTTTGCTCGAAGCTGTTGCGGCGAGGTCCCGTCGGAAGCTCCTGCACCGCAAGCAGCGTTCGGGACGGCGGTGCATGGCTGGCAGGTGGAGGCGACTCCAGCTCGTCCCTTTCGCTCGACGAGCTGGCATTGTCGTAGCCCTGCGATCGTCGCCTCGAAGCCTCTTCGGCGCTCTCCTCCTTGACAGGACCCCTGCTTGCCTTGGCGCCGCGCACGTCGATGCCAGGACTGCCTCGAGCAGAAGTGCCTGGTGGCGAGTCTCTAGAAGGACCGTGGCCGTTGTGCAAAACGCTGGTCGGGGCCGGTCCGCTGGCAACATCGGCGTGGTAGTTACCTTGGCGTGCCGAAGCAAGGATAGCCTCAGCGCGGTGCAGGACTTCATCGATGCGTCTACGCTCAAAGAGCAGATCGTCTCTGAGCCTTTCCACATCGCTGAGCTTGACCGATCCATTGGGTGCCTGACCAGCATGACCATGCGAGCTTCCGCTCACCGCCACAGGATGGTGATGGTGGTGATGGTGCCCGTGATGGGCGGCGTGGGAAGCGTGGCTGGCATGGTGGTGATGGTGGTGGTGATGATGGTGACCCACCGCTGAGCTAGCCCGAGCGCCATCGGCAGCCCCAGCTCGCGATCCATGCTCGGATGGGACGCTGGAGACGTGCGACGGCTCATTGTGCAGGTCGGGACGACCGTTTCGGTCCGACATGGGAGCATCGGTAGGTGACCTTTGCGATCGCGGAGCACCGGCGCCGTGAGACTCGTTGTAGGCGGACGCAGCGGCACCGGAAGCCTCCTGCTCATCGTATGCCTCACGAGGGGCCAGCGGGTACGACTTGCGAGGCCTCTTGACACCTCGACTCTCGTCTGCATGCGACGTGCGGGCCGCGTCGGCACTGGCACGGGCCGAGTGCATGTCGTGATGCATGGAAGCAGAGCTGGTCATGCCGCCATTCTGGTGATGACGTTCGTCGTCGTGCATCGAAGTATGCGATCTGCCACCTGCACCCACCTCCATCAGAAGCATGGCAGCCTCGCGATCGCGGGCTTCGCGCACAGCCTGCTCGGACGTCGACGCAGCGGCCTTCTTTGGTCCACGCTTACTCTCGGACGAGCTCGGCGTAGCGTCGCTGCCACTGCGACCGGCGGCGGGAGCGATGACGGGCTGACCGTTGGCGTTGATCTGTACGGGCACGACATCCGGGTGGTTGGCAGCCTGAGCAGCAGCATTGGCGGGGATGCGCTTTCTGCGCTTGATGACCGTCTTCTTCATGCCGATGGGACGGTGGGTGCCATGCAGCTTGTGGTAGAGACCGCAGGCGTTGCAGATGTTGTTGCCATCCTCGTCTCGTCGCCAGAGCGGAGTCGTCGTGGTCTGGCAGTTGGTGCAACGGAGCGCGCCAACGGCGCTTTTGTCGTCGTCCTTGTTCTCCTCCGCCACTGGCGTTGCCTTCTCGGCGGCACGGGCAGGCGAGGCGGATTCTTCACCGGTGCGTGGTTCGCGTTTGCTCACTTTGAGAGCATGCGAGATATTGTTGTTGTAGGCTGGGCAGCCGCTGCAGCTGGCGGTGCCGCCGGTACCGTTGCAGAGACCGTCGCCGGGACAAGAGCCGGATTTGGGATCATCTTCTCGCGAGCAGCCGCTGCGTCCAGCCGCGGAAAGCTTGACTGGATGGGCAGGAGGGCTTGCGTCCGCGGCGCCAGGGTTGCTCGAGGCGGCGCGATGGCTGCTGTGCGATTTGATGTAGAGGCCGCAGGCATTGCAGATGGTGCTGCCGTCGGGGGCTCTCCTCCACAGCGGCGTCGATGTGACGCCACAGTTGGAGCATTTCAGACCAGCATGGTGGGCGGAGGGAGGCGAGCCGGAGCCCTCGTGCTCGTATGCTTCGCGGTGGCCATGCTGCGGGCTGCTGGTACGCGAGTCGACGGTAGGCAAGGGACGACCCCCGTTGGCGTGATAAGAAGCCTCGACGGATCGGGAAGAGCCTGGGTGACCTTGCAGGTAAGGAAGGCCGCTTGCACGCGATGTGTGGTCGTAGCTGGACCTCGGAGCGGGGGCGATGCTGCGCGGGAACTCGTCGGCGTATCGCTGCTGCGACTTGATGCGGTCCTCGCCAGAGTACTCGTGACGGTACGAAGGGTGGTCGTGGCGCATGGTGGCCGGACTACCGATGGAAGGAGCTGGGCTCGTGTCGCGGAAGGTGTTGCCCATGTGCAAACGTGATGAGGCGCGGGGCGAGGTGTTGGGGGTGCGACGATGATGCGCGTGCGCGTCGGGATGGTCGGAGGTCAGCTCTCGGCTCAACGAAGAGATGGGAGGGAGGTGAACGCCGGCCGCCTCGCTCGGATGACGAAACGAGGACGCGTGGAGCAACGGGCTGTTGGGTTGCGATCTGGATGGACCAAGATGCGACCTTTCAGAACTCTGCGATCGGTTTCGGAAAGCGGCGATGGGTGACTGCGATCGACCAGAGGGGTGGAACGCGCGTGGATCGCGGAAGAGACTGCGAGCTGTGCTTCTTGGGGCTACGTCGTGGTGAGATGCGGAAGCACGATCTGCTGGGTGCGCAGAAGGGGATGGTGGTCGTGAGCCGCGTGGGCGAAGGGGTGGAAGGCTGTCGACTTCGTGGCTGGAGCCGTTACGAGAATGGTGAGAAAGACGGTCAGGAGAGCGATCGGCGGGAGCGATGGGTCGAGCTGCGATTCGTGGTGGATGGGTGGAGGACGACGATGAAGCGGCGTTGTGGTGATGGGGATGATGGGAAGAGGAAGAAGGAGTTGGAGAAGCAGGCCGCGAGGCGATCTTGACCGGAGGAAGAGCCATCTCTGCTGGCAGTCAAAGTTTTGATTGGAGGAAGAAAGGCTCGGATGCAGAGGCTATCGACGCTGTCGCAGTGGATGAGATGCTGCCGAGGAGATGCCGATGATCTGCAGGCTGGAGGGCAAGCGAGCCTGAAGATTCAAGGCGAGCGGAACTGGGAACGACGACCCCGCGTCGCTGATTGTGGAAGCGAGATGGGCCGAGGTTGTTCTTCGTGTTCTACTTGTCTGACTGCGCTTGGAAGCGGCACGGCTGAAGCACGAGATCCGCTGAAGAGATGATGCGAGGCTTGAGTGCTGAGCTGGCGGACAAAGACTGCCGGAAGTAGAAAGGACTGAGCCAAAGGGCGCCAAGGTCGAGAGTCGATTGATGCTGAACAAAAAGGCAGCTCGGCTGTGCAGCTGAGTCGAGAAAGCGACAGGGGCTGTGTGTGTGTGTGCTCTGGGCTAGGTGTGCATGTCAACTGACAGGTCGCCAGAGGGAAGAATGAGTACGGGGGATCGCTTGCGTGCGGAGTCGAGATAAGGATGAGGAGGAGGAAGGTGCGAGAGATAAGGAGGATGAAGGTGAGGGAGGGGGGGAGGTCGAAAAAGGAGTAGGGATGGGTCTGAGATAGGAGAGACGGAGGTGGACAGATAGGGCCCTCAGCCTGCGTGTCTAGTGTCTAGTGTCTAGTGTCTGCTAGCTTTGTCAGGTCAGCTGAGCAATCGTGTGTGTGTGGGGGGGGAGGGGGAGCAAAGAGGCTGAAGCTAGCGGCACTGATAAAAAACTGAGCCCGGCGAGAGAGAGAGCGAGAAGAGAGACCAGATAACGAGCCGATTATTTGATTTTCGCCTTTTCGTTTTCCGTAATCTCATCGGCCTGCGCCGCGCCAAGCGGAACCATCGAAGCGAGGCGGGCAAGCAAGCAGACAAGCGCCGTCACATCGTTGATTTCCAAGCAGAACGTGATCTAAGAGAGACAAATTCCACGCCGCGGCAATCAAACCGGTTGCACTTGGCTGTCTGCACACTCGCAACAGGCGGCCCCCGCGGCTAATTTGATCGTAGTTAGTGAAAAGTCTCAAGCCTCGTTAATCAACTGGCTCATCGAATCCGAGGCAGACTTGACGTTGATCAACAAAGTGACGCCTCCCACCAGAAGGCAGCTGTTGTTTGAGGATTGGTGGGAGTGCGCAGAATCAAGCTAGGCCGGCTCGGTCTCGACCACCGAGGAAGGAGGCTTGCTCATTGTTGGATCGTATCAAATGATCCGAGGCAGTGACGCCTCGGTTTGCTTCTGTGACCTTGCAACATCACCTCGCCCAACTCCGAGATGGGACTGTCATCATTAAACGAGTGAAAAGGAAAACTCTTGCTCGATCACCGCAAGACAAAAGGCTCCCTTTGAGGCAGTTCGGCGAGTTCGGCGCGAAACAATCATCAACCCTGTGTCCACGGATCAAAGCAAATCTGATTGGCAGAGGGAGGGGGTCGTTTTGTGATTAAATTTTGAGAATTATCCTTGATTTCGCCTCCAATTCGTTGCGAACCAATCAAAAGCTGTCTATGCGTCACACTTGTCGCTGCCCGACTATGCTTCGGATCAAACGGCTCTGGCTATCGAAATTTGCGTGCCGCCGGACGGCCGCTCTCCGTTCTCCGTCTTGATTCTTACGACCCCGCTTCCTGCTTTTGATGAATGACAAGGCTTCCCGGACAAGTTCGCCGACCAATCATCTCTCAGGAGCAAAACCACAACACAGTCCATTCGAAATGGCTGTGCTGACAGGCACCCACAGAGCGATGTGTCCTTGCTGACGGCAAGCACTGATGGGCTGGTCTGCTCGAACTTGTACGTAACGGCAATGCATCTGCATCTCAAGTTGAAACATCAAGCGGCGCAAGCGTTCGGGCTATGCTCATTGATCACGGTAGAGAAGCAGCGTAGACGGGCCGTCTGTCTGCGAAAAAGTTCCACGCTGGAAATCATCTCTCGGATGATGTCGAGCCGAGAACCAATCAGAAGCGAGCGATGGGAGCGATGCGAATCCGCGCCTCTGGCCGAAATCTGAGTCGACGGCTGTCAAAATCTTTTATCGAAACGCGTAAGCGAGATCGAACAGGAGAGCTTCGACCACGCTCTAACACGCTTTCGGCATCGCATCAGGAGCCTTGTACCAACGTCGTCTGCGAGTCTCTTCCTGGAGGCTGGCATGTGTGATGTTCCGGATCGAAGCTCGTTTGACCTTCAGGCCAACTGAGATGCTTGTCGTTGCCAAGCTTCCCAGTGGCGTCCTGCCAAGAGTCATGCCAACGCGCTTACTCGGGCGAGCGGCCACGGGTCAACCTCCTCCCCCACGTTGTCGAGCAATTTTGAAGGGCTTTTCAGACAACGTTTTCGGCCAACTTTTACCACTCAAGATCAGTCTCGAAGGCGGTTGATTGCATCGAGGTCGCAATGCAAAGCATGGCTTCAACTACCTTCACGGGCCAAGTCAGGATCTTGAACTCTTCAAGCTACTATCTCGCGAGCTAGGCCGTGATCAACGAGCCAATGCGAGCGAGCTCGAGTGCTTTCAACTCTAGGATGCCGAGCACATGGTGGGGTATATGTATACACCAGGTTCATATCCTGACATCTGCGGCCATAGAACCTTGAAAGCACCGCATCCCGTCCGATCTGCGAAGTTAAGCAAGGTATCGCCTAGTCAGTACTGCGGTGGGGGACCACGCGGGAATCCTAGGTGCTGCAGTTCTTTTTTAGATTTATTTTTGGGATCCGGAAGGGCGAGCTTACTCCGAACGGCGGTCAGTGAATCTAGGTAGCGCAGACGATAGATGACCCTTCGGATCATGAGCGCGATTGAACCAAGACATGAATTGCAAACGTAACGAGACAAGAGGAACTGCGAGATGCGTGAGAGGCGTAACAAGAGGTGACGGAAGTGAGATGATGGCGCGCTCCCCGAGAGATTGTCCATGGATCGATCAGCTTTAGTTTAGGCGCTCTCGCCAACCCTGAGGACGTTGGGCTGTTCGCCAGGGACCGAGATGCTGCCTACCTCAGGCAGCACATTCTGCTCGGACGCGCTGGTGGCAAAGGTGCTAGCAGGGCTGGCGGAAGCGGCAATGGCGGAGGACTCGCTCGCCTTGGGCAGCATTGCGACACGGCCAGCACGAGCGATACTGCGGTGAGCGGCAGAGATTGGCAAGGACGACGAGGGGGCTGGTGGGGCACGAATCGCAGAGCGCGAGGTGAATGCTCGTCGGAAAATTGTGTGCATTGTGTTTGATCTTGCCGTGGGCCCGGCGGTTAGTGCTCAGGTTGGTGTTGGTGCTGATACACAAAGTTGACTCTGGCAGGAGTCTTTCACGAAACGGTGCCGTGAATAAGCAGAGGGCTGTGTGTGTGTGCGCGTGTTGGTGAATGGGTGTGTGTGAGTGTGTGAGTGTGTGAGTGTGTGAGTGTGTGAGTGAGGTGAGTGTGCGTGCCAGCGTCGAGGGATGGTTCGGATCAAGGCGCTCTTATACGCTCTCTCGACCCGCACGCAATCAGAACATGCTCAGCCGGTTCACAGCGCACGCGGCTCGAAGACCCACTCTGCCACTCTTCCCTCGGTACCACTGATCAGTTGCAGGCAGACCGTGCGCAAAAGTGGTACGATAAGCGCTACGTCCAAGTCACCGAGAGAACGGTGCTATGCAGGAGCCCCACTTAACTCGGCCCAAATTCGGACCGCGTTTTTGGACATGACAGCCCCAAAAAGCTGTCAGCCATGCGATAAAGATCTAGCGTGGGGCCTGCTCACAGTTCCCACCGTGACTCAATCGAGAAAGAGATGCGGGTCGAGATAACCTCGTCATGCAGTCAATGCCTCGCGTGTGTCTACAGAAGATGCCGATGCTGAGCCTCGTACGGCCAGACCAAGCTAGCGGGCCGTGACATTGTAAAGGTTCAACCGTCATTGGTCAGATAGTAGCGAAGCTCTAATGGCCCGAGCGAGCAAAGCTCTCGAATCGTCCGCAGAAAGCATTGAGCACAGATTGCTTGATCTGAAACCCGGTCTCTTCGAGATGCGGGTAACTAGATCGAGGCTGTCCCACCCACTGAATCTGAGCCCACTTGCACCTTGGCTTGCACACGCGCGACGCTCAACGATGCAGCGCAGGCACGGAACTCAAGTCTCACATCCCCCGTCAGTGACGTGACCGCTCTGCAGGCATGTTTCCGGTCCTTGTGAGGCTGATGAGATGGCGATTCCGTGAGTCTGCTCGGCGACTTGATTATCTGCGCAGCAAGCGCGCGTTTCGCCGTAAAGCTGCGCAACCACAGCACCGATTCCGCAATCTGCTCTGCGTGCTTGTTCATGCGCAACAGAAAGTGACTCACCACAAATTGTCACGCTGCTCGAATTGATCCATGGCATTTGACTGCATGTGGAAGAAGTGATCCCAGTGCGAACTAGGGTTCATCTTTGCCAGCGGCTCGACGTCGCTTCATGTCGTGCCTCCAGATGATTGTCTCCTCCAGGGTGTCAAAGAGGAAGAAGGCGGCTCGATAGAGGCTGGAGCGCAAGTACAGCAATCTGCGGAAGACCAAATCCGGCGGTTCCAAGCCGCTGCTCGACGGCGAGCCGCTCGTAAGCTTCAGCAAACATCCTCAAGGCATGCCGGAAGAGGTAATCGAAGTTGCACATGCAGAGACCGCCTCAAAATTGAAGAACAGATCTTGCTGAGGACGCGATGGTCATCGTCCCGCGCAACGCCGATGGCGACGCTGTGCTCACCGCCAAGCACGGCGAAAAGGTTAAGGTCGACGATGTCGTCTATCTCCAAACTCATCGGCAGAGAGCCCGGATCGACCAGCAAGACGCCAAGACGAGCAGAGGCGTCATAATCCACGCCATCCTCGGGGCTCCGCATCAACCGATCTTGATGACCACAATGAGCTCAATAATATGGGGTTGAAACTTGGTTCAACCTCGTCTACTGAAGAAACTTCAACATCATAAGTACTGGGGGATCAAGCCAGCTCGAGACACTGAAGCCTGTGTTGTAGATGCTGAGGCAGACGCAGCCAATATGGCTGCCACTGCAGACGATGTGAACTATCGAGGACATATTCAGGGTCACGACAACTCATCTCAAACGAGACCTCCCCGTATCGATGGTTACACGGGGGTCTGTGAGTGACAGTTCGCAACGGACGACATCATATGCAACACACATCCACAGACAGCTCAGCGTCTCTTTTTTGTCTCCGTCTCGCATGGTGACTTGCTTTGCGAGATCGGGCATTGGTACGGTTCAATCCACATGCACCACTTGACACGGCCGCCGATAGGCGCCGAGCCGGGCTCCGGGCCTTGGCTTGATGGCATTCACAAGGGAAGCTGGTCACCAGCAACACCCAAAGACGAAGAGGGTCCACGCCGCAAAGCAGTCAGAGCTTCGAGCGGCCAGAAACTGCCAATGGCTGACGTGGTCCGCCAAAGGCGGCCTGTCAATACGCAGCGTTTGCAAGTCCAAGTTTGTGCGCCTCCGCCAAACGCTCCATGCACCCCATGAAAAATCACAGAATGGTCAATGCGGGCTCTGCCAAATGCTCCAAGCGGGCTCTGCCGCGTCCAACCTGAACAACTCAGCAAGCCCACGCCTCAGACACACAGATACTCTAGCAACGGAAACGAATCTCATACGGAACCACTATAAACTTTCTACATCTTTGTGTTTTCTCTTCTTAGTGCTCGATCTCGCAAAGCAGATCACCCTGCGAGACGGAGTCGTTCTGCTCCACAATCACCCTCTTGACGTGTCCGCCAACAGGAGCCGACACAACCGTCTCCATCTTCATGGCGCTCATGATGAAGAGCGGGTCGCCGGCCTTGACCGAGTGGCCCTCCTTGGCGCGGATCTCGACGACGACACCGGCCAAAGGCGAGCCGACGCTGCCGGGGTCCGACGAGGCCTTCTCGCGCTTGACCGTCTCGACGGCCGCGGATCGGTCCTCGATGGTCAACGCACGAGGCTCGGCGTTGAGCTCGAAGAAGACCTCGCGCGTACCGTTGTTGGTGTTGAGCGCACCGACGGCGAGAAGCTTGACAATGAGCAGCTTTCCGCGGTCAATGTAGGCGTGTAGCTCCTCACCCGGGTGCGCCTTGCCGAGGAAGTAGCGCGTGGGCAGGTTGCTGAGATCGCCGTACTGGTCGAGGAAGCCCTGGAACTCCTCGAAGACCTTGGGGTACATGACGTAGCTGATGGCGTCGGTGGCGCTCATCGAGCGGCCGTACTTGGCAGTGAGGTCCTTCTTGACCTGGGCAAAGTCGATGGGCTCCATGGTGGCACCGGGGCGGCCGTCGATACGCTTCTTGTCGCGAATGATCTTGCCACGCAGGGGCTCGGGGAAGCCGCCAGGAGGCGTGCCGAGGAAGCCCTGGAAGTACTCAATGACGGAGCTGGGGAAGTCGAGCTTGTCGGCTCGCTCCTCGACGTCCTTCGCGGTGAGCTTGTTGGCCACCATGAACTGGGCAAAGTCACCAACGACCTTGGACGAGGGCGTCACCTTGACAATGTCACCGCAGAGCTTGTTGGCCTGGATGTAGGCGTTCTTGATCTCCTTCCACTGCGTTCCGAGACCGAGCTGCTGCGACTGGAACATGAGGTTGGTGTACTGACCACCGGGCATCTCGTGGTCGAACACCGACGAGTCGGAAGCCTTGACGTTGGCCTCGAAGCACTGGTAAAGCTGACGAACCTGGCTCCAGTACAGGTTAAGGTTCTGGATGTCCTCGTGGCGGATGCCGGCACCGAGACCAGTCTGCTCGAGAGCGCTGACGAGCGCGCCCATGGAGGGCTGCGAGGTGAGACCACTCATGCTGTCGATGGCCACGTCGACCACGTCGGCACCAGCCTCGGCACAGGCGAGCATGCTCGAGAGAGCGATACCGGCCGTGTCGTGCGAGTGGACGTGGATAGGCAGGTCGGGGTACTTCTTCCTGATGGCGCCGACGAGCATCTTGGCGGCGGTGGGCTTGAGCAGACCCGCCATGTCCTTGATACCGAGAACGTGGATGCCGGTCTTGACGAGCTCGTCGGTGAGGTTGAGGTAGTACTCGAGCGTGTACTTGGGGTGCTTGCTCGGGTTAGCAACGTCACCGGTGTAGCAGATGGTACCTTCGGCGACACCGCCGGCCTTCTTGGCAGCGTCGATACCGAGCTTGAGGGAATCGAGCGAGTTGAGCGAGTCAAAGACACGGAAGATGTCGAGACCGCACTCGACAGCCTTCTTGCTGAACTCGTAGATGGCGTTGTCGGGGTAGGCGGTGTAGCCGACGGCGTTGGCACCACGGACGAGCGCCTGGAGCGGAATGTTGGGCACGAGCTTGCGGATCTTGCGCAGACGCTCCCAAGGGTCCTCGTACAGGAAGCGCATCGAGACGTCAAAGGTGGCACCACCCCAGCACTCGAGCGAGAAGGCGTTCTTGAGAACGTAACTGGTCTCCTTGGCAATGTTGACCATGTCGATGGTTCGCAGACGGGTGGCGAAGAGACTCTGATGGGCGTCTCGCCAGGTGGTGTCCATGATGAGCGTTCCCTTGTAGGCTCGCACCGCCTTGGCGAAGGCCTCGGGACCCTCGTTGACGATGATGTTCCTCCAACCCTCCGTGCAGGGCTTGGTGGTGTCGAGCGTCTTGGTCGGGTCCTTGGGGTCGGTGAAGGTGGGGATTTGGATCTCCTCCTTGAGACCAGGCTCGCCAACCTGGCCAGCGATGGAACTGCCGTTGACAGCAACGTCTCCGAGGTAGGCGAGCAGCTTCTGTGCACGGTTCTTGGTCTGGACCAGATTGAAGAGCTCGGGGGTGTCGTCGATCATGGTAGTCCACGTGTTGGCGGTAGCGAATGCCTCGTGGGTCAAAAGACGGAACAAGAAGGGGATGTTGGTCTTGACACCGCGGATACGGAACTCGACCAGGGATCGTAGCATCTTCCTTCGGGCGACTTCGTAGGTGGCACCTCGGCACGAGACCTTGACGAGCAACGAGTCGTAGTGAGGCGTGATCTGAGCACCAGCAAAGCCGGAACCGGCGTCGAGACGCACACCGTTACCACCAGCGGATCGGTACACTTCAATCCTTCCGGTATCAGGCTGGAAGTTGGTGGCAGGGTCTTCGGTGGTGATGCGGCACTGAATGGCGGAACCGCGCTTCTGGATGGTCTCCTGAGTCAGACCGAGATCGGCCAGAGTGGCACCGGCGGCGATCTGGATCTGAGCGCCGACAATGTCGATACCGGTGATCTCTTCGGTGATGGTGTGCTCGACCTGGAGACGCGGGTTGATCTCGATGAAATAGTAGCGGTTCTGCTGGTCGACGAGGAACTCGCAGGTACCCGCGTTTCGGTAGTTGGCGGTCTTGGCGAGACGGACGGCATCGTTGAGGATGGCCTGACGCACATCGTCGCGGAGGTTGGGCGCAGGAGCCACCTCGACGACCTTTTGGTGACGACGCTGGACGGAGCAGTCACGCTCGAAGAGGTGGACAACATTGCCTTCACCGTCAGCGAGCAGCTGGACTTCAATGTGGCGGGGCCTGTCGAGGAATCGCTCGATGAAGACGGTGGGGTCGCCGAAGGCCGACTGAGCCTCGGAAACGGCACGCTCGAAAGCCTCCTTGAACTCCTCCATCTTGCGGACGACTCGCATACCACGACCACCACCGCCCATGGCAGCCTTGATGATGACAGGGAAGCCGACCTCCTCAACGAAAGGCTTGGCCTCCTCGTAGCTGGCAATCGGACCAGGGGTACCGGGCACGATAGGGACGTTGGCCTTGCGGGCGAGGTCACGAGCCTTGGTCTTGTCTCCAAGACCGTCGATGGTTTCGGGACGAGGACCGATGAAGGCGATACCGGCTTCCTCCACCTTCTTGGCGAAAGCGGGGTTCTCCGAGAGGAAACCGTAACCAGGGTGGATCATGTCCACCTTGTGCTCAAGAGCGATGCGGACAATGTCGTCGATGGCCAGGTAGGCCGAGACGGGCTTGAGGCCGGCACCGACTTGGTAAGCCTCATCGGCCTTGTATCGGTGGGCACTCATCCTGTCCTCGAACGAGTAGAGAGCGACGGTGGTCATGGCGAGCTCGTGAGCAGTACGGAAGATTCGGATGGCGATTTCACCACGGTTGGCAACCATGAGCTTCTTCAATGGGCCGGTCGCCTCGCCGGTCATGCTGCTGCGGATGCGCTGGATGGTGGGGAAGAGGTGGCCAGTCCTCTCGCCAGGAGTGCCGGGCTGGCTCTCAAAGGTGTCGACGAAGGTGCTCCTAGGAGCGCCCTCGGGGGCCTGTGCGGTCTCGGGCTGGACAGGAGCAGGCATCTTGGCTGAAGGTCAGTGATGCCTGAGTGAGATGTTGTGATGTATGGATTCGCTCGACTCGCCCCGAGTTCAAGGGAAACCTGTACAAATGAAGGGGTGAAGAAAGACGCTTTGGAGCGAGTATGGACACGCTCTCGATGTCACCTGCTAGTCTCGATCTGATCAAGAGAGGAGACAGGACGACGCGAAGCCGAGAGGGGATCTTTGATCACGAGGAAGGAGGGAAGGTGAAAAGATCAAGGGACCGAAGCGAAGGATGAAGGAGGAGTGCGGGGTCCTGATGATGGTGAGACGGAAGAAGGAGTGATTGACAATATTGAGACGAAGGAGGTGCCAAGCTGTAATCACGAGCAAGATAGCGAGGATGCGAGAGACTGGCAGGCAAGCCTCAAGCAGCGCGAACAAGCGAGCGACGCAGACGAACGGCTTTTTCCGATTTCAGAGCACAGATCAAGCACATCGGAGCCAGGCCGACGCAGTCTCTCTCAACCTTTCGGGTTTCCCGCTGAAAAATGACACACATCTACCAAGCCACTTTGCTCAGCTTGAGTGATCTGAGCAGCACACAAGGATGCAGGCTGCACCGATCGGAAGCCAAAGGCGAGGAGGAGAGTTGCAGATAAGAAAGGGGGACGGTTGGACAGGGTCCTGATGCGATACCGATCCAACCCAATTCTGGTTGACTCTGTCTACGCTCGATGAGAAGGAAGCGAGCGTCTTTCAGCTGCTTGTGTGGTGCCTGCCTGCTCTCCGGTGCACGGACGGCTTTTTGAAAATCAAGTCTTCTCGGCTGAAAAAGCGGTAAAGCCGTGGCCTGATACGACCGCGACAAAATCGGCAGCAGATCAGTCTCTTCTCCTTTTCTTGTCTTTTCCTGGCAGGTTGACTCGACCATGTTTGCCTTGCGTTGGCTGAACTGGCCATGTCCGCGTGGGCTCGACATACAGGACAGACACCCAAGTTTTGCCCTTTTGTCGGTCCGTTTGCTCCTCCCTTGGACCGATCTTGCAGAGCCGGCCACTGATGCGAAGTGATGAGTCGGTTGCTTCGAAAGGCCCGAGCTCGAGTTGAGTAGGCAACGCAGTCGACGATTGACAAGGCCAGACGTGAGAAAACAACAAGCTGGCTGAATGCAGCGTCTGTCCGTCTTGCAGAGCTGCGCTCTAGGCTTCAATAGATTCGTTATCTGAGATCGGGCCAACACCAGCGATCTCGACTTGTCGTCATGGCAACACAAGGAACTGAAAAGGACGAGCAGCAAGGGAAGAAAAAGATCTTCGCCGTTTATCGATCAGCTCCCCCACGCATGAACAGATGACGTTCACAGACAGCTCGGTCAAATCTGCGAGATCTTCTCATCTCCAAACGCCGAGTCCATCGAGCTCTAATTTTTTGTTTTGTCTTGACTGCAGCTTGATTGGTCGACGAGTCGGTCATATCGTTGGCTCATGCAGGTGTTTGCTTGTGCTGGACCAACGGACGGCATCCATCTGCACCGGTCCGAGACAGGAGGATGTTTGGTCTCTTGTCTCTCGGCCAAATAATCGGTGGTATGGTCAAAGCTCTTCGAACAGCGCAGACGACAAGGACGTAAGCGGACTCGTTGGCCCGGCTGATCAAGGAGATCATATTTCTTATCAGTGACGCACATGAGCGGAAGGAGCTTGCTTGCCGAGGGTATGAGGCGCTATCAAGCGGTACAGAAGATCGAAAGTAATCGACCCCGCGAAAAATCATACATGTAAGATCGACATCTCTTCACTCGTTCGAATTATCGGCCCAGCATGAGGCGTCTATGATCATCATGGAGTCTCCGCCAAGCTGAATAGAGGTCAGCAAGTCAGGAAGGGGGCACGACGATGGCAGGAGAGCTCACATCGATGGAGACAAGCGACGCTGAGATGTCAAATAGTGCAAGGGAGGACACGCTGCAGGTCCCTGCTCCACCATTCCAGTCAGCGGAGGAGGCAACGCTGCATGGTCCCCCGCACTGCAAAGATCGACAGCACCCAGTTTCTGCAGATCATCGGTTTTAGTGGTCGCTTGTTCTACGATGCCAGTTCGAGCTTCCGAGGTTAGGCGGTAGCGGTATTCGGCTGAGACAGTAGGAGTGCGGAGCGGCAGCAGCCCATGAAAGAGGGCGCGTGCATCCGATTTCTTCCGGTCATGCACCCCGCGCCCGGCCATTGCTGAACCGCTCGGGCGCTTAGGGATGTCGTTCTCTTTCACAACTCTCAACGCTCATGTTGCGGCGGCTCAGAAGCGGTATCCTCGTCCGGCTCATTTGCTCGCCATCTGTTGCTCACGTGTTGTTGCCCGTATGTTGGGATCTCCGTTGCTCGCTTCAACACAACCTTCGAAAAGTGCGCATAGAGCCCCTTGTGGTTCTTTTCGGTCAAAGCCGGCCCCTCGTGAGAGCCGACTGGCATCGAGGCCTTTCTCACCGAGATCGGGCTCCCTTGACGCCAACTTTGCCGATCCGACGCCGAGAGATCCTATGAAAACCGAATTGATTGAGATTGAGCATGCCCATGATACTGTCCTGCTTGTATACGTCTAGTTGCGGCCGACAAACTGGTAGACGATGCGACGAACAAGACCCGAGAGGTGTTCCGGATTCTGAGCGTAGGTGCCCATCACCAGCGACATACCCGCCGAGGTGAGCAACAGGTCGCCGCCGGGCACGAACGGAACATATGACTTCTGCCTGAGCACCGACCAGGCACTTTCCATACCCTTGGGCAGCACGTAGGCAGCAAGCTCGGCTCGGCGCCTCGAGTCGTCGACAAACAGCGACAGACACGTGGTGAAGCCGGCGAACCACTTGAGCCACGAGCTGATGAGCATCTGCTTGAACCACGTCGGCACGTTCTTGTTGAGCGACTCCCTTCGCTGGATAAACTGGTACAGCGAGTGCTGCGCGCAGAACTGCGTCTGGAAGATGATGACGAACACACCCAGGAACGACGACGAGCGGAACGAGCCACGGAGCGAACGGATCGTGGCGCCGAGTGGGTCCTTTAGGAACTTGCCTGGTCGCAAGAAGATCGCTGGGACAAAGTGAAGCGTCAGGTAGACGGGCAGGATCCAGCGAGTCACCTCCATGAATCGATCGATGGGACTGCGCCAGTGACTCGTCTCCCATGGGTGGACGAGTGAGCAATCGATGATGTCGCCCGGGTTGCCTTTGCGTGTCGAATCCATCCACTCGACAATCTTGCGCACGTTCTTGCCCTTGATACCGCGGCGGTTGAAGGCGTTGGGTGCCACGTCAGGGTAGCGGAGCGGACTCGTCGAGATAGGCTCAGGGACCTTGCCACCAGGGAACCACTTCTGCAGGACAAAGTCAGCATCGGCTTTGCCTTCGTGTCGGATCTCCCGGTAGACGTCGGTCACACGAGGCGCGACCTGAGAAGCGTTGGTGATCCATCGCCTGTAGCCTTTATCGAGCGACTCGGGCGCCTCGAGCCATGCCCACATGATCTGACCACATGCAAGACCGAAGGTGATGACAGCGCCGTAGGGAATGTTGATCAGGCCTCGCTCGTGAGCGACGTTGTACTGGCCCTCCAAGCCCCGCACAAACAGCTGCTGGGCCAATGAGATGCGGTTGTCGGCCGTCTCCACCAAGACAGCCAAGGCCGAGATGGCACCGGCGACGTACGCGTGCCAGATCTTGGAGCGCGGGTCTGGCATGAAGGCGCGCTGCTTCTGCTTGGCCTTGACTTTGGCTTTCTCCTCATCCGACTTGCCTTCCAAGGCGGCTCGGCCTGAACGAGGTGTAGATGTTCCGCTGCGGTTCTCGTCTGGCGAAGTGTTGCCATCTCCCTTTTCGATGGTGAACATGGCGGAGGAGGAACGCGATCGCGGCTTCTTGACTGGCGGCGGTGTCAGCAAGCGCAGTGAGTTGTGCACCGCCTTGTAGAGCGACGCCCAAATGGCGAACAAGGCTGCGAAGCGGAAGTTGCGCGGTCCGAAAAGGGCAATGCCGAACGAGTTCTTGTTGAACTTTCGGGTACGCAGCGACTTGACGAGCTCGAGCACAAACATGAGCGTGGCCCTCAGCGCAAAGGCTAGATTACCAGCTCGGAGACCGCCTCTGATCACATGGACGACCAGCCGCTCCCAATCGCTTGGCATACGAGCCACCTCGTCTTGCGGTCGCCATACCTTGCTGACGGCCGACTTTCGGATTTCGCTTCGCGGCGTGTGCGCAAGGTCTTGCAGGCCAGAGATGCTGAGGTTGCGTCGTAGCTGTGCAGCGGTTTCGGAGATGTTAGGCGTCGTGGGTCCTGAGTTGGCTCTGAAGCGCGCGTACTCGTCGTCTGAGTCCTCTCCAGAATCATCCTGGTCTCGATTGACCTTGGTCATCTTCGGCAAACGGAGGGCGGGCGCGTTGCGACGCAGCGACGTTTCTCCTCCATCGAGGGTGGAAGCCGCCTTCTCGGTTAGGTCGCTGTCGCCAGCTGAGGGGTTCATCGCAGGCATTGTGCACAGCGCTGAATTGCCTTGAGCTCGATCCTGAAGCTCTGGGCCTGTAGACGTTCTTGGGACGACAAGGCGTGTCTGTCTATCGAACCGCACGAGGATGGATCGTTGATGTGTAGCTTGTCTACCCTGCTCGCGAACAAGATGACGCGGGAGCTTGACCGACCGCTGCCGAAGATGGATGGAGGTAGCGAAATGATGGTGATGACGGCAGAGGGAGAACGGGTTGCGCAGCTTCTCCTCCGTACCCCTCGCGGTCTGCCGCTTCAAAGTGTGGAGTGAAACGACTTTTTTGAATTGTCCTTCTGACGTGCATGCGCTCTCGGCGGCAACTTTTACCGCTCCCCTAGCCTGATGGGTAGCCGGATGAGCCCGCTGTTCGTCTCATTGCGCTCAGCTGCCTTGCAATGACTTACCCCGTGCGCTCCACCTTGAGGCAATACCAACCCCGCTCTCGTCGAGTCTCGCTTGGCGTCTCTGACCGAAAATCCCACGCGTCATGACCTCGAGTTTCACGCAGCGCACCCTGTTTCAGGTTCGCGAGCTGCAGGCCACCCAAACTTTGGACACTTTCAAAAGTAGCGTCTGATCTCAAAGCAAGGGGTCACACTCCGACAATAAGTGCTGGCCCTGATCATCGGAGACGATCCGCCCCTTTGTCACCTAGGATGCTGCTTCTCCGCTCCGGGCGGGAAAGGCTCGACAGCAAAATGAGCCTCGTACAGGCAGATGACTTCTTGGCGGTACAGGCACGCCGAGAGCGCAGAATGGGGTACCTGGCTCGTGTAACGACACACGACAGCCTTCGCTCCAGCTCCTTTCCGCACCTGTGATGCTCCTATCCCCTTTGCCTGCAGCATCCAACGCCAAGGAGGTATTGAGGACACCAACTCTATGAGCGGCCGGGTGTAGGCGATGACAAGCCGGCAAAGCAACGAGCTCAATTTCCCCACAAAACAGAGACAGCCGTCGGTTGTGAATCCCTCGTGAAATTCGACGAGATCCAGCTCCTGCCTCAAATCTCGCAGCTCGGACGGTACCCTAGTCATGCTTACATAATCAGATCACTCGAAAAGAAAGGGAGGAGAAGGCCCCTAGAAGAAACCTTCTCCAGTTCCAAGATTCAGGCAAGCCTCCCCCCATAGGAGAGAGGCGGGAGGGCGTCGGCGGTAGGTCAAATTGGGTGGCCGTGCAAGCCCACCGACTCCCTCTCTCCAGCCCCCATGCTTGAGCGAGAGTGGAAATGCCAAGGTCTGTGGAACGGCGAGAGATGTAGTCCGAAGTCGAGTGCGATGCGCAGAGAGAAAGAGACAAGGGACGACGCGGAAGAGGTCAGCAATCTGTTGCTGCAGTACGAGGCAGAGGTGTTGCAATCGGACCATGGCTCGTGCGGCACAGCTTTGAGAACGATATCCGGTCCCTCGCATCGCCGAAGTGATGTTGCGACATGGCGAACGATCAGGCAAGCGTTGTCGCAGTGTGCCGTAGAGCCATGGTTGCTGCGAACACCTTGTTAGGGGGCAGGATAGAGTAAACTTACAAGTATGAGGTTCAGAACGAAGGACCCTGGATCTGTTTGGACTATATACTCTCGCCTTCACGACCGCCTGGCTTGCGCAGCTGTCAAATGGACTACAGTACCATTTCCAGAGCGACGCACTGGCGCGTGCTTTTTCTTCATTCTTGTCACAGAATTCGACTTTGAAGGGTCGTCGCGAGCAAAAAGGCATGTGCTTGCTCGCCAACGCTTTACATCGGCGGATCATCGTGAACGTGTAGGCGGAACGCAGCTCAGGGTCTCAATATGGACCATGCATTCTTCAGTCGGCGAGACACACAGCAAGGTCAAAGAAGTGAGATGATGCCATTGCATTCGCTGGAAATGCCGCGCGATCAGGATCGAACGACGGATGTCTATCTGCATCGCCCTGACCATCTCTTAAGCAGAGGCAGCCCTACCTGAGCAGCCGGACGCTTCGAGCGTCGGTGTCCAAGACGGGGTCCTCGACTCCGAGATGGCGGAAGAAGAGAAGGAAAGGGTGCCAAAAATTGCCAGGCCGTCATGGTGACAGCAAGGACGTGCAATATAGGTAATTTGCAATCAGCAATAAGCTTCTCCTCGGTAAAGACCTCACTGGATGAAGCGCCTGCCTCACTGATGGATGCGCGGGATCGTTGCATACGAGGAGCGGTGCGAGTATCGAGGACGGGGTGAAGTGTGGGAAACATTGAACGAGTAGACGGAAAAGGGGGAAAGCAAGCAAGAGATTTTGGTCAGTAGCTGTCATCAATGTCGGAAGGAGGTGCGGATCTGAATTCGCTCAGACCAGCGCCTGTCTGCTGCTATGATCTCGATAGACCCGATGGTAGGGATGGTCTGAGGAGCCAAAATCTAGGGGCCACGTCGATACTCACGAAGATGGATGAGGAGCAGGAGGAAGATGGGCCGCCGACGGAATCGAATATAACGCGTGTCGCAGCTCTCGACTCAGCCATCACGAATCTGCGTTCGCGTGGAGGCGGCCCGTGCCGTGAATCGGGCGATCAGAGATGTGTTGTTAGACCTCGCCTAATATCGAGTTCAGAAGAGTGCAAGATTGATATCTGGTCGCGATTCGAAAAATTCCCACGCTCTGAGTCCTTCGAGTCCGCTTGAGGTGAAAAATACCTGCGCCAAAGCTGCAGCACGTGATGATGAATATTGAGGATTGGCTTGAAGCCAACACTAAGCAAGCCCAGAGAAGGCAGCAGATGGCAGTCTCGAGCTCAGAACAAGATTCGAGGCAGCGTACCAGTTCAAGCTCGAATCGACAGTTCAACTGCTGCGAGTCGTCGTGCTGCTGCCAGTTGGAGGTCGCGGCCTGAGTGTGAGTGTGAGCGGCACAGTCTTCTGCTGCCTTTCCTTCACGCTTCTCGTCACCATCAAGACTATCTTTACATATCGCCCAACATGTCTCTCGTACCCCCCGACCCGTCGCAGAACTTCGCTTTCATCTTGCGGTAAGCATCCGACATCAGACAACAGCAACGGACCAAAGCAGCCTCGATGATCAGCATAGATACGATGAACCAGGAAGGCAAACAGCAGGCAAAGCGACCACGCGCCTGTATCGACAGATGATCGCCAGCATCACCGACCGCACCTCGGCTTGCGATAGCAGCAGAAGATATCTGCACCGACACTCCTGCATCACAATCGACAATCACAGAGGAGATGGACAGATTCTGGGTTTGAACAGAGGCATTCTAGCGAATAATTTAGCCTATCAATCTGGAAGGATGGACGGCTATGCGGCAGATGCTTTGTTACGGTTGCCTCAACTCGAGACGCAATGGAGGAGGTTCTCACTTTAAGGGACGCAGCGACGCCGCGGTGGACCTCAAGGGCAAGCGGTCGTGGTTCGCCTCGATACGGCCAGTGCACTGCATAGCATTCCACAGAGGATGAAGACTGTAGTCGGCTTCCAGGCTCGGTGTTCCATGGTGGAAGCCAAGGTTCGAACCAGTCAGGCAGAGTTGGCCCAAACCACGGCGGTCCTGTCCACGCCGCTCCACAGCACCCTTTTCCAGTATCGCCGTCCTTTTCAGCATCGCCTCCTCGCGCCGGAGTGCTGCACTCGACACGATCCCGACTCGAGCTCCTGCGAGTCTTTTGCCTCAACCATCTACCATCTATGCTGATCCATCATCGAGCTGCTCGGCGTTCCATCGCATCCACTTCGCTCGCCGAACCGCATACTGATCTCTACCTTGCTTTTCGTTGCCCTTCGCTCCATAGTCTGCTCAACACCAACGTTGACGGCAAGATCAAGGTCCAGTACGCCCTGACCCAGATCAAGGGTGTCGGCCGCCGATACGCCAACATTGTTTGCAAGAAGGCCGATATCGACCTTGGCAAGCGTGCCGGTGAGCTCAACTCGGACGAGCTCGAGCGCATTGTCACCATCCTGCAGAACCCTGCCGAGTTCAAGATCCCCGCTTGGTTCCTCAACAGGCAGCGCGACATTGTTGACGGCAAGAGCAGCCAGCTCCTGTCGAACAACATCGACTCGAAGCTGCGTGATGACCTCGAGCGCTTGAAGAAGATCAAGGCGCACCGTGGTATCCGTCACTACCTCGGCCTGCGTGTCCGTGGTCAGCACACCAAGACCACTGGTCGTCGCGGCCGCACTGTCGCCAACAAGAAGAAGTAAACGTCTCGACGTCGTTTTCTCGCTTCTTTCTTGGTACCTTGCAGCATTCCTTCCAGTCCTCTTGTCCGTTCCCGTCCATCATCAAATGGTGTTGTAACATTTCAGTCTTTCACCCATCTCCCTTCCGTCGAGCAGTGGGGGCTGCTCGATAGGATCTACATAGTTTCATCATGGTTCACAAAAGCATTGTCGGTGCTCCCTCCGTTGATGCTGCTGTGATCCTTCATCTCCCCTACCCAAAATCTAAAGTGATTGGCCTCGTGCCAGGATATCGAAACGCTGCTCCGTGATCTTGTGCGACCTCTCGTGATTGATATCAATATGAAGACCGCTGCATCAGATGCCAACTGAAACGATTCGCACCCGAACAGGTAAAACTATCTTGCGACACCGCGGCAAGCTGCACGGTCTGGCGATCACTATGTCCCTTTGCCATCGTCGAACATGAAAAGGCACGCTGATCGGTTCAACGTCAGCTCAGACCACGGCCCCTGCCATGACCGGCTTTTAAGCGTATCACCGCTTCCGCCTCTCGCCGGGAGTGTGTCTTTCATTCTACAGAAGAGACAGATGGCAAGTAGGGTCTCTGGGTCATTGCGAAACCTGCTCATTATTTTGAGCCTTCTGCTTATTCACGAAAAAAGGCGGCTTGGCAGCGCAGTGCTTCGTTACGCAAGCTTTGCCGAAATCAAGAAGAAATCTCGTCAACGCAGCCAAGAGAACGGACTTCTGCGCTGAATCAGAAGAACTATTTTGGCACAGCAGAGCAGTCTCGAAAAAAACACGGCAGCAGCGCAGACACAGATAGCGCAGCTGGAAGATAGGCAATTTGATTTGACGGGCGGGCTTCTTCGGCGTCACACATATTTGCCTTGATTCGGTCCAGGATTCGTCCGCAGTCACCGGTCATCAAACACTCCCGACCTTCCCTCATCCCTCCCTACACCATCAGCATCGGCTGGAACGCTTTCAAGGCATCCGAACACAGGTCGAACTCGCTTGCCGATCAGCAAGGCAATTCCCTCCCACGCAACCTCATTTGGGCGACTCGTGGACTTTGCGCAAGTGGGCTCGCCACGCACATCGACCGATCACATCCTCGTGCTACCCTCCAAAGATCTCTCTCGGATCACCATCTTGATCGGCAACCACGTCGCATCTCCTCGAAAGCAGAGCCATAAGGTCGCATCGCAGCGGCACCAGGACCAATCCGCCACAGATTGACACAGTCGTCTTCTCACGACAGCCTCGCTCGGGTTGCAAAGTTCCATCAGCGACAGCGCAGCAATCACCATCGCCCAACAGCATCGCACATTCAGGTAGCGCTGGTAGTCTAGACTCGGCCTCCGTGTCATCCTCTTCCGTCCGCAACTTCCCCCGATAGGACATCAAAACCAACTCACATCGCCATGAGCGACCGAGCGGTACCAGCCGAGGAGGAGCTCGATTACGAGGGACTGGGTGACAATGTCCCACTGCACATCAACATGATTGCGGGCTCACTGGCAGGTATCAGCGAGCACGCCGCCATGTACCCTGTCGACGTCATCCGCACACGAATGCAGGTCCTCTCTGCGACACCTGCCGCCACCTACACGGGCGTGATACAAGCCTTCAACCGCATCAGCAGCGTCGAAGGAATGCGCACATTGTGGCGCGGCGTGGCGAGTGTCATCATGGGTGCGGGTCCAGCACACGCGGTCTACTTTGGCACCTACGAGACGGTGAAGGAGGCGACGGGAGGGAATCGCGAGGGGCATCAGTTTGCAAGCACAGCGTTCGCCGGTGCATCCGCCACCATCGCCGCAGACGCTTTCATGAACCCATTCGACGTGATCAAGCAGCGCATGCAGATGCACGGCTCGCAACATCGCACCGTCATGCAGTGCGCCTCGTCCGTCTACAAGCAGGAGGGCCTGCGTGCGTTCTATGTCTCGTACCCAACTACGTTGACGATGACGGTGCCCTTCACGGCGGTGCAGTTTTCGGTGTACGAGTGGGCGAAGAAAGTGCTCAACCCGTCGGAAAGCTACTCGCCAATGACGCACGTTTCAGCAGGTGCCTTCTCGGGAGCCGTGGCAGCTGCAGTGACCAACCCGCTCGATGTGGCCAAGACGCTCTTGCAAACTAGGGGCAGCAGTACGGATGCGCAGATTAGGAACGCATCGGGCATGTTCGAGGCATTCAAGATCATTCATGCGCGAGAAGGATGGAAGGGCTTCGCACGAGGTCTCTCGCCAAGGGTGTTGACGTTCATGCCGTCGAACGCGCTCTGCTGGTTGTCGTACGAAGGCTTCCGCTTCTTCCTCAACGAGCAGTCCAAGGCGTCGGTCTGACCGCAGCATGAACGCTCGTTCCACATTCGAAACTCATAGATGCATTCCCGCCTCCCATCGGTCACCTATACCTGACTCGATCTCCGGCTCACACAGGGAATATCAGCGGAGGAGTCCCCTCCCTTTCACCTACCCACCTCAATTACTTCATGCTGATACCGCGCACAATCGCAACCATGTACCTTTCTTCTCAGCCCAAAATGCAACACGCTTCAGTCATCGACACAGTCGTCCTTGCAAAGCATTGATCGGACAGGAATCGACTGAATGAGTGAATGAGTAAAAGTACAAATGCGATGCGAAGCCGCCGAACTGGGAAGTGGTCCGACTCAACGACGACCAGAAGACCGCCCAAGATACTGATTGCCCAAATTGGATATCGCATCGACGACAAAAGTGCCTCTTGGCCAAGGTATCGATCCTCCTCCCGTTCCCGGTATGGACAAACCTGCTGTGCTCAGTCCTGCGCCTCCCACACTTATCCCGCCTGCGCTCTGGGCCAAGCTAGCCTTCCTCGCTTTCGCCGTGGCCTGTGCAGCCGCAACGATCTCGTTGATGTTCGTCTCGACCACCAGACCGCCCTGAATAACCTCGTTGAGTATAGCGTGCACCTCGTCGAAGTGAAAGATGAGGTCGAGCTCGCAGACGTTTTCGAAGCATCGATCGAGGCTCTCAACGAAGACCTGGATGAGGTCGAGGATGCCTAGCTCGCTCTCGCTCGCGTCGACGACGAAGACGAAGTAGAGTGTGGCGTAGTGTCGATAGATTACGCGGAGCTGGTCTTCTGCCTTTGTACGGACATCAGACTTCTCGATAGAGGCGTTGAGCGAGGAGGAGAAGCGCACCGCGTCTGGAGGCGGAGGCAGCAGGGCCGTCAGCTCCGTGGCATCGAGAAAGTTGCAGACGCCATCCGGGCGCTTCGATACAAGGCGGAAGATCTCTTTGATCAATGCTTGCTGCCGCGATGCTGGGAGCTGCGTGTAGAACTTGGTGAGGCGCGGCTTGCCGTGGTTGTTGACGATGAGGGCGGCTCGTATTGTCATGTTTGCGACCGATGTGGGGAGTTCGAGATGTGATATGAGGCAGCGCAATGCTGCAGATCGATTTCAACTGAGCCAGATCTGGTCGCCCAGCAGTAATATCACTGTGTGCTCAGAGGAGAGTGCACTCGCTTGATGTGCCCCCTCGGATGTCTGTCCGAACAGATGCGGCCCAGCCGAATTTCGCGCTCTCGGTGTGTCCGAAGGTCTTGTGTTCCTGCTGACGTGCTCAGATCAACCGCTGATCTCTTCGGGTGTGTTCCGTGGGATGATACGGAGCCTCCTGACTTGTGATGGTGTCGTAGTCGTAGGTGATTCGTCAAAGGACAAGGTGAAGAGAGGTGCTTGCTGCGTCGAACCCTGAATTCGCGAAAAGTGGAGCCACGGGCCCCGAACCTGCTCGCTGGTCTGTGTGCTGCGCTCTATCTCTTCCGGCTGCAGTCTAGAACGTCCATCCAATTAGGCACCTTTTCTTCCTGTATCAGCCCGTGCCTGATTGTACTCGACGGTCTTCCTCTCTCATCACCTCCATCATCCACACAAGCCCTCGACCAGCTCAAGTAGCTTCTCAGGGAATCGATCGCCAAGATGGGTTTCCGCAGCGGCTTCGTCATTTCATCCACGTCCTTCCTGTTCGGCATCATCTTCATTGCCTCGATCTACGACTTCCCGCTTCTCTACTTCTCCGACCTCACTGACGGATCTATCGAAGCTGCGGAGCGCTTTTACCTCTCGCTCTTCAATGCGCCGCTCGCAGTCACTGCGTTGCTGCACGGTATGATGGGGCTGGGCATCATTGGCCTGGTCGCCAAGCTGCATCGATGGAACGAGATCGCAAAGTACTTCGACGGCGGTTCGCTTGCTCTGTTCATGGGCGCTGTCTGCATGTACCTCGGTGTTGCCGTGCCCAACCTGCGACTCATCGCGGATCCCACAAACGAAAAGCTTGTGTGGAACTCGGCCATTGCTACGCAGCGACAGAGCCAGTTGGAGGCATACGAGAAGGGCACCAGCTCGTTCAAGCCAAGCGACGGACCCATGACCCACGACGAAAAAGTCAGCGCAATCAGGATCATCAGCGCTAGCAACACCATCTGCATCGTTCTCCTCAGTGGCGTGCTCATTCTGCAGGTCACTGAATGGTATCTGGAGCGACAGGAGGCCGCTGATGCCGAGAAGAGGCGGAGGCAGCAGGCCAAGGAGCTGGCTGAGGCGAAGAAGGCCAAGTAGACCCAGGCTTCTTGTCTTCTAGAATGCCTGTGAGCACCACTCCCCGGAAGCTGCGCCCCCGCACATGCGCCTTCTCTCGACCTCGACCCCGTCTCATGTGGCGACCAGTCGCGCACCTCTCAGGTGCAGTTCTGTAACCGCCTCACTCACCAGGGACGGTGAGATGAACCATTATACAAAGCTGTACTCATAGCGTCTATTAATTTGCACACGGCCATCACTTCAGGATCTTACGGACCGTCTGCAATTTGTGCTCGTGAACTGCTTCTCACACGTTGACTTCAGCGAGATAGGAGAGCGAAAGGGAATCTGGTTGATGGAACACTTGTCAAGGCGGACCCTGAGTGGGTCACGTTTTCTGTGGAACTACGAACAACAACGTCTTCTTCTACTGACACTGACCGCCTCAAGCGTACAGGTCATCGTCTCCGGCGTCATCGTTGCCGAACGCCGCACCGCCACCGCTGCCACCAGCGCCGCCTGCACCACCAGTCTGACCAGGGTTCTGACCCTCAGGGAAGCGGAATGAGGAACCAAACGATCGTGCTGACTGGAGGTTCTGTGCGAAGAGCTCGTAGCGGCGAATGTCGCCGTCCGAGACGGACCTGCGAGCGAAGCGCATCGCCTCCTCGAAGTGGGCACGCGTGATTTCGGGGACCGGGTCATCCTCCTCCTCGGCGGCGACGCCCGCGGCATCCTCCTCCATCTTGACCTCGCCGTCGGCGTTGGCCTCCTTTGCGGCGATGCGTTCGCGCTCGCGCTTGATATCGGCCTCGATCGACTCGCGAATGGCCAGCTTGGCGGCACGCTGACAGATCTCGGCAAGATCGGCACCAGAGAAGCCGTGTGTGTGCTTGGCCAAGAAGTTGAGGTCAACGTCCTCGGCAATAGGCGACTTCTTGAGCGTCGCCTTGAGAATCGACAGACGCGAGGGCTCGTCGGGCAGAGGAATGTAGATGAGCTGGTCAAGACGACCAGGACGCAGGATCGCAGGGTCGATCTGGTCAGGTCGGTTGGTAGCACCGATAATGAAGACGTTCTTGCGCGAGCTGACACCGTCCATCTCGGTCAGGATCTGGTTAATGACACGGTCACCTGCTCCTCCACCGTCGCCGGATGAACCACCTCGCGCCTTGGCGATAGCGTCCAGCTCGTCGAAGAACATCACACAGGGCGCAGCAGCACGCGCCTTGTCGAAGACGTCTCGCACGTTGGCTTCCGACTCACCGAACCACATGGTGAGCAGCTCGGGACCCTTGATCGAGATGAAGTTAGCCTGGCACTCGTTGGCGATGGCCTTGGCGAGCAACGTCTTACCGGTACCAGGAGGACCGTAGAACAGAACGCCCTTGGAAGGCGCCATACCGTACTTGAGGAACTTTTCGGGGTGCTCGACGGGGTACGAGACGGTCTCCTGCAGCTCCTGCTTGACCTTGTCGAGACCTCCGATGTCCTTCCAGGTGGTGGTGGGCACCTCGACCACAGTCTCGCGGAGGGCCGAAGGGTTGGAGATGCCAAGAGCGAATCGGAAGTTCTCCATGGTAACACCAAGCGAGTCGAGCACCTCGGCGTCGATGGTGTCCTCGTCAAGGTCGATGAGATCCATCTTCTCTCGGATCTGCTGCATGGCAGCCTCGGAGCAGAGAGCAGCCACATCGGAACCGACGTAACCGTGAGTCTCGGCAGCGATCTGCTCGAGATCAACGTCATCGGCGAGCTTCATGTTCTTGGTGTGGATGCGCAAGATCTCGAGTCGGCCAGTAGGGTCGGGAATGCCAATGTCGACTTCACGGTCGAATCGGCCGAATCGTCGGAGGGCAGGGTCGATGGAGTTGGGTCGGTTGGTGGCAGCCATGACGACAATGTTGGAGCGGGCCTTGAGACCGTCCATGAGGGTGAGAAGCTGCGACACGACACGTCGCTCGACCTCACCGTTGGTCTTGTCACGCTTGGGCGCGATACTGTCGATCTCGTCGATGAAGATAATGGCAGGGCTGTTCTTCTCGGCCTCCTCGAAGGCTTTGCGCAGGTTCGACTCGGATTCACCAGCCATCTTGGACATGATCTCGGGACCGTTGATGAGGAAGAAGAAGGCGCCGGTCTCGTTGGCGACAGCTCGAGCCATGAGCGTCTTACCGGTACCAGGAGGTCCGAACATGAGCACACCACGGGGAGGCTTAATACCAATCGACTTGAACAGCTGTGGGTGTCGCAGGGGCAGCTCGACCATCTCGCGGATCTGAGCCATCTGCTTGCGGCAACCACCAATGTCGTCGTAGCCGACATCGGCAAGGTTGGCCTCCTCGTCCTCGCGCTTCACAGGCTCACCCTCGGTATGAATGACCGTATCTTGTGCGACAATGCAGAACTCGGCGGGGTCGGTCTCGATGACCTTGAACTCGACGGCGCGCATGCCTCCTCGGACGGTGAACGTGTCGCCCTTACGCACAGGCCCTGCCGAGCCGGGAACAGAAAGAAGTGTCAGTCAATGATCGGGAAAGCAGAAAGAGGGGTTCGGAGAAGGCTCGTACTGTAACTCTCGAGGAAATATGGTTTGAGGTAGACGTCGAAGATGTTTCCGGTAAGACCCTCGACGCTGTCATCGAAGGGCAAGACGTGGATGCGCTTGCCGTACTTGATGTCGTGACAAGCGTGAACCGAGATGAGATCGCCGAGCTTGACGCGGAGGTTGTTACGAGCAACCTTGTTGAGGCGGATCTTGCTGTCCTCGGTGTTCTCGTCGGTCAAGCAAATGAGGACTGTGGCAGGAACGATGCAATAAGTCAGTAGGACATTCGCCGCTGTGATCGAATGAGCATCTCATGGCCTCACCAGTATCACGACGCTTCTTGCCACGGAGCAAAATCGTGTCCCCGCGAAAGAGGCCAAGCTCTTCCATCTTGCCAGGACTCAAACATGCGACCGAGTTGTCGTCGGTGGTGGACTCCTCTACGAAGAGACGGTTGGGTGATTTCTTCTGACGAAGGATGGCGGTGGCGACCTCATCCTTGTCGTCGGCCGGGGCAGGCTTGGGCAGCTTGACCTCGGGAGCATTCGAAGCAGTGGGGTCGGACATGATGACTGCGGGTGAAGGTGAGGATGGTGGTGGAGGAAGTAAGAGGTGGTGAGCAGCTCAACTTTGATACAGCCACACGCTTAGCTGCGCAGCGCTCAGCCAGGGTCCGCCTGTGGGCACGCGCGTCAGTCGATCACCGCGGTCCAGCTCAGCTGGCTCGAGCGGCTGCACAGCGTCTTTTTGCTGGAAAATGTGGAGGACAAAATCATACCTTGTGACAATGGCGGTGTAACATGCTCATTTTGCTTTGGTCAACGTCACAAGCGGTTTCGCAGCTTGCAGAAGGCCCTTTCGCTATCAGGGACTGAGCAGCTGTGGCCGGGCTGATGCGTGCGTGGCGTGCAATGACTGAGCTTGAGGCTGGACGTCGAAGCGGGACCCGCACAAAGCATTTGGCTTGGCCCGCATTGAGCGTTTGGCGGGCCGCCCAAACTTGAGAAGCAGGCCCACACAAATTTGGAAAGCATGCGCTGCGTGTTGATAGGCCGTCTCTTGCGGGCCACTAAGACCATCCGCGGCCGCGCTCGAAGCTCCAAGTGCTTCGCGACATGGTTATTCTTCGCCTTGGGGTGTCTTCGGTGGCCATCTCCCCGGGTGGACGCCATCGAGCCACGGCCTGAAGCCCGTCTCGGCGCTTTTTAGTGGCCTTTGTCAATAGCATGTCTGTGGAGCCGACCAACTCAATGCTCGATCTTGCATAGCAAGCCACCGTGCGAGACGGGGCCAAACCCGGACGCTCAATTTTCTGTGATGGTGCTGCGGCGTGGCTCAACCTTGAGGCTGACATCGTAGCAGGGCCCGCGAGAACCATTTGGCAGAGCCCGAGTAGACCATTCTGCGATTTGGCGGGGCCTGCATTAAGCGTTTGGCGGGGCCACACGAACTCGAAATGCGGGCGCACACAGACTTGAAGCTCAAAGGCTGTATGTTGACAGCTCGACCGTCGACGGACTGTTATAGCTGCTCGCGAATGATTCTGAGGTACACTTTCGACAGCTGCCTTTGCCTGCTGTGCCGCGTCAGGTGCCTCGATGGCGATGAGCTTCCTTTCCAATAAATGGTGTGTGTGTCTGTGTGTGTCTGTGTGTGTCTGTGTGTGTCTGTGTGTTTGTGTGTCTGTGTGTCTGTGTGCGTTGCCACGTAGCTCAAGTGTTGAGCTTGCGTCATTGGCGGGCTCGTATCGAGCGTTTGCCAGGGCCACACAAGACCTAAACGCAGACGCTGCAACTTCGATCTACCAATGCTGCGGACGATCGCAGCCATTGGCAAGAGCTGCGAACAGCCGCCCACCCTCTTCAGTCTCCTCACTTTCGAGCTTCAGGTCCGCTTCGTTGTCCAGTGCCACGCTCGTCATTTTCGCCTCGATGGCCAGCAGTCGGCTAGTAGAGCGCAAGCTACTGCCACCGTCAAGCTCGAACGTCGTACACCATGTTGTCCGATGCAAGCTGCCGCTCATAGTCCTCTTCGTAACAGTCAGCACGGGGGAGTTTCATTTTGTGACGTGAGTTGTTGCGGCGCGGGATGTGCCTGAGATTGTTCTGATCGTCCAGCCTCTTCTCTCGAACAAATGGGGAGGAGGCGATTGTCTGGAGGGACGACATCAAGCAACACCGAGCCACTGGCGAATACGACCCCTACTTTGAGGACTATTCCCTCATCTATTCTAGTCTGTCGCCTCTTCAGCCCAGCGCGCTTAGCCTCGCTGTCCTCGAATGCCTTCCGAGCCTCTGCCTCCTCCTCGCTGTCCAGCTCCGGGTCCGGTTCGTTCTCCCTCGCCATGCCCATTTCGTGACCTCGTTTGATGCGCACTCCTTCGGCGATCTTGGCCGGCAGATGCCCAGAAGATCGCAGATTGGGACTGCCGAGGATGAGAGCGGGACACACTGTGTCGCAGATTGCGGCCTCTCGACTGCGACCAGCCTCGGGAGTCATCTGTGCCCGCACATGCCTCATCATGTGCCTTCGCCCTGGCTTGAAACACTCGGAGAGGTAGGATTATGCTCTGCACAGCAGAACTTCCAAGCTTCAAGAGACCATCATCGCACCAAAGTTCATCACACACTCTCTGGGCATTTCTGATTGCGCAAATTCTGCTGCATAGAACGTGCGACGAGTGATGCGTGGTATTGCGGATCATGCTATGCTGACAGAACCGATGCAGGCATGAGATTGCTTTTCGGAGGGTATTACTTCGACTCGGAAGCGGCCTTCTTTGCCTTCTCCTTGGCAGCCTCCTTTTGCGCCTTCTCGTAGATCCAGTCGTTGAGGCCTCGTCGGCAACGAGCAATCTCGTATACGTAAAATTGAAGCCGCGTGACTGCAATACGTCGTAAAGGGAAATGGAGTCAGCAGCAATTCCTTCAGAGCGAGCTTTTGCAAGCTGCTGACAGTGCCGAAAGCGCGGAGAGGATACCTACCGAAAGTGGTGTTGAACTGAGTGTATTCGTCGGAAGCGTCGGTTCGGATCAATGTGCCAAAGTTGAAGTCGGCGACTGTGGGCAGCGAGCATGCGGAAGGGATGTCAGAGCATGTTGTTGAAGTCAGCGTCCGGTCAGCAGGCTGAGCTCATTGGCTTGCGGTTCGACCACGATGGAGGGTAGCTGGGTGACCCGCTCCCTGACCTCGAAGCATGCATCCTGAAATCTGTTTCGAAGACTTACCCTTGTTCTCGTACTTGTTGATGAAGGTTCTCCACTTCTCCTTGCCAGCAGGGCTCTTCATGGCCTCTTCATCGATCTTGACCACCGACTTGGGGTCGGTCGACTCTGCGAATTCCGGAAAGCTGGTCTGGAAGTCCTCGTACATCTCGTCATCGAGCCTGTTGAGCGGAGTGTGTATCGTCGGAGGCAGAGGTGGGGGGAGTTAGTGCTTGATTCAGCAGCGTCAAAGCGAGCGGTACAGTCTGCAGGAATCCTAGCCGAAGCTATTGCAATGCTCACTTGGTCAGGCGAAGAGTCGAGGGCTTGATCTTCTCCAAGAGGTTCCAGTAGGTCTGCGCATGCTCGACGCAGCGCACGGCCATCTGCTTCTCGATCTCGGGCAGGTTTTGCGCCTTGTTGGCGTCGAATGCTCCGGCTGACATGGTGTTACGAGTGACCAATGGCTTTCGCAGGGTATGGAAAGGGTGATGATGGTGAGAGGGAAGTGTGTGGATCAAGGCAGCTGAGGTCGAAAAATAAAGCTCGAGAAGGTGCGTGCAGAGCTGAGCTGTCACTTTGCAGGTTTGCGGCTTCGCCGAGAAAAAGTTGAGCTGTTAGAGCTTACTTTTTCTCTGAATGTTAAGACTAAGCCTCGGTCTGCTAATTTGAAATTTATGCGCCCTCGAAGCTGGCTGTTTTCGGCGCGTGTTCTGGCTCCTTGATCGAGACCTCGGCGAGGTGTTGAGACCCACAAGCACGCGATAAGCATGCTGGAATCCACTCAGACACACCATCGCCGCGCTACATCCTAAGAATCAGCGAGACGCTTTGTGCATGGTCCAGTTGACATCAGGAATCTTCTCGTCTGTGTCTCTTCGATGATGGTGTCGCCGCTCTTGGTGACGTTGCGAACAATGGTTTGAAGGACCCTCGCTGTCTCGCATGGAGCAGGCCCTTCCCGTTTCCTGCACGCTCTTCAACTCCGACGCGATTTTTGACCTTGCAGACCGAAGCGTCTTTGCCGTGCACCTGGGCAGCTTCCGACTCCCCGAGATAGTTCGATCTTTTAATGTGTTGGACTCCTTCTTCTCAATCAGCTCAACTTCGGAACCTTCCTCTCCGTCACCATCATCTGATCGATCACCGCGCTGAGCATTCCATTCAGAGGGCCCTCAACCTCCTCTCGCTCCTTCGCCAACATGTCTTCAGGCAACCGGTCCTTTTTTGCTCCTCAAGAGACACGTGTTGATCTCCCGTCTGCGTCCAACACACAAACACCAAGTGGCACCCGCCCAGCAAGTCCTTCCGAGAATGATCGCGCCCCCTTCCTCGAATCGGGTCCCAGCGACCGACGCGAAGACCCACGATTGGGCGCTAAAGCTGTCGCCGAGAAGCCCGCCGTCGGTATCGCAGCGTTGGCTCCTATCCTCAGCTACTGCGCCGCCAGTATCACCATGACCGTCGTCAACAAGTTCACCGTCTCCGGCGCCGGCTTCAACATGAACTTGCTCGTCCTCCTCATCCAGTCTACCGTTGGTTGCGTTTGCGTCGTTGTCGCGGAGCGCGCTGGCCTTATCCAGCTTCGAGGTCTCAACAAACGCGATGCGTGGAACTGGATGCCGCTCAGCACCATGCTCGTCTTTGTCATCTGGACCGGAAGCAAAGCGCTTCAGCATCTCAACATCGCCGTGTACACCATCTTCAAGAACCTCACCATCATTCTCATCGCCTACGGAGAGGTCGTCTGGTTCGGAGGTCGTGTTACTCGCGTCATTCTCTCCAGCTTCCTGCTCATGGTGCTCTCATCCGTTATCGCTGCGTGGGGCGACATCTCGAAAGTCTTTGACATTCCCAGCTTCCCTCACACCCCTGACTCGATGTTTGGCTCCTCGTACAACAAGCCCGCCGGTCGTGCTCTCACCGAGAGGGCGTACAGCAGCACGTCGTTGCCAAGCCAGGGTCTCATGTCGAGCGGCTACCTCTGGATGGCGTTCAACTGTCTCTGCAGCGCTGCCTACGTCCTGCTCATGCGCATCCGCATCAAGACCACCGGCTTCAAGGACTGGGACACCATGTTCTACAACAACTTCCTCAGCATCCCCGTCTTGCTCATCATGTCGTTCCTCGTCGAGGACTGGTCCGCCGCCAACCTGCACAAGAACTTCCCGGACGACAAGCAGACCAGCCTCATCTCGGCCGTCATCTTCTCCGGCACCTGCGCTATCATGATCAGCTACACCACCGCCTGGTGCATCCGTGCCACCTCGAGTACCACCTACAGTATGGTTGGCGCGCTCAACAAGCTGCCTGTTGCGCTCAGCGGCATGGTATTCTTCCACGACCCACCTGTCACCTTCTCGAGCGTCAGCGCCATCATGGTCGGCTTCTTTGCCGGTCTCGTGTATGCGTTTGGTAAGAACAAGCAGGCTGAGGCCGCCAAGCTCGCCGCTGGCTCGTCGGCGAATGGCAGCTCTCAGTTGGCTGGATCCAAGACCGACGCATTGCCGATGCACAACCTCAACGAGAGGAAAGATTGAGAGTCTACTCACGCATCCCCATAGAAATCTCGCAGCTCTCTGGAAGCCTTGCGCGTCCCAGTTCGATTGTCTATACATCTCTCACGCAGACCGATAGCGGAATGAAAACATGCACCAGTTGCTAGCGCTAGTCTGATGTGCAAACGCTGAGCTACCTCTCGTAGGCAGTTTTATACGCAAGGCAAGATGAAGTGGCGATCAAACATTTTGCATGAAGATGTTAGACTGTAGGTAGCTGGGAGAGGGTTGGCTCCAAATTACTGCAGGTACAGAGGCCCGTCGGCGAAATGTTTGCCGAGCTTGCGGGGAAGACCGTTCCTCGCGCACCTCTCGCCGGCCAAGCCTTTTGTGGGAGAGAACAATGGCTCGGCCGTCAACGCTCGCCACTTCCTTCCTTCTTAAGGGTCCTGGGTCCCTGCAAACATCTGTCTCCCCCTAACTCCTTCCCCATCCCTCCAGTAGACAAGAGCAACGATGACGGCAACACAACGTATCACATCGCGAGCACTCGGAGCGGCGAGGAGCCTGTCTGGTACCTCTGCCCCTGCTCGTCGATTCATGTCCTCTTCTGCTCGTCGACAAAACAGTTCGTCCGCTCAAGGCGCCCAAACATCCGCATCAAGCGCTTCAAACACGAGGAATCTTGGTCTCGGTCTGCTCGCACTCGGCCTCGGCGCCAACGCGTACCACCTGTCGCAGCAATCCAGCGCCAAGGGAAACAAGATCAGCCTCGACGGTCCCACCGACCTGCCCGGCTCGGAAGGTTACCCCTTCGCCGAGCCGCGCCTCCCCTTCTCCTACGGCAGCAAGCAGGATTTCGAAGCTGCGATCGAGGAGCTCAAGTCCTACTTCACGTCTCAGGGCGAGGACTGGGACGACCATGTGACGACCGACGAGGACGAGCTGGAGCGCCGTGGTCTCGACGAGAACGGACACCGCAGCTCGTCCGAGGGCACCAAGCCGTCCGTTGCTGTCTACGTACGCGACACGCCCAACGTGCAGGCCGTCATTCGCATTGCGAACAAGTACCGCATGCCCATCGTGCCCTTCTCGGGCGGAACGAGTCTCGAGGGTCACTACGTCGCCCCCTTCGCAGGCATCTCGATCGACATGTCCCGCATGGACAAGGTGCTCGCGTTCCACCCTGAGGACGGCGATGTTGTCGTTCAGGCGGGTATCGGGTGGGAGAACGTCAACCACTACTGTGACAAGAACGGCGGACAGCTCTTCTTCCCGCTCGACCCTGGACCGGGCGCGACGATCGGTGGTATGATCGGCACCGGCTGCTCGGGCACCAACGCCGTTCGCTACGGTACCGCCCGAGGCGAGCACTTCCTCGACATGAAGGTCGTCCTTGCCAACGGCGAAGTCATCTCGACCCGTGGTGGTGGTCGTGCGCGCAAGTCTTCCGCTGGCTTCGACATTGGCAAGATCATCGTTGGCGCCGAGGGCACCCTCGGCATCGTCACGGAGGTCACCCTGCGTCTTGCCCCCAGGATGCCTGCTGACGCCGTGGCCGTTGCCAGTTTCCCGAATGTGGAAGCGGCCTCGCAGACGGTCAACGAGGTGCTCCTCTCCGGCATCCCCGTCCAGTGCATCGAGCTGTTGGACTACAAGATGATCCAGACCATCAACAAGTCCAACCTGTGTGGGCGGACGTATGACGAGAAGGACTCGCTCTTCTTCAAGCTCTCGGGAGGCGAGGCCGCGGTCGCGGAAGCCAAAGAGGCCATCACTCGCGCATCGGTCAAGTTCGGTGCGAAGAAAGAGAGTGTCGAGTTTGAAACGGACAAGGTGAAGGCGGGAAAGATCTGGGAGGGACGCAAAGCGGCGCTGTGGGCTGTGGCATCGACCAACGAGGCACCTGGCGTCAAGGTGTGGACGACCGACGTGTGCGTTCCCATCTCGGCCCTTCCGCGTCTCGTCCGCGAGTCCCAGGAGGATTTCCAGAAATCCGGTCTTACCGAGACCGCCATCGTAGGCCACGCCGGCGACGGAAACTTCCACGCCCTCATCCCCTTCAACGCCGAAGACCCCGAACAGACCAAGATCACTACCGATGTGGTCGGTAGGCTCTGCGAACGCGCCCAGAAACTCCAGGGCACCTGCACGGGCGAACACGGCGTGGGAATGGGCAAGATCGAGTACCTTGAAAAGGAGTTGCCCGCAGGAACGGTGAGGGTCATGAAGGCCATCAAGTTGGCCTTGGATCCGAAGAATCTGTTGAACCCCGGCAAGCTGTACCCCACGCCGGACTTCACCCCTGTTCATTAGTGTACTCGTAGTCAGAATCGTAGCCGTTCCGAGTGACGATCGTGTCGGAATCAGAGTGTGTGTGAGGAACGAGAAACTGTACTGCATGTTGAACGAGAAGACAAGTTGGCTACAAGAAGAAAGCGTTGAGCTGTGACTGGAGAAGACTGGGACGGGAAGGGAAGCGGACAAGGGAAAGACAGAAAGTTGGGGAAAAGGTATGAATGCGAGCGCGCGCTCTAGTGGTGGAAGAGACGGAGGTTGGTCCTGACGACGACAATGTTGTACTTGTTGGCGGTCGCCACACAGGCATCATCCATGACCGATCCGCCAGGCGCAACGATGAAGCTGGTACCACTCCTCTTGGCGCGGTGCACGTTGTCGGGGAAGGGGAAGAAGGCGTCGCTGGCGCATACAACGCCCGAAAGCTTGTTGGCGTGCTCCTTGCGCTCCTCTGCGCTGAGCGCGGCGGGGACTTCGTCGAAAATGGCCTCCCACTCCGCCTTCTCCTCCGCGGACAGGTTCTCGGTGCCCTCGACGAACAGATCGATGGCGTTCGACTTTTCCGGTCGCTTGGTGCCCTTCTTGAACGGCAAGCCGAGTACGCGCGGGTGCTGGCGCAGCCAGAAGTTGTCCGTCTTGCTGCCTGCCAACCTTGTGCAGTGGATGCGCGACTGCTGGCCTGCACCTAGACCGATCACCTGGCCGTTCTTGGCGTAGCACACCGAGTTGCTCTGCGTGTACTTGAGTGCCAGCGTCGCCACCATGAGGTCGAGCTGGGTGCCGTCGGGAACGGTCTTGTTCTCGGAGACAACGTTGGTGAAGAGGTCCTTGGTGATCTTGACGTCGTTGCGGCGCTGCTGCAGCTGAACGCCATAGACGGTGCGGGTCTCGACGTCGGATGGCTGGAACTGGGGGTCGATTTGGAGCACGCAGTACTTGCCGCCCTTCTTCTTCTGGAGGATTTCGAGCGCTTCGGGCTCGTACGAGGGAGCAATGACACCGTCGCTCACCTCGCGCGAGATGATCTTGGCGGTCTGCACGTCGACGGGGTGGGAGAGACCGATAAAATCACCGAAAGACGACATGCGGTCGGCACCACGAGCGCGGGCGTAGGCGGTGGCGAGACCAGAGAGCGGTCCGAGGTCGTCGACGAAGAAGGCCTTGGCCTCGACATCGCTGAGGGGAACGCCGACGGCGGCACCGGCGGGCGAGACGTGCTTGAAGCTGGCAGCGGCAGGCAGACCGGTGGCCTCGGCGAGCTCACGGACGAGCGCCCAGGCGTTGAGCGAGTCGAGGAAGTTGATGTAGCCAGGCGAGCCGCAGAGCGCCTTGACGGGCATCTCGCCGGCAGTGACAAAAGCCTGGGCGGGCTTCTGGTGAGGGTTGGCACCGTATCGGAGCGGGAGCTGCTGAACGACATCGGTGGACTTGGAGGCGAGACCGGCGTACTGCTGGCGATAGTAGTTGCTGATGGCCTCGTCATAGTGGGCGGTCTGAGAGAAGGCCTTGACAGCGAGGACGTTGCGGTTGGCCTTGGCAGCCTCGGCATCCTTCGAGCCGTAGTTGTCGAGGAACTTGGTGTAGTCCTTGGGGTCCGAGAGCACCCAGACGCGCTCGTGGTTCTTGGCGGCAGCGCGGAGAAGCGTGACACCACCGATGTCGACCTCCTCGGTGGCCTGAGCGATGGAGGGCTTAGACTCCTTGGCGATCGTCTCCTCGAAGGGGTACAGGTTGCAGACGACGATGTCGATGGGCTCGATGCTCTGCTTCTTGAGGTCCTCTACATCAGAGGACTTGCCGGTCTGGGCGAGGATACCGCCGTGGACAGCAGGGTGCAGTGTCTTGACGCGGCCGCCGAGCATTTCGGGCGCTTTGGTGATGTCGGACACATCACCGATGGGGAGACCTGCCTCGCGGACGAGCTTGGCGGTGCCGCCCGAGCCGAGCAGACGCACGCCGAGGCTGTGGAGGCCCTTGGCAAGGTCGAGCAGGCCCGTCTTGTCGTAGACCGAGAGGATGGCGATGGGTTGAGAAGCAGACATGATCGGCAATTCCTCTGCGAGTGTGTGGAAGGTGTGATGGATGGCGTGAGAAGACTGCGTCACGAAGCGGAATGCTTCCGATGTCACCCACACACAAGTCCGTGCGGCTGCGCAGGAGCAAGCGGACAACTTTTTTTCTCGTTGGCCTGCTGCAATCACTTTCTTCTTGATTTTAACTCGGCGGGCTCAGGGACCATGAAAAAAGGTTGGAGACGCCCAATCACGGACCGCAAATTTTGACGCGAGATGCAGCCCGACGCTCCCCACGCTCAGAACAAGCTTTTTGTGCTCGCAGAAGGGGCCCGATAATGCCAAGATCGCTAGCATCGGGCGGTGACCTGCTCTGCCCGATATGCATTTTCGTGGCCGGTATTTTGCCTCGTTCTTTCTAGTTTCGAAGAAGACCTTCGTGGCTGAAGCATGCTTCTAGGCGACATAACGAAGCAATCGACCGAGCTTCGATGTATCGAGCGATGAACAGGAACCGTCTCTGACCAGGGAGCTGGTTCACCCATCGTGAATGGAGGTCGGCAACAAGCGATGCTGCGTTCATAAAGGTGTCCGTGATGGCCTGCCCAGTTGACTCGACGAGGCTTACAGGCGATCAGCCCCAAGACACTATCGGCGATAACACGACCGACTGCCTACGGATCGTGCGATAAGAGCGGTTCACACGTGGAAGATGTCACCTTTTCACGACGCAGAGATGGGCCGGACGGAACGAGACGTCAAGAGGAGAAACGCCGTTTCAGGAAGAAATTTTGAGGGTGTGTCTCAGTGAGAGCTCTTCTCGTGTGAGACCCTGGCCTTCGCTTGGCAGGGTCTCTGGTTTGCCCCGCTCAAGATGGCGAACAAGATGGCCGCTAACTTATCACGGGAAGCCAACGTGGGAACCAAGCGAACGCCGTCGAGGTCTCCCGTCCGGCGACATTTCTTTCAGAAGCCCGTTCGAGTGTGAGGCAGTCGCACCAAAGGTGATCCCAGTCGCGCACTCCAGCCAGACGAGCACCATCGAGCGAATTAGAAGCGAGATGCAATCTGATGGTGGTGTCTGGATCGAGATGCGGTCGCTCTCAACCGCCCTGATCGCAAGAGAGTACACCAATCACGAGCACGGAGCATCGTCAGCCGTCTGACACGACAGGAACGCTCGTCCGTTCTTGGTCGTCGAGCTCATGCCATCAGCGAAGCATCCGTAGAAGCAGAGATGTTGAAAGGCCGCATGCCGGCGACTTTGACGAGGAGTATCGACGGGAGCGCCATGGACGGCGTCGAAATTTCGTCTGAGTTGGAGGCTGGTGGAACACAATGCTGCACGCCCTTGTCTGATCGAGCGAGGGCCTGCAGCTCGCCTATCTGGCTGACCACACGGCTGGATGTTGAGTCGCAGCAGCCAACGGCAGAGCTGATGTTGCCTGCCCATCTCTGAATGCGGGAACGGCACGAGGCCGAGAAGATGATTTGAAGAAGAATTTCAATTTGAATTCGATTTGGGCTGGAAAATGGTATTGGATTCGGGAGGCGAACGTGGAGCCGCCGCTGGCCGACCGCCTGGCCCGCCGTCTCGTGCTCGACCGCTGGCCGGTTGCCGTTGTCACGCAACGCGTGCTTTTGCGCCTTGTTTGTGTTGTGATCTGCCAAAAATGCCCTTCGCAGATCACACCGGTCTGCTCTTGAAAAAAACAGAGCTCGGTTGCAGCCCGCTCGCATGATGATCTGCGTCGCTTGCGCAGAGAGCTTTCTGTTTCTGCGCCGCCTGCGCCGCTTTGGCCTCTCGACGCAGCAATGGGGATGGCAGATTGTTCTCTCACCGAGGCCGTGCCCGGCATCCCTACGACCCCGACCCAGCCAACATCTCCGAGGCTGCTGCACTGTCCTAGTGTGTACAGCTACAACATGTGACGATGTATTGTCGATCCATGCAGCTGCCGTGACCATGCCGAAAAGCGTCTTCTGAGAGCCCCTGAAGGCAGCTTGCGTGTAGCGGGAAAGGAGCGATCATGACAAAGAGCTGCGGGAGGAAGGGACAGCCGTGGAAGAGAACGTTCTGCCTTCTCTTCGCCTGTGCTTTTGTGCCCATTGTTTGTCCGTCTCTCGCTTGTCCCTGGCCGTGTGCCCGCCCTCCGTGCGCTGAGCTGCGCAAAGCATTATCGACCCTCTTCTGCGCAGAAGTCGCTCCCACGCTCGAGCACCCCTGATAGTCCTCGCTTTCCCGTCTACTGCCGGCGGCCTGAGCGCAGACACCATGCATAGCCTCGCTGCGCTGATCCGCTGCGCAAAGGTCAAAGAGTTTTCTTGACTTCATCTGGTGGGCGCTCTGCATCGCGCAATCCATGAAAGGGCTTTGACAAGCGGGACTTGTGAACAAACACAAGCCCTTTCTCGTTAGATACGCCGCCGGTCAACGAAGCGAGTGCGCAAGACCGCTTTCGTGGCGAAGAAGCTGTGATTCAGGAAGAAGATTCGAGGTCTCAGCGCAAAAGTGAGACATTTCCCCTTCTGCGGTCTCTGCCATCTGCTCCCTCCTCCCTCTGCTCACCGCTCTTTCGGATCCTCCGTCCTGCCCTGTGTTATCACTCCGCTCACGTCTGTACCCTCTTTTGCGCTCATCACACTTGCCCCTTCTTCAACCATCACCACCCCAGTTTTCGCATCCCCTCCTCTAGCCTTGCGCAGTTCAGCGATCTTCTCTCCACTCACTCTCCACTTTCCCCCCTGTCAGTCAGCGCTCATTGAAGTCTGGTACCTCCTGTGCGCTCGCCTTCCGAATCACCCGCTGCATCACATTCATTTCACGCCCCCTGTCGACAAACGCACAATCCTATTTGAAGGACAATCCACATCATCTGTACGACGCTCCTGTCCTCCCACCACCACCCGTCTACTCTCTCGACATCCTCGCCCAATCTCAGCACGATGAAGTTCACCACCGCCGTCCTGACGCTCCTCTCGGCCGCCGTCGCTGTCTCCGCCGCGGCCATCGACACCAACGAGTCTGGTCTTTCGGTCCTTGGCGAGCGCTCGTTCGAGCGCAAGGCGCGCCACGTCGAGATGGCTGCTCGCTCTACCAGCACCGACGAGGAGAACGAGAAGCGCGATTTCGTTGCCAAGAACGGCAAGGTCACCTGGTACGGTGGCGGTCAGCTCAACAACCCCGCTTGCGGCGGCCCCACCCCCAACGACAACTCCTACATTGCCGCCGTTAAGAAGAACGGCGGCTACGGCAGCTGTGGTGACACCGTCCACCTCCACTACAACGGCAAGATGGTGTCGGTCAAGATCGTCGACTACTGCGAATCGTGCGAGTGGGGACACTTCGATATTACCCGAGGGTCCTTCAGGAAGCTGGCCAACCTCAACCAGGGTGTCCTCAACAACGTTCACTTCAAGCTTATCAACAAGAAGTAAAGCGCCGATCGGCCAAGCGAAGCGGCAGCCCGCTCGCAAGCTCCATCTCGCAACAAGCATCCTTCCTCCCGGTCTAGCATTGGATCTCTTCCTCCTCTCACGTCACCGAACCCCTTCTCACATCTACCGAGCGCTTGCGCCCGCCTTTCGTTTCTCTTCATCCCCCGTTGTATATCCACGCGCGCGCGCCGGTCTGTCACCGGCTGCATCGCTGCGCCCCACGTTCTCCCGGGGAGAACGTCTTTTGTCTCTTTGCCTCGTGTAATCCAGAACTGGTTTTCGATAGCTCATGGTGTCTGTCTGTGGTCGTGGACCTTCATAAGTTCGAAGCTCGGTGTGTCGTTACAGGTGTCCATGTGAGCTCAGGTCTCAGCTAGCGCCACTTAAGTCTTGTGGGAATGTGCAGGGAAATGGATTGCTTTTCAAGAAAATGGCATGCGTATGACATCTCGAACGCCTCTCAGCACAAGAATCTCCGTGATTGTTGCCAATGTGAGACAACGACACTAGGGGCGTGTGAGGGCCGCATCGTCTTCTTGCGTGGGAGCAAGGTAGAGTTTCTGCTCAGATTGCCTCTCTTCGTGGTCTTCCACATCTTCCATCGGAATGTACAGACAATTGAGGATCGGATACGGTTGGACGAGTTTGCGTACGGTAGCAAACGGATCGATACGGCCGCGATTGGATCGACGGTGAATGCCCCAGTGGATGATTTGTCGACGGAGCCGATAAGAGAAGGGGTGAGCGAAGCCGGCTGGGGCCGGGAGGAGCAGTTGTCGGATGTCTGCTTCGAGAGCGGTGTCCGAGGAAGGAGGTGCTGCATTCCGAGACGTAGAGCTGCGAAGTTGGCGAAGGGGTGAGTCGTTGGTGCTGGTGTTGGCGGGTTCAGTGGCTTGGCTAGGACCAGCGCCGAAGACCTGGTTGTTTGGCAAATAGGGACGGATCGCCGTATGAACCTGCCGAGCTACCTCCGCGTAACTGTCTTCTCTGGCGGGGCCGGCCTCCATGTTGAGCATGGTCAGGACAGCATAGATCTCGGCGTTGATTGGATGATGACGTGGTGGGCGGCCAGCAGCCAGGTAGTGGGTGGGGCGGAAAAGCTCGAAGGACCAATCTCCATCGATAGTGGTGATGTTCGCGTCCTGACTAGTCTGAAGACGATCGGCCTGGCGGTCGAGTTTGATTGGAACCAGAGAGACGGCGGAGGAGGTGACACCCCATTGGTGTGCGCGTTGTATCATGTACTTCCACTCCTGCGAGGTCCATTGGTTGAAGCCATCCGTAGAGTTGTCGAAGACCTCCTCTTCAGCGATCAGGCGGTGAGCGTACGCCTCTCGGACGGGCAGCCTTCCTTGTCGAACTTTCGCAGCGTGGGTAGAATGGTACCATGATTCCGGCTGAACGGCGGCGTTGACAATCTTTGGGTTGAGGTTGCTCTGCCGTTTGAGCTCAATGGTGAGCACCGACTTGTCCGTAGTGTCAGTCCACCCCTCAGCGTGCTCGTATCGGGTGGTCGCGATGATCTCAAGATCCGGTTGCGTGGCACCGAAGGACTTGTTAAGTTCCTTGGTGATGGTTTTGATGGCCTCGTCGCTGAGTGTGGAAGAGGGGACCGAGTCTGCGTTGGCGCGACCCCGGTTGAGCACTCGGCCAACCTGAGCGGGGGTCATGGCTGGAGGTTTCCAGCTGCCAGGTTGCTGGACTCCGGATTGGAAGGAGAACCGTTCGACGTCCTTAAAAAGACGGATCAGCGGGTGATCACGTCGGGCAGCGTCAAGGTTGGGTCGCTGCGCCATGGATCGGATCGCCTCCAGGATATGCATGGTGCCCGCGAGGCTGTGGATGACGGTGAGGTCGTGTACTCCGGCCTCGTTGCTGATGCGGCGGTCGACGAACTCGGGATAGGGGTAGAGTGGCAGAATACGAGCGTCGCCGAGGTACTGATGAATCAGCTTCAGTTTATCCTGAAGAATCTCCTTGATACCGTGGTCGACGATCAGTTCGCGTGGGGTGACGTGAATACCACCTTGGTTCGGGGTGAGCTTTGGGGGGTCAGGTGCGCGGTGGGTCTGGAAAGCATAAGGCTCGAGGCCTGCCCTAAGCATGTCGAGGTGCTGGAGGAGAGTGACGCCAGGGCCGAGGCGAGTCTGTAGGAGGGAGATCGGGACGGGTGGCAGGGGTTGCGACTGGTCCATTGTCGTCAGGAGAGAAGTGCTTGCGAACAGCGACGAGCATAGGAAGGAGATGAAAGAGCGGAAGGCGGTAGATATAAGGATGCCAGTTTCTGCGCAGTAGCGCACCTAAGGGCGAGAGAGTCGACCCTCGATCTGAAGAAAGAGAATGTGAGGCTTACAAAGCGGAAGAAAGTAGGTGCAAGGGCGAAGATGTGACTGATCGAAAGGACGAGGCGTGGTGGGGATGAAGTCGCCATGGTCTCCACGGAGAGAGCGTCCTTTGTCTTGTGTCATGCAGACTCTCTTTTCGTGAGCTCATGCATCTGTTCGTGCTCTCAGTTTGGTTTCAGTGTTTTCAGCGGGCGACCACTAGCTCGGTGCGCCGATGCGGGTCTTCGTGCGATCTCACGTCTAAGCCGCGCATTCAGGGCCTTGTGTGAATGCAAAAGCTGTATTGCTGTCGAAGAAATGTGTATGCGTGTGGTATGGAAGTCAATGCAGGATGGATGCGAGTATGATGTTATGCTGAGATGGGGGCAATGCAATGCTTTGTTGATGCTAAGGGTTGGTTAATCAGAAGCAGGTACTCGACTGATCATCGTCGTCAAAGTCGCTAGAGTGGATCGAGTTGCCGCAGTCGCAACGGTCGCGTTCGCCCTCTCGCTTTTCTCTCGGCGGCCGATCTGGATGGCGTCCGCTTCTACGTCCTTCGCGCTCGTGACCGTGGCCATGGCCGTGTCCGCGTTCGTGTTCGTGATCGTGGTGGTGGTGGCAATCGTCGCTGACGCTCGCATGATCGTGACACGTGTGCTCGCATCCCCGAGCCTTGCCACTGGCCTTCTTCCGCGCACCCACCGATCGACTCTTCTTCTCAACCAGCTTCTTGCGGTTGCGACATGCACGAAGCATCAGCGGCGGCGCACCGTAGTACAGCTCGTACTCGCAAAAGAGACAGATCCAGTCGGCGTCGGTGAACAGCGCAGAGGTGGTGCCGGGCGCTGGTGGAGCGTGGCCGTGCTTGCATGCGGCCGTGTGCTTGTGTGCGGGCGAGGCGGGTTTGTGCCGACCATTGGTCTTTTTGGTCGTGGATGCGGGCGACGGGGTTGGCCTGTGCACTGCCGACGAAGATGTTCTCCTGCCCTGCTGGGCCTTGTCTTGCGGTCGAGGCGCGATCGCAGCCGCTGATGGAACGGCCTCAGAAGTGTTGATCTGCGGCCGCTGCTCGCTAGTCACCCTACCAGGGACGTCCGGATGATGTTGGTGCTGTATCGTCTTTTGGATCGCCTGCGACGACGCCTTCTGCGTCTGCGGCAGGTACATCGACTCGCCGAGCGCCTTGACGATGCCGCGCGGGTCCTCGCACAGCGTCGTGTCCGAGAGCTCGCGCGTTGCAGCGTCGAGCTGGGCGCGCATTTCGCCAAGACGGATAGTGACGGCTGATGACATTCGGAAAGTAAAATCGGATGCTGGTGCGGGTTTGGACGGCGACGCAAGTGCGATCTTGGACGACGTGGCAGCGCTGATGCTGGAGAGGTTGCGTTCCATCCTGGGAGGCCCCACGACGGAACTAGACCTTGAGACCGCGGGACCTAGGTCCTTGGCTGGCGTCGGTGACGAGTTTCGGGTGGCGACGCGGGACGACGTCGTGCTATTTGGCGCGGGTGCCGGCTTGCTCTTCGCTGCTGCAGCCGAGCTGCTCGCGGGACCTCCGGCCGCAGCGGCAGCCCTTGCGCGAATCTCTGCGATCGTGAGGGGATTAGCAGACGCATTGCCGCCTCGAATGGCTTGGGCTCTCTTTCCAGCTTTCGAAGTGCGCTTGGGCGGGATCCTTTTCTCTACGGGGACGCCCGCTACTTGGGCATCCGCATGGGCTTTGGCTTGCTGATCGATGGCCTCTGCTCTCGCTCGCTGTTCTGCACTCACTCGCGCTACTTCCTGCGCCCTGTCGAGCTTGCGCTGCTGCAGGATGGGTGCCAGCCGGAGCCGCATGCGCTTGCGAATCGCATCTCTGTGCCTGTCACCGATGGTCTGCCTTGGTGGAGGACGCCAGACTGGATCCCGACGGAGGAAGGACGGCTCAAATGGTGCAGGAAGAACGCTTTTTGGCTTCTCGGTGGGACGTGAGGCTCGAGCAGTATTTTGGTGGACTGTGTTGGTTTTGTCGGCAAGTACCCGACCACGAGTGGCGCTCTCGGCGGGGACGCTGACGTAAGAAGCCAACGTGGCACTAGGGTTGGTGTCGAGAGGGGGCACCTGCACGCTCTTGTCGGGAGTTGCTGCGAGGAGGGACGTTGGGCTGTTGAAACGACTGCTCTTGCGCTTCTTCTTGTTGTTGCCAAGATGAGCCGAGTGACAGCCTTCAAAGTCGAGGTGGTCGCTCTCGTCACCGGAAGCGTTGTGCGAGTGGTCGTGAGAGCCAACGCTCTCGCCATCGTCCTGCGAGGAGCGGGCGGTGCCTTCCACGGCAGGCCGGCCTTTTGCTTTGCTTCTGGATGCTGAATTGCCGCGGCTACGTGGTTTGAAGAGGCCAGAGGCATCTCGACGCAGTGGCAAGGACAGCCGCTTGCACAGGGATAGCTCTTCGCTGTTTGCCTGTTGGCTGTACAGCAAGATGAATTGCGCGGCACGGTGACGGTGATTGTAGCCGTCGTCCGTCAAAATGACGGGCAGAGCAGGGAAGTTGAAGCTTGGAGGGCTGTTAGTGATGCGACTCTCGACGTCCTCTTGTTGAATCTGCGGCTGGGATGGTGCCGAGCTTTGTGATGTAAACGGACGTTGCGCTTTGGCTGAAACTTTGAGCTGCTGAAAGTACTGCGCCAGCGACTGTGAGGCGAGCGAATCGGACTGCATTTGCGGAATAGTAGGATGAGACGCCGAATGAGGTTGCGCTGGGACACTTGAGGAGGATGCACTATGGGCGGGAGGCGCCGGTCTGGCTGACGAGGCGGATGTGGGAGCGTTGGCGTCAGCCTTCCTTGGTACCCCTCGGATGAGGCGTCGACCTGCGCCTTGGGCCTGGCCGGGAGTGCTGACAAAGCTTGAGGCAAGCTGAGCATCGGTTCCAGCGCTGTTCGATGCGCTGTTGAGGAGATGGTACGAAGCCGATCGAGGGATGTCGTCGGAAGCAAAAGCGCTTTCATACGTCATGAAGCGGCGAAAGACTTCGGGAGTGAGATCGAACTGGGGCCATGCGGGCTTCAACATGCCGACCTCTCCATTTCGCTCTGGCGAGACCCCATTTTGCGGATCGAATGGACCGTTGCCGCGAGTCATCGAGGAGACGAGACCGACAGGCTCCTTTGAACGATTCGGCCAGGTGGCTTTGCCCCTGCAGGGAGTCCGTCGATGTAGAAGCCTCCTATGCTGAGCGGTTCATGTTATGTACGACGATTATGGTCCGAGAGTGTGCAAACCGGCCTGGAAAGCGTGGATCGTCGATGAGAAGTGCGGCTTGGATCTGAGGTGGACGAGCCTTGATGCGACAAGAAGGATCCGGTGAGGAGAGGTATGCCGAGATGCGATGCTATGCTGTGCCGTGCCGTGCGAACGAGATCAGAGATGATGAGAGACGGAACAAGGGTAGGTGCGAGGGTCGAGACGGGGTCAGATGGAGTGTGCGCATCGTCGATCCCTGGATTCGAGGCAAAGTGCAGCAGCCTTTGAAGAGCACATGCACTGCACAAGGCCGTCATGCGCTGTCGACACTTTTTTTCCGTTGCAGAGCCAGTCAAAAATTTAACCTTTCGGCCGGTCCAGCTGCCCGAGCTCGTTCCCTTTGTCTTGCTACAGACGAGACCCTGAGAGCGAACGCGAGCAAAGCAAGCAGCGAATCAGGTCAGATTGAAGTATGACGAGACCTGCGTCGCCGGTCGAGACCGCAAAGTCATCGCTTCGAGGTCATGATCGTTGTTGATAGTGTCGTCGATGTCAAGAAGAAAGTAGAGACAGGATCTTGAGATCCTAGAAATATTTCCCAGACATCGGCTAGATTGGCGAAAAAGGCCGAAAGCGCCGAACATCTTTCACGAACATCACATTTGGTAAGACGCTGCTGCCTGTCACGACACTAGATCACTGAAAGTAGGCCTGAGGCTCACCTGTGACATCGCTCAATCCCACGCAGCCTGCCATCAGTGCCGGCACGATTCCGAGGCTGTCAGCGACGAAGGAAGGGGAGTCGAGGCGTTCCCACGATTGACACTCAGCACGTCGGAGCACTCCGAGCTGGACCCTGAATCCGCAAAGAAAATCACCGTTCAGGTTACGCGAGATTTGGATCACGGCACTGCAGCTTTGCTTCCATGACCACTGCCTCAGACGCCGCCCCCATCTTTTCTACTATCACCCTCGTTCTCACCCTCGCTTCTGGGAACATGGTTCAGGGCCCTCTCTACAGTCACACAGGGCGCACATCATCATGACGGCACCGCGAGGGCTAGAGATAGAGGAGGAGCGTCGCCCTTTGATCCAAGCACGACCGGCAGCATCCCGTACTGCATACAACGCCATAGACGTGACTCTGGGGGAAGGCGACCGCAAGCTTGTCACGCGCGGCAAGGCCCGCTCCGCCTCCGGCAAAGCAGATGTCACGTCACGCAAAGGCGAGGCATCGTCAGATCTCGTCGTGAGGGTGCAAGCCGTATGCCCCAACATCCATTGTCCCTCCTGCATCTCACACCTTTCCCATCTCGTCTCGGACGTACACATCGATGCAGCATCTCGAACTCGCATCAGCAACATCAACACGTCCCTCATCGATCGCAGCGTCAACTTTGATCTCGTCATCTCTCTTGCCTATCACCGAGCCAACGCGAGAACGACCATCAACAGCAGCAGCAACGAAAGCAGGACTGTTTCGAGGCTGGCAACGCGGATCGTCAAGGAGATCGCCTCGTTTCTCGCTCAGGATGGCTTTCCTGTCGACCATTTGCGCTCCAAACTCGTATCTGTGGCGCCTTCACACCGCAAGTACAAAGATGCGCTGAACTTCGTCCTGGATGCGCCTGATGTTTACGATCATCACACCGCACATCAGTCTGCTTCCAGTCCCTCCCAGCACGACCGATTGGGCACAAGCTACGAAGCACCACAGCCCGCCTCCACTCTCGCCCACTTTTCTTCATCGCTCGGGTCCACTCTGCGCTCCGCCTTCTCTCGCTCCTACGCAGCCGACCAAGATCGAGCTCGACTGCAGTCAGATCGCTGGCGCAAGCATCTCCAGTATTGCCAGGCTTGTCGAGAAGGGTATGCGCATGGCATCGAAGAAGATGCGACGGCTAGCGTACGCAAGGATGACTCCATCCATGTAGAAGCGAGGGTGGTAGCGACGCTATCAATTAGCGGCATGACTTGTGCGTCGTGCGCGCAGTCCATCACGCAAGCCCTGAAAGCAGAGACCTCGATTTCGATCGATTCGGTCCAGGTCAATGTGATGTCCGCTTCGGCCACCGTGACGACACAGCCATCTGCCATAGACAAGGTCATCGAGACCATCGAGGACTGCGGTTTCGATGTGCAACTCGTCAAGACGGAACCCGCAAAGGGAAAAGCTACAACGAAGCCAGAAAAGGTAGACTCACATTGGTCCGCCAAGCTTTCAATCTCGGGGATGACATGTGCAAGCTGCGTGCAAAGCATCACCTCAGCTCTCGAATCGTTTGCTGACGAAACCAACCCGAAAGAGGTCGTCAAGATCCTGCAAACGTCTATCCATCTCATGGCCAAGTCGGCCGACATCAAGCTCGCGGCAAGCTCCACCGAGACCATCGGAAAGGCCGAGGTGGAGAAGCGACTTCAGGCTGTCGTCGGCGAGATGGAAGATATTGGCTTTGACGCCGAGCTGCTCAGCGTACAGCACGTCCCGGGCAACCAGTCATCTTCCGATGTCAATGCAGCGGATGGGTCCGGCGAGAACAAGGACTCGCAAAGATCAGTCCGAATCAAGATCGAGGGCATGTTCTGCCAGCACTGTGTTGACAAGGTGCGCAACTACCTCGATACCAAGCAGCGGGAACACGCCTCAGACATGGACATCGACGACGAGGATCTTGCCAACTTCAGCCTTGCCAACCCGTCCATCAGCTTCAGCTACACCTCCGGCGCAGGCTCGACCATCCGCTTGCGAGACGTGCTGGTCGGGATCAATCAGCTCGATCCGGCCTTCGAAGCCTGCTACGCGCCGCCAGCGTCACTTGCCTCTCGATCGGCCGTGTTGGCGCGCAAAGAGCTTCGAGATCTCTTGCTCCGCCTCAGCATCGCTGCGCTCTTTGCCGTTCCGACGCTCGTGATTTCCATGGTCGCGCCCCTGCTGCCGTTCGACCATACCCTGCGCCGCTATCTCTCCCGGTACGTGGTAGGCTCTGCCACCAAAGGCGAAGTGGCCATGTGGATCATCTCTACTCCGATTCAATTCGGCGTGGGATCCATCTTTTTCAAGAAAGCTTGGCGCAGTCTCTCGTCGGTCTGGAAGCGCGGGCGCTCTTGGACGGACCGCTTGCTGCGATTCGGCAACATGGACGTCCTCGTGGCCCTGGGCACGCTCGTCGCGTATACGTCCTCCTTGGCTTTCCTCCTCATCGACGCATGTCGCCCCCCGTCGGATGAGATGACGTTTCGGCCGCTCGAAATGCACACAAGCGACGACGAGGCATCGATGCAGGACGAGATGGGGATGACCTACTTCGAAGCATCTGTCTTTCTCGTATTCTTCATCCTGCTGGGACGAGCCCTCGAATCTATCAGCAAGAAAAAGACGGGTGACGCGGTGGCAGATCTGAGCAAGATGAAACCCTCCACCGCTTACCTCGTCCTTGACCCGACGAACCTGGCTCAGAGCAAGACCAAGGTGGTGGACGTGGATATGCTCGAGATCTCGGACTTTGTGCTGGTGCCGTGCGGTTCATCGCCGCCGCTGGACGGAACCTTTGCGGGCACGCCAGCGAGTACGCAAGACGCGCAGGCTTTGCTGGACGAGAGCAGTCTTTCTGGTGAAGCTCGGCCAGTCAGCAAGCTTGTAGGCGATCCTGTCTTTGCCGGCACCATCAACGTCTCTCCCACGGCAATCTTCGCGCGGGTCGGGGTGCTTCCGGGATCGTCTATGATCGATGACATCCTCGACGTCGTTCAAGAGTCTGCTGGTAAGAAAGCGAGCATTGCGCAGCTGGCAGACAAGATCACGGGCGTCTTCGTCCCAATCATCGTCTACATCTCGTTGGCCGTCTTCATCCTGTGGACGTTGCTGCTCTATTCAGGAGCGCTGTTCGAATCATGGCAAGCAAGGAATGTGCCTCATTACGGAGAGCCGGGGGCGAAGCTGTTGTGGGCCATGCAATTCGGCATCTCGTGCTTGCTGGTCGCGTGCCCGTGCGGGATCGGCCTTGCCGCTCCGACATCACAGCTGGCGGGCATCGGACTAGCTTCTAAGCACGGCATCTTGGTCAATGGAGGAGGGGAGGCTTTCCGAGCGGCAAGTGCAGCAGCACGGGGAAGCGCCGATCTGGTCGTTGTCTTTGACAAGACGGGTACAATTACAAAGGGCGAAGCAGTGAAGGTCACTTCGTCTCGATTCGCTCCTGCCTTTGAAAGGGCTTCCAACGAATCGGATCAGGCAAGCGGCATGACTCAGGAGACGCTGCTGCGCTGCGTTGATCTGGTCGAGCAGTCCAGTACGCATCCCTACGCAGGGGCTGTGCGCGGCTTTGTCGCCGAGCGGCTCAATCAGGAGACGCCGACGGCTGAAGAGCCTTCGCCTCTCCCGAAGCTCGTAGACGTGTCTGAAGTGGCTGGCAAGGGCATTCGAGCCACGTTCGATCACGAAGGCTCTACGTTCTTGCTGCTCGTGGGCAACAAGAGGCTCATGGACGAGATCCAGGGCGTTTCTTCGCGGATGGACGCCTCGCTCTGGAAAGCAGAGGAAGAGTGGGCAGCCGCTGCCAACAGTGTGGTCTACGTCGGCTACCGAGCAGCCCCAGATGCCGGACAGATCAGTCTTGCCCTCGCGATCAGCGACGTGATTCGCCCAGAAGCTGGCTGGGTGATCTCGCACCTGAAGCAGCGCTTCGGCGCAGAGATTTGGATGGTCAGCGGTGACAACGAGGCCACGGCGAAAGGTGTCGCCTCTCAGGTCGGCATCGACCCCTCTCACGTAGTAGCCGGAGTGCTTCCAGTGCAAAAGAAGGAGTGGGTGGAGCGGCTGCAGCTCCCCGCCACGCAGCGTGATGCCGAATCTGCATCTGCGCCTCCTTCCTCGAAACAGACCAGACCTTGGTGGCGAAGATCCTCCACCAAGCAGCGCATGGTCTGCTTCGTCGGCGACGGCATCAACGACTCGCCCGCGCTCTCGTCTGCTCAGCTCGGCATCGCCCTCGGCTCCGGCAGCTCGATCGCCCACTCGTCGTCCGACTTTATCCTCCTCCGTCGCACCTCGCCGCTGCTGTCGCTGCCTCTGCTGCTGAGCCTGTCCAACGCGACCTACCTCAAGATCTGGACCAACTTCGCGTGGGCGTTCGTGTTCAACCTCTGCCTGATCCCGATCGCTGCCGGTGCGCTGGTGGGTGTTGGCGTGCGGCTGGGACCGGCACTCAGTGGACTCGCCATGGCGTTTAGCAGTACGAGCGTTGTGCTCAACAGTCTGACGCTGCGGTGGTGGCGCCCGGAGAAGGTGGTTCGGCGGAAGATCGAGGAATGCGAGGCGGACGACGGTTGATCGCGAGCCAATTTGCAAACCAACTTCTGCGGTCAAACCTGTACACAGCCTGAGCCAGGCGTGATCGAAGCAAATGCATTCCAATACGAGACGTTGTCCATGCGAAAAACCACCGACCTATCTAGCGTGGCAACCCGCTGACCTGAGAGTATCCACTCCCCCCACCACCCACTCGTCCCTTCACCTGGCCAAACATGGCGCGCACGTGCGCCTTGGTCTTCTCCACGCCACCCAGCTTAAACACGCCCACGGCAGCAATCACCACGGCCAGGAGGAGGAGGAAGAAGTAGAATTCGCTGCCGCTGCTCTTGGTCTCCCTTTGCCCTTCCGAGCCGCTCGAAGAAGACGACGTGGGTTCGACCAGTGCGGGCGTCGGCGTGCTGCCAATCAGAGGTGGCGAGGCATACTCGTCCTTTGCCGGGGCCTATTCACACAAAAGGCAAAAGAAAAGATGTTTGCATTTTCAATACAGCTATTCTTTTGACAGCATGGAATGGAGAGGGTGGGTTTCTGATGCCTCCGACCCTGGGTGGAAGGCTCAGAGTTGATCGTTGGGGAAGGGAGGGGGGAATCCTAGAGTTCGTCCTTCACCTTTTCGAGCTCGCCCGAGTCCTTGATGATGACGTCGTGGACGGGTTTGTCGCCGTACCCCTTGGGGACGTTTTCGATGTACTTGACCACGTCCATTCCGTCGATGATGCGACCGAAGACTGTGTTCTCCAACGAAAGTCAATCTCATCAGCATTTCTTTCTTTCTTCATTCGTCTTCGGTGGGATGTGTGTACTTACCGACGTGTCGACCGTCGAGCCAGCTGGTTTGGACGGTGCAGATGAAGAACTGGGCGCCGTTGGTGTTCTTTCCGGCGTTGGCCATGCTGAGCACTCCGGGACCCGTGTGCTTCAGTTTGAAGTTTTCATCGTCGAACTTGCCACCATAGATCGAGTAGCCTCCCCTTCCGTCGCCGCGCTCAAAGTCGCCGCCTTGGATCATAAAGTTGTTGATGACGCGGTGGAACTTGCTGCCCTTGTAGCCGAATCCTTTCTCACCCGTGGCGAGGGCACGGAAGTTTTCGGCCGTGCGCGGCACATCGTTGCCATACAGACCAAGGGTGATTCGCCCCACATCCTTGTTGTCGTGGCTGATGTCAAAGTAGACCTTGTGCGTGACGACGGGTTCGGGCGTCGAGGCGCTGGTGAAGGGCATGGTGACCAAAAGCACCGCAATCGCCGCCAGTAGCGTCAGCAACGAGGTGAGCGACAGAACGGACTTCATCTTGACGCCGATTGTTCGAGGTGATGGGGGAAAAGAAGGGAAGAAATGAACCCAAGTGACAGCGGGAAATGGACAACTCCGCACTGCACGGCCCATCTGACAGCGCGCGTCTCTTGCCCTGGGTGTTGGTTGGCGCCTTTTTTCTCGCGCGGGACTTTTTCGTTCGAGCTGTCAGCTCGAGCTTCATTCCGAGCGTTCGGAACTCATCCTTCTCTCATACATTCATCAAGCTCGACCCATGTAAAGAAATGCTATGCGATGTCCAGATAATGGTGTGTAAGCGCATCACGAAGATGTCAATGGAGGATGAAATGCCTACTGCGCTCGATCGGCAGGATCGCTCTCATCCGCACTACTGCTCTCGTAAATCCCACGATCATCGTCCGCCTCGGCTTCAGGCACCTCGTCCTCGTCCTCCTCGAACTCCTGCCCCCTGTCGTCCCAGCTGTGCCTGCTCTTCCCATGCCACTGTCGCAACCGATGCTGTACGGGGGACGACCCGAAGCTCGGCCGGTGCATCCTCCCCCTGGCGTCCCTGCCGTTGCCGTTGCGACGTACACCCTCCGACTGGGCCGCGGCAGACATGAACGGCATCTGCGACCCTCCTTCTTCGTCCTCCAGATCCACCGCGTCTTCGGGATCGCCCTGGCTGCGGTCGAGCCATTCGCGCACCGCTCGGCCCGATTGCTCCTCGGGATGGTCTGCTGCGCGCGATGTCGATCCCTGCGAGTCGATGAGGTATCGCGAGTACGTCGGGTACGGTTTGGGTCTCGACGCGCCACTTTTGGGCGACGGCGGTTCTTCCATCTGACCCACGCTGTTCGGAGTACCCACCGCCGAGTCGCCATTCCTCAGCACGGCCCCTGCGACCTTGGTAAACGCAGCCACCTCCTTGCTCGAAAAGAAATCGTCGTTGTCCGTGTCGCTCGGCAGGCTGGTTGCGCTCTGCGGTCCGACACGGGGTCGGGTCATGCTCTCGCCACTCGTCCTCGACGCTCGATCCAGCGATTGTAGCGGGTTGACCGGCGAACGCTCCTTGCCACCGCTGGTGGCCCGCGATGCCCGCCGGCACGCCTTACGACCTTCTTCAATCGCCCGCTCCAGTCGAATGCGGTTCTCGATCATGTGCACCTTGGGGAACGTCACACCTTGCCCCACCCGCATCATGCGCGTCAACTCCTTGCGGTCCGGATCGGACAGGATACGCACCCAGTCCCAGAACCGTGTCTTGGGCCAGATCGTCACCGCACCGCCGAAACGTTGCAGGAAGACACTCGACCAGTCCTGCCCCAAAATGGCGGGGAGCAGATCGAGGTCCCGCAGGATCTTGAAGTTCATCGCCAAATTGAGCTTGAGAATGCGCTCCGAGGCGGAGAGGATGAAGCCGCCACGCCAACCTTTGCCCTTGCGATGCGCGGTCGGGCGACCCGGGGAACCTTTGGAGCCGAAGTGGAAGAGATGCACGTGCGGGTTGACCTGGCTGACGATGGGGTAGTTGACGTTGAACAGCGCATGCAGGTCTTGCAGCGGGATGTCGACTCGAAGCGACCCGTCCTTGAATCGATGTCCCCAGTTCCACGGGACGATTTCTCGCGAACCTTTGCGCTTCTGCATCAGACAGACCGGGTTGAGGATGCCTGGCACCGCAGCGGACGCCAGCAGCGAGGACCAGATGACGCAGTCCGGGGCGGTGATGTAGTTGAGAAGCTTGACAGGCGAATGGCGGTCGGCGGGAATGACCGAGATGCAGAGCACCTTGCCCGTGCGCTCGTAGGCTTCCTTGAACGTCATGCTGCCCATGGTGAAGAAGGAGGCTTTTTCGGCCCATTTGACCGTGTCGAAGCGCGCACCGGTGGACCAGGCACGTCGCCCCCAGACCGAGAAGGGTTCCTCGCACGCGGTGATGCGGTCGGCCAGAGCAGGGACGAGCATCTGTCGCAGCTCCGCGTCGGTTCGAGTGCATGTCAGCGCGGCGATGAGTCCACCCGCCGAGGTGCCTGTCACCACCTTGGGCAGCAAATTCGAATCGAGCAGTGCACGCACGACACCGATGTGGTAGTACCCGAAACTGGCTCCGCCGGACAGACACAGTGCGCTGCGACCCAAGTTCTTGCTGACGGTGCGGTAGAAGCTTCGCTTGGTCTCGAGCGACACCTTGTCCGTCGACTGAATGTATGCCAGCGAAGTCTCGATCTCGGCCAGGTAGCTCTCGACGAGATACTTGGACCCAAAGTAGGTCTCCGAGTAGAGGCGGAAGTTTTCGGTACCGGCAAAGTTGTTGCGCAAACAGAGGTCCAGGACGCCAAGCAAGTTCTCCGCATCGTCCTTCTCGCGGAAGCTCTTGAGCGACGACTTGACCTTTTTGACGAGGATCCAATCGTAGAAGCCGCTGCCGTCTTCGGTCTTCCATCTCTCATAGCCGAGGAACTCGTCCTGTGCCAGCGCGGCTTCCTTCCATTCGGTGTGGTTGTCTGCGGAGCGCATGCGCTTGCGGAGCTGACCCTTGGTGCCCCGCCAGGCGATGGTGTACTCGATCACGTTGACGAGCTGGCGGACAATGACATACAGCAAGAACTCCAGGCCGATGATGAGGAAGATGATGAGCAGGAGCGGGTAGCGGAGCGTGTGGAAAATGAAGCCTTCGCGGGTGCCGGAGTCGACGATGCTGGTCTTCTTGCCCTTGCGCGAAACCTTTTCGTGGATGGGCGCAAAGTCGGATGCAGCTGCGATCCTGCCCACTTTGCGGGGATTGGAGACCTGTGTACCGGATGGTCGGGCCATGTGGGGTGACTTGGGCTCCATGAGGGACGCTATCGGGCCAGCAGCTGCACCTCCTTCGCCGTTCTCTGTCGGCGACTTGGCGGCGTCAGTATAACCAAAGACGTTCCATGACGATGAGCCGGTGATCTGCGAGGATGAGCTGGGCTGATACTCTTGCTGTCCAAGATCTGTGGCTAGTGCTTCGCGAAAGGCTTCGATATGCTCCGGGATTACATACTCTGCGGTGAGTAGTGGATCGAGCTCTTCTTCCGGTGTGCGAGGGAAGAGGCTGGGAGAGAGGAGGTTGCCGAGGCTACGCCGGCGTTTGCCCATGGTCTTGACATTGGACTTGTCTGAGCTTGGGCCGCTAGTGGGCTGGCTGCGGGACCTCGAGCGGGAATCCTGTGATGGTGTTAGCGTACCAGGCGGTGTGGATGAAGAGGATGCCACTGCACTCTCGACAGGGTTGCCTTTTGTGGAGAGTGCAGCCGGGCTGGGCTGTTGACGACGTCGAAAGAGCGAGGTCATGTTGATGTAGGAGGAACAGAGCCGGCAGAGAGAGGGAATGCGTTTGAGCGTACGAGTTGCTGTCCGGGACTCGATGTGATTCTACTGTAGTTGTTCTTGGAGAGAGCGGTTGCGGTGTTACGACATAGCGTTGCGTCTTGCTTGCCAGCCAGCTTGATGCTACGAGGATGTGATGCTTGTAGTAGGATGGCGGGTGATGGGAAGAGCGGCGAGGGTGCTGTTGTAGAGGTGTGTGACTTGCACGCAGACGAGCGAGCGAGCTAGGGCCTCGTCCGGTCCCAACAAAGCTGTCACAGCGAGGGGATGTGCATGAGATTGGACGCTGCGTGGATCCATGCAGCTTGACTGCGTCATCGACGCTTTTGCTTGCTCGCTTCCTTTTCCGCTTTTCACGGCGTCGCTCCCCGCAACCGGTTTTCCAAAATTCTATTTTTATTAAGCTTTTATATGCCACAAATCGGGTCACGGATCGGGATGCTCCACCTGCAACTTTTTCGAAAATTTCCAGGCTGGAGGAGGACCCTTGAAACAACCAACGTTGGAGCAGCATCTTTTCGTCCTTTACACCTCAACATCATCTGCCGCACATCTGCCCGAGCCGACTCTCATCATGCCGAAGGATACTAAAGGCAAAGCCGCCATACTAGGCGCAGAGGCCTCAGATTCGCCCAAGCGAACCAATACCAAACCGTACCAGAAGCGATCGGCCCCTTCCACCTCCAACGGCGCCTCCTCATCCAAGCCAAAGTCTCAAGCACCGAACAAGAAGCAGCTCTTCGAAAAGTCCGCATCCTCAGGCCCGTCCTCAGGCCTCCCGGGTGCATCCAAGATCAAGTCGTCCATCCGTCAAACAAAACGTCTGCTCGCCAAACCCAACCTTGCACCCGGCACCAAGATCGAGGCGGAGCGTCGACTCAAGTCTCTCGAGGCCGATCTCGAGGTGGCATCGCACAAGCAAGTAGAAAAGTCGCGAGCGACGCGGTATCACCGGATCAAGTTTGTCGAGAGACAAAAGCTGGTGCGCCGCATCGCGAGGTGCAAGCGCAACTTGGCCCGGCTGGAGAGCGGCAAAGCGGCGCAGGAGTCGGACTCGGAAGGCGAGGGGAGCGACGATGACGAGGGGTACAAGAGTCAGAGGGTCAAGGAGTCCAAGATGTCCAAGGGAGAGCTGGAGAAGCTGCTCAAGTCGCTGAGAGAGCTGCTGCAGTACGTGGTGCAATATCCGGCGGAGCTGAGGTATGTTGCGTTGTTCCCAAATGCGGATGAGGGACCGGTGGTGCCAGATGCAAAGGAGAAGGACAAGAGCAGGCAGAGTGCGTATCAGCACTTGCAGAGGGTCAGGAAGGCAATGAAGGGGGGCGAGATTAGCAACGAGCCGGAGGTGGAGCTGAACAGTAAGGATCTGTCGTTGAAGAAATTGGCGAATGGTAGCACGACCAAGCCAGCCGAGACAGGCGGCACGCAGAAGACGGACAAGAAGTCGGGCAAGGGCGGCAAGAACAAGCGCAAACACGAAGAGGATGACGAGCGAGTGGACAGCGACGAAGAGTTGACGCAGGCAGGAGGTGTCAAGGGCGATGATTTCTTTGCTCAAGACTCGGACGATGAAGAGTAGCCTCACGAACATCCGTCGCAACGTCATCCACATGACACCGTTCCACAGCAATCCCACGGCATTCCGTGAGTGACTGTTCTGATATCATGAAGGTAGGGCGAGAAGTCTACGCGAAGGTGGTGCCTACAGATTCGGTCGTTCCGACTGCTCCTTGATCTGGTTCTCTCTTAATTGAGCCTCGAGCTCTCGAATCGCCTCCCTGTCTGCTCTGATACCCTCCGGGCTCTTTCCTGAGCTATTCCGCCTTCTCGCCCACTGCAAACTTGCCGGCGACTTCCCATGCGTGCCACCCGCTTGCGTCTGTTGTGCGCCTCCCACCACCGCCGCTGCCGTCTCTGCGACAGACGAATCGCTCGTCATAACCACATCGTTGATATGCACCAGATTCTTCTTGCCTGCACTCGCCTCTCCTTCCTGTTCCAGATCGTCAAACGCCGCGTCCCTCTCCTGCCTTCTCGCGACGGGATCCCAAAAATCGTGCACCTCGGTCTTGACGCCGTACGCCTGGGGTAGGATCTCGATCAGCTGTCCCTCCCTCACCTGGATGCTTGGGATCTCGTGCGGCTGCAGACCCTGTAGATACGCGATGAGACACCGCAGCACGCTCGACTGACCAATGATCAGCACGTCGTTGCGCGTCCTTTCGAGCTCAAAGATGATGGGTTCCAACCGCACGGACAGGTCGTGGTACGACTCGGCTCGGGGGAAGCGGTGCGAGTAGGGTTCCCGCAGCTTGCGCTCGTACTCGTCGGCAAAGTGTTGTTTCACGTCGTCGACGGACATGCCATCGACTACGCCCGGGTTCATCTCCGAAAGCTGCGACCGCTCGATCACTTTGTACCCTGTTTCGGCGAGCGGGTAGGCCGTGTGCGAGGAGCGTCGACGTTGGGAGGTCCACACTTCGAACAGCTTGCTGTCTTGGGCGATGAAATCGTCCTTGTCGGTGGTTGCGGCCTTTTCGCCAGTGGGGCGAGGGAGGGGCTCAAGGCCGGCCTTCTTGCGTCGTAGGTTCGACATGAAGAGCGCCAGCTCGTCGGCGTAGTCCCATCCGAGCGAGGAGAGATCGGCGTCAGCCTTGTAGAGGTGTTCGACCAGCGCCTCGCCCGCGCGAACGAGGTAGATGGTTCGATGCCGGTTGTGGATGTTCATGAGGAAGAAAACGATACGCGACTGGAGGTAGCCCTGGATGTTGTTGACCACCACCTGCTCTCCGACGTTGATGAGCTTGATGTACGGGAAGCTGGGATTTTCGATCGGCTCGTAGGTCTTTTCATGCCCTGCGATCCTCTTGTAGTAGTTCTGCATCGCCTGCTCCGGATCCCAGTTGACGTAGTCGGGACTGCTGAGTTTGACACTCCGTACGTTGGCCTCGACCACCTTGGGATCCGTGCATATGCTCTCCAGGAACATGACGTGTACGCCCAGCTTACCGTACTTCTCGCGGATCTCAAACCGTCGCTTCTGCACCGAGTTGTTGGCATCGTATACCACCACCTGCCCGCCCTGTTGGAAGAAGAAGTCGATGACGGTATCGTCGAATTCATCGAGGATGCGCTTGCGGAGCTTTTCGGTCTCTTCGCTCTTGGGACCGTCGACAAAGTAATCGGCAGGGATCTTGTCGGCTCCGCCAAGGACCTTGCGACGATGGTCGCCGAGGGAGAAGCAGCCGGACTTGACACCGAGCCAGGTGAGATAGCGCTCGATGGCGTGCGAGAGATGCGTCTTGCCTCGCGCGGGGAGACCGACAGTGGCGATGAGGATCTTACCAGCATGGTAGAGTTGACCGGAAGCGGTGGTGTAAAGCGGCGCCGCCATGGTTGCGCGCTAGTAGTGGGAATCCGTGGTTGTGCGCGATATTGTGGAAATGCAATGGAGAAGGTGGTGATGTCCGCTGAAGTGGTGTGAGCAAGCGATATCGACGACGCACAGGCCTAGATAGGGTTTGTGGAGGCGATACGTGCATTAACATTGAGCTTAAATTTTACAGTCATGCTCATCGGTGTCGACAACGATCTTTGCTCATTGGGCCGACTCAATCCTCAAAGCTGATGGCAGAGATGGCAGCTCATCGACGCTATTTATACCACGAATGCGACACATTGAAGCAATGCAAGGAGATCCATGAGGAAGAGTGTTGTACTAAAGAGGGCTGAGGCGGTGGAGGGCCCGCATCTCTCATGAAGTATGGGTATACAGTAGACTGGATGTGACCGCGTAAGCAGGCGTCACCGCCTCAATGATTCCTTGCGTGGTGCGCTGAAAAGGAGAGCGACAGGAGCTTGCGATGATCTGCGGCTCGTGCCTGGATATAAGCGTCGAGCACGTCGTACGAGCGATCGCCATCGTAAGCCTCGAGGTACTTGCCACCACGATAGAGGTGGAGGGCAGGATAGGCGGCGATGTTCTCGCGCGTACACAGGTCGCCCTGAGCAACACAATTGACGCGCGCGATGTTGAACTTGGACGAGTCTCGAAGGTGAAAGTTGGACTCGGCGAGGTCGTGGAGCACGGGTGCGAAACGCTTGCAGTGACCGCAGTAAGGAGAGTAGAACTCGACGAGCCACATGTCGTCCCTGATGGCAGTGGTGAAGTTGCCGTCCGTCAGAGATGGGACGACGGGATCGAAGGCGGGGATGGCAGGGAGGGTGCCTGCGATGGCGATTGTTGCGGCAACAAGCAGCGCCACGATGGCGCCAAGCCACCGTGTTGATGAAGGCATGCTGGGGCGACTGTGAGAGACGAAGTGTGCAGATGAGATTGATATCGCTCTTGCTGTGGTGGGACAAGCAGGCTGTCCATGAAGGGGGGAGATGTAATGTTACAAGACAGCGTGCCAAGCAAGACAGCTAGCTGTTCCAAACGCAAGGCTCAGTCTCAAAAATCTCAGGCACAGCTCATCGCTTCCAAGAACAATGCTCCGAGACAACCGAATTCGGGTCCAGGGGCGCGTCTCGTCTGCAGCTTGGCTTTCCTTGCCGGCAAGCTTTTGCTTTCAGGCGGCCTTCGAAGTTCCAATTCGGCATGCGACGTCGAGGCTCGTGCTTCAGAGGCATCGGCATGGCCCTGGTGGCACCCGTCGGATCGTTGCTTGGTCCTGGAATCAAGGTTCGAAGGGGCCTTTTCCCAGACTGAACAAATTGAGGGACCATCGAGGCCGGCCGCGCAAGGGGGGCCCCTCCAGCTCATGCCACGAGCTGATTCCATTTGGACACAGATTCTCTAGCACGAGATCATGGATTGCAGCTTCATTCAGCCGCAGAGGCGTGGGAGCGAGGCCACACTACCAACATGGTCCAGAGTTGTTCGTTCGCAGATGTGGCTGGCTTCTGAGCAGCCCCACTCTAACAAATCGGCGTCAAAAAGGCCGCATGGAAGCGTCATCTCGGATTTCGGTAAAGCTTCGTCCAGCTGAGGAGCTGTGGAAGCTTTCTTTTTCTGGCTTCTGGCTTGGATTTGGCGTGTCGGCCGTTGGCTGAGTCCTTCGCTTGCTCGCGAGGACAAAGGAGGAAGCGCCTTCCTGGTTGCGTTGCGCCTTAGTCATTGATCAAGCCAAAGTCACACACTCACGCACCTTTTGCGCATTGCTCAGCCTCCTCAAGAGCACCCAACTTTCATCACAAGGCCAACTCAAGCAACTGACCAACACTCTCCCACACACACACGCACGCCCGCAGCCCCTTTGGACCTCATTGCATTCTTCCCCACCATCACCTTGGCAGCTCTCTTTGCAACAACTGTCACCCCACCCCGGTCGGGTTCAATCAGCTTGCGGAGTCTTTCAGCCCACTCCAACCAGTCCCCACTCCGGTCACCGCATTCTTCTTTCGCATCGTTGGACCTCAGCATTGCTTCTTTCGCTCCCTCATTAGCATCAGCAAGATACGGCTTCCGTGACACTTTTGCGAACTAAGCATCTCTATTCGCTTCTGCTTGATATTCCAGTCACTGCATATACGCAGCATCGCCTCGTATTTCCACAACAGACCCGACGTTCGCTCGATTCGTCCCACTGGGTATCAGAACGGAGACGATAGTCCACATGCCTTCAAGCGCCACACGTTCTCGAACATAGCAATCCCTGCGTCGTTGCCGGGCCTTGTCCAGTCTCTCACGATCCACAGAGCTTTTTGGTCTGAGGACGTTTCTCAGACTGATCCTGGAAGAGCGGGGCGATTACTACTTGATTGGCTCATCGCTCCCCGCCCATCATGTCTGCCTGGTCTTCCGCCACGGGCAAGGCGCAGCAGTCCTATGCCGACCGACTACGTCAAGCTTCCAAGTCGAACGCGCCAGCCAAGCACGACTCTTCCGCACCGATTACCAACCGCGACGCTCCCCGCGAGGTTGCCAAAGCCAGTCTTTCGACTGCTTCCTTAGCCCATCCTACTGCTCCGTTGAGGACGCTCTCTTCTGCGTCCTCCGCAAGTGCCAGCGCCGCGTCTGGCAGCGCTCCGAGACTGTCTGCTGTTCCTTCTGAGAACAAGGCCGACTCTCCCTCTGGCGGCGAAGTTACCGCCACACCTCAGCCCAGCGGCGGATCCACCGTCAATGTTTGGGAGGCCCGTCGCAAGCAGCTCGCCGAGCGCGAAGCCGAAAAGGAGCGAGAGCGCCAAGCCTCTCTCCCTCAGCAAAGCAAGTCATCTCCAGCGACAGCACCACAAGCGTCGTCAAGCGCCGGCGCTGCTGCCAACAAACCCAAGCAGACAGCGAATGGACCAAGAAAGGCCAACGAGCGACACTCGAAGGGCTCTACCTCTTCGAGTCAATCCGAACGCAAATCCAATAAGCAACCAGACACGTCCACAAGTCGCCATTCCAAAGCTGTGCCAATAGCGACGTCAATGACTGACGAAGTGGGCGCTGCACCGCAGACGTCAAACGCCAACAGCGCCGCATCGTCGACAGACAAGGCTGACACTACTGCTGGACAAGGTCGTGCTACAGGCACCACACTGCAAGAGGATGCCACCGGTCAAGCAAGAGAGGCGGCTGGATCGAGAAGAAGGGCGCGGCAAAGCGAACTCGACCAGACAACCCAGGTGCCTTCTGCTGACAGGGCATTGAAACAGCCAGACCAAGCAGCAAAAGCCCCCGCCGCCGCTCAGACAGCAGCAGCACAGGTGCCGCCCTCTTCCGCTCTGTCACTTCATACTGCTGCGACGCCATCCGTCCCGCATGACGATGCCCCAACAAGCCCGGCCACCGTTGCTTCAGCTATCGAGGAAGTACTCAAACATGGAGGCGGCGCTCAGGGCGCTCAGACCGAGGACGACGATGCTTGGCTAGCAAGGATCCATCTTCTGAACGGCGGACAAAACATGCCCAAGTTTGGCGGCTTTGGTACCAATGGCTCGGCAGCACAGACCGACGACGAAGCCGAGAAGCAGGCTGCCAAGAAAGCAGAGCGTGCCGTGGCCGCCGCCTGGGGCGCAGGAAAAAATGTCTGGAGCAAGTCGCAGCAGCAGACGCAGCACGATCAACAGGCGAGCCATCAGGATGCTAGCAAGGATGAAGCATCCGCTGCGATTTCCAGTGGTGATGCAACGAAAAACTCAAGTTCCGCAGACGGCGCATCAGTCCAGGCAGGGTCGCCACCTGCCTCGGTCAAAGTCAATGGGATCCACAGTACCAGCGGCGAAGACGGCATTGCTGCGGCAACAGGGAAAGAAAAGGCCTCTGCCGCCAAAAGCGGCTCTCAGAACGCCAACAGCGATGCTGTTCCTAGCAAGAAGCAGACGCAGTCCAAGCCTCCAGCTGGCAAGAACGCCAAAGGAGCAGGCACACAACAACATAAGGCGGCAGCCACGACCGTGCCATCGTTCGAGGATGTCAACAACTGGCCGAGTCCCTTGGACGCCGGCAAGAAAACAGGCGAAAAGCCGAGAGCAAGCGTTGGTTCCAGTGATCACGACGCTCAAACGCAGCCTGGGACTCAAAAGAGCCTCAAAGAGACGCTCGACGAGCTGCAAGTCCGACTTGCCCCTGGCGCAAACCCACAGCAGGCAGGAGCAACCGCTGGTGGAGCCAAGAAAGGAAAGCAGCAGTGGGTTCCGATCTTGCCAGAGATCACGCACGCTTCACACAACGCACCTGGTGCAAAGGGGGCCCGTCCCGCCCAAGATGCCAAGCAGGGCAAAGGCACCAACAAGCAGCAACAGCAGCGCAAGGAAGGGAACAAAGGCGCTGGACAGTCGCAACAAAGTGGTCAGAGTGCGAAGAAGGACGCTGCCAACAAGGCGAAAGACAAGTCTTCACAGGCAAAGGACGGCGTCAATCAGGCCTCTACAGGCGTGAAGGCGTCCGAAACACGTGGCAAGAAGGAGTCGCCGGCTCAGCCTACGTCGCAGGACCAAAAGGTGGGTGCAGCAGTACCATCTGAGGCAAATGCTGGACCCGAGATGTCGAGCGCAGCCACCGTCGTGACCGAATCGAAAGTCGCCACTTCGCAGGGCCAGAGCGCGCATCCCAAGCAGAGCAGCTCCTCTGCAACCGAGTCTGCATCTGCCGGCACCGAAGAGAAGCAGACGACCTCGACACCAGCGTCGGCGTCTGCACGCGATGCATCCGCGACCAAGCAGTCCCAGCAGGCGCGCACGCATCTTCGGCCCCTGCCTAACGGCATCTCGCGACCCAACGGTGTTGTACCTTCCAGAAGCGGCGCGTCTTCGGGAACAGGCACACCGATCACCAACCGAGGCTCTCCGCGAGGCTCCTTCGTCTCCTCCCCCAACGTCCACCCCAACCACACAGCCCCTTCTCACACAGACATCGTGCAACCACCACCCATCTTCTACGGTCCCTCTGGCGCGGCGACCCCGATGCACGCCAATTCGTCCACCACCTGGCTCCCCTACACCACGCCCTTCAGCCGTCCCATCCCGTACCTGTTCGATACGACGCAGCAAACGGGCGCGCCCCTCCCGCCCGCCCCGCTCGGTCCGCTGCTCACGCAGATCGAATTCTACTTTTCACAGCACAATCTGCAGGGCGACTTCTTCCTGCGCGGCAAGATGGATGCGCAGGGGTGGGTGGATATGGGTGTGCTCGCGGGGTTCAAGCGTGTTCAGGCGATGACGGAGGATGTGCAGACGGTCAAGGACGCATTGTTGTACAGTGCGGTGTTGGATGTGGACGGGTGGCGGGTGAGGAGGCGGTTTGGATGGGAGATGTATGTTCTGCCTGCCGCCGAGATGGTCGAAAGTGAGGTGAACGGTAGACCCAATGGTGACAAGGCCGAGAAGGATGGCGAGAAGGTCGAGGGGGAGGACGAGGAGGAGGCATTGGGCGTCGTAGCTGCCTCTGGGTTCGGAGGCGCACTCGAGGCGTGATTACTTTCACATCATAGCATCAGATTCGTTCCACAAAAGCATGTTTCGTAAGACCGCTTAATCACGACTGTCACTCGCTTTTTGCCATCACAAGAGCTTGCCATGGAGCGAGGGTCGTCTCGTCGGACTGTCACGGTCATTTGCACACGAGGCTGTGCAGACCCTCACTTGAATCCAGCATGCGGCTGTCCGATCACGATGCACCGTGGCGTCCGAGCGCGACTGCAGCCAACCAAGTCGCTCGCTCAGCGCCGGCGGCGTGCCACCTGCTCATCGTCGCTCGGATCACACAGCGATTCGCGCTCACGAACCCTTCTGCACGCGCACACACCACGGCATCAACCACCTGTTCATGATCGTGTTCCATTACATCCGCTCCTTGGTGCGATCGACGCTAAAAGATCCTAATGACATCAGCCAGCAAACTGTCCAACGAATCATCAATATCTCCCAACTGCCGATTAATCCCGCTGTACGCCTCTCTCAACTTGCGATCCTCGACGAACGGCATATTGGGTGCGAACAAATTGCCTGGTTCGGGTTTGAACGAGTCCTTGTCGTCCTCTAGCAAAAGCGATCTTGATGCGGCGTGGGAGAGTTTGCTTCCGGGCCTGCTGCCTGCGGAGCCGGAACCCGCAGAGAAGAGCGCGGCGCTGTTGAGAATCGGGCTGGGGGCTGAGGAGATGGAGCTCATGCTGGCGTGCGTGAGGAGTTTGCGGCGGGGATCGCGACGTGCTGCTGCATCGACGATCGTGTAGAGGTGCGAGAGCGACGCGTCGTCCGCGCCGAACGAGAGGGCGGCTACCGAGGGGTAGGCCGACGGCGTGATGGAGCGTGAGCCGTCGCGACCGCCTGCGCTGGCGGCGCTCAGGGCGCTTGTCGTTCGCAGCATCGCTGTGTTCACCGGCTGACGCGGTGCTGGTACGGTCGGGATCAGCGTCGACATGGGCGTCAACTGCGTCGTGTTGGTCGCGTTCGTGCCCGCAGAGCTGGTGCCGACAGTCAGCGGGCTCGAAGTGTCGCGAGAGTTGGACAGCTCGGACCCTGTCGAGGGCTGCTTCTGATGCACTGCCGCTGCCGCTGCTACTGCGCCTACTGCAGCTGCGACCACGCCTGCTCCTGTTCCCACAATTGCTGCGCCCGCTGCGGCTGCGGCCACACCTGCTGCGACTGTGGCCGGTGACGTCTTCTGCTGCTGACTTGTCTGCGCGTCTGCTGATGTAGACTGTGCCACAGTGGGAGTCAAAGCTCGCGTGGACGAAGCAGCAGACCCGCTCTTCTGCATCGCCGCCGCCGACGACAATGACGAGGCGGGCATCTCCACTCGATCCAACACGGCGTTGATCCTCTCGCTGATCCTCTCCTCAGCATTCGTGTTCGATGGCGCCTTGCTGCGCAGAAGCGTGTCCAGCAGATCGCCGTCTGCTTCGCCACCTCCCGTTGTCCTCTGCAGCGGCGTGACGTTGCCCTCGTACTCCGAGATCGGCGATTGTGCCATTCGATTGGCATCGTCTACACTAAGCGGAGAGCTGCGAGCCGAAGCGTAGTCGTCGGTGGAAGTGAAATCGCTCTGCATGCTCCTCTTGGTGCCAAAGGCCGGTCGTGCGTCTCTGGGACTGAGACCTCGGTCGCCGTACGAGCTGGCCTGAGTGTCGTTCGAGGATTGCATCTCGTCCTTCATCACATCCTCCACGATTGAGCTGATGTCGCGCTCTTGACCGTCAACGGGAACATACGAGTAGCGGAACTTGTTGGAGGGACCCAGCTTGGTCGATCGGATGCGAGCCTGGTTGGACAACACCACATCGACACCCTGCTGGGCGTTGCGTTGTGCGCCCAGCACGGCAGCGTTGCGTTCTGCCGCCGCCGCCCGCTGCGCTGCGATGATTTCTTGCGGCGTCCTGCCTTGGCTCGGCTTTGCATCTCTGGAGCCTTCCAGTCGAGGGCTGGTAGCCTGCGCTTGCGTCTGTCTCGTGTCTTGCACCGCGGCGAGCGCATTGTCCGTCGGGCTGTGCGCTCTTGCGCCAACCGTATGGCCCAACTGTTGGCGTGCTTTTGGTCCCGGGTGAGCGTGGGTGATCTGGCGCAAGACAAAGACGGGATCGTGGATGCCAATATCGTCCGAGGCACCCAGCAGAGCCGCGGCATCGATGCTGCGTCGCTTGCCATCCACCGACCTCCGGTTGCCAATTCCCAGCTTGAAGGCAGGCGGTGCAGGGTACGCTTCCAGTACCTTGCTCGTCGCCGCCAAGGCGCGCTCACCATCGGCTGCCTGCACAGCAAGTCCGTACTTGACGTGGAGCCTGCTCTTGCGCCGTGAAGGTCGATCTTCGACATCGTCACCGCCCTCGACCACACCTTCCGCGATACCGAATCGATCGAGACCTTCCTCGACCACCTCCGCCACCGTCGTGTTTCGTGGGAAGGTGAGGATCTTCTCGCGGAAGCGGTGCTGAGGGGTTGGCTCTGCTGTGCCTTCTGGACGACGCGACAGTCGCTCCCGCAGAGTCGCTGCAGGTACGAGTGCGTTCGACTGAGGATCGAACACGATGCCGTCCGGAAGATCCGATGAGTAGATGATCAGCCGCAAAGCGAATCGGGCCGTGGGACTCTGCACCGTCTCGTTCGTCTCGCCTGACACGGAAGAGTGACTGCTGCGAGCAGCGTCCTCGCCGATCATGCTCAACGAAGTGAGGTTGCTGTTGTCTTGCGAAACGGAAAGATCCGACACGTTGCCAGAGCGGCCCGACTCGTCTGCGGTGTGGCTTCCGTTGAGGTCGACGTAGCCCTGCAGTCGATCTCGCCTGCTGATGTAGAACTTGACTGCGTGATCGTCGCTGAAGTCGTTGCCGAGCCGAGCGATGGCGGGATGCGTGCTGAGGTTGGACGAGATGGACGAAATCGAGCCGACGCTGGATCGCTTGACGCTAGGCACGGTGACCTGCCCCTGCTGCAGGATCTCGGTGAGCGTGTTGAAGAGCTGCAGTGGATGCTCATCTTCGTCGAGAGGTCGCTCGTCCCCTTCGAGACGCTTGATGGTCAAGACATACTTGTTCATGTCGTGCAGATCGACACCAAAACGCTGCAACACCTGGCGTTGCAAGTCGATGGATCGCGTGCTTTCGTTGAGCAGGACCGTCTTGAAGGTTGAGTCCGAGTCGACACCTTCGCCTGCGAACACACGAAGAACGCTGAGCATCGGCGTAGAACCGGAGGGTCCGACCAGCGAGCCGGGTCGTTGCTGCAGTCGAGGGCTTGCGAGAGGTGTGACCTGGGAAGAGTCGAAGCTGTTGCTCTGCGGAGACAGATACTGTTTCTGAAAGGCTTCTTGCGTTGCCCGATCACGCTCTTGCACAGCGCGGCCCATGCCGATGCTCTGACCAGGCTGCAAGTTGGCATTTGCGGCCTGAACGGCAGGATTGACGGTAACAGCCGGATTGCCGTGTCCACGCGCACTCGGGACAAAGCCGTCTTCGGAGCTGATGCCGCCCATGCCCTCTCGATCCTCGAAAGTGCCGCTCTTGCGATCCTTTTTGTCCTTCCTAGAGAAGAGGCTGAAAACGCCGGAACGCTTCTTGCCAGCTTTCTCTTCGTTCGCATCGTAGCTGTCACTGCCCTTGCTAGTGCGGTTGCTCTTTCGCTTGTCTCTGTCGGACGAGGAAGCAGAGTCGCCGGCAATGACGGTCGAACTGGCGCTAGCATCGCTGTTGGCGCGCTCGCGTTGAATTTGCGAAGGCAGGAACCCTCCACTGCTGGACAAGCTGTTCCTTCCCATGCCGGTTGAGGTAGGAAGGCCAGCAGCATCGTACGCGAGGGAGCCACTCGAGTTGATGCTCGAGATGGAGCGTTCGGCGGAGGTGGTGCGGATGTGCTCGCCAGGAACGTGACCCGATCCCAGAGCGCCGTACTTGGCCTGTTGCGAGGACGTCGAGGATGGCCCACTGCCATTCGTCGTTGGCTCCTGGGGCGCAAGCTGCTGCTGCTGCTGCTGGTGCTGAGATGGAGGCTGCTCCGTTGTCGGCGCGCCGCTCGCCCGTTGAAGTTGTGCAGTCGGACCTTGAGACGGACCTGCAGCGCTGCGAGCGGACTGTTGCGCATAAGGATGCGAAACGAGCTGTTGCGCAGCTTCGGTGGCCTGTTGCTGGATCGACGATCGAGATGGTGGTTCCTGGGTGGCGTTGGCGTTGGCGCGCATGGCATCCTGGTGCTGTTGCTGGACGCGCTCCGCCTCCTGTCCATCCCACTCCATGCCATCATCTGGTTCCATCTTGTCAAAGCCGATGGCCTTGTTGTGTTGAGACGGGTCCTCCTCGTATTCGCCGTCCTCGTCCTGGTCTTCGTCCTGCTCCTCGTCTTCGTCGTAGATTCCGTCGGGATCCTCTTCGTACTCGAGCTCGTGCTCTTCTCCGTCTTCGTCGTAGTCCGAGTACTCGTCGCCGCTGTGCTCGAGGTAGGTCGAGGGACCAAAGACGACGCCTCGCTTGTTGCGCTTCTGGTCCTTGGTGAGAGGCGCTGGAGCCCCTTGCGCACGTCTTGACAGAGCGGAGAGCTTGCCCGAGTGGAGAGAGAGGCCAGCCGTTCCCGAGGCATTCCTCGCTTTGACAAGATGGCTGGTAAAGATCCTCTCTGGGACTTGGATGTGGTCGTCGTCGGTGGCCGAGGTGAGGTCGACGTTTCTGTGCTTGTTGAGACGGGCGAGTCGCTCGAAGGGCGTTTCGATGTTCTCTGCGGGGATGTAGCCCACTTCTTGTGTGCGAAGGACACGGACGAGCCACCAGTAGCTGTTGCTGTCGTCGAGCAAGGTGAGGCTGTTGCCTTTGTGAACGGTGGCCTGGCCTTCTACGGTGGCGACAAAGTTGTGCAAGGCGTAGACCAAGTCAAAGTCGATATTTTCATCCGGGATAGAAGGACTGGAGCTAAGGTCGGACTCGTCATCTTCGATCTCGTCGCCCTCCTCTTCGTCCTCGTAGATCATCTCGTCGTGCATGCCATCACCCATTTGGTGGTGTTGGTAATGCCCACCCTGAGCATACTCGTCGTGACCGTACTCATCAGCACCGTCGTATTGATCGTACTCGGCACCGTCTGATATCCGGTTAGAGTGTTGCTGTTGTTGGTATTGAGCTTGTGTGGCTGGGTGCGCACCATCACGGGTAGCCTTGGCACCGGCGCTGGAGCTGCCAGCTTTCAACCTGCTTGTTGCTGCAGCATAGCCGTCCTGAGCGTCGTCGTCGCTGCTGAAGCCGCCGTTGTCAGGCTGCTGGTCAAAGTCGTCATGAGCGTAAGCGTGGTCGGCGTTGGTCTGGTAGTCGGATTGTGGGCCAAAGGTGGATGCATGGATCTGGTTCTGGATCTTGTTGTTGACGGCATTCTGGTGGGCGCGTGGGGTAGAGCTGGTACCAGAACCGCCGATGCCGTTGAGGTTGGAGGAGCCGAGGCTGACATCGAGTGTCAAGGCGGGCTTGACCTGCGCCATGGTTGTGATTGGCGCCGGTTGATGGAGTGCTAAGGGCTTCAAGCCTATGAAAGGGATTCGGGCTTGGACAAGCACGACTGCAGGCGCTACGAGGGCCGATGGAATTCACTTGTCGATACAAGACTAAGCGTGAGTCGGTGTCATGGGAGCTTTGCTGAAGAGATTGGGCTGCGTAGACGATGCTGTTGGGCTGCCAGAGAAGCGCCGGCGCTGATGTTGTGGTTCGTGTGAGTGAGCTGGGGGCGGTGATTTGCAAGATGGACCTAGGGATGCCTAAACGTTTGGATGGACGAACACGGGAAGCGTTTAGTGACGCAGCTTGTTCGAAGCTTGCTGCTGTAGACCGTCAAGCCGAAGCTGCAGTGGGCATGAAGTATGAAGAAGGAGCAGCGAAAGCGGGACCAAGCTTGGTTTAGGTGGTCTTAGAATGTGTCGGCTACGGGCGAGCGAGAGAGTGAGCGTGAGCGTGTGTGTGTGTGTCTGACCGTGTGAGAGCGACTGAGGTGCAGCCGAGCGAGGCAAAGCCAAATGCAAGCGCGAAACACGGCCTGACAGCTGGTGAGACAGACAGACACGCCTCACTCCGAGCCTGCTTGCTCTCTCAAAAATGGGCCAGCGAGTCTTGTCTCTCACTCACAGCCTGCAGCCTGCAGCCTCTCCTAATTTCGACCAGAAAAAAAACACAGCAGCAGAGCGCTTCCAAATGAAAAACAGCAGGGCTGAGACTGCGAGATGCGACGCGCTCAGCCCTTCTTGCCTGTCACGCCCGCGCGATATGACAGCGCAGAAAGCGCTCAACAAGGTTCAAGGCCAGCAGCACCAAGGCTTCGGCCACGCCCACCCTTCGGCTAGCAGACCATCATTGCACAGCTTGCTTTTCCTGTCAAGCTCGGCCTTCTCGCTGCTCATCTCTAGGACCGAGGCCATGACATGTGGCATGCCGCTTCATGGCAAGACAATACACTGTCTGATCGTCGTCCCCTGATGCAGATCTGTTACTCCCAGGATTGACTCCGAGCCAAGATCCGAGCGCTTGAATCTCGAACCATGTCCAGAGTCTCACGCTCAAAGGACGGTCGACTTGCGACGCCCCCACGAAGAGGCAAACTTTGAGATCCTCGACTTAACAAGCTGGAATCGTTTTTCCCCGGAGCAGATCGGCGATGAAAATTTCTTCCAGCTGCACCGTCAAGGGTCCAACGTTCTTCCAAGCGCACACACCATCCTGTCGGACCTTCACACTTCCCCTCAACCATCTCGTTCCGAAGCACCCGGCCTCCGCTTCCACCGTCTCTACCGCCGAACCCGTGCGCCATGCGGCTCGCCATCCAAGGCTGTAGTCACGGCGAGCTCGACGCCATCCACGCCTCGCTCCTTCGTATCGAGCGCGAGCAGTCTCTTCCCATCGACGCCCTCCTCCTCTGCGGCGATTTTCAAGCGATTCGCAACCATTCCGACCTGCACGCTCTTGCCGTACCCCAGAAGTACCTTCAGCTGGGCGACTTCCACTCCTACTACTCGGGCGAGAAGGTGGCGCCCGTCCTAACGCTTGTCATCGGCGGCAATCATGAGGCGAGCAACTACATGCACGAGCTGTACCACGGTGGATGGCTTGCGCCTAACATTTACTTCCTCGGCGCTGCAGGGGTGGTCGAGCTCGGTGGACTGGTGGTGAGTGGGATATCGGGGATATGGAAGCAGAACGATTACAACAAGGGTAGATTTGAAAGGCTGCCCTACGACGCAGGGACCGTGAGGAGCAGCTACCATACCAGGGAGTTCGATGTGATGCGTCTCAAGGCAATGGCGGGGTCACAAGTTGACATTGCTATGTCGCATGATTGGCCAAATACCATCGAACAATGGGGAGATACAAAGTGGTTGATACAGAAGAAGCCATATTTCAAGGACGAGATCGAGGCGAGCACGCTCGGTTCCCCGCCGGCCATGGAATTGCTCCAGTTGCTGAAGCCATCGTTTTGGTTCTCGGCGCATCTTCATGTACGTTTCGCGGCGATCTACACGCACGACTCCACAGCAAACGGCAAAGCGGATCAAGCCACTGCTTTGGCAAGCAACGCGAACCCAGAAGCGCTGGATATCAGCCTCGACTCGGACGACGACGATGCCCAAGCCACGGCTACCCTCGGCAATCCCCTGGCAGCGGAAGCCAACACCGCAGAATCGCGACCCTCATCCAGCAACCGTCCGGTCAGCCCAACGTCGTCCTCGGCTCCCGTCACCCGCTTCCTCGCGCTCCACAAATGTCTCTCGCACTCTCCCTTCCTCCAAATCATCGACCACCCCTCACCACACGATTCTGACTTGGAAGCACGCAAATCCGCGCTCAACTACACACAGCGCATTCCGCCCACGTTCCGCTACTCCAAACGGTGGTTGGCCATCACACGTGCGACCCACGCCCACTTCTCCACCCAATACCGCCAGCCGTCGCTTCCTGACCCTTTGTCGCCCGCATTCCAGGCGCAGGTGGAGGCGGAGGAGCGCTGGATCGAGCAACACATCCTGTCGTCTCCCCGCAGTGGCAAGCGGAAACAGGACGATCGCGATGGACTCGCCTCCACCGGGTCAGCAGAGGAGCAAGGGGACTCATTGGACATTCATCGCATCCAACAATTCGTCCGCACCGCACCGGCGCCCTTCGAGCCAGGCGGATTGAACACCGGCCCCCCGGCGTGGTATACCAATCCGCAAACCGAGGCGTTCTGTGCGTTTGTGGGGATCGAAAACAAGATCAATCCGAGACCGAGCGGGTTTGCGCCAGCAGCTCAGGTGTATGTGCCGCCACACGCTCGGGCGCCGCCAGTAGCTACAGCAGAAGGAGGCGCCCAGGAGGACGTGGCTGATCCAAACGCGCTCGCTATCGATATGGACGATCTCGATGACGGAGACGAGGCACCGGCAGCAGGAGGAGATGATCAGAGCGAGGAGGTATTGCGATTGTCGGATGACGAAGATGAGCTGCATGCTCGGTGGAAGGAAGGCACTGGCTAAACACACTCTTCACAATCACATCTCTTTCTCATCGTCACACTCCCATCGTCGTGCCTGTTTGTGTGTTGATGTGTGAATGTTCATCCCAACCCAGTCTAGAGCGACACCGACCCCTGGCTCTGGAGCAGCGGCTCCACGCGCCAGACCAACTTGCTACTCGCCTCTCGATCCACCCTGTCCATGAACCCATACAGCGTCTTGACCGGATCCAACCCGTCCTTCTTAAACCCGTCCTGTCCACGCGCAGCAACGTACCCCAGCACGCTCACCAAGTTCCTCTGCAGGCTCTCTGCCAGATGCACACCTCTCGGCGCTTCCGCTGAAACCTTGGAACCATCCGCAACCCTCGTCAGCAGTCCAATCAACCCATCTGACCTCTCGAGCACTTTCATCAGCAGGGGGTTGGTTGCGCTCCTCCGCGTCGTGAGGTGGAATGTATCCACATAGGCGCGGATGAGGTAGGTGAGGAGCACGGTGTCTGGTGTTTTTCCTGCAAGGGTGGTGGAGAGGGAAGTGAGCAGGGTCATGCGATCGATGATGCTCAACTGGGCTCGAGCCAGTGGCATATCCAGCTCGTGTTTACGCTTGATACCTTCTGCTTTACCTTCTCCCGCTTCGACCGGAGTGGATTCGGCGAGAACACCCAGGAGGTCCACCTCGACTACGGGGGCGCCATCCATCTGGGCGCTCGCCAACACTTCCTCCCTCCCTCTACCGAGTTTTCTCGCCAATCCAGACTGCACCACCCACAAAGCACCAAGATCGTACTCCAACCCATACGTGTATCGATCGCCAAACGCGACGACGGCCAGCTCGGGGAGGCGCAACTTGACCGCCTGCGCTGCAAAGCGGAGTGCGGACTCGCTGCCCAACGACCCCACACGTTCGCGGTACAATTTCGCCGCCTCGAGCAAGCTCTCAAAATCCTCGGCGGTGGACGCCTGGAGTGCCAGTCGGCGCCAGGTGCGCAGTGCCGGGAAGTGACCGCGATCAAGAAGGTCGTACGAGAGCGAGGCGGTGAACTGTTCCAGTGCAGAGGTGAATTCCACCCGACTCATCTGGCTGTTCGAAGACGACGAGGAGGAAGTCGATGAGGTAGCTGAGGTAGAGGTGGAATCGGAAACGCTACCGAACAGGTCATCCTCTTCGACGGCGAACGCATCGTCATCGAGAGCGTCGGTGTCGTCCTCGATCGCAGCAAAGGCGTTCTTCTTCACCTTCTTCTTGAGGTCGATGCGCGTGGTGCTGAACGCTCGTGCTGCAGCAACGGATGTGGCTATGCATGGTGGGTATGAGAGTGATGTGTGTCGGAGGACATTGAGCGATGTCGAGCGAGCAATGGGCGATTGGGAGACGCTTCCGTTCCTCGCAGCGACCCGTAGGACCGCCCTTGCAAAGTTGTGCGACCGCATCTTGAGCCCCGAGATCGATCGATGTGCTGAGCCCGGGAATCGCTTCGAGAGCTTTGCAGTCGGTTCGAAGCGGTCGGTGTGCACGCTGATAAGGTGATGCGATGCTGCTGAAGCGTTGACAAGCTCGGTTGATGGTGAGGAACCAAAAAATGCTGATCCAAGAAGAAATGCGCCTTGCGCCTGGCTGACGCTCAATTCTTCCTTTTCTTCCGACTCGAGCCTGCATCACGTGGACCACACCTTTGCCTCCCGATTTAGCTTTGGCACCCCGATACGTACGATCGGCATTCTCACAGAGTCTTCGGCCTCTAGTTACGGACAAAGCAAGCAAGCATGCGAGATAGAACAGATCCATGAATTGGGACGATCGATGAAACAGAGACATACAAGACGGAATCGAGATGAGATTGGTATGGCTTTGAGGATGTGACGAAACTCTCCGGGGGGGAAATCGGCTATGAACAGGTGAAGACGTGGTGTGGCGTAAAAGACTGCCGAGATGCAACTTCCTTCTTACCAAACCGCAGCGGTTGAGCTATGTAAGCGGTCAGGTTTAATGACCGTTGCCATTGCCGTTGGGCGCACCGCTGTGACTGCTAAGCGCAGCATCGGCGCGATCGAGATCCGCACTCGAGAGGTACTTTCCGCCGCCGAGACCGGGAGTGCTAGCACCGCTCATGCTGCCCACCGACGTGCCTCGCGTACGACCCTTGATGACGAGCGGGAACCTGTACGCCTCCTCCTCGTCGTCCGAGCCAGCCTGGCTCATGCTCTTCCAGAACTGCTGGTGACCTCGGTAGTCGGACGTCGACAGGCCCTGCAGCTCTTCGGTGAGCGTGCCGAACTCGCCCGGTGTTCTGGCACCGTCGCCGAACCCACCCCTTGGCGAGCCGGGCATCGACAGCGGTGGAGGCATCTTGCCGTCGTGGTGAATGTCGTCAAAGTAGCTCTCGATGGTGTCGTCCTCGTGGAACGAGTCTGGGTAGGCACGACGCAGCGCAAGCTGTCGAGCCTTGGCATACTCGAGACCGAGACGCTTCCAGTCGAGCAGCTCCGAGAGTCGCTCGGTGCGGTTGCGCTGGTTGATACGCTGACGACGCGTCTTTTGGCTAAAGCTGAACATCTGATCGGTGAGCTGGTTGACCGAGTCCTCGACGCTCTTCATGCGACGGTCGACAATGTAGATGCCGTAGTCCTCGCCGTGTTCGATGGTGTCCTCCATGAAGCAGCCGAATCCGGACAGGTTGGTGGTGATCGAGGGGACACCCATGACGGTGCACTCGGCAGGCGTGTAACCCCACGGCTCGTAGTACGAAGGGAAGACACCCAAGTGGCAACCTCGCACAAACTCTTCGTAGTCAAGTCCCAAAATTGGGTTGTTGGCGTTGAGGAACTCGGGGTGGAAGATGACCTTGACACGGTCGCTGGTACGGTTAAAGAGCTGGACGCGACGGATCTGGTTCAGGATGGGATCCTCGCTGTCGTCCTGCATGTTGTGCGTCACGACGGGCGGGAGCGAGTTGCGCTTGAGGGCAAAGATGCGCTTCTTGAGCGCAATCTTGTCGGCATCGGAGAGCAGCGTAGCGGGGTCGATGACATCGCCCTTGGGCTCGCCCTGGTAGCGCGCCAGCTTGTCAAAGAGACGCTCTCCGACGCGCGCCTGAATCTGCTCGACCGTGTCACGCAGCTGCTTGGTGACGGCCTGGCCCTTGAGCGCCTCGATGGTGTACGAATTCGTGGCAGCGGGCATGATGATGAAGGCGACGACCGTGGTCTTGGAACCGCTCTTCTGCAGCTGGTAGTTGAGACGTGCGAGCGACTCGATGAACATGTCAACGCCCTTGTTGCGGTACTCGTATCGGCCTGCCGTGAAGAAGTAGAGCGTGTTGTCCAGGTCAAAGTCAAAGTGGCCGTAGAAGTGACCCTTGACAAACTCGTTGATCTTGGCTTTCGAGATCTGGTGCAAGTTCTGGAACTCGTGCATGGCTTGGAACTTGACGACGTTGAGACCGTTGGGCAGCACACCATCGGGCTTGCGCTTGAGAAGGTGCTCCGACTCGTAGGCGGTGATGTGACTGACAGTAGTGAAGACGTCGGCGCAGTGAGCCGCGGCGCGCTCGACACAGTAGCGGTGGTAGATGCCACGCTTGCCCGCCTCGTGGTCGACGTCAAAGTATTGCAAGTTGTTGTAGAAGTCGACGCTGCCTGCGCAGAGGTAGCGGCCGAGGAGAGTAGCGTGGGTGGTGAAGATGGTGGTGACGTCAATGTGGCGCTTCCTGCAAAGTGGAATAGCGAGACCTGCTTGCCACTCGTGGAAGTGGGCGATGATGGCACGTGAGCGCTCGCGGCTCGAGTACTCGCCGAGGAACCATGCGGTGAGGTAACCGAAGACAAGAGTCTCGTTGGTCTCGTGGTCGTTGGCAGGAGTAGGGATACCAGCAAGGTTCCAGAGATCCGCCTTCCACTCGTCCATGCGGTGGTACATGCTCGAGGTGTCAAAGAGCAGAACACGAGGAGCACGCTCGATGAGCCAGCGTCCGTAGAGAAACTTGACACCGGCATCGCGCATGCTGTCGAGCGTCTGCTTGAGCAACGGGTCTTCGGGCTCTACCGCCTCGACCTCCATAGGAGCGGTCTTGTAGGAGAGAGGGCCGATGAGTGTGTAGCGCTCGCCATACTCCTGATGGGTGACGGGAGCCTTGGTCTTGATAACAGTGTAGATACCACCGACCTTGTTTGCGACTTCCCAGGCAGCCTCGAAAAGAAGAGGGTTGTGGACATCCCTCTTGGGGGCAGGAGCCTGATGCGAGGTCATCGTGGTCGGGTCCGCTGTGGTGAATGTCCGTTGATGCCTAGATGTCGTTTACGACGTCTCGTAGGAGGTGAGGGCCTGAAGCTCGAGAGCGCCGACGATGACGAGAGTCGATCAAGGGAGAGCGGTGATCAAGATGTGACTTGGTTGAGCTTTGAGTTCTGGAGCAGAAGCTGATACGTTGACCCGAAAGAGGGGAAGAGGATCGCTTGGGTGTGGCGAGGGATGATGGTGACGAGAAGAGAAGGGTGCGGTCAGGTGGACAAGTAGAGAGGCCGTGCGGAGAAGAGAGCCAACGTCCAGCTGAGACAGGCGAGAAAGAAGATCAGGTGGCACAACGCAATTCGAGAAACAAAAATGGGTCAAGGCGGCGGGGATTTCGAACCTCAAAGGACCACACTGAGGCGGCTGCTTGGTCCACGCCCGGTGATCTCAAGTATACCATCCCCGCACTCTCTGTCTCTGCGTGGTGCACATGTTGGGCCATGGCGACTCAGCGAAGATTCAGCTTTGATTGGACCAAAGTCTCACCGAGATTGGACCAGAACAAAAGACGGACAGAAGCCAATTCGGCGGCAGCCGAGGCGACGATGACGATGAACGACGGGAAATCCAGAGGCGTGGGCGGCGGTCCGACCGTCAAGGTTTGGCTGTGGGTGTGGAGAGATTTTTGCGCACGAGCCGCAAAGCGGGGCCACAATAATTCCCAAGCGAGAAGCCAAGAAGGACCGAAGTGGCTCCAGAGCGCGGAGATGCGCCATTCCAAGCACGGCCAATCACAATCAGAGCGGGAAACTTTTGTCAAGGCAGAAAAAGTCAAACTCAAACTCGCCTCTTTCGAATTTCGCTGCTCTCTGTTGGGCCCCAGGGCATGAAGCGTGCGGAGGAGGGCCTGACCAACTTCTCAGCTGCATCAGGGCGTGCAGGGTCGATCAAATTGACCGGCGACCGGGCTCGCCTTTGGACGCAGCGATGATTGGTTCCTACATTTCCTGCAGCAGTAGGCGGTCTCTTGTGTCTCTAACGATGCCTAGATCCTGATGTGGCTTCGGGAGATCTGCACGCCGCATGTCAGCTGCCTGGTCTTCTGAGTTCGTCCGAAGCACGGACAGGCCGTTCCGTCAACTTGACGCTGCGACATCGATTCGGGCAGTCGCGATTCTGATCACTCACAGCGAGGCCGGTTGGTCGGTTAGTGGGCTTGGAAGCCGCTATCGGTCAGCATCGTCTAGTGTCCTGTTTCGGAAGCTGACTATTGCCAACCGGTCTCGAGACCAAGATCGATCGGAACCGATCCGAAAGCGTGAGAACGTGCTTTCGCTGCGGTCAAAGTCAAAGCGTATGCAGGACTGCGTTGAATAATATCACCGTCACGTTAAGCCGCCACTTTGACGTGGAATCCTCGTGACCAGGCAAGCAGGCGTTGAAGTGTTGGGGACCCTTGTCTCAGAGAGCCATGCTGGCGCTACAAGAGAAATTCCGCGGCAAGCAGCAAACGCGTGGACTCACCGGGCCAGCCGGCTGAGTCTACCCCGCATTTTTGGAATTGGCTGAGCCAACACGGTATCGTCTGACCCTGGCCACCGCGCATCCCCAACTATCGGCTTGCGCCACCTGAGCACACTTGACCTTTCGTTCATCATCATTGATCAACGTGCCCTTCTCCATTCCATCTACGAGGTATCACACCAAGCAGACCCATACACAAGAGACAGAAGGGGAGCAACTCAGCATGCAGTCCATCCTCACACGTCAACACAAGATCTTTGCTGCATCGGCGGCGTTGGTCGTCGCCTCGTTCTCGGTGCTCTCTGCGAGACGGGCGGCTCACACTGCGAGCAGGACCGCGGGCGGGCGCATCGTCTCACCTGAAAGGAGCGGTGGTGGCATCTAACCCCTCGACCACGGGCAAACCCATCAACGTCGCCTGAGCCGAAGGACGGCAAGACGCCGGATCCATCTGCTCTATCACCTCAACGGCAACCTTCCAGAATCACGCATCTTGACGCCGACATCTCGGAATCACGCATTCATGTCTCCATCGCACCGCACACTCGTCGATCTCGCTGTATCTTCAAATGCAATATGGAATTCCAAAAACCCTTCTCCTAGATCGATGCTACGAAACTGAGCCACAATCTTCCCCTTACACCAGCGCAACCACCCCCTCCACGGCAGCCTGGACCGTCTCCAACCCATGGAACTCGGCGATCGTCGCTAAGCTCTTGAGCTTCTTCAACGTCTCCTTCCTGGTCACCATCAATCCAAAACTGCCACTGCACTCGCAGTGCGGTTGGAGATTGGTCTGCTTCAAACTGCCGCATTTGTTGCACCTTAGATCCTGCAGATGGAAGCTTTCGAGGTAGCTAGTGGCGATGTTGATGAGACGCATCTCCAAATGGGCGATGTTGTAGGGGAAAGCGCATTTGGCACACTTCCATTTGGGCGCCTCGCCTGCCGTCGTGGGCATCAGATCCGCATCGCGACACAGATCGAGCGTTCGATCGTCGTTGCAGAACGTGCAGATCACCAGCGGGAGCTTGAACGGCTCGCACGGATTACGGAACTCCGCTTCGGTGGAAAACTCGCGCACGTTGATCATGTCGAGCAGGTTGCGCTTCATGATCTGCACCTCAATCGCGCTTTCTTTCGATAGCGCGAGAACCGCCGTGGTGGTCTTGATGAACTCGAGCAAGGGATTGGACAGAGCGAGCCAGGAGCCAGGGAGTGCGGGGAAGGACCACATCCGCCGATGCTCCACCGTGAGCATGTCGACGTACGCCTCGTCCTCCTCCCGCGCCACTGCCGCGTTGATCTCGTCCGAAGAGATCTGCATCGCCGACTTGAGCTCCGAGAGTTGTTTGAGCAGTTTGCGCGTCATGGTGTGGTTGACGAGGTCCGTGGTGAACTTGGCGGCCGTACCCACGGTTGCGCCGGGTGCAGCTTCTTGATCCTTGCCGCCAGCCTCGCCATGAGGGGTGACCTGGTTGGCTGGCGTGTTAGGCTCCAGCACAGCGCGGAGCGGCGTGCGCTCGTGCTCCCCAGCCAGCGCCGCACGACGCTTGAACTCGTACAGGCTGTAGATGAACGATCCGACCGCAACCGAGAACTTCTCCTGAACCGCCAGAGGCAGGAAAGTTTGGATGTTCCAATTCATCTCGACGTTGAAGGTCGCTGTTGCAATCTGCCTATCTCGCTCCTCCTCCTGGTCCTCCCTCGGTGCGACCAGCGACTCGGCATCGGCGATGACACCGCCAAAATTGGCCGTGTCCATCCAGAGCAGGTACTCCCAGTAGTGGATGATGTCCAGCTGCACGTGCTTGAACAGCTCGCGACTCGTCACCGCCGAAAGCAGATAGCGCGAGTAGGCCATCGCATTGGCCGCCGTAGGCTTGCTCGTGAGCAAGAACAGCCGATTGAACGAGGCGTAGACGATCGAGGCTCCCAACCGCTTGAACTCGGCGAGCAGCTGGAGGAGCGTCTTCTTCATTAGCCCGAACAGGAATCGCTGCAGTGCCGGCTCGAACAGCGCCGAACCATCCGACGACGCCCAGCGCCAAAAGTTGTCCGACAGCAGAGCGGCGTATGGCGAGCGGCTGCGTCGCTTGGTCGTGTACCACGCCTTGACCATGCCCTTGACCGCGGCAAAGACGGCCGAGGTGAGCACCGAGTCGCCGAGGATCGTCGAGCTCTCCACGGTTCCCTTGGAGTATTCGTCCAGATTGTGGGTGGCACCTGCAAAGGCGAGGCCCGATGTGCTGCCCTCCATCTCGTTGACTGTGCCCGACTGGAGCACCGAGTCGACCGCCAGATCCACCAGTCCCACCTCGAGGCAGACCGTCGAATAGGCACCCGCGTGACTGATCTCGAGCGACTCCTGCTCGTCCCAGCGCGACTGCGCGTGGATGTCCTGCTCCCTTCCACCCAGATCCGGCTGCGGATGCGGCGACCACCACAGCACCATGTCCTGCTTGACCAGACGTCGCGCAAAGTCAATGTCGGCGCCAAAGATGGTAAAGTCCTTCTCCATGTTGCCGAGCGGCAGGTCGAAGTGGCTCGCGAGATCGATCCAGCCTCGGATCCAGCTCGAGGCTCGTAGGTAGCACTGGAACATTCTGCGTGCCGAGTAGAGCTGCCAACCGAGCGCCGGCAGCTCGTCTTCGAGCGCGGCTGCGGCGATCTTGACGATGGGGAACTCGGCGATGCTAGGCATGCGCGACTCGTAGTACGCCTGGTCCTTCGAAGTGCACAGTGCCAACATGGCCGAGCCCTGCTTGACAGCTTTGAGCGTAGCAAGGTCCTTAGCGAGCGCCTTGAAGGCACGAGACGCTGAAGTGTGTACGCGAGTGTCCACACGCATCGTGTCGCTGTACTCGAAGACTCCGCTTCCCTCGGGCAGCTTGCCACGTTTGCGCATGTGAGCAACACGGTCCGCGTACATGGTTTCGAGATTGGGCACCTGCCGCAGACCGGCGCTGTCGACGATGTGCACCTTGACCTCGCCCTCGGGACTGAAGAGACTCAGAACGTGGCGACCATCCCGGTTGGCGTGGTAGAGGTAAAAGTAGCGGAAGCCGGCGCCTCCAGACAGATACTTGTGGTTGGGCGAGATGTCGACCGAGGTGGGCGCAGACAGATCCTGCAGGCGGAAGCCGGTGTCGAGCGCTCGGTTGAGCTTCTGCGCCTGCGAGTTGCGGCCGTACACGCAGGTGGAGCCGAGCTGAATGAGCGCTCGCACATCGAGCGGTAATTGCTTTTCGTAGACACCTTCGACGTTGGGGTGGTGGATGAGGTTGCTGAAGTGCGCCTCTTGCTCCTGGTAGACGTCTTCGTCGACGGTGATGCGGTACAGGTGGCGGCAGGGCGTGTCGCGTGGCAGCGTCTTGACGAGCCTCTCGGCCTGGTAGATGCCAGACAGGAAGACAGCATTGCCGGGGTGGCTCTTGAAGTTGACGTAGAACTGACGCGGCACCTTGAGCTTGAGCGATTGAAGGTGCTGGTCGATCGAGATCCACAATCGATACTCTCCTGCGCGCGATGAGGGCGAGATCTGCACGATGTCCCAGACAGCATCTGCCATGTTGGCAGATCGCTTCGAGAAGAGCGAGCCAACGCCGCTCTTGCCGAAGCTTGACGAGCCGAACGCACTGCCACCGTTGGCTCTGGCTTTGCGCTCTTTGGCCCTCTGCAGTCGCTGTCGTCGCCACTTCTTCTTCATGACCGCGACCCATCCGGCGTAGTCGACGGTCATGTCCGGTGCCACCTCTTCCACTTCCGGCTCGATCTCTGTGATCTTGGCCACCGTCGCCACTGCCACCGCTTTCGAGGTTGTGCTCGCCTCGATTGAAGTGGCCTTGGCAGCTGGGTGGAAGACGTCCGTAAGCTTCCTCTGCTTGAACTTGTCCTCGCGTGCGGCCACTCGCTTGAAAAGCCAGTCGGGGTGACGCACCCTTGGCACAGGATTGGACACCTTCTGCATCGCCGCCGGAATCGTGATGAGCTTCTGGATGACACCGCCAAAGCGCTCGATGTAGTAGTTCCAGTCGAGGATGTTGCGAATGTCAAAGTCGGTGATCGAGTTGTCGCGCAAGAACTTCTTGAGGTAGTGCTGCTTGACGGATGGCTCGGCATTGAAGAGCGCGACAGGCACGGCACGCTCTGTGACGGGCGCACCGAACGGCTTGGCGCTGATGATGAACTTACACGCCAATCCTTTGTCCTTGATCATCTGAGCACCCAGGAACTCGGCCAGACGCTTGGCGGTGGTGATGGCCGTCGACTTTTGACTGCCGTACTCCTGCAACGTCTTGGACATGGACTTGTTCTCGGCGATCAAGTCGATGAGCTCCTCGTCGTGCAAGGTCGAACCCTTGCTGTAAAGCACGTCGAGCCACTGATTGGCGACCTTGGCGACAGCAGCATAGCACTCGTCGAGGGTCGTGCCCAGCAAGAACTTTTCGAAGATCTGCTTTTGGAAATCCTTGATGAGCTGCAACTCTCCTCTGCGCTTGACCTCGAAGCCCTTGAGTTCGGCTAGCGAGCCATCTGGGTTGAAGACGGCGTAACGCTTCTTGAGCAACTTGTCCTCCTCCTTGGACGAGGGCAGAATCATGGCCTTGTACGGACCGTCGAGTTCGAAGAAGATCGAGTTCTCGCTGCGCACCTCGTATCGTCCCGTCTCCTTGTCCACCAGTTCGTGGTACTGGTGGTTGGTGAATTTTTCGTGTACGAGGTGGTTGAGCATCGTGCAAGGGTACGAGATGCCAAACTTCTTGCCGCCCTTGACCTTGAACGTGAAGTCTTCAGGGAAGACGCCGGGAAGCATGCACCAGATTCCGTCGGTGTCGAGTTCCAGAGGACGGCCGATGCGTTCGACCAGCTCCTTGGCCATCTGAATGATGGAGGCGCCCGTGAGACAGGTGATGCCGGCCATCTCCATCGAGTACCAACGTGCACCTTTTCGCATCACATAGCCGTAGAAAGAGTTCAAGATACACTTGTGCGCGAGCTGGAGCGAGTCGTAGAGCACGATCATCTTCTTGGCTTCCATGGTGTCGTTCAGCGAATCGGCTTTGTCGAGGTTCTTCTTCCATGTCTTGTGGAGACCCTTGTACTCGTATCGGCGGTCACGGAAATCGCGCACCGTGTTGATGTAGAAAGGGTTCTCGCGCTGGCAGATGACGGCTTCGCGAATGACGGTCTTGGATTCGTGCGTCTTCCTGTAGACCTTTCGAGAGTAGTCGCCGAGACGCTTGTGAAGCAGAGCAGTCCTCTCGTTCTGCTCGAGGTCGTCGTAGGTGCGACGGGACTGGTTGGCGAATTTGGGCGGAAAGGTCTCGTTTGCGAGGGCGTTGCGGATCATGTTGACCTCGTCGCGCTTTGCAGGGAAGTACTCGCCTCGCCAGGCCCAGTCCATGCGTTTGTCGCACTTCATGCCTGGGCGGTTGTAGTCGCAGGTGGCGCACATGGCCTCGCTCACCATGGAATCCGGCTGAAGCCGGTAGCTAAGCATGATGTTGGGGTACATGGCAGCGACGTCCAGGTGGTAGATGAGCGGGCGGTCCTTGCGGATCGGTTGATCGCGCATGACTTCGAGCATCGTGCGGATCTCGGCCTTGACCTCGTCGTAGTTCTCGATGTCGTCGAGCGCAATCTTGCCCTCCTCTCGGATGCTGAATTGCAAGGCTGCGTCGAGATCGTCAATGAGCTGCTGTATCGCGGCAGGGTCGACGCGGAAGTCGGTCTCGATGTCGGAGCGGAAAACACCCGCTTCCAAGGCTTCGACGTGTCCTCCGACGTAGGTCTCGGATTCGAGGAGATGACCTTTGTACGTGTTGCCGACGGGATCCTCGTGACGGTTGGGCATGATGATGTTGCCTTTGAATGCCTGCACCATGAGAAGCGTTTCGCACAAGGTACCGGAGCCTTTTCGGAGCACCTCATCCGGGTTGAGGGGAATGATGTTGCAGAGCGAAAAGATGAAGGGGTGAACGTACTTCATGTAGAGGTAGTAGGTGGCGACGGCGTCGGATACCGAGTATTGTGCTAGTGTCTGAGGCTGTTCGATGGCGTACGGAGTCATGAGTTCCGGGTCGAGCTCCATGGGGTCGTAGCCGAGCTTGGCGACGGTGACGGCCTTGAGACCTTGAGAGCCCTGAGGCAGGTACGAATCACGCTGCACCCATCGGAAGCAGTCGAGATGCGCCGTCGCTCGCGACTTGTACTCGTTGTCCGAGTCCTTGGCGAAACCGATCTCGCTCATCATGTTGAGGCCGTGGGCTTGGGCACGCGCGTCGATGAAGGGGAAATCGAACGAGTCACCGTTGTACGTCGCTACGACGGTGGGTCTCGCCTCGCGGAAATGGCTGAAGAAGCGATCCAGCACGCCGAGCTCGTCGGCTTCGTTGAAGATGATGAAAGGACCTTCGTACTCGTCCTTGGGGGTATATTCGAAATCTTCAATATCTTCCGAGACGATCTCGCGGTTGGTGATGAGGAAACCTTGACCATCAATCATGTACGAGATCATCATGATGGCGTCGGTCTCGGCGTCGGGGAACTTGAGTGGCTGTTTGGTGGTCTCGATATCGAAAGCCATGACGACCGGATCGGCACGCTTGACACGCTCCGAGACCATCTGGAGGCTGACAACGCCGTCTATGAAGCTGACATCGTACCAGAGACCGACACGGACGTCCTGATCGATGGCGACACGAAGGTAGTAGGGGATGTCGTATTCGCGGATGTCGACAAGGCACTCGGCAGGGTCAAGAGCGCTGGCGGCGGCTCGCTTTCGTCCGCCTGTCCAGCCGTCGTCGCCGACCAGACCAGAGGACTCGCCGTTATTGTCCATTTCGATCTCGACGGAGGCACTCGCTGCTGCTGCCGAGGCTGCGCTGAGCACGTCGGCGTACGTGTCTACCGCCGAGAGCTTCTTTTGCGCTGCTTTCGCGATGGGGAGGAGCTCCTTTCGGACCGAGAGAAGGTCTTGGACGTTGAGAAAGGTGAGTCGGAGGTAGAGTCGTTGATGGCCGAGCAGGTGATTTGGCAGCTTGAGGTCCTCCTTGCGGTCTCGCTGTATGGATTGGATGAGGCCTTCGAATCTGCGTCGGAGCCATTCTTCCACCGAGCTCTCAGAGCCTGGTCTGCATCCGACGAGGAAGTATGGTTGGTATAGGACGGTGGCCTTGAACATACTGGCGTCGTCATCGATGAAGTAGAAGTCGACACCGCTCTTCCCTGTTGGGTGATCTGGGTCGCGGAGGAGGGTGGGGTGCATGTTGACGAGCCATGCTTGCTTTGTGGCGCCTTGCTCTAGACGGTGGAAGCCGAGTTTCTCGTCAATCTCGTCGCGCTCCTTGACTTCTTGGAAACGTTCCTCGACGGCGGAGCCATCTTCGATGCCTTTGACGAGCTGTGCGGCCGCATTGGCGATGGCCTTTTCTGTGGCGCTCTTGAATGAGCCGGAGCGTGGACCGCCTCCTCGTTTGCGAAAGGTGCCGCGAGAACGGACGTTGGATCCACGGCCTGTGAGTCCAAAGGTGCCCGGCATGGTGTAAACAGGCTTGATTGCCTAGAAGCGAGGCTGTGGTGTTTGGGAGAAAGAGCACGGGTCTACGATGCTTGTAATGTCTAGGGCCGTCCCGAAGGGTATGAGTGTGAAGAGAATGCAAATAGAAGGGAGATTGCTGAACCGAAGGCGCTGTATTGAGGGTCCTGTGAATCCGTCCGGGTTGGGCGGGAAGATGCTGAACAATGCTGATGCTGATAGAATGCTTGAGATGTATATGAAGACGCCGAGCCAGGAGAGGGTTGATGAGGATGATGAAGCGAAAGGGAAGGGGAAGCTGGAAGTAGTGAGCCTGTCTCGCATACGCTGCTCTGCTCGAAATTTCAACCAACACTGCAGCAGCTGCACTCGAAAGCACACGACGCGTTGCTTGCTGCTGTCCTCTCTCAGCCCAAGCAAATGGCGTTGAGTAGACACGCGTCTCATTTTCCGAGCTTGAGGCTGTTAGGTTGGCAACAAATATGCCGTCAATTTAGCCGACCATCTACTCGACTTTGGCATGTCGATCCTCCAGCTCTCTTGTCGAACCATGATGGCGCAGCCCCTCAGCGAGCCGTGCCCAGCGACCAAGGAGCTTTGGCTGGACTGATGAGTGGTGTGGTCAGGGCGGGCTCTCGGAAGCAGATATAGGTGCGCATCACACCTCAGTCAAGTAGCTCGATGTGGTACAGAAAGCAGGCGTAGACGTGCATCATCTTCCGAGCTGTCACGTCAGATGACCCTGCTGGCCGAACCACATCAAAAAAGTGTGTCTTTGCATCAAAAAGTTTGTCCTTCTTCCTCCAGCATCATCTCTGGTCGAGCCTTGCTTCATATATACCCATCGGCTCGATCAGACCACCCGCACCCCTGACCACTCACTCCACTACGCAGAGCAACCATGTCGAGCTCCTCCGAAGCGCTCGTCCTCTGCCTTTATGCAGGAGGCACCATCGGCATGGTGCGCAAAGACGCCTCGTCTGGCTTCGCACCTTATCCCTCGTTCCTCACAGAGACGCTGCGCAGCCAGTCGCGCTTTCACGATCCGCACGCCGACTCCATCTTCTCCTGGTCCGATTCTGTGGACCGATACAAGGCGTGGAGCGAGGCCTTCACTCGGCCTGGGTCGGGCGCTTCTACCCCGCTCAACGGCAGCAGTAGCAAGGACAACGCTGTCAACTCGATTCCTGCGGAAGGCGATCTCGCAAAGGCAGTTGCTGAGAAGAGGGACCAACTCGAGGTCGACGGCGCTTCACAAGCCAACAAGAAGCGCAAGAGCGAGCATGATTCCACAGGCAAGAAAGGATCCCTCACTCCCTCGACGCAGGCTCACCTAGATCACATCTATGCCGACACCGCTTCTCGCTCCCCCTCAGGAGCCGCATCATCCGGATCACCGCCCTTTGGTCATCCCGTCCTCGTCCGCTCTTCCGCGCCGAAAGGCACATCCACTCACCATGCCCACTCGTCCAACCTCTCACCCGATGGCAAACATCTCGAGCTCCAACTCCCCACCCTCATCACACCCCGCTCCGGCGCCAACGGCAAACGCGTCCGCTATGCCGTCCTCGAATACGATCCTCTCCTCGACTCTTCGGAGATGGACATCCCCGACTGGATCCGCCTCGCCTCCGATATCTCGCTCAATTACCAGGCCTTTGACGCCTTCATCGTCCTCCACGGCACCGACACCATGGCCTACACCGCGTCGGCGCTCAGCATGCTGCTCGAGAACCTTGGAAAGTCGGTCATCGTCACCGGTGCCCAGGTACCGCTGTCAGAGCTGCGGAACGATGCGATTGAAAACGTCCTCGGCGCGCTCATGCTCGCTGGATCGTACATCATTCCAGAGGTGGGGCTGTACTTCGCATCTACGTTGTATCGAGGTAATCGCACAAGCAAAGTGTCAAACAACGCGCTAGCAGCTTTCGACTCGCCCAACATGGCACCCCTCGCCAGGGTAGGGATCAACATCGAAGTCGCCTGGAACCTCGTCGAGCGCTCGAGGAGTGTCAAGAGCTTCCGCGCGCACGATCGCATGTCGCCCAACGTGGCAGTTCTCCGTCTCTTTCCAGGGTTGCCGACCAGCACGGTCAAGAGCTTCCTCTCGCCTCCGCTGCAGGGGGTCATCCTCGAATCGTATGGCGCAGGCAACGCTCCTTCACGGCAGGATCTGCTGGACGTGTTCAAGGAGGCATCCGATCGCGGGCTGGTCATTGTCAACATTACGCAGTGCGTTCAAGGCGAGGTCTCGGCGATCTATGCTGTGGGCAAAAAGCTCGAAGCGGTCGGCGTCGTAGCAGGAGGAGATATGACGCCCGAGTGCGCGCTTGCCAAGCTCTCGTATCTGCTAGCCAAAGGACTCGAGCCGGAAGAGATCCGCGAACTGATGGGTCGACCACTCCGCGGTGAGCTCACCAGCAGTCGTGGCGGCTCAGGCGGTCAAACCATCCCACAAGAACTGACACCAGCCGGTCTCGGCCCTATCAAAGCGGACATCAAGACGCTCCTCGCGCACATCCTGCACAATCCGCAATCCACCACCACCCTCTCCTCTCCCACCGACACTTCCGGGCCCGCCTCCGCCGCCGGGTGGGACCACTCCTCGCACGAAGTATCCAAAGCATCGCTCGCCGTCCTCCCATACCTCATCTACGAAGCTGCCTCTCGAAACGACCTCCCGCTCCTCCAATGGCATCTCTACGCGCTTTCTCAGCTGGAGACAATTCCAACCATCTCGATCGACGAAGAGCATTTCCACCCTGCGACGCTCAACCCCTCCACCTCGAATGCGAGCGGCGATGCAGCGTCGACCTCGCACATCGTCGACAATGACTCGACGACGCCGCTGGAAAAGATGCAGCCGTTGCACCTTGCCAGTGCGCGAGGATATACGGGGGTGGTGGAGCAGCTGTTGCAGGCCGGGTGCAGCGTTCATGCGCGGGAGGTGGCGACGGGTCACTCGCCGCTGTTTCTGGCATGCAAGAATGGCAATTTGGCCACGGTGAGACTGTTGCGCAATGCAGGCGCGCATTTGAAGGAAGATGAGGTGGCGCTGGCGAGGTTTTTGGTTCAGAGGCAGGAGGAGAGGAGCAAGGACGACAGCGAAGCGCGCAAAGTGTGGGAGGTGGCAGGCGTGTCTTTTGCTTGAACTAGGGGTGGTCGATCCGTTTGCATTCATAGAAGCTTTCTCTTCACAGTCAAACAACGTCCGGTGTCAAACCTTGACACGGCATCCTCGCCGCCCTTCACCCTGCTCCAAGTGTCTGCGCACCGAACCTGATTCCGCTTGAGAAGACGTCGTCCCGGTGCACTGTCCCTCGCTCCACCTGAGGATACGCTGCCCCTGTCTGCTCAACAACATGCATCCTCTCCAGCAAGAGCAGCCCCTACTCCTTAGCAATCTTAACAATCGCCGCGTTCCCCAGCACGACCGCTTGCCCATCCCCATACTTTGCACCTGCATCGCTCGCCAAACCCCTCTCCTTCAACGCCGTTGGTCCCTCCATCCCCGCCTTGAGCATAGCCTTCGCGACATCACGAACGTCGGCCTGGACGCTGGTGCTGAACTTGCTCATCAGGCCCATGATGGGTTCGAACGTCTTTTCCAGAATCCTAGTGCCCGGTCTTTCCGCGTTGGCGAGGTAACCGGGTCTCATGATGACCGTTTTGCCGTACAGCTGTGCGAGACCTTCTTCTGTCAACCCTTTGCTCTTCAAATACGGGAATAGGCTGCTGGAGCTGGAACCGCCGGAGGAGCAGTACACCACACTCTCCGCCTTCCCAGCGAGAGCCTTTGCCGCCGCCAACACGTATCCTCGATCGATGCGTTCGAACGCCTCCATTCCCCCAGCAGCGGCGCGCGTCGTACCCATCGTGATGTACACCGCACTCGCCGCATCGATCGATGACAGCTTGGCAGTTTCAGTGGAATCGCCGTTGTACACCTTGTCAAAGTCCACCAGCACCTCGCGGAACTGGATCGAGGTGGGTGGTGGCGAAGGATGGGCTCGTCGTGCGAACGAGTAGACGGTCTTGTAAGGGGAGGAAGAGGAGAGGAGTTCCGAGAGGAGATGCTTGCCTACCGCTCCTGAGGCTCCCAGACTGGCGCAAACAAGGGATGAAGGTCAGTGTGACGACCAGAAATTGGGCTTTGGGTTGTGCGGCGTGTGACTTACATGACGGCGGTCTCGCCTGCCTTTGCTGCGGTCGACATGATGGCTCTGATTTGTTGGACGATCTAAGGCGAATAGGCTCGTCTGTCAGGAGAGTGATGGTTCGAAAGCAAAGGAACAAGCTGAGTATAGGAAAGGGTCAAGCAGGGTTGTGTGTCCGTGCTCTTATATGCGAGGCGCTCTTTGAAAGCCCCTCTCGCCGGTGGAACGCGCGTCCGCTCAGGACCCTGAAGCGATCCGGTACAGCGGGCCTGTGCTGCTCTGTGGCTTGCAGACCAGCACGCTGCCGTGTGCTTGACCTGGTCCTCCCAGCTGCGTGAAAGCGACGTTGACCCATCCTTGCCCCACTTCGGTCGAGGCTTCAACGCTCAGTCCCAGCAACGGCTAACAACCCACGTCACACCCACACACTTCAAGAACGAAAGACGATGCAACGGATTTTGATATTGAATGCAGGCCCAACACGCGGAACAGGATCGGCTGACTAGCCTTACCAGCCGAACTGTCCGGCATTGAGACCGTCAAAGACGAAGCAACGGGAGAAACAAGTGTACACTATAACGAAAAAGAGAAAGGCCCATGCGGAACGGAAAATGCTGCTGTTGGTTGATATAAGATGACTACTTCTTGAGCGTACCCATGACACGAGCGGGCGTAGCCATCTCGATGTGGAAGTCGTCCGCAGGGTGACGGTAGAGACCGGCCTTGAGGCGCTTCTGGTCGATGTGGTGACCGATGAAACCGATCGATCGGCCAAGGGTGAAGATACCGTTGAGGAAACCGTAGCTGAGGTAGTCGCGGGCCTCCTCCATGGTGAAGGCACCCGAGTCACGCAGCAAGTCGACAAAGCAGACAGCGAGACAGCCGTCGACGTTGAGGATCAGAGTATCCTTCTTGGCGGTCGTCACCTTCTCGACAGCGAGAGCGTAGTCGAGCATCTTGTGCGAGGGGAAGTTCTTGAGGATAAACTCCTTAACCACCTGCACACGGTAATCCGGGTTCGAGACCGACTTGATTTTGTGGCCGATACCAGGGATGAGCTTGTTGCCCTTGCGCATGCTGTCGACAAACTCTCGTGCCGTCAGGCCGCGGTCGTAGGCGTTCGAGAACTCGGTGGCAGCGTCGTCGAGCGCACCACCGAATCGGTCACCAATGGTGAGCAGACCCGAAACGAGCGACGAGATGAGGTCCTTACCGGCACGCGAGGTGATGATGGTGTTCATGGCACCGGACACAGCAGGACCGTGGTCGGCGGTGAGCATGAGTGCCATCTCGATGAATTTGGTGCAGTAGTCGGGCAGACGGCGCTTGAACCAGAGCAACGAGATGACACCACCGATACCCATACCGGACTCGAAGACCTCCGAGATCTTAACACCAGAGTACATGAGCTCGGATCCACGCTCGTCCGAGATGGTCGAGATGAAGGCGGCGGGCTTGCGGACCATGCCGAGCTCCTGGGCCCACTTGTAGTCGACGGGGATCGCGGGAGCAGGGCGCTCGGGCTTAGGCTGAACAGTGCCGTTGGCAACGAGCTTGTTGTACACCTCACGAATGACGGCGGGCAAGTCCTCGAAGGTGTCGGGGACGACGAAGCCAGCAGCCTTCATGGCGGCGTTCTTGGCCGAGGCCGTCTCCATGTCGCTGTTGGCCATGGAACCGGCGTGACCGAACTGCACCTCGGTGGTGAACATCTTGGCGCAGGTACCGATGGCCCAAGCCACGATGGGCTTCTTGATGGTGCCGTTCTTGACGGCCTCAATGACACGGTACTCCTCGATACCACCGACCTCACCGAGCAGCACAAGCATCTTGCAGTCGGGGTCCTGCTCGTAGCGGAGCAAGTGGTCGATGAACGTGGTTCCCGGGTATCGGTCACCACCGATGGCAATACCCTCGTAGGTACCGTTGGTGGTGATCGAGAGGATGTTGTTGAGCTCGTTCGACATACCACCGGACTTGGAGACGTAACCGACGGAGCCGGGGCGGTAGAGCTTGGACGAGAGGATGTTGTCCATCATACCACCGGAGTTGCCGATACGGAAGCAACCGGGCTTGATACCACCGACGGTGGCGGGGCCAATGATGAGGACACCGGCCTTCTCGGCACGGTGGAGGATCTCACGTGCGTGACGCTCGGGCACACCCTCGGCGATGAGGGCGAGGGCGCGGATCTGGGGGCAGGCGAGCACCTCGAGGGTGGACGAGTAGACGGATCGGCTCGAGGCAAAGTTGACCACCACGTCGGCGTCGGGGTGCTTGGCGACGGCCTCCTTGATGCTGGTGTAGACGGGGAGGAGCGTCTCCTTGGTGCCCCAGTAGAATTTCTGGATGTGGTGACCACCGAAGGGGTAGATCATGGCAGCAACCGAGGGAGTCTGACGACCGCACGAGAAGTCAAAGTCGAGCATGCCCTGGATGGCACGGGGCTGCAGACCAAAGACGAGCGAGCGGGTGTTGGCATCGAAGGGGCGGTACGCGGGACGCTGACCGGCGGTGGATCCAGCACCAAAGTGGACGATCTGGTCCTGGGGCTGGACACGCTCGCCCGTGGCGTGGTCGATGGTGCCGATGGCCTGGTCGTCGGCCTTCTTGCCGTTGGCAGCACCGTGGCTAGGGGTAGCGGCACCCGAGGGGAGGGTGTTCTGCTGCTGCGAGGCGAGCGTGACCTCCTCGAAGGTCTTGACGCCGAGAGCGAGGGGCACGATGTCGGTGATGTGGGTTTCGGGGCCAAAGACCTGGATCTCGACACCGAGGTCCTCACCGAGAAGGCGCATGGCCTTGAGACCCTCCTGGTAGTTGGGACCACCACGGCGGACAAAGATGCGAACGCCGTGCTTGGCGAGCGAGAGCTTGTACTCCTTGAGGGCGCGGATGATACCCTTGAAGGTGGAGGCGACGTTGGTGAAGTTGGCAATACCACCACCGATGATAAGGAGCTTGCCCTTGGGGTTGACCTCGCCGCGGGTCATGAGGTCGAGCAGCGTCTTGGCGTACTCGAAGGTCTGGCCCTCGGAAGGAGCACCCGAGTACTCACCGTAGTTGGCGAGCTCGTTGGCGAAGCCGTGAGCAGCGATGGCATCCGAGTAGACGACGGAAGCACCACCACCGGCAACCATGGTCCAGATGCGGCCAGTGGCGTTGAGCACGGTGAGCTTGAGCGAAGCACCGGTACCGGAGTCAAGCTTGGCAATGTAGGCCTCCTCCTTGGTCAGGTCACGACCGAAGGGAGCGGGCCAGTACATGGGCGGGCCACGGTCCTCGCCAGTGGAGTTGGAGGCACCGGCAGCAGCGCCCATGTAGATCGAGGGGTCACGAGCGATAGCCCACTTGGGACCGCAGATGGAGTCGGCGGTCTGGTCGAGCTTGGCAGCCATGTCGAGGTAAGCGATCTGTCCATCGTCGGTGGCGACGAGAGGGTTGATCTCGAGGTAGGCAAAGTGGAGGTCGACGTAGACCGAGTAGAGGCGGATCAAGAAGTCGGTGAGAACCTCGCGCTTAGCAGCGGGGACACCGCCAAGGAGGGTGCTGGACCACTGCTCGCGCTGGGGGAAGGGAGCGGAAGGGTCGGCGGGAATGAGGAGCTTGAGCGCCTTGGCGTCGACATCACCGACGTCGACACCACCTTCGTGGGTGAAGAGGATCCAGTCACCCTCTCGTGCCGAGTTGATGCAGACGTAGAACTCGGTGTCGGCAGGGTGAGGGCAGAAAGGCTCGACAATGAAGTTGTTGAGGGTACCGGTGACGGACTCGACCTGCTGAGCCTTGCCGGCACGCTCCTTGATCCAGGACTCGGCGTCAGCCCAGTCGCAGTTGAGCTTGAGGAGGCCAGCCTTTCCACGACGCTTGATAAGCTGGTCTGGCTTGGCGACGAGCTTGGAGGACTGGACCCACGCTGGGAGCTGCGAAGCGTTTGTGATGGTGTTGGACTCGGGGTCCCACGAGATCTGGGCGACCTTGGGAGCGGGAGCGACAAAGTCGGCGTTGACCTTGATGTCGGCGTTGGCCAGAGGCGATCGAGGCAACCAGTAGTTGACCAGGAGCTTGGCATCAAACTCTCGGATAGCTGTAGGAAAGGGGATGAGAATGGGCAGCAATATGTTAGCGGAATGATCCCTCTCTGCAGCCAAGCCGGTCGCGCTTCTCCTGCGTCTGCTGCAGCTCCTTCTGATCCACGCTCGGCGCTCCTTCGAGCTCAACCTTGCGGCCTTTGAGGCCAGCTTCAAGGCTGTGCTTTGCGAGCTCTCTTTGCTCGCAAGAGCCGTCCTAAAGCGCCAGATTCGTGCATGAGAAACGTACCTTTGGAAGACATGTTGGCAGAGGTATATGGTGGAGACCAGGGTGTTCTTTCGTAGCTTTTTTGACGAGAGCAGGGACGATCTTTTGTGGGTTGATGTGCGCAAGTTGGATGAATGCGACGTGCGGCGACAGAGAGTAAAGGCTAGATACTCGGAGACGACGTTGACTTCGCGGAGGTGGTCGACGAGCAATCGAATGTACGTTTGGAGGAGGATGAGCAACAGCGACGGGAGGGAGGATGAGGATGATGGTGAAGGAGAGGAACCGAGAAGGAGCTCCGATGCGAAACGAGGAATATACGCGAGCTGGAACTGCTGCGCACTGACGGTTCAAAAAAGTGTGGTCTGACCGTCTCGCCAGAGTCAAGTCGGGAAGACTCAGACAGCTGCAACACACGCTCTGTTGCTTTGCGTTTGGTTCAGGCCAGGTTGAGCCAAACGAGCCGAGCGAGTCCATTCCAGCAAATGGGCCGACTGACCCAACAAGACTGACTGACACGCACCAAAAAAAAGAGAGCTTGGACGGTCAGGCCAGCTGAATTTTCTTAAAACTTGCCTGGCCCTAGCGTGAGGCAGACCAACACTTTTCGTTGCGCTAACCGGGTCGAGCTCGTGACGTTTCCGGAAATCCTCGCCAAATTTCCTGAAAGAGCACAACAACTCGTCTCTGCCTGCTCGCCAGTCTCAAGCCAGTTGGAAGAAAGTAAATTTAAATTTAAATCGTAAAATGGCCAGACCCTTGAAATTCGCCTGGCTACAGCCAAAATAGAAGGCGGCGGAAAGCACAGCCAGCCCATTTCACGCGTGGAACTTCGCAAAGCCAGACGTGGCAGCAGCAAGGCAGGCTTGTCGATTAAAAATCTCTCGGGCTGCAGGCTGTGATTGATCATGTGGACTCTGCCTGCCAAATCGATCCGCGCTGTTCTTCTCACCTTCCCAAAGTTCACTTCTTCGCGAGGAGCTGTGCTGTGCTTTGCGAGTGGGTCAGCCTGACATAGAAGCCTTCTGGGATCATGATCATGTGACTTGACGACGTACGCCTGTCTACGATGAGGTTGCGGTGTCGGTACAGCTGGGCTGGGTCGCGAGAAGATCAGCTCAGCTTCTACGATGCGAACGCAGCTCCCCAACGAATCACGAAGCGGCCAACGGCCAAATGATCGGACCTGGATCGGCGACATTCATGCTGACCGTGCGAATCTTCTCAATTGTGTGCCAGATGATGGCCGAGCCGGCTTGCTGCGTGACGCTGGGTTCGCCAACCTGCCGGTCAATTCCAGTCTCGGTCGCTGCGTCCGCGTCCTGAGTGGCGTGATCTCTCTCATCCCGAGACAGAGTCGTTCGTCGGAAGATGGTCTTATTGACGGGACTCCATGCAGAACCTGCATAGCCCAGCTGTGATTCGTCACAAGATGTGTGCTGTTTGAACTGCGCCGTGATCATACAGAGACACAGCCCGGGTCTTCCGATCGTGACCCCCCCTGCAGCACAGCGAAATGAGCCACATCCACTGCCTCACATCCCTCGTCAGCAACGATCTAGGCCATTCCATCCGTACAGAGCGCTGCATCCGCAACACTTCCTGTGCAGTCGCAAATCGTCCTCATAATGGTCCGACTCCATGCGTGAAAGGATACGCGTGTGTGAAAGGGCATCATCGCTGGTAGCCGCTCGGCTGCAGTATCTGACGGTGCCCTCTTTCGGATAAGATTTGCCAGCTCGCTTCCAAACCCCCTTCAAGAAGATCTGCAGGCAGCAGCGGAGCGGAATCGATTTTGGGAATTTAATTTCGTGATTTTTGGGAGAGCAGCCGGAAGTTTAGCAGACCGCGCGTTACGCTGGGCGTACCGTCGTGTGACGAGGTATCGATGTGGGCGAGCGCAAATCGATTTTTGAATCTGAGATGTGAGTTTTCGTGGGAGTAAGCAATGTTAAGCTGAAGAGGCTTTCGGAAGTCGGCCACCAGCTCCGCGTCGTCAGAGACCAACACTTTCTTCTGACGCTCTCCACACGATACCACTGACAACCGCACTGCAAGCATGATGACGAGCACGACACTCAATCCCGCAGCGCTGAAAGCGGACGTTCACCTGGTCACCTCTCCTGCCCCTGTGATTCCGACTCGAACCGTCACCGTCACCATCAATGGCATCTCCACCACCGTCATCGCTCAATCCTTCACCGATCGCATCTTCATAACCGTCACGCAGCTTTCCAAGTTTGGCTGTCTGTACCAAGCCTCAACCTCCTCCAATCCTGCGGCTCCCTTCGAAGATGGCGCGATCGGGACAGGGCTGCCTCCTCCATTGCCAACGACAGTAGTAAGCAAGCTCGTCGGCACCGAACCCAGCCCTGCGTACACCACGCTGTATCAGCTGTACGTCAGCCAGATTGCGAGTATTGTAAAGAGCGGGGCGAGCGGTGAAGATAGACCGTTGGTGGTCAGTCTGGCGCTCAAGACAAGTCCGAGCGCGGAGAAGGGCAGGGATGAGGAGGACGACGAGGCGGAGGAGTTGCTTCTGACCAGCGAGGACGAGAGAGCGCGGTTCATGGCCGTCATGGAGGCTGTTCAGAGGTGCATGGTCTGGTAGATGCTTCACTGCGTCGCGATCGCATCCGAACCGTTCATCAAGCAAGCACAGACACACGCAAAGAGGCGCGTAAGCCGCAATAAAAAGACCAAATTGGCGGTCGATGCGATCATCGGGCTGTTCAAAACACCGACCGGCGAGCACGGCTCGTTCCCGACGCCGGCGGATCGCGCCTCCTCCGGGTAGAAGTGCTTCGTCCAAACCCGGCAAAGTTGCCATCGTCATCGTTTCCACCGCCGTCCTCGCTACCATGATCGTCATCGCTGTCGACTAGCATCGTGGCGGTGCGCGCGGTCGCCCGTTTCTTCCGGCCAGCAGCGGCGTTCGAAGGCGTCGCCATATCGTCGTCGCTGTCCTGGACCACCGCGGCCGGTCTCTTCCTCACCCGAGCGGCGCTACCGCTCGCTCCGGCTGTACGGGATTTAGAACCGTGACGTCGCTCCAGCATCGTCGTCATGTCCGCTTCGTCCTCAGAGTCCATCGAGTCACGCCCGTCTAGGCCCAAATCGACGGCGGTCTCCTCCACCGATGCTGGATCCAGCGCAACTCGACTTCGGGACTTGCCCTTGCCGCGCGATGTCTGCACTGCCTCACTTGCTCGGCGCGAGCCGATAGACGCCTCCGCAGCCGGACCCGATTGACCGTCTGGATCCTCCCAGTACGACTGGCCCAGGCCATAGTCATTGCTCTCTGGCAACACCATCGAGATTCGCGGTCGCTGCGAGGCGTTGGCCGGCGCTGCACTACCGACAGCCTTCGGACGGAACTTCTTAAAGTTCGGCACGCCATCCGTCCCCTGCGGCGTCTGCGATCGCGCATCCACCACCTTCTTGGTCCGCACCAGCGGCACAAAGTCGACTTGCACAAAGTTGCCCCGGACGTGAATGCGCAGCTCCTCCTCCGCCATCTGCTTGAAAGCCTCGTAGTCTTCGTCGATGGGGGCATTGCTTGCATCCTGCTGCTGTTGCGCACCACGACCTGGCCGAGAGCGGAGCGTGCCGCCGAGCGAGCTCAGCTGCGACTGTGTGCCCGGCTTTGCAATCTGAAGACGGTTGAACTCGACGTCAAAGTCGTCCATCCTTTTGCCCTTGGCGCGCTGTGTGTTGAGTGCTTGCAGGAACTGCGGCTCCGAGTCGGGCTGTGCGCCGTTCGACAAACCTTCAGTTGTGGGATCATTGCGTACAATGCGCGCTGGCTCTGCCTGCGGAATTTGACTCTCTGGAAGGTCACCGTCCTCCGCCACCTCCGGGCCAGTTGTGCGCGTCCGCTTCGATGTTGGACTTTGAGCATCAGCGCTATGATCCTGGTCCTCATTGGACTCTCGCCTCAGCGGAGGTGTCTTTCGTTTGTAACCGTTGGCGTCAGCTTGCCTTCCCTCGGACCCCTGCGTCTGGGCTATCGACTCACTCTGAGCACGGTCTTCCTCATCGAGGTCCATCCTGTACCGCCGGCTCCTCGGAACGGCTGCAAGACTTTGGCTGTCGCCAGCAAGCGATCCGTTCACATCCTCAAGGCCAGCAGAAGCGCCGCCTTCCGATTGCAAGATCGAGTCGAAGATATCGGATCGTCGAGCACGACTGGCACCAGTTCGTCTTGTGAGACCACTGCGTTCAGCTCGGGTGAGTTGCGAGGCAGACGTGTCCATATGGGAGCGGTCCTGGTCTTGCAAAGCGGCAACACTGGTCCCACCAGACTGATCCCCGCTGGGTCCCGCGTCGCGGTTCTCTACTGCATCGGCCTCCTCAGCATCGTGGGTCGGCTTCCGTGTCCGACGTGTGAGAGGCCTCCTGGTAGGTTCGGCAAAGGTGCTGGGAGGCTCCTGAGCGGCTGCAGGCAATTCTTCTGCTGCAGGTGCAGGTGTTGAGACAGTCCGAGAAGCTTGACGCGCTGCGGCGGCTGATGAGAATGGAGCGTTGCTAGGAGCTTGCTCTAGCGCAGTAACATCAGCCTCAGGCTCGCGTTGGGGACTCGGCTGAGCAGCTGCCGAGGGTGCAGCTTGGGCCACTGCTGGTTGTATCGACTCGTCCTGACCATCCGAAATGTTTGGAAGAATGTTCAGATGGGCCCGAACATCTGCTGAAAACACAGCAGAGGTGATAGCTTCAAAGCCCATTGGCATGGCGATGCGAAGATTTGTGCATGCGATCGTACACGCATTCTTCCAAGGCGTATAGTCGTGCTTGCTAGCGACAAGCACCACTAGACCCTCATCGGGCGCCTCGCTGCGTGCTTTGCTTCCGCTGTTGCGCCAGTACGAGAGCGCACTGCTCTTGTACGGCATGAGCAGCTTGGCGAAGTCGGCTTTTGTCTGCAAGCTCTCGGCTTGGGGGTTGTGGATGAAGACGTGGGCTCCAGCTGTGGCGAGGATGCTCTTGTAGATGCTCATTTCGGATTCTTCAGTCGGAAGAGCAAAGAGGACGCAGGTGGTGCCTTTGAGCATGTATGTGCGGCGCTCCTGTGGCAGCAGCAGCTTATGAAGGTCGGGAAGTTCGCTGAGCTCTTGCTGGTCAAATGTGGGCTGATAGGTGAGCAGGTCGAGCTCTTCGAAAGACGTCTCGAGCGAAACTGGGTCGTGGCGAGGCAGCTCGGCTCGACAGAAGAGCTCTTGGAAGTACTCGATGGAGACGATGGCTGCGGCGTGCAGAAGCGCACAGTGGACTGATTCGGTGGGCTTGACCTGGGCCACGCAGAGATGAGTGTAGCCGTCTCGCCATTTTGACTTTGGCGGCGAAAGATAAATGCCGAGCTGAAGTGCGGGTTTGCGGAGCGGCGCAATCGCTGACTCCTTGATCTTAGCAGCAAAGCAGACTGCCAGAGGTTTCCATACAAGACGCAGGGAGATGGTGGTGGTGAGAGCAAAGGAGTCACCATCCTGAATCTCATGCTCATGATCCGCCGGCACTTGCACTTCGACTGGTTCGGAGCCGGAGGAGCGGCGCGCGGAGTTGGGCTGCTGGGTCACGCCAAACGTCTTTCTGCTCTTGTTGGCTTCGAATCGGATCGTAACCCGAGGCCGAACGCTGAGGTCCTTGTGGAAGGCTGCAGGGTCAGAAAGACCAGCCGCATGACTCGCTATCGTGTCCTCGGATGCAATGGTGATGTGACATGATACGCGCGAGACGAACTTGCTGTCGATGACGATGTCGGCTGGGATCTTGCGACCGAGGGTGTAAGTCTGGCCATACTTGAGCAGCTTGCTGAGCTCCTGGCGGCTGTTTTCAGCGAATCGACCTTGAAGCAGCCACATCTGCTCGGAGTGTGCGTCGACGTCGCATGTGAATGTCCGGCCTAGCGAAGGGGGTTGCGGAAGCGGTGATGGTCAGCGGAGAAGCAAGGTGAGGTTGGACCCTTTCCTTCTGAAGTATCAAACTCAGCCTCGAGCATGCCAGATTTTCTCGTGTGTTACTTTCGCAGCAGGAAGCGTGTGGAGAAGGCTGCCCGATTCGACGTCCGATCTGGTTAGCACACTTTCTCCCGCTCGAGCCAGTTTGGCGCATGGCTGGGCGAGACGACCCTTTGGAAATTCAAGACCGCAACAGCGGCACGCAGCCTCAGCCTCGGGCCAAACACACAACATTCCAAATCGAGTGCGTGCGAACCATCTTCTTGCCAAGTCACATCGGCGTCGTTGTCTCAAATCACATCACATACAGCAGCGACTTCTGCATCGCCATCCTTCATTCGGACCACCATCACTCGGCGGCTGCTTCGAGGCTGCAGAAACGATGTACAATCATCAAGCGCGCTTCAGCTCGAGCTCCCGCTCCTCCGGCTCCACGCTCGACTCGAATGCACCCCAAGGCGCCCTCGGCGCGCTCGCAGACTGGGCAGCCCGCAATCTCGATCCCGAAATGCAGACCTCACCCGTCTCGATCTACGTCGAGCGATGTTGCCATCCTTCGCTTAGCCAACCCAACCTAGCGCTCAACCTCGAGCTCGCCGATTATGTCAACCAGAAGAAAGCCAACACGCCGCGCGAAGCGTCCTTCGAAGCGGTGCGCAAAGTCAACTCGCGCAATCCGCACGTGGGCATGCTCGGTCTCGCACTTCTCGATATCCTCGTCAAGAACTGCGGCTACCCGTTGCATCTTCAGATCGCAACCAAGGAGTTCTTGAACGAGATGGTCAAACGCTTCCCGGAGCGACCACCGGTGTTTCCCTCCCCAGTGCAGAGTAAGATCCTCGAGCTGATCCACGAGTGGAAGCTCACACTGTGCGTCACATCTAAGCACCGCGAAGACCTGGTGCACATCAGGGACATGCACCGGCTGCTGACGTACAAAGGGTATCGATTCCCCAACGTCGACTCGCGCGCAGCAAGCGTGATGAACTCGGATAACAATCTCAAGTCGCCCGAGGAGCTCGAGGAGGAGGACCGCGCCGCCCAGGGTGCCAAGCTGCAAGAGCTCATCCGACGCGGTACACCCAAGGATCTCGCCCAGGCCCAGGAGTTGATGAAGATCATGTCCGGTGCAGAACCGGAGAACAAACCGGACTACACCAAGCAGACGCGCCGAGAGCTGAACAAGGTGCAGTCCCGTGCGATCCTGCTCAATGACATGCTGAACAACGCCAAGGAGGGCGAGAAGTTCGTGCAGGGCGATGCGTATGATCAGATCGCAAGCCATCTGAGGAGCGTCCAGCCGAGGATCCAGAAGTGGATCGGGGACGTCGAGGAGGGCGGTAGTGGCGACGCGGCGGCGGGCGCAGCGGATAACATGGACAGGCTGCTGCTCGTTAACGACCTCATCAATCAGGTCGTCGAGAGGTACAAGCAGTTCACCAAGGGCAACTACTCGGCTCAGGCGCATATTGACCCCAGCATCGACCCGAGCAAAGGCGGTGCGGATGCGGTGCCAACGGCCAAGATCACGGATCTGATCAGCTTCGACGACGAGGAGGCGGCGAAACCTCAGCAGACCGATTCAAAGGCAGGTTCGGGAAACATCATGGACGACTTTGCTTCATTGACGTTTGACGACGCGCCGCCGAAAGCGGCTCCGACAAGCGCAGCAGCGCCAACAACAGGACTGGGTGGATTGCCAGCGGACCTCTTTTCGAACGATAGCGGCTCGTCGACGCCGAGATCGAATGCTGCGGGCATACCATCGAATCCCTCAACAGGACTGGGCAATTGGGGCGCATTGCAACTGCCAACGACCGCCACTTCGGTCTCGACTTCACCACGCATTCCTGGGCAGGCCGGCTCGGCAGGTCAGAGCTCGTTGGGTATGCCAGCCTTGACGCCCAACTCGTCAGCAGTGTCGAATGGAGGACCTCGCACGTTGAACGGGCAACCAGCGCCACAGCCAAAGGCCAAGGCGAATGACCCTTTTGCAGACCTCGATGCTATGTTCAAGTGAAACGCTCGCACAGCAACGCACTCACTCAAACATTCTCACTCTCGATCGTATCTTGACGAGATCGTTATCAAGAGCTGGGCGACTCTCACTTGTGATTTGAGTTGACGTGCGTCTGTACGGACTTTTCAGGCGATGTGCGTGTGAGTAGAGTGCAGAGGTGATATGCCAGCACGCTAATCGAGCTCGATAGCAGCCTGAGCATTGGAGCCGTCATTGAGGGTCCTCTGCTTCTTCTCCGGCGTGCTCGCCTCGACGATGACGCCATTTGCCTCGGACGACGTCGGCTCGTCGTCCGGGTGAGGTCTCTTCTTCCCCGCGATGCCCGTCACTTGCTCCTTTGCTGCTTGGGTCTTCTTCACCTCCTTTGCTGGCAAGCTCGCGGGGTCTACCTCGGCCACGATGTCGTCATCGCTATCGTCCCTCGTGGGTGGTTCGTCCACTGCTCTCGGTTTAGGTTTGGCCACCTCGCCCAGGATCCTCACCGCCGCCTCCCGATCGACAGACAGCACCACGTTGACAGCCTGCAACCTCTGATCCTCATCGGTAATCGTCAGCATGCTCCCCACCTGCAACCCCACGTCCTTCAAACTCTTCTCCAAATTGTCCTCGAAATCCGGATCGGCCAAGATCCTCGACCCATCGTACACCACCACCTCTTCGTCCTCCATCCCCATCGCTCCCCTCACCTTCTCCACCACCTCTCCCAGCGTCACCCGTTCCAGCCCGCACACTGTTACGGGGACGTAGACGTCCTGACACGTGCCGCACTTGCTGCTCGGCTCCCCAGGCGCAAAACTCGCAATGTACCGATCCGACCCACGGGCCAGCGTCACCGTCCGCGTCTTCTCCCATTCGCCCGATAGGATGTGCAACGCTTGCAGAACGAGCATGCCCGAGATGATGGCGTTCGTCGAGGCGATCGCGGGGATGATGTTGCCCGCCATCTGCTTGACCTCAAAGCGCGTCTTGCGGTCAATGTGGTAGACGATCGAGCGGAGGTTCGAGGTCGAGGTGACAAAGTCGAGCGCCTCGTCATCGTCTTTGTCGAACGAGAGCGGGTTGGTCGGGTCGGAGGCGGCGCGGACCGCGAGCGAGGAGGCGGAGGAAAGGAAGAGTTGGACGTTGTCTTGTAGAGTGAGAGTGCGTTGGTCTTTGAGCGTCGAGGCGTCGGTGCTGCCGTTTGAAGTGGTTGGTGCGGCAGCCGAGGTAGTGGCGGTGGAATCGACGGCGGGAGGTGCGGGAGCTGCACCGTTGCTGCCGACGCTCGAGACGCCCTGGACGGCATCCGCAAACACCAGCGGAACGGGCTTGACCGGTCGGTGCGTCCACATCTCCTCCATCCCCAGCAGACGTTCGATGTCGTTCTTGTAGACCTTGTTAAAGATCCGCTCTACCACACTGCGGACCTTGTCGCTGTCGCCGTTCTTTGCTGCTGCGAACAACGCTGCTCGCATGTCGCGCATCTCGCGCGCCTCCTTGCGCAGGCTGTCGATTTCCTGCGCGTCTTCGCCGTCTGCCACCGCCTTGTTGAGCTCCTCGTCCTCCGTCTCGTCGTCCGCACCGAAGAGCTGAGTGAAGAGCCAGCTCTTGGCCCACACGATGCAGTGGATCGGCGTGGACGGGGTCGAGCGGATGGTGCAGACTGGGAATGTCTTGGGCGTCGCTTTCGGTACGCAGTCGTAGCACTCCGTCATGCCAGGTCGGATGGGCTGCACCTGCCCCGCAAAGCCCGTGGTGCCACTCTCGATGAGCGGAATGTTGGCGGCGACGCACATCTTGTTCACCCACCGTCTGGCGTCCAGGTTGTCCAGCGCGTTCATCACCAGGTCGAACCCTTTGAAGTAGGCGACGCCGAACCGAGGCTCCTTGATGTTAGCATGGTGCGCGAAGATGTTGACGAGCGGGTTGAATGAAGATGCCGTTTGCTTGGCTACAAGCGACTTGGGCTTCTTGATGTGTTGTTTCTGGAACAGGAACTGGCGGTTGAGATTCGAGAGGTCGATGGTATCGAGGTCGATGATCTCGATGTTACCAAACCCGGTGAGGACGAGGTTCTTGAGCAGCTCGCAGCCGATCCCACCTGCTCCGACGACGAGAATCTTGGCGGTGTTGGTGCGACTGAAGGCTTCTTTGCCGAGAATGGCCTCGGCAAGTGCGTAGCGGGCGGGCTGGGCAGCCTCGCCGTTCTGTTTCGATGAGGATGCTACCGCCGACATGGTGGATAGGTGGAGTGAAGCGTCGAGCGGGATGCAAGCGCAGAAGTTTCCTTGATCAGTGAATGGAAGGATGCGGCGAGAGCGTTGACGAAGGTGAGGAAGCAAGAAGAGAAGAACAAGTGAGACTGGAAAGACGAAGAGTTGATTTGGAAGAAAAGCTCAGCTTGCGGGTCACAACTAGTCTCTTTCAAAATGAAGCTCGCTCTCCGCAAGATATGTGAACACCGTATGGAAGCAATTTCTGAAATTCAATGAGACTCATCTCCGCGTGCTCAGCCCGCGCCGCGCTCAACTTGACGCGAGCGGAAGTGGAGGAAAGTTACACCGTCTTGAGCCTGTCTTGTCTTCGTTCTTCTAAGATCCCGCACTTGCGCCTCGACCGCAGGCAAGGGATGTGGAAGTTGTGTGAGTTCAAGGCTCATCAAGAATAGCATATAACATCAGTTCGTGCGCGAGCGAAGACCATAGTCTAGGCTTGATCACACGACAGCATCTAATCAAAGCTGGTGTTTCCAAAGTGACGAGGGATGTGATAGCTTCGTGCTGCTCTAGGACATCTCAACATCTTGACCAATCGAGGCTGTCTGAGTGGCTTGCATGGTGGAAACACTGGCACCGTTCGCCGCGGTCGGCTTGACGGAAGGCGTATTCATGAAAGCCTCGAGCTCGGCGTCCAAGTCGGCTGCTGTGACGGGTTTACGCTTCTCGCGTTTGGCAGGAGCATTTCGAGGCTGTGCTACCTGCCTGCCATTCGGCTGGCGTTGATCACCGCGACCTCCATTGCGCACCGGACCAAGACGGTCCGCAAAGCTGTTTGCTCCGTTTGTCTCGGCTCCATCACCTTTCATCCTCGAAGAAAGGTCGAAGCGGGACAAGAGCGAGCGTTGGCCAGCCTGAACTCCCTTTGGTCGCTCCGCACGCATCTCTTGTGTGATGCTGATGACCTGACCCTTGGCTTTGGCACCGTCAAACTCGTTCTTGGCTTGCAAAGCGTGATTCGGGTTGTCGTAGATGACGACTGCCACTCCAGTGGACCGATCGCTGCGGTCATACTTGATGTAGGCTTTGGCTACGGGACCGATCGAGCCGAAGAGATCCTTGAGCTCGCGCTCAGAGACGTCGTAGTGGAGATTCTCGATGGTCAGCTTGCCAGTGGGCTTGACTTCGTTGACTTCCGACTTGTCTTGCGGGAAGAACATGGGGGAACGAGAAGAGCCGTTCCGTGGACCACGACGCTGTCCGTCATTGTCCTGATACCGGTCATGCTGCCAAGAGCCTGCGCTGTCCGCCGCAGAGGACCTCGATGATCGCTAAAGTGAGAAGGCACGTTGGTGAGGGATCGTTGGTGAATGGTTAGCGTGATGGTGCGGTGCCTCAGAATTGTGATCGATGACATACGTTGTAAGGAGAGTTGCGGCTTCCAGCGCCTGATCTACGCGGACCCGAAGGCGCAGACGAGAGCGGCTGATCTAGGCGGTCCATTGTGATACGAGGTAGTGTATACGACCGAGACGATGAGCTGTGATCAGTAGAAGGTGAGTGTTGATGTTCTGGTCGAGACGCGCGGGCCACGATGGTGAAGGACCCTGCATCCTTCGCAGCGCCAGATGGGCGAAAAACTAGAGATGTTAGGCTACTGAAACAGACAAATTGCCATTTATGGACGGCCACGCGAGCGAAGGCCCATTCAGCCGCGGCAAGGCGTCGATCGAGCTGGCGTCTACCACTGCATTGCTGTGATGCCTTCTAGGTTCCACAGACCTCTGCTGTGCACTCGCTTGCCTTTGACAGGAGCCTTGACCTTGAGATGCCCCGATGATGCAGGGGCAAAGGGTCACAGGCAAAGGAGGCGTAGTTGGGAGCGATCTCGGCATGAAGTGGGTGGGTCTCGACTGTGGGTCTCTCTTGCGGCTGAGCGATTTTCGGCAGGCTAAATGGCAGAATCGCTGATTTGCAGCCGAGTCAAAACTGATTTTCGATTTGGCGCTTGTGTGCCTTGCCGCAACCAACACGGCAGATTTCAAAATGGTGCTCCTGCAGGTCCAGATGAGCGCCTTTCAAATTTTGCAAGCGATGATGTAGTCTTGAAGCTGAGAAGAAATCCAAGAAAAATCGCGCTCGGCTGCTTGTCTCTCTGTGTGTGTGGTCGTCTGCTTCTGACTTGAATTTGACCCGCAAAAAAAGTCACACACACACACGCTGGTCATCTTTCTTTCCGAACACTGCCATCATCCCTTCTTCAACCATCTTGATCCCCAAAGCACCATCGCTCTTCATCCTATAACAAGCCATCGTCGCTACTAGCAATCACGCGCTCGACTCTGCACTACTTCTTCAAAACAAAGCCTACAGCCAGCACCAACATCATCTCACTCCTGCACTAATCAGGAGCTAGCAACCCTGTTGAACCTCACCAACACCGCTTCCTTCCATGCCGTCAGACGATTCAGACGATAGTAGTGGTAATAATCGTTTCTGCATACTCTCTTCGTCTTCTTGTCAGCCTTCTTCTCTACTGCTGAAGTCGTCTTTCAAGCTCTCCTCGACCCCACTCCCCTTCCAGGTCATCCACTCCATCCTCCTTCCCCTTCCCAAGGCTCCTGATCCGCCTCCTGCTCGCTCTGCCCTACCCTTCTCCGGTGCCCTCGACCTCCTCACATCAGCACCTCTCTACCTTCATCACGAACCGCGATGACACCCGCCATCGATCTTGAGGCTACCGCCAACCGTCTTGACTCTTATACCCCTGCTGCTCTCCAGGCGCAGCATCAATCTCACCAACACCACCTTCACCACCACAAGGACACCGCCGATCTCCTCATGGAGGCCAAGGAAGCTCAGCGTATCAAGACCCTTGAGATCATGGATGCGCGCGCAGAGCTGCTTCGCTCCAAGCTCCAGGATGATGCCTCCAGCATCGTCACTGCCGTCGACTCCAACAGCGGCAGCATCGAAAAGGTCTCGGAAGACTTTCACGATCCATGCGGTCCCTTTGAAGGCCCAGAAAAGCTTCTCGAGCTTTGGTTCGCCGAAGAACCCACCGACGTCGCTGCCTGTCAGTGGGCCGATCCCGATGCTCGACCCAACTACTTTGGCCTTCGCTCCGTCCCCAAGGCCGTCTGGGAGACCATGCTGGACATCGTGAAGTGCAAGGTCCTCAGCGTCATCGAGGGGTCCCACGTCGATGCCTACTTGCTCAGCGAGTCCTCCATGTTCGTCTTCCCACACAAGCTTATTCTCAAGACCTGCGGAACTACCACTCTTCTGCTTGGTCTCGAGAAGCTTCTTACCATTGCTGCCAAAGCTCTTGCCGGCCTTAACACCTCTGCCAGCTTTGTCAAGCTTTCGGTCGCCGAGTCGGACGCTCACGCCGCAGCCGCCGCCGCCGATGCCGGATCCGACGACTCAGACCTCGACAACGATGAAGCTACCACCGCCATGTCGGACTCGAGCTTCATCCAGGAACGGCAGCTGGGCTCCATCGTCAAGCATGCCTTCTACAGCCGAAAGAGCTTCATGTTTCCCGAGCGTCAGAAGGGTCCTCACCGCGACTGGATGCTCGAGGTCGCAGTCCTCGATCGCTTCTTCGACTACGGCTCTGCATACACCGTCGGCAAGATGAACGGAGATCACTGGCTCCTCTGGATGGGCTGCGAAGGTGCACGGGAGGCCGAGCGTGTTCCCAGTCATGCTTCGGCTGCTGCCTCTGTGGAGCGCCCTTTGGCTCTGCCCGCTCCCTGCGTCGAAGACCAGACCCTCGAGATCCTCATGACGCACCTCTCGTCTGCTTCGTGCGCTCGCTTTGTCTTCGACGAGGAGTTGCCACACCCCACCGTGGCCGAATGCTACCCGCGCAAGCAGCTCACCGCCGCTGAAGCCTCTGCACCCGCTGCCTCGCTCGACAAGGGTCACGCTCTCGGCCTTGCGCTCTCCAACAAGCTCGGTCTCACCGATCTTCTGCCCGAGACCGAACTCGACGCCTTCGCCTTCGAACCATGTGGCTACTCGGCCAACGCCGTCATGCCGCGTGGAGGCAAGAACGACCACGCTGGGTACTGGACCATCCACGTCACCCCCGAGGAAGACTCCTCCTACGCTTCGTTCGAGACCAACGTCTCGCTTTGCTCCAACACGGCTGCGAGCGTCGATCAGCTCCCCACCAACCTGCCTTCATTGGTTCGGAAGGTCGTCGACATCTTTGAACCGGGCAAGATGTCCGTCACGCTCTTCGTGGCCACTTCGGAGGAGGTTGAGGAGGTGGACGGTAAGGCGGCGCTCACCAACGAGGATATTTTGCACGCTCTTACGCTTAAGGGGTACAAGAGGACCGATCGGATCGCCTACGAGTTCGAGAGGTACAACCTCGTCTTTGTTTCGTTTGAGAAGAGGCGTTCTCACTAGACGCTCCACTATATGTCGTGAGCTTCGATGTTGCGTGCTGGACTTTGCTCATTCTGCTCCTGTTTCTACACACGCCTCTTTGTTTTGCAATGTCATCTCTTTCTCGTTCGCTCGTCTGTGCTACAAAAGTCGATTGTGGACGAGCACACCTGCAAATTCGTCCAGTCCCACGCTGGCGCCCCCAATCCCTTGGGCAGCAGCCGCACCCTTGACCGCCTGAGCGCTCTTTCTCTCGCCCGTACCGTCGTCGCTCGCGGGGGCAAAGAGCTTCGCCGCCTCCTCGACCATCTCTTCGATCTCTTTGGCGGGTAGGGTCTCGCCGAGACTTGCGAGGATGGTGGTGAGTTCGGTCGTGCCTATCCGACGTTGGGTGGCGGGGAAGGTGGAGGGTGGAAGGCGATCGAGTAGGAGAGTGAAGAGGGTGCTAGCGTTGGAGCGCTGCAGGGGATTGAGGTGGGTGGTGCTGCGGATGCTCGGTGCTGTAGGTGATTTGCGTGCGCGACGTTGACGCTTTGGTGTGTCTTCTTCGGCGGAAGGGGAGGGTGATGGGGAGGGGGAGGGTTGGGCGGCTCTCCCAGGTCGACGCCTGCGGCGGGATGAGCTGAGATCAACATCGTCCTCCGGCTCGCTGGATAGATCCGAGCCTGTATCCAGAGCAGCACCCGTCCTTCGACGTCGCCGCGAGCTAGAAGCTTCAAAGTCATCCTCCGAGTCATCCGCGTCCACGACGAATCCACCTCCGCCGTCCTCCTCGCCAATGATGTCAGCCGCCTTCTGGCGCCCCGTCACAGCGGCCCGCCGTGTCGGCCGACGACTGCTCGAAGCTCTCTCCTCGTCCTCATTGCGGGGCTTCCGCTTCTTTCCTTTGCTTGAGCTTTGCGTCTGCGCCTCTTCGACAAGTATCGAAGCGACTTGCTGAAACTGCTGTCTTCCGACCACCTTCTCCACCTTCACGCCGGGCGCGAGCCGCCGCCGCGACGAGGAGGGAGCGTAGGCCGTCTCTGCGAACAAGCTTAGCACGGACGGGTCGGAAGAATCGAGACCGAGATTTGCGAGCGCTTCGGGGATCGCGCTGAGTGGGATGGTGGCTGGTCTTGTGATGTCGGAAGGCTGGGATCGCGATGCTTCGTCTTCGTCTTCGGGCACGAACCCTCCGCCAGCTGCGGAGTTGTCGTCGTCGGGAATGAAGCCGCCTCCTCCTCGATCGTCATCGTCTACAATGAAGCCTCCGCCGCCGGCGTCAGAGTCGTCGGCGATGAAACCGCCGTCTGTGTCCGTCGAGTTCGAGCCGGCTGCAGTGGTGGAAGAAGGACCGCCGAGCGCAGGTCGAGCATACGGATTGGGTAGCGTGCTTGGATCGTCTCCCGCCTCGATGCGGTGCGTGCGAAAGGCGTCATCGAATGCTGCATCAATGTCATCCATCTTGCGATCCCCGCTTGATACGATGCAGTGGTCCTGCTGCTGATGGAAGAGAGACAAGAAGGTGCAGCTGCAGCTCGAAAGCTGAGTCGTGCATGAAGTGGAGGCAAAAATTCATCAATTGTTAGACCGAGTATACCTTTCTTCTCCGCCAATTTTCTCACGCTTCTCAAGAAGACTAGGAAAAAAGTGTCACACTTCTTCTCGACCCTTTCATCACCATCACCATCTGCATTCCCACCAGAGGTTTGGCTGCCGCATACGCATCATGACGGTCATGACAACCTCTCCGCTGACCACCAGCGGTAGCTCCGCTCCGCGGCACCACCAGCCGCTCGAAACCATCCTGACCGACAAACCCTCTCAAAAGCTCATCCACACCCTCTCCCTCCGGTTGCGACGAAACCAGATCTCCGGTCCGGAAGCCGTCGCATCAACCACCGCCAAAGCGCTGCGCAGCGTCGTCTCCTCCGCGCGCTACAGCAGCATGCAAGATCTTATCGACATCATCAAGTGTGCGGGACGGTATCTGCAACTCTCGCAACCGGCCGAACAGACCATTGGCAACATCACACGACGCGTAGTGCACCTCTTGCGCGAGGAGGCAAAAGCGGCACTTCTCGAGGCGCAGGAGAAGGAAGGTGGGGGTAGTCTCAGCGGTTCCGTCGGCGACCTGTCGAGCTTCGCACCCGAAAGCCCCGTACCTCCAGTGCAGCAGCAGACGAGAGAGTTGACGCCAGCAGCGAGGCCAGGTCCATACCCGCTGCGCGTCGCCGCGGAGGGAGGACACGGCTCGTCGGCCTTCGTACACGGTAGCTTTTCGATTTCGGATCTTGTTGCTGCCGGTGCGATGGCGAGCTCGTCGAGCAGTCTGGCGCACACGCCAAATGACGGGAGCTACGCGGGGACGCCACGCGCCTCGTTGTCGCGCAAGGGGTCTGGGACGTTTGATCATAGTCTGGCACAGATCTCGCAACAGATGAGCGGGGTGAGTCTCGCCGAGGATGCGGCGGGCGAGGCGGAGGCCGAGGAGGAGATGGGTCGCGTAAGCGGTTTGGCCACGCAGGAGCTTGATGACGAGGACGAATCTGACGATGACGATGACGACGATGAGGACGAGGAGGATGACGGAAAGCTTGTGACGGGGAAAAAGTCGGCGGGTGCGTACTTCTTGAAACCGCTGCTGATCCAAGCGATTCAGGATCTCATCGACGAGCTCGAGACGGTGGACGACAATATCTCGAAGGTCTCGCGCGATCACATTCATTCCGGCGAGGTCATCCTGACTCTCGGCTCCTCGGCGACGGTGCAGGGGTTCTTCACTGCGGCTGCCAAGGATCGCAAGTTCACAGTCATCGTTCCCGAGTCGGCGCCTTCGTACAGCGGTCACTCGCTCGCGCGGTCACTGACGGCAGCGGGTATTTCGGTATTGCTCATCCCGGACAGCTCGATCTTTGCCATGATGCCGCGCGTCTCCAAGGTCGTCCTCGGCGCTCATGCCGTTCTTGCCAACGGAGGCGTGATCTCCGCCGCAGGTAGCTACGCAACCGCTCTAGCAGCTCAACAGCACAGCACGCCGGTCATGATCCTCACGGGAGTGTACAAGATCTGTCCAGAGTGGTCGAGCATTCAGAACTTCGCCCAGGCCAGCGGCTCCGTCGGCAGCTTGGGTCCAGCAGCGCTGCTCGACTTTGCCAACAGCAGCAGCGTCGTAGAGCGCGCAGAGGTCGTCAGCAATGCCTTCGACTATGTCAGCCCTGGACTGGTCGATGTCTTCATCACGAATGTCGGCGAACATCCGCCGAGCTACGTGTATAGGTTGGTCAAGGAGAATTATCATCAGGACGATATCGTGCTATGAAGGCGACTCAATGCAAACTCATACAATATCGCTTACGGTGCCTTTGCGATTCCGCCTCTGAAGACGGCCCATCCACGGCACGTCGGAAACTGCTGCGATACAAACGAGAGTGCTGAGTCCAAGCCCAGGCAAAGGTGTGATAGAGATTGTCCATTGAGATATGCTGCTGCGTGCAAAGAGAGAACGAAAGGAACGTGAAGATGATGAGAGGGTTTTTTGAGGGGCTTCGACTAGAACCTGTCTTTCGAAGGCTTTTGCGGCGAGACAGAGCCGCTTCGGACAGGAATGGGTGGTCGAGGTGTGGTGCGTTTGTGTCTGACTGCCTCTGCGGAGGTGGCAATCGAGGCCGTGTTGTGGTCAGCCGCCTTGTTGTTGGGACCAGGTTTGCTGATCGGTGTGAAAATCGTCGCCTCGGTCCTCGCGGGACCATTGGATGGCGCTTGTTGCGGAACGAAGGCTGTCTGTGTAGCTTGTGTTCCAGCCTCGGTATCTGCTGTCGGCGTTGCGGTCGTGCTGACCTCCTTGTTTTGACCAGACTCGGTCTTCGAGTCGTGTCCACTCTCCTCGCGGGTGCCATCAGGAGCAGATGATGGAGGCGTCGACTCAGTCGAGCCTGTCGCCCCGACTCTGTCGGTGAACGACGCCGAGCTCCGATCGTGCGTCGACATCGAGCCTTGATTGACCGGTTCGGCAGCTGCAAGTGGCGAGTGACGATACGGCAGCGGCACGGACGGCGCCCGCGAGACAGGCGATGGACTCCTCGACCCTGTCTTATCCGGCAACGTCGCGCTGAGTCTCTTGCTGGCCTCCTTCCTCGGTCGCTGGATGCCTAGACCGGTCGCGCCACCAGACGGGATCTTCTCGTGGTCGAGGAACGAATCGGACAGCGCCTCAGCTTCGAGCTTGTCGACGAGCGCGTTGCTGCCGTGGTGCTCCATGGGCATGGCGACCATTTCGAGCTCCTGGAGCCCTTCCGGCTGGCTGAGTATGTATTCGGCGTTGACGGTGGCATCGTTGCCCGGCACAGCCGCCAGAATCCTTTGCAGGTCGGAGTAGAACTCGAGCCGAGGAAGACCAGCCCGCTTCCATCCGCCGAGACGGGACCCGAACGCTCCTCCGGGACCAGTTGGACCTCCCATCTCGGCCGCGTCGCCGTGGACGTGAGCCGGCGACAGCTCGACTGGGTAGGTTCGCAACGAGTGATCGCGGAAGACGTGGTCCGGATGCAGCTTCTCGTGCACTGCGAGCAGCATCCGAATGAACTGAGCACGGTTGCTCTGGAACTCGAAGAGTAGCAGCACTTCGTCCAGCTTGCGCTCCAACACGTCCCACACATCCGAAGCATCCGGCATGGGTGTGGAAGCCCTCCAGCGCGATCGAGCCCGTTCGGCTCGCTGACGGTAGCGGAACGAGCTGCCGCCGCTCATGTGGGGCATATCCATCGGCGGCGAGGAGGCTCCGATCTGCAAGGCCGAGTCGCCTCCGTCCTCGGTGCTCGGAGCCAGCAGTCCCAACGCAGCGAGATCCTCACGTCGCGCCGTCTCCATGAGTGTATCGAGCGACACAACACCGAGCCAAAGCTTCCACAGATCCATGCGCTGTCGATCGATCTTGCAAGCTCGGAGCACTCGTAGCACACGTGCAAAGTTGATCTCCACCAGCGCTCCTCGAGTGAGTTCGTGGCCCTCGACAGGACTTTCCGTGAAAGGCTCCTGCAGACGCGACGGAGTGGGGATGTCCGTCTGACCGGCTCGATCAGCAGAGAGTGGCGATACGCGGTCGTAAGCGGTGTCAGCTTCCGGTGCCAGACCATCAAAGCGGATGCTCCTGGAAGGAGCAGCGAAGGTTGAAGGCATCGGCGGATGAACAGGTTTGACATGGCTGTCGGGTGCTGTTCCGCCCTTCTTCTTCATTGCTGCCAGCTGGCGTTGCTGGTACTTGCGTTCAATAGATCGCAATGTGGTAGCAGCGAACGCCATGTCCTGGTCTTGTAGTCGGTGCTTGACGAAATGCCAGCTGATGAACGGGTTGCGAGCGTCTAGCTTGTTGATCTTGAGCATGGCCCACTTGTACGAGCTCTGGCTCGCCGTTAGACCCGTAGGCGCACGAGTGACTCGAGCCTCGCGATCCATGGCGATGATGCTGGGCAGCAGGCTCTTGAGTTCACGGATGGACCCTGTGAACTCTTTGGCGTGCTTCTGCGCCTTGCGTCTGAGTTTCGGAACTTTGCTCTTGGCAGGGTTCGAACCGTTGGCCATGTGTCCTGGCAATCGGCGAGGCAGGAAGCCCGACGGTCTGCCGTAGGCTGGCGCATACAGCATCGGATCGTCCTCGCTGCTAGAGGAGTCGGACTCATCCGACCCGTCCAGCGAGCTTTCCGCCTCTAGCTCGTCGTCGGATTGGCCTGGCTTGATGCCATCTCTGCCTGGGGACAGTGGCATCTTGCTAGCCTCATCCGGCACGGGCACCTCGTGGGCAGGCGAAGCAGCGGCAATGGGCGGAGTGACCGAACCGATCGCTTTGGTGGCACCGGTCAGAGGCTTGCGACGACGAAGGCGAATCCATCGCCGGCGACGAACAAAAGTCCAGGGATCTGGCGAGCCCGTCCACTTGCTGGTGCGGGCCCGCGCCGTTCGTTTGATGGCTTCGAACCCACCGTCCTCCTTGGTATCCTCCTGCTCTTGCCGCTTCTTTTCCCTCTGAGCGACTCGAGCGTTCATCTCCATGATACCATCGACGCCGGTCTTTGGCAATCCAAGCCTGCCATGGGGGAAGTGGACATTCGGCCAGAATCTTCGACCGAAGTTGCCACTGTACTGCCAACCCGCCTCATCGACGTCTCCTGTCATGTCAATGTACCATTCGTCATACGCCCATTCCCAGGAAGGGTCCGGCAATTGCGCGTTGGCGATGTTGTAGGCCGACTTTTTGCCGTTGGACGATGTCCAAGGAGAAGGATCCCACTGGAAGAGCGTTCGTGGGCTGAATTTGGGGATCCCAAATACGAGCAAGCCGCGCTGGTTCTCGTAGAGCACGTCAAACTCGTACTTGGTCTTGTCGGCGTCCGCTGGAGCTTGCTGCTGTGCATACTTGGCCAGCATGTGGTCGATCTCCGCGTCGGGATCGGCGTGGCGAGCCTCTTCGTCCGCGGCGCGCTCTATTGCGTCCATCTCGGCTTCCCACTTCTTCTGACGTCGACGCTTGATCACGTTGGGCGCGTGTAAGTATTTGCGGATGCTGTTGCGAGAGCTGAGAAAAGAGCGGTCGATCATGCTGTTTTTGCGGAGAGTGCTTGCACCGTCGCCGTCTCGATGGGAGGCGTCGTCGTCGTCGTCGTCGGCGGCTAAGGAGCTCCTTCGGCTACTCGCAAAGGTAGCGACCGACTCGCGCCTTTGACCGAAATGATTGCTGTTGCGGGACATGGACGGTGTGATGGCCGAGAAGGTCATTTCGCCACCGGCACTCTGCGCCGACGTGCTTCGTGGCAGATCCGAGGTCTGCAAGGTCAGCGCTGTGGGATGTGGTGAATAACGATCCATGGCTCGACGATTGCGGCCGGAGCTGGTTGCGATGTTGATGCTTTTGGAGACACGTCTCGAGACTTTATGACCTAGCTGGCCAACCTTGCTGTGCAAGTGGATGAGGTCGTCGATGGGTTCGCCGTTGGCCTTTCTGCGCCGAATCTCGCGTCGAATGAGCTTCTTGCGGCGTTTGAGCTCTTCCTTGGTGAGCGAGTCACCGTGTTCGAGGCTAAGAGAGTTGAGATTGGCTGGAGCATCTCCATCTTGGTCCAAATCCGAACCGAGCACGCTGTCATCCAGCTCGTCATCGCTGGAAACATCGGAGGCTGAAGACGCAGCCGGCGAAAGCGGGCGTCGTATTGTGTCGTGATCGTGGACATCTGGTTCGTCATGAATAACGCCGCCGGTGATACTGGAGGAAGAATCGCGTTGGTCATTGCTCTGTTGTGGTGCGAGACCCGACACGTTGACAGGATTGCTGGACGAGCTGGACTGGATGCTGCTGGGAGTGTGATTATTGGAACTTCTCGAGGACGGAGGCAAATTCAGATGAGCATTGGACTTTGGCTGGCTTGTATCAGTGGCCTGACGAGATTGGCCCTCCTCGTCCACGACGAGCAGTTCGGGTCCCAAGGTATTCCGAGCCTTCGAGCGAGGACCACTTGGCATGGCAGCGTATTGCTCTAATGATGACCCATGTGGTGCCGCTTCCGACGACGGAGAAAGATTTGTGCCGAAGGGCGTGGTGGCCGGTGGCGGTGTAGTGGATGGCGGGCGGAAGCGTTTGGCCAAAGAGCTGCCTGGTCTGCTTGCAGTGAAGCGCCACGGTCCCTCTTCTGTCTGAGGCGACGCCTCCGGTGAGCCAGTCTGACCGCGGAATCGACCTCTGGCGCGGTTGGCGGCGCCTACGACCTTTGTGACCACTGGATTGCCGGTGATCATGAGTCTGACCTCGTCAATGTTGCCTCTCGTCGCCTCATTGTCATGGCTCTCGTCTTCGCTGTCGTCCTCATCGGACGACAAACCGTGTCGGCGTCGGCGTTGACGGCGATCATTTCGGCCAAATGCTTTAGAGACCAATGTAACACCGGTGGACTTGGCCCAGTTGCGCTTGGCCTGTTGTGCTTTGGCTATGCGATCGAGCTTGTCGCGAGCTGCTTGCGCATCCTCGTCGGGCGCTCGCCTTGGAAGATGGTCGCGGCCATCGTTGGGCTCCGGAGCATTGCTGGTATCAGGGGTGGCCTGTGGACTGTCGGCAGAAGATCGAGTGTCCTGCAAGACGAGCGGATGCTCTGGAAGTGCATGTAGAGCGGTTGGTTTGACGGCTGTGAGAACGCTTCCTGACGATCCGCTTTCCGCGGCCCCTTGGCGATCCGTCATGGTGCCTCACTGCGTCGAGCTTGCCGTTGAAGCTGGAAAGGCGTGCAGCATATCAGATGAATGCGCTTCGTGTATTCGAATGGACCATGTCGGCTAGATGCGTCTGTTTGGGTAGACGTAGGTGGTGGGATGGTGTGGGCGTTGCAAGGTGACCCTATTGAGGAACCAACGTGCAGCTCCCGTTGTTTATGTGAACGTATGCAGCTGCGCAGCTCCACACTGTAAATTTGGCCGACCCGATTCACTCGATTGCCGGTTTTGGCTTGAATTCGGCGTTCTGGCCAAAGTCAGCCCCTGAAATAATGGCAGCTTCATCACGCACTCACTCCATGGCGAGATATCTTCGGCACGCTTTTCACTGCCTGATTTTCCATCGACTTTCTTTTTGCCTTCTCGTTTGTCTGCAAAAGCGCAGGTCTCTGCTCAGCTCTGACGGTAGCACGAATGTTCACGGGTGCAGCAACGCGGACATCGCGCACAAACCTGGATGTCAGTGCATACACGACTATAGCTAGTTTTGAATCCTAAAAGTACAAGAGTATCATCGAGCGACCTCACCTGCGAGCGCCAGCACCAGCGTTCATGTTGAACGGGGTCGGGCTGGGTGCGCTGTAGGTGTCGTCTCGATCCACCAGCGGTCGTCCGCCGTGAACGGTTCCCATTTCATCTACGTGGCCCCACACCTTGAACGAGTCTTCGCCTCGCGGGTCATCGCCCTTGGCGCCGGTCGCCCTGCTCTGAGCGCTCGCAGTTCCCGCTTTGGGCTGACTGCGGCTGCTTTGCATCTCGACCTCACGCGGCGCAGCATTGCTTCGAACGCCAAACAGCGTATCGTCTTCAATGCTGCGGCCCGCCTGTTTGGGCTGGTTGAACGAAGAGACGGTGGAGCTGGTCCAGCCAGAGTTGTCGTGCTGGCTGCCTCCGCCAATGCGGCTGTTGCTCGAGACAGAGTATTTGGCGCCGGACGACAGCATCGAGCCGGCGATATCGTCACCGCCATCGTCCGACTCGCTGTCCGATGACTCGTCGTCGTCATCATCATCGTCGTCATCGTCGTCTTCCAGGGGGAGCACTCCCGCATTCTTGAGGTTCAGCGCGTTGAAGCGGTGATGCATGTCGGGCGCAGAGACGCCGGGCTCGAGTCCCTCGTCGGCGTCCATCAGCATGGCGGCCGAGCTAGCATTGGCAGTCGACGCTCCACCCACCAGACTGCTGCTGGGCGTATCGTCCTGCGCCAGACTCGGTCCACGCTTGGTGAGCGTCGGGGGCGTGGGGATCGAGTCTCGTCGTCGTCCGGCGCCACTCTGCCTGTCGCGCTGCTTGGCCTCTTTGCGGCCCATTCGCAAAGGCGTCGATACTGGCTGCTTGCGAGAGCTCGCCACGTGAGCTGCCGCGCCTTCCGCTGCTCGATGCTTGCTGGCACTCTTGGGCCATGCTCTGGGAGCAGGACTGGAAGCGCCGACGCTGCGAAGAAGATCATCCACCATCATCTTGGCGGCTTCCTTGGCGGGTGTTTGCGCATATCGACTTTGCGGCACCGAAAACTGCATCGTCACGGGAGGCGACATGCCGGCGGGCCATCCGAGCGAATCCTCCTTGTCGGACGAATCCGAATCCCATTCGGTGTCTTCCTCCGCCTGAGCCGACCCCTTGGAAGCTGCTTGCTTGCTGCCCGAGGCGGCCTTTGACGATTTGGTGCCTTTGATCTTGGACGTCAGCGGTGTCTTGCGCAGATCGACAATGCCGTCCCACATGCGCACGCTGGGCGGTGCGAACGGATTCGACTTGGACTGCGAGCTTCGAGGCGTAGCCTGGATTTTGGTGTAGCTGAGACGGCCCTTGTTCCGCTTGTGCTCCGAGTCGAGCACCTTGTTGAGCAGTGCGCCCTTTTTGGGCGTCGACGACGTCTTGAGGCGACCGCCAGAAGCAGCCGACGACTTGAACTGGGGAAGATCGTGGAGGGACGAGGCGTTCGAGCTGTCCGGGTCGACGGGGCGTCCGCCCCTGCCAGCGCGGGTGGATCCAAAGTTCTCGATGCCATGAGCCAGAGCGGCACGGTCATTGTAGGAGCTCTGATCCATGCTCGGATCGTTGATGCCCTTTCCGAGACCCGATGTGATGTCGCGGCGCAGACGCTCGAATGGCGACTCGGCAGGGTCAAAGATGTTCTCTTGATCCTCGCGGTCGTGAGGCTTCTGCTGCTTTCGCTGAGCTGCTTCTCGTCGAGCGGCTGCCGCCATGGATGCGTTGCTAAAGCGAGGAGGCGAGGCTGCGCGTGCACGATCCGCTGGCACCTGTTCAACGCTCTGGTCTGCCGCATCCTGTCCATCGATGTCCTGGTCGTCGGACGCGAGCGAGGCGTCGATGTCGGTGTAGATGACAGAGCCAGCGTCCGAACGAGGGCTGCGTCCATCATCGTCGCTGGTGAAGGTGGCATTCTCGCGCGAATCGTTCCCGGTCTGCGTCACATCGCCGCCCTGCGAGTTGGCATCAAATTCGGATTCATTCTGAACGTGCGCGGTGAGCGAGACGTTGGCCGAGACTTCGTAGAACGTCTTCCAGAATTTGGCGCCCTGCCATACCCTTGCGCTAGCCACACCATATTCCTTGACGGCTGGGAGGATGCGGGATGTGACGATCTGGTGTGCGGTCGCAAAGTTCTGGTCAATCTCTTGCAATGTCAGTGTGATGGCCTGATCGAGCTGCATGATTTGTTCTGTGACCGAGTGTTGTGGAGCGGGCAGGGCGGCATTGTGGTTCATGGCTGCCGGGTGCAGCGACTGGCGCGGATGCAGCGACATGCTGAGAAGGGACTTCGCTCGATCAACGCGCGATGAAGCCGGGGTCTGGTTCCTAGAAGCGCGCTGACGTTGGGTCGGGTAGACGGGTGCAGAAGTCCAGAAGATCAGTGAGTGACCTCTATGCAAGGTGTTGTGTGTGGTCGAAAGAGAGGATTCGAATGATGAAGATGATGGTGGGTCGAACGAAGGCAAATGTTGCGTGACTTGGACCAGAAGAGCTTTCCGTATTCCGCAGTGTTTTTCTCATCGAGACGCGCTTGACTCGGTGCGCAAATTGGTCCAGAGGCACTGGAGCAGTGTGTGTTTGTTTCGACTCGAGACGCGTCGTGAGCTGCTCGGATCAACAAGTAACACTCTGCAACCTAACATCCTACGACCGGCGCGCCGAAAATGGTTCTCTCTTTCCACTTAGCCTTGACCTGCGCTCACCTGACGAAACGCAGGCGAGGCTGACCCTCGTCGCTGTGCATACAGGCTTCTCCGATGTGTTCAGATGCGACAAAGGATCTCGATTGAAGTGCTGATATAGATACAAGAAACAATGCGATGAAGCTAGGTGCGGAGGCAAACCAGGAAGGGGCCAAACATGTGCTATAAACGAAAGGAGCAAATGCTAGACGGGCGAGACGGAGACGACATGCGAAGAGTGACGAGTGCAAGGGTACGAGAAACGGATCAAAAGGACGACGGGGAATCTGAAAGGCGCCCCAATGCAGACTCTACGGAGGACCGCTCAAGCTTCGACCGCTTCCTCGACAGTGGCCGTAGTGGCTGCGAGGATGGACCGCAAGAGGGTCTTCATGGTGATGACCTGTCTGGGCATGCTGTGCTGCATTGCCTCGCCGAAGAAGCCGGAGACAAGCATGCTGCCGAAGGGCGAGGACGGCGAGCCAGCCGAGGAAGCGGTGGAGCCTGGGGTCAGAGTGGAGGGAGTCCACGCCCCCTGACTTCGAAACGCCGCCTGCGCACCAAGCTGCCTTGACATGGCAGTCTCTTCCATGGAGAACTGCGCCAGTGACAACGATCTTGGCCGATGCGTCCTCTGCCCGGACGGCGTTCGGAGATGGGCGGTCATAGTGGGTGCTGGGGAGCTAGCAGTCGACGAGAACGATTGCTCGCGCCGGTGAGCAGCCTTGCGCTCGCGCGCCACGTCAGGCGTGCTGCCTGCCAGCACGAGGCTGGGCATTGCTGGCCGTGCTGTAGCGTCACTTGCAGCAGCGCCAAACGAGGCTCGTGACGCTGTCCAAAACTGTGTTGAAGCTCGGCGTTTGTGCTTCTGAGCAGGCGACGCGGTGGAGCCTGTTGAGGTCGGGTCGAGAGACAGAGCTGGGAACTCTTTACCAGGCGAAGCCGAGACGCTTGACAGCGGCGGGGTCATGAGGGACCGAGGCTCGTCCACCACAAAGACACCGCCGGCTCCGGTCGCCAGCAGCACCGCAGCGGCTCTGCCCGTGGTGGAAGAATGGCTGATGGAGATGGCAGGGTGCACATCCTTGCCGTCCGTGCCTTGTGGGTGTCGCGAACGGATGTCTTTGACCAAGGAAGAGAGCGGAGTGGTGAGGATCTTGCGGGAAGAGGACGCTAGAATTTCTCGAGAGATGTCTCGACTAGAGATGGGCGAGATGAGACCGCCCAGCGGCTCCATCACGGCAAGTACAGAAAGCTGCTCAGACTGCATGCGGACGAGAGCGTCGACGGTGGTCTTGTCGCCCGAGATGACTGCCGCCGGCTGGTGAGGAATGGAAGTGGACTGCATGTCAATCCTGTTGGAGAAGATCGACGCAAGGGTGGTGTCCTTTTCAGCTTCAGCGACGAGGAATGCGACCACATCAGATGCGGTTAAGATGCCGCATACAGTGCCGTCATCGTCTCGCTGAGGGTCGGACACCACCAAACAGCTCACTTGGTCTTGGCTGAGATGCCATAAGATATCTTGAAGCGAGGACTGGAGCGTGACGTGGCGGAGTGCGTTCATGCCAGATAGGTTTGCTACTGACGCCGCGTCGACGGGCGACTTGCTTGCGAATCGGGTGCGAATGGCCTCGAAACGGTTGACTAGAGCATCTTTACGAGCGTCAGGCAGGATGCTGTCGCCGCTGCTGGGAGATGCAGGAGGAGAGGCGAGATCGTGAGCTCCGTGACTAGGACGCTTGGCGCTACCTCTTGTGAGCTGAGGTCCAAAGACGGCAGCGAAGAAAGCCGACAGATCTTCAAGGCTGAGGATCCCAGCACAGTCCGACGTGCGCAGCTTGTGCGCGTCCGCAGACGATGCGTACGGGTTGCCATGGTTCCTCTTGAGAACGATCCAAATCTCAGCGTCCTCTGCTTGAGCTAGTCGCTCCCCGGCAGCCTCGATGGTGGTCGTCTCCGAGAGAACGACCAGGCGCGAGGAAGCGGTTGTGCTGCAAGAGAGGATGTCCTCGACAGAGAAGCCTGCTAGCCTCTGTTGGAGCTGGAACGCAGCGAAGGGGTCCTGGTCGGCCGAGAAAGGGGACACGGCAGCTGCCGCAAGTGGAAGGCTGATGGAAAGGTCGGCGCTAGCATCGGATCCGCAGCGGAAGTGTGATGTCTTGGTAGGAGAAGGGATTGAGATGGGCAGTGCCTGAGACAGCGCCATGGTGGGCCAGATGAGGCTTGCAGAGCTTTTGGGGCAATGCTGTTGCTAATTGACAGCCGTGAGCTGCGATGTGCTGACGTGAGAGGGATCCGGAATCGCCGCAGAGTACGAAGGCTCAAGGTTCGGAAACGCCGACGTCGATCGATGGTCGAAATTGGGCGTCTCTGTGGGCGCGGGAGAATTGGCGGAGTTGTGACCGCTGTGTAGAAGGTCTTTGTAGACGGAGTCGATCTTGTTGCTGCTCCTGAGCTGTCGAGATCTACTGTGTGCTCGATGTGCTCGCAGAGGCTGTCGGGCAGGATAGAGATGGTGGAGTGGAGGAAAGCGCAAACAGACTGACGGCGTTGGCGATGGAAAGCTCGTTCCTCTTGGACACATGCAAGCATGCTCGAGCCTCTCCACAAGACCAGAGAAGCTTTTCACAACGTTGAGGGATGCCAACGCAGATGGTCGGTGCTCGAGCCTCTGCGAGTGGGGTCAGACCAATCCTCGCACTCTTCCTGATCCCACACCTTAACCTTGCCGACTGTCTGACTTCCTAATCAACGAGCCGAATCTGTTGAAAGTGAGCTGGATCAGTGCCCCGCCAAGAGGGCAACTGCTGCACGCACTTCCCCGCCTTTTTGTGTATCTACTGTAGCCGAAAGAGGACAGCGGCCGGTCAAATGACATGCTCGCTGCAGCTGCAAGCATGCAGGGCCTAAGCTCGCTTGCAAGTGCCAAAAAAGCGTTGCGCCACGAGACCAGCGTAGCAACACTGGGACGTTATGCACAGATAGCGGAGTGTGTGTGTCACTCTGTGAGTCTAGCCTGGTCGGTTTGCAGCGTGAATGCTGCCAAATTGAAACGGCGGCGGATTGGGACTGAGACAAAAGGAAACATCACGAGACGAGATCAAAGCGCTTTCTCGAGGGAGCAGTGGGTGATTAAAGTGGCTTGCTCGTGTCCAGGCCCTTGTTGCTTCTTTGCTGCCCCGCGATTTTGACGTCCCGCTCTCTTGTTTCGCTTTATACAGTAGACGCACGGAGCGGCACACGAAAGCACCACTTGCGGAGCGTTGTATTTTCCCACGACCACGGAAGAGAAGAGAGGAGCCGAACGTGGCGCAATTTCACTTCGATCTCAACCAAAGTGTTGGTCTTCGACATCACGATCAGTCTCGTCAAGAGAGGTCTTTGTTTGCGGACTCGTGAATGAAGCCCCCTTTCGTCACGGCCGTGCTTCCAATGTCGGCACATCGGAACAATGCACGATCTCGGCAGGATGGACGGCTCCTCGTGCCTTCTTGAGACAGTGAGTCGTTGCTGGAGAGGTGGATCTTCGACATCGTCCCAGCTCATAGAGAAGTCCTCTGGGCTTCATTCCCAGCCATCTCGTATCGCCGAGCGGCATCTCTCGCCAAGTCTCTCTGGTCTCTTCCGTATCCATGCCGTTACTAACGCTGGCGCACTCAGCATTGCCGCTAGTGGACCCGCATGCAGGGTCCCATGCTTGCCTGCTCGGGCAGACCTTGTACCTTTTGTTCTCCTTGCCGAGCTGCGGCTCCCTCGTAATGATGGAACCGACGGAGCCTCATGCATCATCGCTGTACATGCAGTCGAAGTGTCGCTCTAACAAAAGAGACGAGACACGTGACCTCTGGGCGCCGTCTTCCGGATTTCTCTGTCCCTTTTTTTTTCCAATGCACGGCTCCACCTTTGCAACTCTAAATTTGTTCATCATCAGAAGATCTGTCGAAAGCGGAAGACTCGGTTCGTCGTCCAATCATAAGGGCGTGTGATAACGTCTGCATCCTCTTCCAACTCGACATCCATCATCGTTCCACCGCATCCGCCTTCCGCATCAACGCATTCATCAAGATGGAGCAACGTGTTGTTGGTGTGCTTGGCGCTGGCCAGCTAGGCCGTATGTTCGTCGAAGCAGCCGCTCGCCTCAACGTACAGGTCAAGCTGCTCGACGTCGGTGACACTGCTCCTGCCAAGCAGATCAACTACCTTCCTGGTCCCGACGGCAAGTCGCAACACATCGATGGCAGCTTTGCCGACCCCGAAAAGATCCGCCAGCTCGCCTCTCAGGTGGATGTGCTCACCATCGAAATCGAGCACGTCGACGCTACCCAGCTGCAAAAGGTGCTTGACGACAAGCTCGTCGATGCTGTTCACCCGCTCCCGCCCACCATCGCACTCATCCAGGACAAATACCTGCAAAAGGTGCACCTCGCCGGCAAGGGCTTGCCTCTCGCGGAGTACGTCGCCGCTGGGCCCGAGGACATGTCGAAAGCCACGGATAGCGAGCAGGCACGCTCTGCACAGATCACAGCCGTCGCCGACATCGGAGAGAAGTTCGGGTTCCCGCTCATGCTCAAGTCGCGCACGCAGGCATACGATGGAAAGGGCAACTATGTCGTCAAGTCGGCCGACCAGGCTTCTGCGGCTGTCGCTGCGCTCGGAGACGGAAAGCGCGGCCTCTACGCTGAAAAGTGGGCGCCATTCGAGCGCGAGGTAGCCGTAATGGTGGTGCGCAGCGCTACCGGCGAAGTGCGAGCCTACCCTGCGGTCGAGACGGTCCACAAGAACAGCATCTGCCACACCGTGTTTGCGCCGTTGCGAACTGCCGATCCTGGCGTGGAAGCCCGTGCGCGAAAGATTGCCGAAGAGGCGGTAGCCACCTTTGGCGGAGCTGGTGTGTTTGGTGTCGAGATGTTCTTGATGCCCGACGGTGAGCTGCTCATCAACGAGATCGCACCACGACCTCACAACTCGGGACACTACACAATCGAGGCGGCTGACACGAGTCAGTACGAGAATCACGTTCGAGCCATCCTGGGCTTGCCACTGGGGAGCACCGCTCTCAAGGTGCCATCGGCCGCCATGATCAACATCCTCGGCTTGGCCGATTCCGACAAGGATGACGAAGCGGTTGCCAAGACACTCGTCCCTGCTGTCGTCAGCCTGGATGTGCCTGGCACCACATGTCACCTCTACGGCAAAGCGGGCTGTCGCAAGGGAAGGAAGATGGGTCACATCACCATTGTCGGTCAGAGCGACGCTCAGGTTCGATCGCGCCTGCACATCGTAGAAGAAGCGCTGGACAAGGCTACGGAGCTCGCCGAACAGGGCGGCAAGCTTCCGTCCGAACTCACGCTTCCCGGCGTTGTCGCTCAAAATGCTTCCGCCTCTGCTTCGGCATCAAAGGCAGCAAGCGCACCATCGCCCAAATCCGCGGCAGACTTTTCGCATCCTCAGCCCTTGGTGGGCATCATCATGGGCTCGGATAGCGATCTGCCGGTGATGATGGCGGCGGCCGAGATCCTCAAGAAGTTCGATGTGCCGTTCGAGCTGTCGATTGTGAGTGCTCACCGTACACCCGACCGCATGCGCACCTACGCCCGCAGTGCCCCCGCCCGTGGGTTGAGGGCGATCATCGCAGGTGCGGGTGGAGCAGCTCACTTGCCAGGAATGGTGGCAGCTCAGACCGCACTCCCCGTCATCGGCGTTCCCGTCAAGGGCAGCACGCTGGACGGTGTTGATTCGCTGCACAGCATCGTGCAGATGCCGCGCGGCATTCCCGTCGCAACGGTGGCCATCAACAACAGCACCAACGCGGCGCTGCTTGCGATCCGCATTCTGGCTGCTGCTGATCCATCGTACCTGGACAAGATGCAAAAGTACATGGAGGAGATGGAGAACGAGGTGAACGGCAAGATTGAGCGCCTCGCGAACGAGGGTTGGGAATACACGCTCAAGAAGTAGTTTGCTTTGGCTTTTGGATGTTCTGTCAGAATTGCTATCGTAGAAAGATCATACAAAGGTGTCAGTGTGCTTAGCTCGGATGAGATTGCATGCCTTTGATACTCCTGCCGTTGCTCGAGGGACCATGTGTTCGTCGAGGACAGTCATCGAAGCAACAAAAGCAGCTGCTCGCTCAGCACAAAGGCCGGGGCTGAGTTCTAAGCCAGGGTCCATCCCCTTTGTTCAAGCTCCGCGCTTGCCGTCTTTTGTTCCCATCACGGCGAACCCTTTCCTGGTATTTCGCCGTGAATTCGATGTCATGGCTGTCCAAAAAAAGGTCCCTCCCAGGCCTCGCTTCGTTGAGTGCGCATAAGATAAGGAGGGGCTCGCCTGACAAGTCGGCGATGCGCGAAGCGAGGTCGAGTTGAAGCTAACAGAGGGGACGCCAGGAAACTTGTGATCTCGATGGAAGATCCATGCGATCATGCCAGGATCAGGGACACGGCTTGAAAGATCGATTACTTGACATCGGCTTGCAACGCAACGAAGAGGCGTTCAAACGTCATGTTACTTAGTCCGTTGTCACAGCCTCGAAGCAGCCTTCTCGATAGATCATTGACAGAGACGATTCGAGAGGGCGACATGAGCCCTCACGATATAAGTGCCTTTGATGTTGGCCGTGCCATTGACTGCTGCGAGCAGACGGCAGAGATGCAGATATGAGGCGAGTGTTCTACTGAGCTCGAAATGAGCGCCGAATCCGATGCCACTCCGCCTCCGCATCGATTGATAGCTGCAGCCTTGATCTTCGTTCCATATGGGATCAATCTGCTCCGCGTGCCAATTGCCGACCGCCTGACAGCAGTTGGCCGAGGTTGCCGTCCAATCTGGCCCACACCATCATCGGTGTGACTGGCACTTAGACCCACCTCGGTAAGGAGAAGCGGGCCATCTCGAGCTTGTTTGAGCGTTTTGACAGGGAAAATGTCTCGCTTGGCTCGCTCTTGCTTGGGCTCTCAGTCAGTCTTAACCAACCCTACCGCCAAAAAGTGGTGAATTTCCTTTTTGAGAGAAAGCCGTTTGGCTGTCTTGGCTGCTTTCCTAGCTCAGCGCGGCTGGAACCGTTCCGCGTTGGTGTTCCTGTTTCTGCCAGTCGAAGAGGTAGACTCTGCCTCGGATTAGGCTGTCAAAGCCACGCAGCGTCACAAGATGCCACTGCAACCCGCAAGCCCATCGATCTTATCCGCACCAGTCCACACACCACACGGCCACCTTCCAGCTCGCAAATGCACGCTGCTAAACCCTGCAGAACGCACTTGTTTCCCCTGCTTTTTCTCTTCCTGTTCGGCCAATTCTGCTTGTTCGCTTCTCCGCTCTGCAGCAGCATGCACAGGACCGGCTTCTGTCTGACAACTGCGCGCCACTCTGTAGCCGAAGACACACACGCAGCAAGCACGGCACCGCCCTTTTTAGAGTTGAGCTGCAATTCCTTTGCATCCCGCACACATAGTGAGTTAGTGTACCGCGCTAATGCTCAGCCTCGCTCCTATACCCCGCTCTTTGGCTGTAATCTCAACCTCTGAGGTCTCAGAGTGCTCTCTCTCTCTCTCTCGCCATCCCTCCTCAGCTCGTTGGGCGTGGCCTTCTCCTCCCGACTCCGCTTCAACCTTCACCTTCTCCTTCCGTCGTCGATCCCTTTCGATCCCGCAGCCACCACCATCTCACTCGCGGCCACCTCCATCGCATTCCAGTCTTGCTGCAGCGACACCCGTGATTCGCAGGCTGCAGCTATCGATCCACAGCATTCAATCTCGTTGGCTTCGAACCATATCTCACGCCGCCGGTCTTGGTCACCAGCCACCAACACCATTCTGCACACCAGCTCAAGCCGCTTCTTGGAGGACACGACCCTCTTTCACACATTAGCGACAGAGCCTTATCAGCAGTTTCGGGTCTTCAAAGAGCGGCGCACACGTTCCTTGCATCGTGCGTATCTGCTGCTTGCCCTCCTGCATACACATACTTTGATCTGCACGCGTCTACGTCCTTCTCCGCGTCTCTTCATCCCACCTCTCTCACACACGCACCGCGTCGACCAGCGCAGCAGCAAACTTTGATCATCACGCCCCACTTCATTTCACGCCGCCTCTCCCAGCAAGCTATCAATCTTGTCTCTCGAATCAGCCGGTCACAGATTCGCGATCTTCGCCACACGCCCAGCTCCATCAGCAGCTACGCGCATTCATTCCACTCAAAGTCTCAATCTGCGTCCCTGATTGATTGCCGCGCTTCCCCTTCCTCTACCACCACCTTCGCAGCTCAAGATCGCCAGCACCTCGTCGTTCTTTCCAACCAAACGCTCCTCTCGGTTCAGCTCCGCCCCGACTCGTCATCATCTTCGCATCCGTAGCAACACTCTTCCAACGCGTGATTCTTCCGTGTTCCAACACATGATCAGCAGCAGGAGATAGCTAGCGTCACTCACAAGCGCGCCGACATGTCGTTCCTCACCGGCCAGGCTCAGGTCTCTTTGCATCCTGTTGCGTCCCGACATGGCACCGCATCGTCCACTCTCGTTCCTGTCAACTCGCCTTCGAGCAACCCTCGCCAATACCAACAGTCTCGCGATGAGCTCGCAGATCGCGACGATGGTCAGGGCACGCCACGTCTTCAGAGGTCATCGCCGGACCACCCATGGTCGCATCCCGTTCAGCAGCGCTCGCCTTCACCCAAGTCCTTGCCCCAGCCAACACAATCCCTCGAGTTCGAAGCATCAACGCACGGCATTCATCACGCAGACCTTGAAGACTATCCCGTCATCTACGATGAGGCACTCCCATCCGATAGCACCGGCGACGATGACGACGATCAAGACGACGACGACGACACCTTGGACGACGCGCCCTATCACAGCAGCCGCACTGCCGACAGTACACAAAGAGCCCGCAAACCACGCTTCCACAAACGCAAGCTTGCTGCCCCTGTCCGCGCCATGTCGGCAGCGCAGCTAGCGCAACTGCACGAGCAATATGTCGCTCAGGATGTTCCACACAACATCGTCTTTCCCTTCCTCCATGGCGTCGACGGCAGCATCCCAGCTCAGAACTATTTCTTTGGCGCTCCGCTCAGCGGCCAGCCAGCTCCAGCCTACCGAGGTCTCACCATCGTGCGCGCGGATATGCCCTCGCGCCAAGAGGTGGAACAGTTGTGCGCTTCTCACGATGCGTGCAGTTCTGGCAGATCTCGTGCTCGAACCTTCTCCAGTGTCACCACCCAGTCATCTGACAGCTCTCCCGACACTGATGACGAGTCGTCCCGCTTCGAGCCGAGCTGGATCGACGGATCACACACCTCTCCGCCCTTTGGCTTCGCTGCGTCCACCGCGGCCGCTGCAGCCGATCCAGCAGCATTCATGACCGGATCGTCGGCTTCGGCAACGCCCTCCACCGCATCGACTGTCTCTTCGCAAGCATCCCGGCCGTCACTCTTCTCCTCTGAAAGCTACGGATCTGGATCCCGTACCAGCGTCTCGACTGCCAGCGATGTCGGTGATGAAGGATCTCGCGCTGCCAAACATCTCGCATCTTCCAGCCTATCCGACGATTTCGAGAAGCAGCCTCGCCAATTCATCCTCAACTCCACCGTCTATCCCGCTGAGATCATCAAACCGCCCAGCATCCGCCGCACCATGTATGGTCGCAACTTCTACGACGACCTCTCGGACGGCAGCTTCGGCGACGAGGGAGATGCCGATCAAGTCCGAAGGATCGGACCGTCCTTCATTAATCCGCCGCAGGCGTCCGGTGTCAGCTTGCGCAACTTCAAGATCCAATGCGCCAAGTATGCCACCATCTCGGACATTGTCATCTATTGCCCCTTTGGCTACCACTCGGGTGTTCTTACCCTGGCCAAGTGGGTGCGGGAAGCGCAAGCATCTCTGCGCAAAGAGCGCTTGTCTCGCGGCTGGGGCGGCTTGCAGTACAACGTCTTTGTCGTCACTGAACCTTTCCCTGTGTTTGAGGAACGCTTCCCGTCCCTCATCTCGATCGATAGCAATGGCTTTGACCGGAATCGCGTCGACTTTGTCGACCGCGAGCGGGAGGAGATGGAGAGGATGACGCAAGCCACCGAAATCCACGACAATGTCTGGCTCGGGTGCACGGCTGATGCGCCCGGTGTTCCCAAGAGAGAGACCTGGCAAGACCGCAACGGCCAAGACAGTGCGCCCATCACGCCGGACGAACAGGCCAACCCTCGCTGCTTTTCGGTTTGCATCAACTGCGAAGAGGACCACGTCCTTCCTTCCAGCACATGCTCCCCCGAGACTTTGCGCAATGCCGCGAAATATCTCGACTCTGTGGATGCCTCGGCACGCATCGACAGCGATACGGATAAGATCCTGGACAGCCTTCATCGCGACCATCTCTTCCATCTAGATGGCAGTCCAGGCTGCGAATACACCTACGACGGCTTCCGCAGCTCCAACTCGCGCGACGGATCTATCGTTCTCGGCCCAAACGGCTGGATCCCAAAGCCGCGATCGGTTCCCGCGAACGCTGACCCACCTGCCTCCCAGTTCGCGCCATCCTGCTTCGCAAGTCCCAAGGACGTCAACGGCCGTGGTCTGCTTCGCTTAGATGCAAACAGCGTTGTGCAGCTCGATTGCCAAGTCGGAAGCGGGGGCGCGACTTGCACGAACGGCTGGCAGGACAAGATGGCCAAGAAGCTCGTCGATGTATGCGCCTGGATCCAACAGCAAGCTTCGCCTCCCGCTCCTGTGCAGCCAGACCGCGATGCGCCCATCTTCAGTACCATTTCGTCCACGCTCAGAACCTTCCGTGACGGAGTTAGATCGCCCACTCGGTCCTTCTCACCCAACCACGGTCGCGATCGCACTTCGCATGTCCGATCTGAGCAACGCAGCAACACCGCCCGTCGACCCAGGCGGGTTCTCCTTCACTGTCCCGATGGGTACACCGAGACCTCGGTGCTGGCGCTCTCGTACTTGATGTATGCGCGCGAATTGACTCTGCCGGAGGCCTATCTTGACCTGCAGTTGCGAGCCAATCGTTCGTTCTTCGTCTATCCGGCCGATGTGGGACTGCTCCAGGCCGTGGAACGGCATTTGCGGAACACGCGCGCCGCCCGGCGTCAAAGCATGCCGGAGCCCATGGACATGGGTCTCGACACGCGCAGAAGCCGTCACGCCACGTCCAAATCGTTCAGCGGCGCGCTGACGCTGGACGGACCCCACATGGACAGTCGTCGAATGTCCCTGTCAGCCGGACCTGGCGAAGACGGCAGCAAGTACTCCATACCTGGAGGATTCTCATCCGACGAAATGGCCAGCGGCATTTGCCGGTCGTCGACACCGACGCCGACCAAGTGCCGAGCCCATGTGGTCGCAGTGGACGCATCCGAGCTGGTAGAGAGCCACGACTGGTTCGACAAGTCCAAGTTTGATGGGTCTTTCCCGTCGCGCATTCTGCCTTTCCTCTACCTGGGAAACCTCGATCACGCTTCCAACGTCGACATGCTTCGTGTGCTGGGCATCACCCATCTGGTGTCGGTGGGCGAGACGGCCTTGGAACCACCTGCTCACATCTCGGCCAAGGTGAACCCTCCCCGCAAGGAGCACGGCCGCAGCCGTTACCAACGCGCCTCTGCCAAAGCAGCGCTGGCCGAGGATCCCTTGACGGTGCCGTCCTGCACGTACCAGTCTCAGGGTGTGACCGTTCTCAATGTGCGCAACGTGTCGGACGATGGCATCGACTCGCTGAGGGGTACGATGCGCGAGGCGGTGCAGTTCATCGAGGCTGCGCGCCTCGCTGGCGGCAAGGTGCTTGTCCACTGCCGCGTCGGTGTCAGTCGCAGCACCACCATCGTTCTTGCCTACGTCATGGCTCACCTCGATCTGGGACTGGTGGAGAGCTATCTGCTGGTGCGCAGTCGCAGGCTCAACATTGTGATACAGCCTCATCTGCTCTTCCTGTGGGAGCTGCGAGGATGGGAGACCTTCCTGCACCGCGCCAAGCAGGCTCAAAATCGCCTCTTGCGCGCTCGACTCGGCGCTCTCGACCTCACACGCGGCGAGCTCTCTCGCGAACCTTCCCACGCTCTGTCGGCGCTGTCGATCCAAGGCTTGACCGCTCGCAGCGAGGAGGGCTCGGGCTCGTACAAGTCGGCGAGCTCGTCTCTGGAGAGCTCGCCTGTAGCCACGAGGCTGACCAAGATGGCCAACGCCGAGGCAGCTTCCTGCTCCAAGCAGTGGAGCGACGAGCATCTGCCCGGTGTCGAGATTGGTGCTGGCGCCGGCAGCATCCATGGCTTTGATGTGGCTCACTCTGCCACGATGCCTTTCGGATCTGGCAGTCCGACTGGCATTCCCTACAGTGCCTCACGGCTGACGTGGGGTCACCTTGCCCGCGAGATTGCCGAGCTCAACTCGCGCTACTTTGTTTGAGCGTGCTTCACTGCCGCTCTCGATGACTGGCGTTTCCTTTCTTTCGCCTTTCTGCAGCACGCTGTGTGCTTGCATTCATGGACTCTTTTCCTTACGTTACCTTTACGACCCAGGCCTCTCCTTCCAAGGATTCGGTGCCAACGACATCCCGACTCTGTTTCGCATTGCCTTGGTTCCCCCGGTGTTTCTTGTCATGGGCAGCGATGGCTCCAACCACGCTCATGTTTCAGCTCTTTCAACGATTGTTCTCCCTGTCTTGTTCTTCCTATCGCATCTGGCCTTTCGTACTTGTCTTTTCGGTTCACGCTCCCCGCATTCTCGTCCAGTCTCGTTCTCGCTTTGCACCTCTCGTAACCGTTCTCTTGTGTCTATGTCAATGTTCAAACCCGATCTGCTTGCCTACACTGGTGTGTGATTGGTAGGGCGCGGCCACAAAACGTGAGCCAGCCGCCAGAGGATCTGCTATCTGCACGGGGTCCGGCCCGGCAAAGGTCGGCGACTGCACGAGGAAAATCAAGGGTTGAGCAAATCACAGTTGAAAGGCGACCGTCTGACGCTGCGTCAACTGCATGCAAGTGTTGGATCGATAGTGTTTGACAGGCTGTCACAACCCTGAGAGCCTCGGGGCGGCTAAGGGTGTTTGCTGTCAAGCGCCTCGCTCCTAGCACGACGCGCAGCCTGCAGGTGGCTCGGCTCGCTTGAAGGAAAGCGGGGCTTCAATTTCCGCTCAATCTTCCCGCACCAGCGCCCTAAAATGTACAACACACACCAAGCCACACGGCAAAGGCCAGAGCACGGGACACAACCACCTTTCACCAAAAAAGGGACTGCATGTTTCAGAGTCACGCCCACCTCATCAACAGCATTCGGACTGAACCGTGTTGGTCTCAGCCAGACTCTTCTCTCGCGACCATCATCGGCCTACGCATTTGCTCAACGAGCTTCACCGCTGCTGTTCGTACTTCAGTAGGCGAGCATTCAAGGACACGCAGACAGCTGCACCGCGACTCTCTATACAGGAACCTTTCTTCCCACCTACACGCGTCGTCTCACGACTCGGCACGATCGAGTGCTTCCAATAGAGCGATCCCGACTATCGCTTTATAGCCTTGTTCCAGACCAAGCGTCTTTTGCCTGATTCGCACCTCGCTGCAACCATTGGCTCCAGTCAGTCAATCTTCTCACCATGTCCGATCGCGATGAAGCGGCCTCCGTCTCGGCGTCTCAAAGGTCGTCGCACGCGACTTCAGCAAAGGACGACACGACCACCGCCTCGACCCCAGACCAACTCGATTCGCTCTACGTCGAGCTCCCGTCCGATGCGACCGAACTCAAGGCCTTGGTGGGCACCATGAGGCTCGAGGTGACCAAGAAGGACCACACCATCAACAAACTCAAAGAGGATTTGGACGAAGTCAAAGCATCTCACTCTGTCATCCTACAAAGGTCAGCAGAATGGCAGGATGAGCTGGAGACGCTGCGATTGCGCGTGCCCCAGCTCGAGGAGGAGCTGCGAGCGGAGAAGCAAGCAAAGGAGGACGAGTCGGCTCGGGTCAAGGACCTTCGCCTTCGAGCCGAAGAGAGCCGTCGTGCTATCATGCGACTTCAAGGAGAGCAGACCGATGCCCGCGCCAAAGCAAAGGCGGACAATCGTCGCAGCTGGGTTCCAACCGCCACTCCGCCACCCGTCCGCGACGAGCAAGAAGAAGCCGAGCTCAAGAAGTCGAAGCGTGCCAGCTTGGCGTTTGGACCCAACGCACTCAACCTCGCTCTCGCCAATCGACCTGGCAGCAGTCAGGGGCTCGGCCACCGTCGCACCGCCAGCGGCAGTCGCAGCGTCTCGGGCGCGTCCAGAGGTGAAGGCGAAGACTCGGAAGAGCCGCTGAGCCCCTCGTTTGCTCCTGGTCTTCGCGGCTTGCGGCTGTCGGGCACTGCAGGGGCCAATGGCACGTTCAGCTCGTTGATGGTTCCTGTGACACCAGGCGCCGACGACAATGGCAGCTCAGCGCCCAACTCGCGTCGCAGCTCGTTCCTCAGCGAAGGGGCCAGGTCACCCAGAGTCGCCTCGGGAGACCTTCCTCCAACAGACACGAGCGAGGTCTTGTCTTCGTCAGCCGCTCGCCTCTCCGTTCCGGCAGCAGGAGCGGGCTCGCAGCGCTCGATGATGCTCAGTTCGCCAGCGTTGTCTCAGGGTGCTGCCAGTTCCGTGGGTGTCGGATCGCCCATCCTGGAGGACAACGAGGAGGAAGAAGCAACCGCGGGCCTCGGAACTGCCCCCTCCAAGGCGCTGCCCAACCTGCCTTCGCGTGAGTCGTCGGTCAACTTCCAAGCACACGACCGCGAGCTCCGCGCCAAGGAGGTGGAGATCGAGCGGCTGACGCGGGAAATGAGCGAGCTGCGCATGTCCATGGCCGAAGCGATCGAGGCTCGTACGGCGAGCGAAGCGTGTCTCAAGGCGCTGCGGGACTTTATTGCTCACCACGACGAGGAGGCGGATGCGAGCGGGCAGATGGGGGACGATGCGGATCGTGTTGTGCAACGCGCTAGTTTCGGGGCTGGTCTACTGAAGGGCGTCAAGCTGCCGCCGTTGCCCACCGACAACATCGACGACGATGAGGAGGCGGCCCATGTGAGTCCGCAAAGAACGGCGAGTGGGAGTGCGGGTGGATGGGGGTTGAAGATGCCCACACTGATGCGCAAGGCTACTTCGTCCAATGGACCGACTCCTACCGACGAGGCGGAGGCAGCCGATGGTACGCCTTCTGGTTTCGCAACATGGTCTCCACGCGCCTCGGGCTCTGGTCATACCACCGCCAAATCCATCAGCTCGAGCTTTGCTGGATTCGGCAACCTTCTCAGTCGCACCACACCCACCGAAACACCTCCCACTTCTACTCCGGCCGGCGGACCAAGCACGACCTCGACCCAATCCGAAACCACCAGTCCTCCCGCCGGCGACGAGACAGGCAGCGGCTTTCGCAGCTTTGGCTGGTTCAAGCGGTCCTCTGTCGTAACGTCGTCCACTCACGCTCAACCCGAATCCGCGGTGTTGGAAGAAAAGGTCTCCTTCCCACCCTTCCGATCACTCGACCACGACCAGCTATCCATCTCGCGTCAACCGTCGGAAACCCTCTCCACGCTACCGAGTCTGAGCGGCGGCCCGTCGAATTCAACTTCCGCCTCGTCAATCCGTGTGGTGGGCGGAGACGCGCTAGCGACAGCAGCGAGGATGGGCGACGAGCAGGAGAGCAAGAAGGTCGCCGAACGGGTCGAGAGCGAAGGGATGGAGGTGAGCCATCGCGCCCAGAGAGCCGCCGAGAAGACGGGCAATGTCGAGCACCTCACCGATGTGGTTCCCGCTTTCGATTAAGTAATTTGCATTGCCTCTTCAGTGTTCGTCTAGTGCGTCCGCTACGCGTTCGAGTTCGGTGCGAGTCCAATCGACTGCGTGGTTGAGCAGATGCAACTGGCCTTTTCGGTACTGCATGATGTTGGTCCATACCGAAGGACGGATGGTGTTCGATGTGGATCGGCAGTAGGATGAATCGGTGACCTGCTCGGTGTGTAGGGCTGGGGATTGGGAGTCGATCTGCTTCTGACTCGCCCGAAAGGCCTTGCGCTTGGCTAGCAGGAGCGATTCGAGCGTCTCGAGCACTTCGCCGTAGAGTTCAAGTTGTTCCACCGCCGATGTTGGTGGGGCTTCGCCTTGTAGAACGCGCTGTTCGAGCTCGAGCATGAGCGTCGGGCATGGCGAGGGCGTTTTGCTGGACCCTGTCCCGCTTGCGTCGCTGTGGGATGAGGAGATAGCGGGGACGACCCAGTAGTGCGTCTTCCCTTCACCGGCGAGCTTGAGCGCCAACGTGTCCTCGCTGATCGTAGGCAGAGTAAATCCATACGAAGAGAGGAATTCCTCGTTCGACTTTCCACCGTAGTTGTTGAACACCTGCGCACCGCCTGGCACGGGATGGTTGAGAGTCATGCATACGTTGCCGTTGGCGGAAGACCAGGTGACAGGGTGCGCACGAGCATGATTGAACGTGTCGTACCCGGGAATGAGGATGGGTGCTTCGGAGGGGAGGTCGATGAGACGAGGAGGGAAGGTGCGCGAGGTGAAGGCTGATTCTGCCCATCGCCAGAGTTCCAGTCCTGGCAGGTGGGTGTATGCTATCAAAGGGTCGTCCTGCTCATCAATGATTGGGGTGAGGATCGCTGTGAGGTATGTGACGAATGCGTGAGAGGACCCGTGCAAGGCGCCAAGGAGAAGCGTGCGCGTACGGGTGTAGTCGACGATCGTCTCGCGCAACCGGCGCTCGGTTGATCCGACCAGTGGCGTGTTGGCGAGGAGAGCAAGCTCGGCGGGAGAGAAGTGGAGAGGCGTCTCGATCACCCGCGGGATGTGCGCTACGTAGGGAAGGTGCGTGAAGACGGAGCTCAGCCACGCGTGCTCGTCGGATGAGGGAAAGTCGATCGCCAATCGGCTAAGTACGAGGTAGAGCAAGATCCAGTCTGCTGCTGGGAGTGATGACTGATCGATGTCGGTCGTACGGTCGGTGCACACCTCGCACAGCTTCTGGATGCGCTCAAAGGCGCTGCTCGAGGTGATGCATAGTGAGGAAGGGACTTGGATGACCGTTGTGTCTGGAGGCAGGGGCTGGCTCGTGTAGAAGGAGAGGCCTGTAGCTGGGTCTTGCTCGAGGTAGAGGCTGGGATGCAACTGGATGCCGACCGAGCTGAACCACTCGAGTAGCGGATGCTGGCTGTCCATCTCGGACGATGTCACCGGAGATGATGGGGAGGCGAGGAGGATCGAGAAGAAAAAAGTGGTCTCGGTCAATTCTTCGGGGTCCTTCAGAGTGGAGGCGTGACGGTTAAAAAAAGGGCGGCTGAGCAACCTGTCTAAAGTCACATCAGACTGGACCCTGAAAGCGCTCATCCTTGCGCAGCAACGATCTTCTTTGACTCCAACGTATCCTCACTCCTATGCTCTCAACGCCGGCAACTCTTGCGTCAACATGGCACCACACGAGCCGATAGTCATCTCCGATTCGGACTCGGATACGCTCAGCGAGTCGGAAAGGCCTATTCTTCAGCCAGCAGCCAAGGCGAAGGCAACGAACTTCCAGTCGCAACACAAGAATGACGAGACCAACGGCGTCGGAGCTGCATCGCTCCTTGCCAGCGGGGCGTCGTCGCAGACGGAGGCAGAGGTGGGGTCGATCAGTAGCTCATCTGCTGGACCACCATCTGGTCTGCTAGGCCTTCTGCCGGATCGAAGGCAGCTTGAACGCGAAAGGATGGAGCGTGCTCGAAAGCGAAGGAGGGATCAAAACCTGCCTAGCAGCTCAAGCGAGGATGACGAGCCGAAGCGGGCGAAGATGAGCGCCGCCTTCCAGGAAGAGACAGCAAGTCGACCATCGTCGTCTCTGGTAGTACGTGCCGAGGCTTCGGGCACGCACTTCAAGTCAGCTCCTTCAAGCTCGAAGCAGGCACTTCCTGCCCAAGCATCCAGCACGTCGTTCTCGAAAGCAACGGACCCTATCGAACGATCAAGCAGATTCTGGTCAGGGACAGTGAAGTACGGCTACAATAAGCATGCAGGCAAATCTCTCGCTGGTGTATCGATCTCGCAAATGCTGCTTCCCGCGACCGCGTCGAGCAGGAACGGCCTTCAACTCGCCGTCCTCGCCACGTACGATCTGCGCATTGATTGGCTTTACTCGCTCTTTCCGCGAGGATTGCCGGTCACGCTCGTCGTGCCCCCACCCAAAGAGGACTACCGGACTGATCCAGCAGTGGCTCGGCCTGGCCTACATCCGAGTGAGATTTTCGATGGCTTCTCTCGCTGTCCCGGCTGGCAGATCTGCGTCCCAAACAAGCCGAAGGGCGGGTGGTTGACGCAACATATGAAGTATTTGTTCCTAGTGCATCAGGACTTCCTTCGCGTCGCGATTCTGTCAGGCAACCTGAACGAGATCGATTGGGACCGGATCGAGAACACGGCGTATATTCAAGACTTTCACCTCCTCGCAGACGCGCCAAAGATCGCAGGTCCAGGCAGCGCGAGAAACGATTTCAAAGCGCAGCTTGTTCGCGTGCTGCGCTCCCTCAGCATGCCCACTTCGCATGCGATCTACGCTGCGTTGGACCGATTCGACTTTTCACAAGCAACGCGAGCGCGCATCGTTGCGAGCTGGCCGGAGAGATCGAGTTTAGCAGAATGGGATCGAATCGAGACGCAGGGTCTCGGTCGACTTGGCAAGGTGGTTCGAGATTTTGGAATGAAGCCATCACGGCAGGGATCGATCGAGCTGGAGTGTCAAGGCTCAAGTCTCGCCAATCACGATATCAAATGGATCGAGCACTTCCACCTGCTCGCGTCCGGTGTCAATCCTCGAGGCCTATTACCTCTGAAGGGCAAAACCAACGAAACGCACTCGGAGTACTTCCGTGCCTCTGGTCGAAAGGTCGGCACCCTGCCGCCGATCAAGATCTGCTTTCCAAGCCACAGATACGTCGAGGAGCGCACCGTGGAAGGTCCCTTGGGGGCACTGAGCTTCTTCGGTAAGGCAGAAACATTCGCGAGCTCATCGTAAGTCGTCACACGCACACCCAGCCTGCACGAAAAAGTGGATACAGCTGACATGATGTTTGAGATGTGCAGGATCAAGACTCTATACCACAGCCCGCAGAGCCGGCGCGGCGACATCATGATCCACGCCAAGTCGATTCTCGCACTCACCGCCGATGGCATCGCCGTCGTCAACAAGGCCTTTGTGGACGCATCCGACCCGTATATCTCTGGCAAGACGTCAGGCCCAACGTTGAATCCGCAAGAATGGTCGCCGAAACAAGACGAGCAACCCATCGGGTGGACCTACCTCGGCAGCTCCAACTTCACTCGCGCTGCGCACGGCAACATTAGCGGCACCGCCGCAAAGCCCACTATGAGTAGTCTCAATTGGGAGCTGTAAGTTTGCCTACCCACCCTGCGACAATGCTAGAAGAGAAAAGCTGACTCGATCGGTGTTGTTGATTCGGGTGCGAAGTGGCGTCGTGCTGCCGATCTACGCTTCTGAGGTTGAAGCATTCGGCGTTCAGGCGGAAAGTTTGAGACCCGTCGTGTATCATCGCCCGCTGCAAGGGTATGCCCGGGAGGACACGCCTTGGGTGAGTACGATGGCTGGCGACAAGGTAGCGTCGTGGGTGAACGATCGCTGACCATTCTACTGTATCTGACATTGATGTGGAACAGGACAACGCTTCTGCACGAGCTCTGCTTTGAGCGACGACGCTTGCTGACGACCCTCGAGCAATTCAGATCCTCTCACAAGCCAACCCGAGAAGCGATGTGATGAGAATGCTTAAGATGAATGCGAATGCAAAGAGTGTACAAGGGCTGAACAGTACAAAGGATGGTCCAGGAAATCATCACACGGCCATCTTTCCAACCCCATTCGCCACATCCTCTTCATCCTCGGAAATCCCCGCCCTTTCGTCCTCATCCTGTCTCCCCTGCTCCCAATCCTTGTTCATGTACTGCTCCAAATCAAACTCGCCAGCATCATCGTCGTCCTCGTCGATAAACATGTCCGGATTCAAGCTGAACATCTCCCTTCCGCTCAGGCCGGCCATCTTGTTGGCTGCGGCCTGCGCCTCCTTTTTCTTCTTGAGCATCTCGTGTTCGGCCTGTTTCTTGTCCATTCTCTCCTTTTTCCATTTGGCAAAGCTGTCGGCGGTGACGGGGGTGAGGTTGGAGCCGAGTTTGTGGCGTTCGGTTTCGAGGAAGTCCTCCAAACTGATCTCGTTTGCCCGTTCGAGAGCCTCTAGCTCCTTCTTTTGGGATTTGAGTACGAATCCTGGCGGCAAGCGATGACGATACATGCACTTCTCGCCACCATTCGGACATTCCCAGAACCAACCGTACTTGCCATCCTCCACCGCCTGCAGGAAGAACTTGCACACCTTGTCCGTGGTGGATTTCGGATTGCCATGCTTGGACAGGATGACGTCGTTCAACTTGGCATCGTCCCACTTGTCCATGGTGTCCAGCTTTTTCTCTTCGTCTTCATCGCGCATGTCGGTGTACAGATCCTTCTTCTCCGTCTTCCTCCCTGCATCATTTGAATGACCGTATTTGCATCTGGTACCCTTATCGCATCGACCCGCTTTCCAAAAGGCACACGTCACCGTTTTGGGATCCACCCCAAAAGGCACTTTGGGTTGGATGATGTTGAACAACGGATCGGCCGCAATCTCCTTCGCCGCTTGCGCTGCCGCTTTTTTGTCCTGCTCCTTCTGCTTCTCGCGGGCTAGTTGCTCTTTGGATTTGCCGGCTGTCTTCTGTTGTTGTTGGATGAGTGCGACCGTCTTTTGCCCCTTGCCTCCCTTTTTGTTCTTCATACCAAACGTCTTATCGATCGTGACTTTGGAGCCGCCCCCTTGCTTGTCTTTGCCTTTGGGTGGCATGTTGGGCTATGTGATGGGGTGGGTGCGAGGGAGATTGGTGAGGGGTTTGTGGCGGAGACGCGCGAGCTGAACGTCGAGTGCCAAGTGCAATGGAGACGTCGTGCTTCCGAGTGCGAGGTGGGTGTCACTCCGCGACTGTACTGCGGTTTCGATCGCTTGCTCGAGCTAAGAGTTGAGCGATCTGCCAATGCTGCTCAAAGGTATGCTGTGTAGAGAGTGCTGCTGAGCCTGATGTCGTATGGAGCTGCTCGAGGATGCGCTGTTTGTCGAGGTGTGCTGGGGATGATGCTGAACGGTGATGGTGAGCAGGTGAAACGGAAGATGGAGCAAGAAAAAGTCGTGTGCCAAAGTCTTCTCGCTCAATTCCAACTGCTTCGCTCAGCTTCAAACGCACTACAAATTTGGCCGGCCTGGGGTAATGACGGTTTGAAAATTTTCTATTCAGAGGTACACCAGATCGGGCTCGACGCCCGATCAGAGACACCGTCATCCTGCATCTTCGCTCGACGACTCGACGTGCTTGTGAAACCACGTCTTGCACTTCAGATGGCACCACAGCAACCCCAAAGAAGATGATATCAGATGCATGACATTGCGCGATCGAACCAGCATCCAAAGGCCAAAGAGCGAATGAAGTCGAGATGCGAGAGAAACCCCGTGAAAAATGTGCGTGAATGATGAGAAAGAAGAGAAGCTGCTGCGAAATGTATTGTCCTTTTGGGCAGATTGTTCATACGTCGATCTCACCATCCTCGCGTCGGAGCTCAGACATGGGGCTGAGACCGGACGCAGATGGCGAGCCTTGACGGGAAGGGGTGCGTGTCGCGGGGGCGACGAGCAACCCGGACTCGATGGTGGTCATGTCCGTGATCGAGTGGACGCGGCTGAGCGAGGCGCTGAAGAGACCGGGTCGGGCATGACGTTCGCCGAGAGGTGAGCTGGGTCCGCTTGGTGAGAGGATGCCAGCGGGGCCGACGCTGCTCGCCATCACGCTGCCGCCGGGAGTGATGGCGCCGGAGCGAGTTGAGAGGGTCGCTGATGTGAGGCGGTGGCCAAGGACGGGCGTGGGCGCTCGACTGGAGGTGCGTGATGCGGGGCGCGAGATGGCCGCGCCGGTGGTCATGCCCGTGAAGGTGGGCGAGGCTGGTCGAGATATCCGGACCATGGTAGGAGTCGTAGCGCCTCTCCTAGATGCGATACGTGCACTGTGGCCAAGTCCGCCGTCGGATCCAGCGCCATCTCGGCTGATGGGCAGACTTGAATCGCGCTTCTTGCTCCGCGGCTTGCGTCGTGATGACAGAGATGGGAACGTCGACGTCAATGCGAATGCCAATCGACGCGCTGGCCAGCCCAATGCACCCACGACACCCGCGTTAGCTCGTTTGCGCGACGCTGTCCTCGAGCCACCACGACCCGCAGATCCACTCGAACCACTGCTGCTCTCTTCCGAGCTGCCTTCCGCATTGAAGCCAAATTCAGCCTCCATGGTCGGACTGTAACTCTTGAATTCGGCTCGCTTGCCGAGCTTGGACCAGAAGCCGCTTTTTGAGGCGTCACCAGCTGCTTCCTCCATGTTGGCGAGAACATAGTCGCCACGACTGGTGCGCTTCGAGCTGCAGAAGCCTCCCAGCGTGCCGAGAGGGGGCGGAAGCATGTCCTTCATGGCTGCACGCCTGCGGCTGGCCCGTGGACCGCGACCTCGGGTGCAAACACAAGTGAGGAGCAAGATTAGGAAAGCAGCGACCATGATGATGAGGGAGATTGGGCTGACATGCCTGGCTGTCTCGCCTAGAGCTGGAGGGAATGCGGAGCCCTCGCCGGTAGTGGGCCACTTGGGTCGGAAAGGATCCCATTTGCCGAGCTTGGGGTTGGTCTTGCTAAGCTCGTCAAAGGGAGACGGCAGCGACCCTGGCGCTGGAGGAATGTCGCGACTGGCCTCGAGGACAGCCTTGCCCAGTGTCCAGCTGACCGAGAAGCCATTGATGTCGTTGACACTCTGGAAGAGATTCTTCTGTTCACCTTTGTCGTTGGCCTGATCTGCATGATCGGTGCCATCACCGGCACCTTTGTGGTCGACAATGCGTGGGATGCCGATGCCCTCGTGAAGCACGGTGACCATCCAAGCTGCCTTGAAGCACTGGGTCTGCAGACGGCTGAGTTGCACCTCGGGACCGAAAAGATCGCCGGCGTCGAGATGCTTCTTGAGGTCCGCCCAGGGCTTCTCGCAGAAGCCCTCGGCGGCCTTTTGAAAGTCGACAAAGTCGTACACACCACCGAGGCCGAACACGTCGTGAGAGCTGAACCAGTACTCGGAAACGCCGATAAAGTGGTTGACGCTAAAATCGATCTTGGGCACATGGACACCGTGGAAGAGGCAGGGCGGCTTGTCGCAGACCGCCTCCTTGTCCAAGAGAGGGTGCATCGACTCGAGGCAGGCGGTGAAGTTGCCGGCACCCATGAGCGAGAGATCGGTCTTGCCACCGACGTTGACGTTGGCGAGCTGCAATCCGTTGGGCAGACAGGGGTCGGACAAGGTGTGGCTAGTCTCGTGCGCCTTGACTGCCCCGGATTGGAGCAGGTCGATGTAGCGGTCCCTGGCCTTGTTGGTGCCGTATCCAAGGAAGGTGGTGACAAAGACCTTATGCGAGACCTCGGTGCCGTCGAGCATGCGGAGTGGCACGGTGGTGAGATCGGCTTCGGCGGCAGCGCCGTCTCCCTGGAGCGCCTTTTTGCTGGGCTCGAAGGCGATCTGAGTGCTAGCGCCGCCCATGTCAAGGAAACCGAAGGTGGATTTGCCCTCCATGATGTCGGTCTCGCCATCCAGAGAGGCCTTCTTGCCACGGATGTGAAAGCCGTCCATGAGATAATTGACCGAGATCCAGCCGAGCAAGCCTTCCTCTTCACCGCTGATGACCTGTACATGCTCTTCGCATCCTCCGCCATCGAGGCTGAAGCGAGTGTGTTCGCGAATGTAGCGGCAAGTTTCGAAGAGAACGGACGTGCGTTGCTGGTCTGGAAGCAATCGCATGCCTGCTGTGGCCATCACGTAGATAGGGGTGTCGGCCCAAGCGGATGGGGGAACGATCTTTTCGGCATGGTCGAGCAAACCTTTGAGATAGTTGCCTACTTCGGCTGGGCGATCGCCAAAGGAGGACAGGCCAGGTTCAACTTTGTGGCTCCAATCTACACCCGAGTTCTCCCAAGTACCCTTTTCGACCTTGGGAAGGACCTTGGCATCCAGGCCTTTGCTGGCTCGCAAAGCTCGTTCCAACTTGGGATCCTTCCATGAGTAGACCTGCATTCGCGAGCCCGAGGAGCCAGCATCGATGAGAACGGCATATTTTCGACCTTCGAGCCAAGAAGCTGGTGCGTCGAGCTGTGCCGCGCCAGGAACGGCATCCTTGAGTGGCGATTCGTTGAGCTTGGAGCCCGGCTTGGGCTTGTTGGTCTTGGCTGCGGCATTCCAGGTGTAGGCGTCGGCGATGTTTTCCCGCCTTGATGGGTGGTTGGACTGTGAAGAGCGCCTCTGCTGCTGTTGTGAAGTTTGCAGAACCTGGGCACGCTGACGTCGCTTGACGGGCGTGTTGAAGGTATAGGCGCCGTATGGCTGGGATGAGGATCCCTGTATTGAGTAGCTCATTGTCGTTGGATGGAGAGTGCAAGTTGCGAGGTGCGAGGCAGAGGAGACGAGGGCAGGGATGCCACGAGCCGTGCGGAGGTGACCTTTACTCCTGCATGCGTAACGAGTGGCCCAATTGGTACGAGTCGATGAAGGCGTAGGTGTGTCCAGAAGGAGAGGCGTTGTGTGACACTAACGAGCGGATGCGCCTGGAACGCGCGCAGCGGTGCTTTGAATGTGTTGTCAAGGTCCGCAGTGATGATGATATGAGCAGTGCTGCGACGGGAGAAAGTCGTTGATGTTGCAGACGGTGGGAATGAGATGGAGAGGTGCAAGAAGACAGGATGGCCAGTGGAAGCCTCTGTGCGTGGATGATCTGGAAGTCGAAGAGGCCGGGATTCAGCCTGCAACAGCGCTACACGGCGCGGGATAGAGTGTGTGCGTGTGTGGCGGCTGTCGTGCTGTGCTGCGCTGCGCTGTGCGGTGCCGTGAAATTGCGCTGCTCTGGCACAGTCGAAATTTCGAAAAATCCTCAAGAAGGTCGTTAAATGACGAGAAAAATAAATAATCAAGCGCGAGCGGTGCGAGCGACGCGGCGGCGGCTCATCACGCTCCGACAAAGGCGCGGGACAGCCCAGTTGTGCTGCAGCAGCTCGCCGAGGATAGGGTGAACGTGGGGGACAACCAAGTCACTGCCTCGCTGTTGTCCAAGCCAGTCAGCCATCCTACCACCTACTACGAGGCATCGCGCTCCCTTGCACCTCTTGCTTCTTGATGTTGACGCCATAGTCGGCAGACATTGCTGTGAGATGTCACCTCAGTGACGAGTGCTCTTGTTTCGACGCTTGATAGGGTCGGTGGATGACTCTTGAGGCATTTGCGATTTGTGAGCACGGCGACAACTCCGAGAGAGAGAGAGGATATAAGAGAGAGGGCCGCTGCAGACATGAAATTCCATCATTCAACGCGGGGAGCGCTCTTTCTGAGCTCTTCCTGTTCCCATGTCTCAGATCTTCGCTGCTCCGTGGCATCGTTGCTCCTCGCCTCCTTCGCTGTCTATTATTATCATCATCGCAGAGACTGGCACTTCATCACCAATTCAAGACAGAAGGTCTAATTGCTCTGGGATCGTGCTGTTTGTTGCCCATTCATCAGGCTACAGAGCTGTTCCATCTGCGTCAATACTGGTAAAGATGGCGACATGGATTGACGCAGTGCATCTCGTGTCGGTTTGCGATAAGCTTGTCTATGGTGCTGTACCTTTTCACGCTGTACACAGGAGAGGTAGAGTTTGGTTCCTGTATTGCCACTAACCGAAGGGATTCGCATATTGCATGCGTTGCCTCGCGATCCTTCTCACCTGACGCAACTTGCCTCCCTAGCCGAGGTGCTTCTGCATCGATCCGCAAGTCGCCGTAGACTCGCTCCCATCTCTTGATCGCAAGCCACGCTTTTTTTTTCTTCTTGACAAGGACGTGGCACATTCAAGCGAAGGTCCGTCTAGCTGCAATCGGATTGAGATGCGGCAATGATTCGAGGGATACTGGATCGCCTTGAGCCGCCTTCCACAGTCGATCGTTCGGAAGAGGACCAGCGTGCAGGCGTCGACACTCCTTTGAGCCCATCGGAAGAGGGACTAGAGTTCAATGTATCACTCGATGATCCTATCGCTCTAGACTAACCAGATGGAGACGGGGATGGCGGGGCAATCTGTACACAGCCCTCGCGGGGCTATTGTCCATACCCCGGCGTCTTTCATTGGCCAGGCAGGCACCCTCACACGTGCGATCCGCCAATTTGCAATTGCCGTTCGACATACGGCTTGCCGATGGCGATCGTCGTTCTGCTGATACGGACATTTGCGGAGAGATCGTTCTCATGCGTGCTCCTGGACGGCGCTAGCGACTGACCTTGTTTTTGAGCTGGGTTTGAAATATGAGGACGTCATCGTTGCAAGCTTCTGGCTGCGTCCACGTTGCAAGCCAAATTAGTATCTGAATTGTCATCCTCTCTTGGCAACATGTGCTCATCAGAGCTTACTCGTGGGGTTGGGTAGAACGGTTGTCCGGTCCGAGGAGATTAGGACGACCCACGATCAGCCTGAAGAACGTCGCCAGGACGACATTGTCCTCCTCGGGAAAAGCCGACAAGCTGGACAGATCGGGTCAGTGCTCATTGCAATCCAGATTGCGTACAGATCAGCGTCGCCGGACTATTTGTTTGTTCTGACCGCCTTGGCCCGACATCCGGCATGAAGCTAGCTGCGCCTCTACGATCCAAGCGTTGGGCGCGGTCGAGATCGACATTGCATCCCAGAAGGTTCGCTCTCATAGTCGACTATTGTCTCGAGCACAACCACGCAGCTCGAGATGCAGCTAAAGGACGCCCCTGAAAGTGCATGTCCAGTTCCGCGGCTCACTGCCGCAGTGAAAGAGAGGATCCGAGCCTCGCTCGATCGAAGCGACGGATCGTGTTCGCGATCAGGAGAAGGTTTCGTGCTCTCGGCCCGGCACCAACACCATCTCGGATGGCATCGTCTTCTAGAGAGACAGATCCTACCGAGGTGGCCGAGCGGGTGGTGACCTAGACGCTTTCTCTGTCGCCTGCTGAAACCGACAAGAACACCGGATTGATTCAATACAAACAGAAAGTGAAGCTTTGTGAATTGGACGCAAGCTCTGACGAAAGCCTCAATTTAATCCCGACTCAAGTCAGGATACAAACTTTGCTTAGCTTGCTTAGAACGCGCTAAAAAGATGATTTCGAGATTTTGAATTTGGAACCCAATTTCAGGGTGCCCGCCGCCGCTGCTTGCTTCGTGCTGCTTGCCTTGCGCTGGCTGCTGGTTGCTTCCCCTAAGGTACGCAAGACGACCCCCACACGCGTCCTCTCACAGACAGACAGACACACGGTTGCTCAAGCAAACTCGCACTTGGTGAGCGCTGTACCAAGCTCACTCTGTGTGTGTCCGGCGTGTGCGGTGTGATTTCGGCTTTGAACTCGCGGTTGTTGCCCCTGGATTCGTGATTCGCTTCCGACCGACACACTCAATCTTGTTTTCCTTTCCTTTCCTCCCACCTCTCACCTCCCTGTTCGCCATCGCCTCTCTTCACCTCCATCACCGCCCATTTGCAAGCAGACGACGCTGCTCTTCTTCCGGCTCCTCTCCGACCATTTCCAATTACTTCGGGTCGTCTCTCACCTTACATTTCGATACCTTGGCCGGTTAAACTTCTCGCAACCCTGCAACGCGCCTGCACCCATCTCGACTTCCTCTAGGCAGCATCCGGGACACAAGCCATCGTTTCCTCACCACGGCATCCAACGAAGGATCGTCATTCATAGCATCCGCAGCTCTTGATCAAAGCAGATCAGATCATCCGGACCCAGTATCCCAGACATTGCACCACAGCAGATTCGAGACTCGTTTCTTCATCGCGTATCGACTGTGACTTTCAGCATCCCTTGTCGCCTTTCTGCATCCCATCAGGGTCCACAATCGGTCGCTCTCCGAATCAGCATCAGGACGTTCCGAACATACAATGTCAAAGGCACAGTTCCTGCGCGAGTACAAGCTCGTCGTCGTCGGCGGTGGTGGTGTGGGCAAATCGGCGTTGACCATCCAATTCATCCAGAGCCACTTCGTAGACGAGTACGACCCAACAATCGAGGATTCATACCGCAAGCAATGCGTCATTGACGAGGAGGTGGCGTTGCTCGACGTGTTGGATACGGCCGGTCAGGAGGAGTACAGGTAAGTTTGCACACAGGCGACACTGTCATTCTAGCGCGGCCATACTGACACTGTGATGTTGCGCCGTTGCGTTCCGTTCTACAGCGCGATGAGGGAACAATACATGCGAACAGGCGAAGGCTTCTTGCTAGTATACAGCATCACATCGCGCAATTCGTTTGACGAGATCTCGACGTTCCACCAGCAGATCCTGCGGGTCAAGGACAAGGATTCGTTCCCCGTCATTGTGGTGGCCAACAAGTGCGATCTCGAGTACGAGCGTCAGGTGGGCAGCAACGAAGGGCGCGAGCTGGCAAAACACTTTGGGTGCCGTTTCATCGAGACATCAGCCAAGCAACGCATCAATGTCGACGAGGCATTCAGCAACCTGGTGCGCGAGATTAGGAGATACAACAAGGAGCAGACGGCAGGCCGACCGGGCGCAACTGGCGCCCCAAGTGGCGCAGGCGGCATGGAACGCTTCCAGACAGAGGAGGACTCGCATTCGGGCGGATGCTGCAAGGGTTGCGTCGTGCTCTAGTGCACAGTCCAAGGGCCTGTTTCTTGGTATGGTCTGCAGCACACCTCATGTTCTTGTCTCTCGCTCTCTCGCTCTCTCTTTGCTTGCTTTCTTTCAAAACGACTCCACTCGCACTCGGTAGTCGATGATATCCCACTCCAGTAGACAATGCAACTGTTGCGCGACACAAACGGTGTGATGCAGATCGCAATTTGGTTTGGTATAGTGTGAAGTCGATCCGCGGCTGTTAGGAGCACCATGCAGATCTGGGACCCAGCGAGCGACGAGCGCTTCGATGGGCACTAGATCCAAGAGTCGGTGTTGTTGTCGTCGATTCGCGGATCTCGTGAGCCACGTGATCAAAATAACATGGCACCAGAGACAGAGAAAATCTACCAGAGCTCGAAAATTCAGCTTGGACGCGCCTTGAGCAAAACACGCTCGAGTGTTGGACTCTGGCCCTGGCTGAAATCTTGAGCGCCGCTCAAACCCTGCATCATCGCTTCGAGGCATGGCACAACACGCGCGCAGCTTCCTGACCTCTCCTCACCACCACAGTCCACCTCTGTTCCCATCGCCCTGCTGTCCAACAACCACCGGAGATATCGACAAGGGTCCCCTCAGCGTCCGCCTACTTACTCTATCACCCACCGCCCTCGACGACCAGCAGGCCACGTTGTCACACCACAAGGCTTGCACATCGGCAACATGGCTCCCTCTCGCGCCTTGTTCAGCTCGTCCTCGGCCTCGTCGCGCCACGTCAACAAAGCGCGTCCCGCCTCGGACGACGAGGACCTCTTCGATGGCGACGCCTCGTACCACCGGGTCAAAAAGTCCTCCGCCCTATCCTCCAAGTCGAGCGCGCACAAGTCGTCCTCCACCTCGGCACCTCGCTCCAAACGACCGTTGGAAGAGGAGGAAGTGCGTGCTGTCAAGAAGCCTGCCACGAACAAGCGACACGACGACGGCTCCGACAACGAAGCGATCTCTTCGCTCTCGGACGAGCTGCTGACCGAGCGTCGGGCCTACGACGAGTGGGTGGACAAGAAGCTCTCCAAACTCACCTCCAAACGCGAGCAGATGCTGGAAGAGCGACTCGACCGCATCCGTGCCGAACGGGACGAGATTCAATCCCAATACGATGAGCTACGCCAACTACGCACTACTGCACCCGAAGAAGCACTCGACGAGTTCAAAAAGACCGCCGAAGCCCGCTACCGTCACGACAAGGATCTGATCAATTCGTTGAAGGTCAAGATCGAAGCGGCGGAAAAACGAGCCTCCGAAGCAGCAGGCGGGACGGTGGGAGATCGAAGTGTGAGTATCCTCGATAAGAGCGTACGGGAGAGCGTGGCACCTGAAATGGAGGAGATGGAGAAACAACATCGTCGCGAACTGGCAGAGGCGATCAAGGTGCAAAAGAGACTCGAGGAAGAGGTGCGATCGTACAAGCTACAGTTGGAACAGGAGGTGGCACAGTCCAAAGCAACCAGGTCGATCAATAAGCCGAGCGAGACCGCTGCATCCACCTCGTTGGCCGCGATGGAGGACGAAAAGGCGGTACGCAAACTCTACGAGGATTTGACGGGACTGGTGATCACGGGTGTGGAATTGATTCAGCCCCCCTCGACGTTGAGGCGCTTCAAAGCGATTTTTGCCCAAGAGGACTACTATTCCGTGCTCATGGACCTCGAAGAGTCGACGAGCAAGATCGCGGGTGGCAACAAGACCAGGGATGACATTGTGTACGTGCCCAAGGTGGAGGAGGATCGGGATGGGGAGTTGTTGGGGAGCAAGACGGTGCCGCAGGCGTGGTTGGAGGCGTTACGCTTCGAGAGGGGGATGTTGTTCAAGTGGTATGAGAAGACGAGGAGGGCGCTGCAGACCGACGAGGCGAAGGAGAAGACCAGGGTGAGGGAGGAGAGGGCAAGGGCGAGAGGATGAGCGGTGATACGAGACGAATCGTGTTCCAGATGGAATGTTCATACCCCAGTTCCAGATGTGCTGCTCAGATTGATCTTGAGTGAGAGAAAAATGGCATTGCTATCGTTGCTCACACAGGCGATGCCCTTGTCAAGGGATCCGTAGTCTTGGTGACCCTCCAAACATCCCCAACCCGCACCACTCCCTCCTTCTCCCTCGGCACGCTCAGCATCCCGAAACACGGCTTGCCTTTCGCTGCTGCGACCTTGTCCACCTGCCTGTACTCCTGCAGCACTCTGTACGGCAAAAAGTTGTCCCTGACGCCTGTCTCCGGGTCGATGTTAGGCACCATGCATCTAGCGCATTTGGCAAGCATGTACATCCCCGCTCTTCCTTTGCCCTCCGCCTCACTGCCCATCGGAGCCTCTGCTTCGGAGGACGGAAAGAGCTCCGCTGCTGTCCATCCATCCTCCTCCCACGCCGACAAGGTGGTACTGGCACCGGGGGCATTATCGACGATGATGTTGGGGCGGAACCGCGTGATGGGAAGAGTGGAGAGCTCTTCTGGTGTCCAGTACTCGCGATTGACCGAAGGTGGGACCTTGTAGGCTTTCGCATCCGAGTCCGAGGTCATGGAGGGGTAGACCGAGGCGGTGAGGGTGGCTTGCACGTCGCGCAGGCTTTCAGCGGAAGCGACGAGGCAGGGGAAGAAGTCCTGGTATCGGAGCACTGCATCGTTCCACTCGACCTTGCCGTCTGGGTTGGTCGGTCCGCTTTCGCGTGGCGAAGGTCCCTTGCGGACGAGTCGGACGGACTTGCCAAAGTAGGCAGAGAGCTTCTCGTCCGCTTCTTTGGACACTGCATAGCCGTCGACGTAGGCGCCCCAGATGAAAATCCCGTCGACCACCTCGTACGTCTTCACTTCGTCCTCGCTCGGCTGCAGGGAGACTTCGACGGTCGAAGCAGCGACTCCCGTCTCGGACTGCGGGATCTCGATGGACAGCTTGTTCGCGTCGTGCTTGATGCGCGGATGGATGAGCACCATCTTGGGCAGCTCGCGCGCGGTGTAGAACTTTTTGGTGGTTGCATCGATGATGAGCCAGGTACGGTCGTACTGCAGACCCTGATGGTCGAACGGCGCTTCTTTGACGGAGGTTCCACGACACGACTTGATCGGGTGGATGAGGATCTGCGAGACGACCAGGTCTTTGGTGAGCGAGTCGGCGTGCGGCGTCGAGGCGGCCGAGTTGGACGAGACGAGCGCGTTCTGCAGCATGTCGGAGGTCGAGCTGAGGAACGCTCGGCCTGCTTGGGTGATGGCTTCCATTGTGGACGATAGCGTACGGTCTCGGGTCTGGAAGGAGAAGTATTGCGAGATGGTGACGGTCGGGAGGAAGGTGAACGAGTCATGGACTCAGCCTTTGTGGTCGAAACGCAGGGTCCAAAAATCGAGACGCCGAAATTGCCGTCACGTCCGTGCGCAATTGCTATCCCAGCTTTCTTCTCACCCACTGTTTTCCGGCTGCCACACCACACCCGGGGACACGATGCCGACGATCGGACAACGACAGACATGACAATGGTCAACGGCGAAGCGACAATTGCCAAGCTGAGCATCTTTGTGACGGTAGGAACAACGCGCTTCGACTCGCTCATCAACGCTGTTCTCTCGCAACGCTTCCTCGATGCGATCGCAGAGCTCGCAAAAGAGTCACCATCCACAGAGCCTCGCGTGCAGCTCGTGGTCCAGTATGGCAACTCGTCCATCGCGGACATCCTGACGTCTTCGGCGCTGGCGTCAGCCGACGAAGGAAGCGAAATCGTCCCTGAGCCAGGGCTTCGCGTAGTCAATGGCCGAAGAGTGTATCAGAGTGGACCCAAGATCGGCGGTCTCGATCCGGGTCAGACAGGCACAATATCCGGTCTACGCCTTCGTACTGCTGCTGCGCCACGCAGCGGTGATAGCACATCCGCAGAACCGAGGGAAACTGGAAAGAGCATCTTCGATAGCATGCTCAATGAGGCCAAAGCCATGCAAGGCTTCACCAGCAGCACCGCCCACTCTGCTCTGCAAGGCGCATCGCTAGAAGCAGAGACGTCCAACGGTGTCGAATTGCAGCTGTTTCAGTTCGCACCAGACCTCAAGTCGTACATCCAGTCCGCCGACATTGTCATCAGCCACGCAGGATCAGGAACGATACTGGATACGCTACGCATGCGACCGACACCGCCAACGCTGATCGTGGTGCCGAACACGTCGTTGATGGACAATCATCAAGTGGAGCTTGCAGAAGCACTGGGCCGGGATAGATTCGTCATTGTAGGGTTGGAAGAGACCCTTGCCGAAGATGTGGTTCGAGCGAGAGAAACGACCTGCGAGGCGTTCCCGGATTTCGACGCTTCCCGATTCACAGCGATTGTGGATGACCTGATGCAATTCTAGCGGTCCTTGTCGATTATGACCTGTCCTCGGTGTGCTCATCACAATCAGTCTCGGACAGGCAATCAAAAGCGGTGCTAACGCCGTCTCGGGAAGCCTCAGGGGCAGGCTGCAGAGGCCGACCCGTTCCTGGCTCCCATAAAAGACGCGTCAACTTGCCGATGACGGTGTGTTGGTCGGCTAAGAGGAAACGTCAAGTTGCGCCCCTGAGTGGGCATGACGCCAAAATCACATGCAATAGGAGCTCTGCGCAGTTCCAAATGTTCATCGAGACTCTACAACGCTCCCTTTGCCCGTCATCCAAGCCCACTAGCGACCTCTCGGCGTCGCACAGCCTCCTATTCCCTTGACCGAGCCTCGCGAACAGGGGCTGAAGTGTTTGGCGGTTCCTATTTTCAGCCCCGCGGATGTCAAAAAGGTTTCAGTGTTGGTCTGCTTGCGATATGCCTTAGGTCCATGAATGCAGTGCGTGCAGCAAACAGTGTCTGCAGTGGGACATGCTTCTTGCGAATGATGTAGCCCTTTGAACGGACTCGACATTGCTTTAGGTGTTGCACGCGACCGCACGGTCAATTGATGCAAGAGATGCTCGCTCTGCATACCGTTTGCTCTTCGGACTCGATCTGAGATTGGTCATCGTCTGAACCCACCTGGGCCAGCTTCTTCCTTCATCTCCTCATCTTCCCTGCATTTGACTCTCTGATGAGCCTCCTCGGCCAGCTACCTTGGCTTGAGACGCATGGCTCATCGATCTTCTCGGGCACTCACTTTTGTGTACAGCACGCTCCACAGCGTGGAAGTCAGCCACCCACACCTACCATGGGCACTCATACATCGACTCCTCCTCGAACTGCATCAGGATCTTGTCGTCGGCCAGTACGAACCTCATATCGGGACTAGAGCCCGGGTCTCCATCCAGCCAGGCCTGCTTTCAGAGGTGCGAAGCTATCCTCATTTGCAATCGCCGGCATGGCAACGCTACCGCAACAGGCTCCAGGGCCGGGTCCAACCGCCCAAGCCCTGCCCTCCTGGCTCTCTTACTCTGCGGCCGAAACAGACACCATCGCTTACACATCGACTCTGACCCAAGTAGTCTACGACCCACAAGGAAGCTTTGGGCCCTTTCAAACAGTAAATGTTGTTCAGGGCACCACGACCTCGGTGGACTACTCGGTGGTGAACGTTCCAGTGCTGTATACGGGGCCATTCCCGGCTCCGGATCTGGGGACGCTCTATACGACGCCCGGGCAGAGCGCAACACAACAGGCTAGTGCTGGTCCTCAGACAGCAACATATACTGCGGGTAGCGGTGAGAATAGTTCGCTCAACAATGGAGCTACGGCAGGAACAGGCACTCAGACAGCTCCTCCAGCTTCGGCGCCTACACAAACAGATCCTGCTGAAGCGTCGACAGCTCCTACAGACACGGCCACGCTAATGACAGAACAAAGCGCGGGAACAGCCGAGCCAACCCAAGATGGCTCGCTGACAGCCGCATCAGCACCTACAACATCACCCACCTCGACAGCACCATCACAGAGCAATGCACCGACCTCTACCACGCTCTCCGGCACCTCGCCGACCACAATCAACGGCACCGGCACCTCCTCAGCGACAGACCCAACTTCAAAGACTGGAACCGCCACAAACAGCGATCCCTCCGCCACCGCAGCTGGCACACCAAACACTCAGATTCTTTCTTCCAACAGCTTGTCTGGCGGTCAAATAGCCGGCATCGTTCTCGGCGCACTTTTCGCCCTCCTGCTTCTCCTTTTGCTTTTGCTCTGCCTGCGTCGTCGACGAAAGAGGCGGCAAGAAGAGGCGATACTTGGCGCGGCGACGGGCGGCGTAGGCGCCGCCGGTGGAGCTCGTGGCAACTATGCTGCCATCGGTGCTGGGACCGCTGCCCCAGGAAGGCTGACCGGCGACGACTGGAGGGATGACCACCTAACGACGGCTGGTGCTGGATCCGGATTCTTCGTCGTCGGTGGAAGAAGGAAAGGTGACCGACAAGCCAGCAGCACCTCACGCCGGTCCCGAAACCGCGAGCATTATCCAACTGCGAGCATCACTCCTTCCTCTCCCAACAGGACGGGCGCTTTCGCAGGCCTTGCAGCTGCAGGCGCAGCAGCGATAGGCGCCGTCTTCGGTCGCAAACGACCACGCAACACGGGTCGGGTGGAGATCGAGGAAGATCCATTCAGCGAGGATGACGCTGGCGATCTCACTGCAGAACGGCAGGGACTCATGTCGTTTACATCGCCCGACAGTACCTATGGGTCTGGATTCGAGATGCGTGAGGGGAAGAGACGGATATTTGCCCCTACGCCGGCGGTGCTTGTCGGAGGCGCACGGGGCGGATCGCGTCCACCATCGGACGCATATTCCGCCTCAGGGAGCGGTACGAGCAGCTCACATACGCAACGACCCGCGATCAGTAGTAGCAACAGTGGGGTGACGCCGAGTGGAAGCGGGAGGAGTCTGCCGCCGCCTCCGAGGGCATCGAGGAGTTCACCTACGAGTCAGACTATGAGGAACGTGGAGCCCTCACGAAGCTCGCCCCCTTCTGCCAGGCCAGGCTTGGCAAGTCGAGGCTCTGCAGGAACAACGGATAGCAACACCTCCTGTGGTGGGATGGACGCCGCGCTCCTCGGTGTAGGTGGGCTGGGGGCGCTCGCAGCGGGCCACAGGGAGAGCGACGGAAGCACCTACTCCCATCGCAACGTACGAGGATCCCACATGTCCGAGATGTCCGCCGACGAGCTGTCCCATCTGCGATCGACGGATCCGGAACGATACAGCCGCTTCATTTCGACGGGCAGCACGCTGTTGGGTCCCAACTATCGGTCGAGCCCCGAGGACGAGTCGTCTAACGACACATCGACGCCTGCCCACCCGGTACTTGGCGGTACTTCGGCTCCGCATCCGACACGCCTTGCCACTATCCGCAGTGTCGGCGAGCTGGGCGAGAGGAGCGAGAGCGGCTCGCCACAGCAAGGATCAAGCGGGCTGTACGGGTCATTGGGCGCCTCCTCAGGGTCAAGGCGCGCTGTCTCCCCTTTGCCCGTATACGAGCCTCGCGGTGAGACTCCAGCAGCCGACCTGCCGAAGTACGCGATGCATTCCCGACCCACTTCCTCCAGACCATCAAGCGCGGGAGAGGTGTTCAAGACACCCATGTCCGAGGCGCGAAGTCTGTTTGTCACCCCACCCGATTCGCCGGAACACACAATCCCGTCCAACTCACCGGAGGCAAGACCCGCGTCAGACGGTCGTCAAGGCGCCCAACTGCCAGAGACGTCAGCTGCAAGTGCCGGCGTGCTTGGCGGTGTCGCAGCAGGATGGCGGCGTCTGACAATGGGACAGTTCGCCTGGGTGCCTGCAGCCTCGCAGGACCACCAAGCGCCTTCCTCTTTGGGCGATGTGGATGAACCCGATCCGCGGTTGAGCTACGATCACGCCCAGCGGCCGTCTGAAGACTCGAGTCGGCTGGTGCACCAACGGCATGGCTCTCGAGTGGAGACGAGCGAGACAGGTATGGCGCCGGTAGTAAGGAGCCACAATGCGAGCGTGTATGGTCCTTCAGCGGTAGGTCATGGTTCAGGGAGCAGTGGAGAGCGGGGTGCCTCTAGGCCGAGCCTGTCGAGTCGTTCTCGAGCCGGCTACTCCGCGAGCCAGTCTGCGTTTAGCGGCCGACGCACCACGAGCGATATGGACAGCCTCAGCGCTGCCGCGCAGGCCAGCTCGTCCCGATCTACCCGCACCGGTGGCGCTAGCGAGAGAAGCATCTCCACCGGCGCTGCCAGCTACAACCCTAGCAACGACGCGCCAAGCTCGCGTGCTGTTGCGGGCGACGATTCCGTAGCGACCGACAACGCGACTAGGAGCGGCGAGTCGGCAAGCATCATGTCGGATGAGGTGTCGCACTTTGCCAGTAGTCGCGCGACCAATGGCAGCAACTCAGTGGAGGAGCGCAAGAGGCCAAGCGAGGGGCTGAGCCGACTCGACAGCTTGCGAGAGCGCGACGAGTCGATGGATCCCTTCGGCTCGCTGGAAGGCGACGCGGGAGGCAGTCCAACATCTGGGGGTTGGAGACCGTCACCGAGAGTCGTCAGCGCATCGCAACAGGCCGCTGAAGCACTGGTTCGACCTCAACAGCATCCTCAGGGGCCAAGGGATGACGCTCCGACAGCTCCGTATCCCCAGGAGGCTTCACACCATTGGGACGACCTCGATACGACATTCAGAGGACCGGATCGCGCTGCCGATCTGGAGGCTGCTCCGGAGGGCCAGACAGCCGGAGAGGGATCCGACGAGGAGCAGAGATGGAATCGCTCCTTTGAGTGGCCCAAGTTCCTACAGTTCTAGGGGCAGGAGACACTTCCGACGCGCTTTCGCCCGATCAGCTGGACCACATCAACTTTGCAGTCTCACATGGTGCGCTGCTCTTTCTTAAGATCCTAATCACCTTGATGGATGCTACATATCTCTTGTCACGAACTAACAACGTTTGCATCGCATAGCACTTTTGTTCACATGATCAGCTTTATTCTTGTCCCATTGCCGACTGCTTGCTTGATGACCGAGCACGGCCATCGTGTGAGCAGAGAGAGTCACGACCTGTTTGGTCTAGGCCCGGTCAACATCAGCCTCGCCCCAACAGCGCTCGCTGACTGCCAGGGGCGTTTGTGAAACGACGTCGAGCCCAAAAAGTCTCCGGTTGCGGGGAGATGGTTCTTGGCATGTCAGCGAGGGTTCCGCTCGTGGGGACGGGCATTTCTTTGGACACTCAAAAGCCTGAACCCCGGATATGAGGGGGTCTGGACGCGCGGGGAAAGGACGAGCCGCGAACGATTACGTCGTTGTGCGGACCAGAACCGCGTTTTGCATCTCGAAGGTGCTTTACGCGAAGACCTCACTCATCCGTGCTCGCGATCGACCCGCTGACGATGCCCCGCTTGGGAAGTGCGATCAAGAGATTGATAATCGACCGTGCACAACAGTCAGCGTGGGAAGAGGTAGCGAGAAATTTCCCCACACCCGCTCGCCCGCTGGTCCAGCTCGGCTAGGGTGCATTGCAGACGCGCCGATGGGAGCTAACCCATTTTGGCGAGGTATGCCGAGTTGAAGAGGCTAATCTATGACCAGCCGAGATGATCGTATTGGGCCATCAACACCGTCGTCCGGGCCGGACAGGATCGCGCAGTATCGACAGGGGTCGTTTAAGCTCAAGGGTGCGGCGGAGGAAAGAGGGCTCATCTATGCACATGTACGCTCGCTGGCTGGCTTTCTCCCGCGGCCGTGCCCTGCCTGGCTCCTGTGGGAAGACACTAATCAACGGCAGCTAGTGTGTCCAGTCCAGCCTATAGTACGGCGTAAGCCTTATAAGCGCGCATAGACGAAACTTAGTAGACAAGAACGCCATTGACAAAAGATCAGTTAGGGCAGACAATGAAAGCAAGGACCTGCAAGGCCGCGCATAAGATGCACGCCTTCGTTGTGTGGGATCCCAAGGCTCGGGAGGCGGCTCCGACGGGGCATGATAGCACGACGCGGGTCGTGATGAGAATGGTGGTGCGCGCCAAAAAAAAAATTGGGCGGTTGACGGAGGATCATGTCTTTGATCGCTTACCCGCTCACAATGGCAGTCTTCAGGCTGAGTATCAACTTTCCTGATCGCGATCAAGCGCGCTACTGGACGAGAGGACCCAAACCGGCGTGACCAAACCAAGCGGCGGGCGTTTCATCAGCAGCGCAAGGAGAAAAAAAGGTCGAGCTAAATTTCCGATCCAAATTGGGTGAAATCGCAGTCTTGCGAGCCGAGCGAAGGGCAGAGGGCATGTGAATGTGTCAAGAGGGCATCCACTGCTCAGTGCCGTCATCGAAAGTTGAAGCTTGCAGCTCGGATACCTCTCGCTCACACAGCAAAAAAGCAGGGTGCACGCTCGTGAGACTGTCTACACTCGCATCGAGAGCGTCACCAAGCAGCGTCAGCAGCTAACGGTACGTCCTCCCCCTGATCCCCCCATCCGCAATCAAGGAACAAACTCGTCTCGCCTAATCTGAGCCAGATCGCAAAGTCGCTGCTGATGGAGCATGGATTCTACCGGGCCACTCGCCCTTTCTCCTCGTGAGAGTCCGTTTTTGGCACTCCGCTGCCCCATCCATCGAAGCATTGTGCTGCAGCCCAGATGAAGGTGGGAGCACCAGCACCGGGGCGTAATGCGCAGTCCCCACCGCCAAATGAGACCGCTTCGTATGAAGTTCTTGCTGCCTGTGCTGGAATGCCCCACCGTGCTTCTCACGAGTCCATGCCGCCTAGCAGCACCGGTACCCTCATCAACTTCTGACGAGAGCTGTAAGCCGCAAAGGCATATATACTTCGTTTGGACTATCGTGGATCCATTCCGTTCCCATCAAACCTGCTCATCCGCAATCGCATCCTCACCTAAACTCAACCTCCAGCGTTCTTACCCTAAGACACCTCTATCATAATGTTCGCTTCCGCCGTCCGCCTCTCCGCCGCTCTTGCGCGCCCCACTGCTGGCGCCGCCGCCGTTGCTTCCACCGCTACCACTGCTGGTCTCAAGACCTCGGCCGTCACTGCCCTCAAGGCCACCACCACCATGCGCAACCTTGACGGCCGCCTCTGGTCCAAGAACCGCCTCCAGGTGCTTCTCGACGCCTCGGCGCCCATGCCCGCTGCTCGCGAGCCCAACTGGGTCAACCGCGCGGCTCGCAACCGCGACGCCAAGGACCTTGCCGGCTGCTAAACAAGCCCAGAGCCAAGCACAAACACACCCTCTTTTGCCCCATGCATCGTCGTTCCCATCGCATTAGCATTTATAGCTCTCCCTGAGAGGCTCCATTTGTACTTGTACCTGTATACTCTTTGCTTCGTGTAATCACAAACACCAAAACGCAACATCGAAGGCTCTGGCCTGGTTTTGTGAATGATGTCGATCAAGTCTTCCTTTTCGTGACAGACTCAGTGCCGAAGAAGCATCTTCAGAGGATGCGGAATGACAGCACGGTCCAAGACCATCTACGAGCCAAAGGACGGTGAGGAACTTCTAAGTCGAACCTGTCTGCCCGCGAACAAGGATCTCTGAAGCCCATGTGGCAGAAAGCGGGCATAGACGGCGTCAATATCACGGCGTTGTGGCGGAGGGGGTGTCGAGGAAGTCAAGGCAGCCGTCAGCAGTGGCCACGAGGAGGGGCGTTCCTCGATAGCTCAAGGCTCGAACCGGCCGACAGCCGCGTTCGAAGGCCATTGTGAGAGCTGACAGACAAAGATGTAACAGTCGAGAATTGTCGCTAAAATTGTGACTGCGCAGCGGAAGTCGAGCTGGAGCTGACGCTTCTTCAGCGCTCGAAGCCGTTCTTTTTCAAATCGGCAGCGCTGGATGAATTGAAAAAGAACAAAGAGGTTGTGACTTTACCAGAGGAGCAGTGATTACGAACGGCAGAGTGAGAAGTGGACTGCAGAGAGCCAAGAGATCGAGTCTGGCCGAAGAGACAAAGCACAGCCGCTGCTGCTGGCTTTGTGTGTGTGAGTGGCTCGAGAACAACAGAAATTCCCAGTCAGCAGAGCCAGTCTCTTTCTCGACTGTGCGGGAGGCGTGTGTGTGTGTCTTTGCTGCGCCGCAATGAAAGTCCACATCGTCTGGGCCGTGTCAGTTTTGCTTGTCGGTGTTTGTTGTTCTCCTTATCTCCACCACCACCAACATCAGCATTCATTGTCGTCTCTGGCATCTTCGATTGCAACATCTCGCTGTTCATCTAGGTCCGAACCGTCTCTCGTAACAGCACTCCAGTCTAGCACATCGCATTCGCCGACCAGGCAGGTACATTCGCAGTAAGTTTCATGTCAGCGGTGGCTTCAGCAGCATACAGAGGCGACGATGGATCGTGCAGGGAAGCATACATTTGGACACACGACTACCTGCATCGAGCAGTACACGGGCACTTCCTCAGCATCGCGGACCGCACGATACGGCATGACAACGTCACAGAGAACTTGTCTCCACAAGCAATTGACGGGGGCTTGCATCTTCGATGAGCTCGGCTAGGCCGTATGACCACCGATCGACGCTCGATTCCAGCTTCCAAGGACCGGAGCTGCCGCTTCCTGCTCTACGGCGGATAGGATAACGTGTAGGCTCATGAATACGTCAAAGATCGACAGGCTATGCTCAGCCCTGCCGTTTCATCATCATCCCTGCTGCAAGGATTGTCGCCGCCACTGTCTTTCCGCGTGTGTAGCGTAGAAGAACTTCTCTGACCGTATTCTCTTTTCTCGCCTTGCCTCCACGCTGCATGTCACCTTTCCGCACTTGTTCGTCTGTCCTCCACCATTGCATGTTACGACTTTCAACGCACGCAGAAAATGGCTATGAAAAGGATCAACAAGGAGCTCGCCGACCTCGGCCGCGACCCTCCCTCCTCTTGCAGCGCCGGTCCTACCGGTGACAACATGTTCCAGTGGCAAGCGACAATCATGGGTCCCGGTGACTCGCCCTATGCCGGCGGTGTCTTCTTCCTCTCCATCACCTTCCCGACCGACTACCCCTTCAAGCCACCCAAGGTTTCGTTCTCCACCAAGATCTACCACCCCAACATCAACAGCAACGGCAGCATCTGTCTCGACATTCTCAGGGACCAGTGGAGTCCAGCGCTCACCATCTCCAAGGTGCTGCTCTCCATCTGCTCCATGCTCACGGACCCAAATCCCGATGACCCGCTCGTACCCGAGATTGCCAACTTGTACAAGACCGACCGTCAACGATACGAGAGCACGGCTCGCGAGTGGACCCGAAAGTGAGTGCTAAGCCATTCCGACGTTCGAGCTCACCGACGCGTCACTGACCCATTTGTCCCTTCCTTATCCCCTTGCTGCGAATTCGCTTTGACACCAACAGATACGCTATGTAAAGACGCACACAATCACGTCAAAGCAAAGTTCCGATCTTCATTCTCGTCCTCTTGCATCTAAGACTTGTGTCCGCAGCATGCTCCAGCAATTCATCGTGCAACAATCAGAACGGAAGCGCATTCAAAGCGCGCTGTGTGCCAATCTCCTTGTCAGGAGGTCGGCGAATTGGAGGACCCAATGACGTTCACAGCAGCTGACTGCTGCTTGATGGACTCTCATCAAGCTGTTTCGGCAACGTCGCAGGCAGAACGGTGAGCGTGCCTGTGAGTTTTGAGAACCTGTTCAGCTCCAACGCCCATGCATGAACGGCGCTTGAAACGGCGACTGCATAAGACAATGAGATCTTGTCCCTCTCATTCGCAACTCCTGACAATCGCATCACTCGACGTTCGAGCTTGCCAGAGCTCGCCCCGCCACAGCGGATGCCTATGAGTGTGTGGACCGTTGAGCGTCTGCTCTTGAGAAGAGTCGAACAGTCTCGTGTGAGGGGAGCAGCAGCGAAAGCGTTCCTGAAGTATCGGCTCCGAAAATTTGCACTTGACGCCAATTCCAATTCGAGGTTTTGGAGGATTGGCTGAGTGAATGACTCCCAAGACCCTTTCCAAGCTCCTTCTACTCAGCCAACCATCCATCCGACCCTTCCTTCTTCCCATATACCCAGCGCAGCCAGTTGAGACCGACCATATCCAGCACCAGGACTTTCGGCTCCGAACAGGCGCAACCTCCACCAACGATCGAAAGGCAGACCGTTTCTACTTTCTGCAAGCCGACCCAAGCAACCACCGCGGGATGCTCTGAAAACTGCATACTCGTCTTTCCTCCGGCGTGCTCAGTATGGACGCAAAGGACTCGGCTCAGGCTGCCGATCTTCCCGTCAGCTCAATAGCTGTGACTGGGCAGCCAAAATCTACACCAGAACATGGCGGAGACAAGTCTAACGACTTCAGCATCCGTAGTGGCTCTCGGCAAGCAGTCAACGATGACGACGAGGAAGAGGAGGGAATGCTCAAAGTAGACGAGGAGGGTCAGATTGACGAAGATGACGGCATCCACTCCAAGGTGAGCCAGCCTCGTCCCCATACTGACGAGCGTGCGATTCCACTTGCTGATCGCCTCATGCCGCTTTCGGATGCTTCCTCCAAGAAGACGGTCAGCACTGCCCCATCCAGCACCACCAAGAATGGCCATTCATCTCCAAGACACACTTCCTCCGACCGCGACCGATACCATGACGCTTCACCAGGCCCGTCTTCATCCTATGCCCCACCGCGCTCCAGGTTTGGGCACCCTGCAGATGCCGGATCCTCGTATGGCGCAGCAGCTTCGGCATATGCATACCCACCAAGAGACCGCGATGCCGCTCGGCCAGAGCCATATGCATCGGGTTCCCGTACCAGTTTCGCCGGATCAGCACATCGAGCAGACAACGCGCGCAGCTGGTATCCTGCGTCATCCGGCACGCCGACACCTCGAGGATCTGACACGTACCGCCCCGGTGCAAATCGTGACCGCGAACGAGGAAGAGATAGAGACTGGGACTCGTACCGCGATGGCGACAGGGACAGAGACTGGGAGCGCGAGAGGGAATCGTATCGAGACACCGTGGACAAGCGTCGCGACTGGCCATCTCGCGAGAGAGGTGCACCTCCCTCCGTCTACGAAGCGAGCGACTCGTATGCACCATATCCAGTCTCAGCAACCAGCAAGTACGGATATGAGGCCCGCGATTATGCCGACCGACGGGCTGCATCGCCCTCCGCCAACCTCGGCAGAGACCGCGACTTTGACTCCGATCGATCCAGAGACAGGGATCGCGATCGTGTGAGCGAGCGAGACCCTCCCGCACGGGAACCGAGCTCGGGTCGGGCTTCTGGTGGGATGCGACAATGGGGCAAACCGACAGATGCCTCCATTCGTGGTCCAGCATCCGAAGATGCCCGCTCCGACACGTCACAGCGTCAGTCTACGTCCCGCTCTAACACCACGCCTCCGGAAGCCGGCACCAAGCCGGTCGCATCCGATCTCGCCGCCGAGAAAGGCGAGGTCACGAGCAGGGATGTGTCTCCGCAACCAACGCTTCAGACCAACGAGGGCAACAGAGAGGAGGCAGAGGCAGCGGCGCCACTACCAAGCGAGGTCGCTCCGCTTGCCCCATCAGCTGCGTCAGGCGCACAAGACGCAAAGGCGGAAGATCCAGCTGCAAGGGTGCGTGCGTCAGAGGCTCAGAGTGACGGTGTCTCCGAACAAGTTGCAGCAGAGTCAGCAAAACAGGACAACGCAGGATCTACCGCAGGGCCTTCAGCAGCAGCAACGCAACTCACCACCGAGCAGACCCTAGGCGACAACATCTCTACTGCAGAAATATCTCCGCCAAGCGCTGGGGGGAGTGGCACCGTCGAGCTTGCGCAACCGAACGAGAAGCCTACCAAGAATCAGGACGAGGATACACCAGGACACCAAGTTCCGGCAGTCGCGGAGGCTCCGGCAGATCCGTCGCCGGCGGACATTGAAGTTCCACAGCCTGAGTCACAAGATGGCCTTCCGTCGCAGCCCGAAACGAACGAGGCACAGCTGTCCGGCAAAGCAAGCGGCGATGCGGAGCAGGTCAACGCCAGTGCAGCCCCGCTAGCACAAGCTCCGTCGAAGGAGGACGCCAGTCATACAGCAGTAGAGACGCTACCAAGCTCAACGGAAATCACTAATGTGGGCGTACCGAGCGAAACAGCCTCCTCGCACATTCAAGACGAGCCCATGCAGAGCCAGGCTGACGAAGTGACGCAATCTCAGGTCAATCAGCAAAGCGATGCCCAAGCAACGCAGCTGCCCACAACAATCGCAGACGACTCCAAGACCGAGGACGCCAGAGCGTCAACGGCCATGCACGAATCCGTGCCGTGCGTCACCAACGAATTGGTCTCCACTGCTGTGTCCGAGCTTCAGGATGCTCGCGTCAAAGCAACCGAACAATCAGCAGCAGCTGTGCAGGCGCCTGCTTCGGCGGACCTGGATACAGGCAAGCAATCTGACGGAGCTACTGCCGATGTCGAGATGCCGGATGCTGCGCAGCAGCAAGAGCAGGCGCAGGAGCAGCCGGCAAAGGCAGACGCCGGTGCAACCGATTTAGCTGTCGCTCCGCCTACTCCGGTCGAGGCAGAGGCGGACCTTGACATAGAGGGCATATCCACGGTCAGCGCCACTGCAGAGGGCATGGTGCCCGACGTTACGCAGATTCCGGCTAGCAGTGCTGCTGATGGCATCACCGGCGAGCAACCAGTCGACAAGCCGAGTGAAGCTGCAGATGCTAGACCAGAAGATGACGTTGAGATGGAGTCAGTGGACCAGACTCCCGTCGAGAGCTCCGCGCCAGAAGCGCCGATGGAAGCGGCTGAAAAGAGTACGGTCGTCGACGAGACGCCCGTCAAGCCTCTAGAAAGCGCAAATGGACCCGTAAATCCCGGCACAACTGAGCCCGCGCCTTCGTCTGCCGAACTTAAAGTCAAGACAGAAGAAGAGCAGCCGGCTCAGGTCGGCGACGCTTCGATGACAGAGGCTTCAGTCGAGACAATTTCGAGCGATCTCCCGGTGGAGCAAGACAGCAAGATCGAGGGCCCAATCGATGAGCCAGGCCGGGCCGCTGACGCTGACGCAGCGAGCGTTGTCGAAGCCGCTTCGGCCGTCGTCCCTGTGTCAGAGCCTCAAGTAGTCGAGGCCAGTCTGCCGCCATCATTTTCCTCGCAGGTCCAGGTCTCGGGGCCCCATGTCACCGCCAGCATCGACGTCCAAGCGCAGACACAAGAGATCACACTGCCCCACGTCGACTATGGCGACGACAAAGAAGCTCGAGCACTCGCAGAACAGGAGACGGCCAGAATCGAGGAAGTTGAGATGCCTGCACCGGACGGGGAAGAGCCCTCCCTGCGCATCGCCGAGATCGACGATACCGACAGAGACATCGAGCCACCTCTGATGACGCCCTCCACTCAGGAGCAAATGGATAAAGCGATCCACTTCGCTCTTCGTCATCACATCGCAGAGGACAAGATACTCAAAGACGACTGGAAGAGGATCCTGAAAGAAAACCAGATCGTGTCACAAAGGACGACAATGGACGTTCTCAAAGCCAAGATCTACGGAATTCCGCTCCTTGTCAGCTCTGACCAGCCTCTGTGGCTCGAAGAGGACGACAAGCAGGCGGAGCGTATCAAAGCCCAACTGTTTCCTCAGTTGCTGGACCGCAAGAAGCGTCTCAACGCAAAGATCGAAAGCCTCAAGAAAAGCTATCGTAGCATCAACGAAGAGTGGAAGCTGCATTGCCAACGACTGGATCGTAGCGCCGAGCGTCGCGAATTGCTTCGCAGACCGCCGGCCAACACGCCCGCAGGTACACCTGGCGTCTTTGGCGTCGAAGAGCCGTCTCCCGGTGGTGGCGGCGGCGGCGGTGGAGGCAGTTTACTCAGTGCCTCGCTGACCACAGGTCGAGCTAACCGTCGCAGCGCTCAGACAGGCGGATTCGCTGGCTTCGGGGATGCCGTTCGGTCGGAGGCCGAATTCCTCGAGATCCTCGCCAGCTTGGAGAATGCCGACATGCAGGACCCGAACATGCGAGCTGCGCGCACCACCGCGACCGCACCGGACATGGCCATCAATGTCGACTCAGACCAGCTCACCAAGCTGCGATACGACGATCTGAATGGACATGTCGCGGATCCACTCGCCTTCTACCTGGACGAATTTGACCCTGATGTCTGGTCGGAGGAGGAAAAGGCCATCTTTGCGCGCCGCTATGCCTTGTGGCCCAAGCAATTCGGCAGAATCGCACAAGCTCTCCCACACAAAACACCGGCTCAATGCGTGCGCTACTACTACCTCAACAAGAAGGTGCCCGGCAACGACTTCAAGGCTCTGGCCGCTGCCAGGAACAGGGAGAGGAAGCGCAAGGCCCGCGTCAAGCCCAAGAAGGCCAAGGGCAGCGCACTGATGGCCGATCTGAAGTCTGCGAAGGGCGAAGAGGCCGACGATGTCGAGGACGGATCTGGTATGCGTTCGCCCGTCGAGGCGGTCGATCCATCCGCGTCACTGGCCGACGTTCCCATCCCAAGCAATGGCCGCAGGGGCGGTCGCGCTCGCATGGTTCCAGCGATCGTCGAAGGCAACTCCGAGGAAGTCGCAGCGGGCCGCAAACGCACCGCTGATCAGGGTGAGTCCGACACCAAGGGCGTAGATGCCAAGTCCGACAAGCGCAAATCTGGGCCCAAGTCGAAGCGCGCCAAGTCCGACAGCGCCAGCGCGACGGAAAAGTCGCGCAAGTCAAAGAGCGGTGGCAAGAAGGATCTTACGACGGTGGAGGAATCCTCTTCGGCGGCTCCGGCAAGTGTCAAAGCTGAGGGCAGCGACGAGATCACTTCCGCGTCTGCGCCACCCGCAGCTCACTCCGCAGAACTCAAGGCTGGGATGGAGGACAGCGACCTTGCTGCTGCCGAAGCGCTCGCAGGCCTATTTGGCGGTCCTGCTACCGGCGAGACAAACACCGCCGCGGACGGAGTGCCAGGCGAAGTGGATGCAGATGGTCGGAAGGCCGGCAAGAAGCGTCGTAGCAAGACATCCGTTCCGGGCGAGGAAGGAGGCGCGGACGTGGGAGGAGGCAAGGGCCGCGGAAAGCAGCCTACCTCCTCTTACTGGTCCGTGGCTGAGCGATACGAGTTCCTTCGTGCGCTCGTGACACACGGACCTCGATGGGAAGTCGTGTCCTCCACTTTGGCGCAAAAGTCGACCGCGCAGGCACGCAACTACTTCGCACGAAACGAAGACGAGGTCGACTTTGCCGAAGCCGCAGCGCTCGCTCGCAGCCACGCCGACGCTCCCTTGGAAGAAAGAGAAGCCGCGGCGCTGGCCTTTGTGCGTCAACGCTTTGCCAGCAATTCTGCTTCTGCCGTACCATCACTGCCCTCTGCAGCAGGAAGCGTGCCAGCTCTGGCATTGTCGGCGCCCGGCTTTGGCAACGAAGCTGTTCCTGGAACGACCCATCTTCCTCCGCCGCCTGGCATCTCTTCTTTCCAAGGCGATGCGATGGATGCCAAGATGCGGGACGAATCGCCCGAGGCGGTCGCCCCTCGACGCGGCTTGCAGATCAACTCGCTGCTCAACGACTCAGCCGATGCGGCTAGCCACCGGACCGCGAGACGATCTTCCCTGCACGATTGGCACGCGGAACGAGGAGACCCGGCGCATCCAGCCGCCAGCCGAGACGTCTCCGTGCCGCCTTCTCTCTACGCGAGGCAGGGACGCGACCTCGATGCGAGACCGCTCACTGCCGACCATCTCGAAACCGGTCGTCCCGCCACTTCCGATGGCCGAACGATGCGGGACGATCACGATGGGAGAGCGCGTGCGTACGATCGTCTCGATATGCACAGATCTGCCGCTGAAGGGCGAGACCCGCGAGATGACGCGGTCGACTCGAGGCCCTGGATGTACGATTCGCCATATGACGCACATCGCCGACCCATGCCTTCGTCAGGCTACGCAGCTATGGCGCCGCCGACCCATCCGGCTGATCGCAGCTCGGCCGCCTCGCGCTACTCGATGCCACCCAGCAGCGTCTCTAGCGCCGGTCACGTCGCCAGGTCGGCACCGCCCATGCACAGCCACCTGTCTTCGAGCGATGATGTCGAAGCGGAGCGCGAACGTGATCGTGAACGCGACCGTGCTGGATACAACATGTACGGCGCATCGGGTCGATCTCGCGAACACGAGTCGCACAGCATGCCGCCTTCCGTGCCTGGCGAGCAGCGTCGTGCCGTCAGTGGGGAGCAGATCTCACCGACTGGCGCCCACTTTGGCACGAGTCACGGCTACAGCCGTTACCCAACAACTGGCGTCGGGAGCGTGTACGCGAGCACCACGGCAGCGTCTGCTGCCCTCGCCTCGAGGAACAGACCTACCAACGGACCACTCACGGCGCCGTTGCCATCGACGTCCGAGCGACCAGCGTACGAGCAACGTTGGCGGGGCTACTCGCAGTCTCCTGGACCCACGTCCGCTGGCTCGAGCGCAGCTCACCTCTCGTCCTCTTCGACGGGTGGCTACTCTACCGCCAGCGCCTATCGATCGTCGAACAGCCCTTACTCGAGCTTCCCTTCGCAAAGTCTGCCCCGACCCTCCTTGCCTTCGCTTTCGGCGAGTGGTGGAAAGCCGGGTGCGCCGCACCTGCCGTCTTTGGGAGCAGCAGGACGTTCGTTGCCGCCCATCTTGGGCACGTTCCCAGCATCCGGGCGCAGCGCTCTCGGTGCTGGATCGCGGCCAGCAGGTACGGGCGAAGAGGCGAGATACTGGCCCTATCCACATCGCCCGCGAGGCCACGATCAGGGACCGTCGAGCCGCACTCCCGAGTAGACGAGGCGCTGAAGGGACCAGCATCAGCATTTCACAATTGTATTCCTACTTGTACTTCTATCGACCGTCATTGGATTCATGTATCAATAGCAAGCTGATGGAACCGCAACGTATCTACCGTCGCTTGTGATTGTGATTGCGACTTGCGAGAGGGCGTGCTCTTGAAGAAAGGTGGGGCTGAGCAGGAGCGCTTGGACGCGTCTCTGTGCGCAGCAACGCCTCCACACGCAGGGTCCAGCGCAGAAAAAAACGCACGGTTGATCAAGTTCTTCTCAAGAATCTTATTGTGGCGCATGAAGCTCTGTCCTTTTGATCACATCGTGAGTCCACGAATCGACTTCAGCTCGAGTTCGCAACAGCATCAACGTCTCTTCGTCATGTCGGTAAGTGACAGCGACTGTCAAAGACACGCTTCGAGAGGACAGCTGACTCACGACCAACCCAACCTCTTCTATATTGTCGGTCGACCAACACGGACAGGGTTCTTCGTCTACGAAGTGGGTGACGCTGGTCAGCGAGGTAAGTGGGAAGAGTATTTAGAGCACCGTCCAGCTGTGATCGAGACTGACGCTAGATTCTCGCTCCATACATCTCTGTCTCCGGCACGCTCGCTCGCTTCATGTTCTCTCTCCCACTCGCGCAAACCTTGTCTCGCTCGCTCCCTCGACGGTCTCTTCGCAACCGCACGCGCAGGATGGTTACCGCTTCCTAGTCGACAACACAACCGTGCAAGCATCACCGACCATCAAGACCATGCTTTCGACGGGTGACGGAGGAGGCTTCGCCGAGGCAGAGAGCAACACTGCCCGTCTGCAGATCCGGTACGCATTGGCTCCCTTTCCTCATCACTGCTTCTCCAAGCTGTACTGACGCTCTTTGTGGTCGTCTTTGTCGGATGGCGTGGCACTCGCAGGGGCGAAGTGCTTGAAAAGGTCATCGAGTACCTTCACTTCAAGACCAAGTACGGCGCAGCAGCCGATATGGACGTGCCCGATTTCAAGAACCGGATCCCACCAGAGAGCGCGCTTGAACTGTAAGTGAGCGCGGCTGTACGAAGACGATTGGACGAACGAGTACTGACGACGAACATTTCCCGACCATGCAATGGTGTTCTTGCTTACGATGGCGAATCGCAGGCTGATGGCTGCCGACTTCTTGGAGTGTAAGTGCTTGGCCCTTTCACCATGCCGCGTTGCTAGGATGAAGCTTACAGTCTTCTTCCCTATCGAATCTGCTCTGCTATGCGACAGTGTGACGCGGCCCCACAAATGCAATCGACAAGGGTACTTTAAACCGCTCGTGGATCCGTCCGGGTCGGAGAGCTCGCTTAAATGGAAGACAGTGTGTGGCAGAGATCGCGTCGATGCTAAGCGGGTCACCGCAACAGTTGCGTTCCATTGTTCGCCAGGGGACGCTCGAGAAGCTTCATTCATGCACCTCCAGGTTGGTTGTGCGGGGACTCGAATCGGTCCACGCTCGAGACCCCTTTGTGGGGCATCTGTGGCCACGTTGTGCCGTCAGACATCGCATAGCCGCCGGGTCCGAAGCACACGTCGGCGAGAGCTTTTCCATAGGCTCGACTGAGGATATGTTGAGCAGGCTCGTGCGGCACGAAGTTGATGCGGACGAGACTGTCTCTGCTGCGCTTTCGTCGAGCATCCGACAGACTCTTTCTGTCGTGATGAGCCATGTCTACGACCTAGGATCGACCCATCTCGAGGATTCCTTTGTCCCGACCGCCGCCACGTCAAAGCGCTTGTGCTGCTAGGTAAGGTGGCTGAGCGAGGCGCGCGACACGGACGGAGTTGCAACTTTGAATAAAATTGCGAGACAACAGCGACCAGAAGCGGATTCCGTGGGAGCATGGGCTGCTGCACATGTGGCCTCTCAACGCAGAAAAGAGCGTAAATTGGTTCTTTTCCAGATCGGCAGTGGATCAACAGGAGCAGCAACAGCAACAGCAGCAGCAGCAGTGGTGTGAGTCTGTCGAGAGCTGTCTCGCTTTGCCGTGTTGCATTCGCGTGCAGCTGATCAGCTTCTCGTACACAAATCAGGCGGCAGTGAATCACATCCATTCCCTTGTCGAAATCGACATGCTCCTCGACGCTCATCAATCCACACTCCGATCGGATCAGCTCTTTGCTTGCTCGCCCGGTCATCTCATCCTTTTCTCTTTCGTCTCGCATTCCAATTGACGCCCATCATGGTGACGCTGATCGCCGGATATCTCGATTGACCAAGCCGACGATCATGATTGATCCTTACCATCTCTACCTCTCACGGCGGTCAAGCAGTGCTCGAGACACTGAATCCAAATCCAACAACATGCCTCCTTCCAGGCCACCAGACTCGGCAGCGACCACAAGCAAAAGCAGCTCCGTCGACTCCAGGTCCTTTCAGAGCTCCTACATCGGCGGCGATGGCCTCTCGCCCACCAGCACAACATCCACCGATCCCACCACCAAGGCAAGCCTCGCTGGCTCCTCCGGCTCTTCCGCCAATGCCGCCGCGCTGCCTCACAAGCTACCGGACCTCGAACACTTTCGTCAGAGCAGCCAATTGATGCCAGAGTACTTCCCGCGCACCTCTGAGTTCTTCAGTCACGGCCGTCGCCGCAGCAGCGTTGCCATCAATCCCAACACGCCTGCCACCACCGGCACCTCTCCTTCGGGAGCAGCTCCGGCAATCCCCGAAGCCTCCTTACGTCCTCGCAGCAGTGCGAGTCCCGCCAAGAAGCCCGACTCCTTCAATCTTCCACTCAACTTTGAAGAATCAGAGGCGCTCCTAGGCGAGCAGCTTCCCGTTCGTCTTGGATTGGCACCTCCGTCTCATTCGCACGGCTTCAAGGCGTCCGACATCACCTATAAAGCGCGTGTTGGTCATGGCTACTACTTCTATCTTCCACCGCCGCTTAAGGCTGCTCCATCTGCAAACCCTGCTCCCGACACGCTGCGACGCAGAAACACCGACACTGGCGACCATGTCGGGTGGCCGCTCCAGCAAAAGGTACCCTCGCCTTCCTCAACGCAGGTTTCGCCAATCGCCTTGGGTTCCTCGGCCCAGCGTGCGCGTGCCAGCACCTCCACGGACGCCTCTCCAGCCCCTACGCTCGTAGGTCACTCGAATAGCTACAAACGATCATCGTCGCTACCGCGAGGCCGTCTGCCTCCACCTTCAGCTGATTGTTGGGATCCCGAAGCCTACTTCACCCGAAAGCAGACTCGAGTCAAGGGCAAGATGCACGAATACGTCTACCACTCGTTCCCCTCGTCCGTCGCTCCCTACTGGCACGGCTACAACAACGAGGCCATGGAAGCCGAGTTGTCGCTTCACCTCAGCATCGTCGCCATCTTTCGCGGACACACGTTGAGGGAGTTTCCTGAAGGCTCGCGCCCCTCGCGCGTGCTCGATCTCGGCTGCGGGAGGGGGCAATGGTGTCTCGACGTAGCGCGTGAATGGAAGACAACCGAGTTTGTTGGCCTGGATCTCGTACCAATCCAGCCACCGCTCCACAAGCTGGGCGATCCCGATCTCGAGCATCGCGTCAGTTGGGTCGTTGCCAACTTCCTCGAGCCGCTTCCTTTCCCCGACGCCAGCTTCGACTATGTGCACATTCGCTTCCTCTTGCAAGGCGTGCCCGAGGACAAGTGGGTCGACATATTTTCCGAAGCTCGACGCGTCCTGGCTCCCGGAGGGGTGCTCGAGATCTTAGAAAGCAACTACATCTTCTTTGGCCAGCCGAGCTTGGTGGATACCGGCGAGCTCGACGATCTCGAAAAAGGACGCGCGGCGCTCAAGATCAGTGGGGGTGCCCGAATGCCCCGACGACTCAAGGTGCTAGGCGATGCCTCGGACTCGAACGACGTCGATGCGATCGAGGTCGTCTTTGAGCGTATGATGCATCGACGCTTCATCAATCCCGCATCGCTCTCCATCATGGCCTCGGCGTTGCTGCTGCCCGGCTTTGCCACCGTCGCCAATGGCAACCCGCGACACATTCCGGTCTTTGCCGAGTCCAAAGCGCAACGGGCCCGAGCACGAGGCGAAACCACCACCTCGTCTTCCAACGCTACTTCGAGCGACGATGAATACAGGCGATCGAACAAGTTCGCCAGTCGCGGTCAGATCGGCCCGCCGCTCAAGTCGCAGTTTGCCGTGACGGATGCGGAACTCATTTGCGCCCTCGCCATCATGGAGCGCCTGGACCACTTTTCCTCCAGTCGCGAACTTGTCTGGGCCGAGGCCGAAGCCGAGAAACGCAGTTTGCAAGGAACACCCCAAGTTGAGGTGCCCAAGATGGATGCCACTCGAAGGTTCGGGCAGGGCAACCCGATGGCGTTGAAGCCGTTCGCGCATCCTTGGAAGTCGAAGCAGGACTTCTTCAAGGCGATGGACACGTGGATCGAGACGACCAGGGTGTCGGCGGATACGGAAAGTTTGCTGCTCAAGTATCTCGACTGGGAGCAGACGCACGAGGATCTCACCGTGGAAGGCAGGAAGCACGCCGAACGCAGGCGCAAGATGAGCTCGTCGTCGGTGACCATGCCTTCGCTCGGGCTGGATCGCTTGAACGTGGACAATCCGCTGTACGAGGAGCATGGCGGTGCAAGTGCCGACGGTGGGTTCCCACAAAAGCCACTGGCTAGCTGGCAAGAGGAGACGCCCGGAGATGTTGGCATGGAATATGCCGGGCGTTCGGCATATCCCATCCCTTCGACTCGCGCGCAGGAAGCGCCCGCCCGACTCCAGAGCACGCGCTCATCCGCCTCCGACACTCGGCCCGACGTCGCGCACAGTGCTGAACCCAACAAGCCGGTGGAGAAGAAGAAGCGAAAGTCGATGCGACCGAGCAGCAGCGGGAGTGTCGGACTGTCGACTCCGAGCTTTGGTGGCTCGTTCGGGCGTGCACGCACCTTCGGACGTGGCGGCGCAGGCAACCTCGTAGCTGCACAACACGTACCTCTGCCGGATGCGCCTTCGTTCATGCCCGGGAACGCGTTCGTGCCTCCCGGCTCGGACGCGCACGGCTTGTTCCGCGGTGCCAATACCAAGGCGAGCATCCTTGCGTCGACTCGAGGTGGGAGGGGGGGTCCCGGTGGTCGACTGGCGTCGAGCACCAAGTCGATCACGAGCGACCAAGCTAGCATTCCGAGCCGGGACGATCCGCGCCAAGCGGCGACAGGGATGGTCTCTTCGCCTGCGCCCTTGAGCCCTGCATCGGGCATGTCGGCTGCCGCAGCGTATGCAGCGACGCAGCGCGTGTCGCACGGTATCGACGACGAGCATCGCTTCCAGCCCGTGCCGGGGATTCCGGAGGAGGAGGTCAGGAGGGAGTCGCGCCCTGTTAGTCCGACCACCGGTGCGCTGCGCTCGCCAGTAGCCCCCGCGCGTGCGTCGACGACCGGAACCAGACCCTCGCTCACCAGCGCACACCCGGGAGCGGGAGCAGGAGCCGACGCGCGCTCCGTCACCTCGCCCCCCACCGCAGGCGCCACCGTCAGGATCGCCGAACCACTCAACAAGCCATCCAAGGACCGCTCCGCCAAGATCAAACCCAAGGCCGTCGCCATCATCGGCTTTCTCGACGCTAGCGGCTTTCTCGCCACCGCCTAGCACCATCCGAATGATACCCATTTTTGCACACCCGATTTGTGTGTGTGATGCGATTCAAGTTGAGAGGTACAAATACAAATGCTGGTTGGGTTAGATGACTTCTACGACCCTCGTCTCTGCATCGCGTCTCAACGCCTCATCGAGCGATTCTGTGAGTTCCTGCACTCTCCGCAGTCCGACCTGTATCAAGTCCAATAGCAGCCTTGGGTCGATGGGGCTGCCGTACGATTTGTCGAGCACGCAGATCTCGCGCTGCGCATTGAGCACGAGGGTCAACTTGGACTGTGCCAGCTGTTCTTCCAGCAGGGATGGGTCGAGGAGTGCGACTGAACCTGTGCTTGCTGCTTTTTCGTCCTCGCCCTCCGCGGTGGGGGGGAGGACGTTATCGAACAGCGCAAAGCTAACGCACAATGGAGTGTGGTGAATCGCCAGTGGTACGCCTACCCTCTCGTCCAACCCGAACAGGCGGACTTTGCCACCTTCGACACTGACGTCGTTGCGCCTGAAATGGCGGAGACTCGCCAAACAGGCTAGCACAGCAGCGTCCAATGCGCCCCCCGCATCCGAGAGAAGATGAAGCGTCAATTGGACATCCCACACCTGTTCGCCCGCCACAACGCACAAACTCTCCCTATCAACCGCCTCGGTTCGTCGAACAGCCTTCTCCACCAGTCGCTCGAACAACAACTCTCTCGCCCGCGCAGAGGAGGATGCGCCCCCCGAAGCGTCGTATTCCGTTCCCGCCATGGGCGAAATGTCGGATGTGATGGTGAGAAACCCTTCGTAAGGTCGATCGGCTCGAGGTGGGGATAGGGTCGCTCGGATGGACGTGGCGATGCGTGTGTCGCCGAGCGTGACGTGCACGTTGCCCAATTCAGCACCGAAGCTGATGGACAGCGGTCGAGGGGTAAGGAAGGATCGGCCATCGGATCGAATCCCAGAGGCGAGGCAGGAGAGGGTGAAGTCGGACTCGGTGAGCGACGGTTCTAGGAGTTGACCGGGCGGCATGCTGGGCGGCTAGAGTAAGGTGCGTGATGTGCCGGTTGCTCTGCGGTGCGATCGAGTGGGAGCTGCCTTTAGGGATGGAAAGCGCAGAGACGATGACAAGAAGATGGTGTGGGTCCAAGCGAGTGTTGAGAAGAAAAATTCGTTGCACCCTTGAGAAGGGGCTCGCTGTGGAGGGCGCTTAATCAATGCTCTAACAGCCATCCTTTGAATTACGGTCTAACACCTCAAACGGTGCTAGCGGTCTAACACCCTGGCAACGAAAAGATGGGCCTCCTTCGACCATGACCAGACGACCAAGATGCCCACCTGCGGCGATCTCGGACGCATCAGAGTCTCGTTGAAGAGCGTTCATGATCGGCAGCATGCACTTGCGACAGGCGGAGTTGTCAGTCATGATGTATTCGCCTTACACATCACTCCCTATCAAAGCAATCAAGATGCGGTACACATTGGAGGTCCCTGCTTCCGCGTGGGGAGGGGGAACGGAACGGATGCAGCGATGCATGAAAGCGAGCGTTCCTAGAGGTCACCCATGCTCGAGAAGACGATGCTGTTGACGGTCAGAGGGCCGGGCAGCTGATTGGCCCATGATAAGGATGGGGGCGGCACACGAGGCAGGACGCAAATCAAGATCAAGATCAGCGCAGCGCAGCGCGGACGGATACGGAGTCCCATTTGGGGGATCTGGCAGGATCAACAGCTGGTGCGCTTAGATGTTTCTCTTACGGACAGCGTGCAACGGTAAGTGATTTGCGAGTGAGGAACAGCTGCCGGAAGGGTCAAGAAGAGCTCCCTTATCAGCGATGCACGCTTATCTTTAGCAGAGCGCGCAGCGAGGGGGGACATTTTCGATCTCAGAACGGCATCGCTCGAAAACACTGTCGTTTAGCCCCCGGATCGGGCACTGCAAAGAGGAGGCGGCTGGTGGGATTGATGTTTAGAGAGGTCTTGGCGAAGGTGGATCCTGTGCGAGCCGAGTTGATTGTATACAGAGCAAGGGTCTGCTGATGTAGCTGAGCCTGGATTGACCCGTCTTGGCACGGCCGGGTCACGCTTTCAAAGCTTGTCCTTCTGTGCGTGGCAGGCGTGTAAATTGCTCAAGCAGCTGCCGATCATGCTGTGGGTCCAAGGCTCATCAAAAGCAGCGTGGTTACAAAGGCGATCTCGCTGCGACTGGCCAAGTTGCCGGATGGACGTGCGGTGGTGCATGGGGTTCAAGCTTGGCCGGCTTCGTTATCTTTCTGCAGGTCCGGCTGCGTACGAAGTAGAGTGCAGAGTGCTCTGATGCCGCGCTTTCTTCCCCACTCTGTAGGTCACATCACACTGCAGCTGTGTGCTATCACGCCTTTTTTTTTGGATTTCTGGGCGAGGTGGTCCCGTGAGAGGCTCGGTTGGAGAATGGCCATTTCTTGGCTTTCCTCAGCCTCGCTCAATGGCCTCCCGATTGGCTTCTTTGTCTTTCTTTCACACCATCCACCATCGCACCTCGTCTCGTACTTCCTTTCCACCATCTATCGACATCGACATCCGTCCAACTTACGTCCAGCAGCATATATTGACGCTGCATTGATACTCGTACCTCCTCCGCCAGTCGCATAGTTCAGCAAACGGCGCCAAAAAGCATCGCCAACGAGCATCCAATCGACAACATGGTTCTCGGCTTCGGTCATCATTCGCAGAAGGACCCCAACGTCTCGTCCGAGTCGCGAGGTCGTGACCCTTTCATCGCCACGGGTCGAGGTGGTGCAGGAAACGTGAGTGTCACATCCACCGCAGCAGATCTTTTGCCCAAGCAGCTTTCCCCTCATCTGTAGCAATCCAGCGGTCAGCGGTCGTAAAGAGACGCTAGGAGCAGGAGGTTTGGCTGCAATCATGTGTGGCTATGGCTATGAAAAGTTGACATCCCTCTCTCCATTGACCTTGACGACAACAGATCATCCGCTCGCCTTCTCGCTCGCGCGATCGCTCGGGTAACGCCATCCCGCCTCAAGCCGTTGCTGCCGCTGCTGTCCCCAACCACCTCGTTTCCTCCGGTCGCGGTGGTGCCGGCAACGTCCGCTCGCCCTCGCGCGACCCGCTCGACCGCCAGCGCGCCGCCGATGCCAAGGCGCGCGAGGAGAAGCTGCAGGAGGAGTACCGCGCACACGAAGTCAAGGCCGCCCACTCCACGGGCCGCGGCGGCGCTGGCAATGTTGCCACCAATCCCGACGTCGAGGAACGCCGCGGACGCGATGGCGGTTCCAGTGGAGGTGGAGGCGTAGCTGGTGTAAGTGATCCCTGATTTGCTGTTTGGCCACAAGGAAGGAAGATACCCCTCGAATTCCCCTCAATAGTGCCCTCGTTGTGGCGCAGCGATGCGACCAGTAGAACGACGATGATGGACACTTCAAGCGGCTTTGGCCGCTGAAGGACGCCAAGATGTACCTTTCGCCATGCATTTGCTTCCCCCTCTCGCGGGAGCAATTGCAGGAAATGCCAACGTCTTTGCACCATCACATCCAGGGCTTGTGCCTTTTTCGCGACTCGGAAGGATCGTGAAAGCGTTGCCTTGCCCGCGGAATGGTGCGTGCTGCGTCTGAAGGTGCCGTGTCCCCCAATCCCTCCTTCTCATCCTCCATCGACAAGTTTCACAGATCTTACGAGTCCGAGCTGACCCACGTCTTTATTTTGTTTGCAGCTGCTGCGCACGCTCTCGAGGTCTCGTTCGCGCGAACCGCGAAGCAACGGCAAGGACTCGCCTAAGAATCGCTCCCAGTCGCGAACGCGCGCCTCCGAAGGCAGCAAGCTCGGCAAGGTCGATGAGACGTCTCGGTCCAGCGAAGAGGCGAGCCTCTACACCACTTCCACTGCTAATGGCGGCGGAAGGGCTTGACCTCGTCGACCCTCAGTCCGGGATGGGAATGTGCTTTGTACTTTTCGAAACATGTATGCTTCCACCGCTTTAGCCTGTGTGAGCGTGCGTCTGTGCTGTATGATGTCGCCCGTTCATTTCAAGGAGTTGAGCGTCATCTGAGATCTTTCGTCGACTCCTCGCGTCTCAGCTCGATGAGGGCTGTGTACAGCGAGTGCTGCCCGAGCAGCCATCATCACAGACAATAAGTTGAGTGCGGGACCAAAGAAACGGCGTGAAACAAAAGTGGGTATTCGAAGAAAGCGCAGAACCCGGGAGAAACGAGGCGAAAGGGGAGTTGATACAGTGCGGTGTGGGGTCGTGAAGGGTGGAACAAAGTCGAGCCGGCAGCGGTGGACGATCAAGACTGACCCGCAGCGGTGTGGTTGCGGTCGGTCGATGCTCTGCAAGATGAGGCACGTCTACTGGCTGAGAATCTGGCGAACGAAGGATTCGTAGTGGATGTTGCCGTCGCTGTAGTGTCCAAGCCAAAGAGGTCATTGTCAGTATCATCCTTCGCATCGTCTTTCTGAGTGTGAATTACTTACGGATGCACCTGAACACCCTTCAACAGCTCATCCATCTCATCATCACTCAACTTCTCTCCCAAGCTCGTCAGCACGTATCGCAGCTCTCCTGCACCGATGAAGCCGTTGCCGTCCTTGTCGAACACCTGGAAGCCGCGGATGAACTCCTCGGGCGTTCCGGCGGGCTTGAACCCGTTCGGTCGGTTGAGGATGTTGAGGAAGGCGTTGTAGTCGATGTCCTTGGGTGCGGCGTTGGCCAGGTCGGCCACTTCGGCCTGGGTTGGGTTTTGACCGAGAGCACGAAGGAGGTCGCCAAGGGATTCGCGGGAGATGGTGCCCGTACCCTTCTTGTCGAACAGGGCAAAGGCTTCTTTGTATTCGGCGTCGGACTGATGGACGAAGGGGATGCAGTGCGGCGATTCCATGTGTCGTCGGCGTGACAAGAGTGGATGAGGCGAGTGCGGATGTGTCAGTTGTTGCTCCAAGCTCTTGCTGCACGACACCCTCTCGAGGCGACCGTCGCCTCCAGGTTGAAGCTTACCATTGTGAATAGGGGACGATGTGGTGGTATAAAGCCAACCAACGATGACGAGCAAGTATGCAACCCAAGTCAGCTAGGCGCAGCACCGCTTGGCATACGTGCGTGTGTGTTGGTCTGAAAGCCCTCTTCGCTGCGGGTGCAAGTCCAAAAAGGGGCTTGGCCGACTCCTAAAGCAACACTTTTTGGACGCGCACTGCGCGAGTGCCTTTCCTTACAGCCTGCGTGCTGTCAGAGGTGCGAGCGCGGATGGCTTTGCCGGCGACACGTGACTATTTTTCTTTTCTGCGGAAACGCCGATCTGACATTTTGCAGAAATTGACGCGCCCGGCTGAGCCCGATATATCATCCATAAAGGGCGATCCCCGTCAGTCGGATCCGTCGGCGGGCAAAAACTTGAGAAGAACGGGCGCAGGGTGCGCCATCTCGAACCCCCGTGCTTCTATCAACCCCACACCTCCCCTTCAACATCATCATCATCATCGCACACAATGTTCGCAAGGTCAACCGCAGTCTTCCGCGCCACCGGCGCGCGCCACTTCTCGGCCTCCACCAGATCCGCCAACGTCCAGCAGAAGGCCACCGAGGCGGTCAACGAGGTGCAGAAGAAGGCGCCCTCCGCCATCAACGATCTGCAAAAGAAGGCGCAGGAGCTCGGCGGGCCCGCGTTGAAGCGCGTTGAGGGTCTGCTTGGTGGTAAGTATCATATGCGTCTCGTTGAATGGGCTGGGCGGCTGGGCAACATTGGCGAAAGGTGGAGCATTGTTGGGAGTTGTGGTGACGGGAGGGGCTGCAATTGCGTCTGGAAAGCATTCTGCCATGGCCCGTCTTTCGACCTGGCGCTTTGCTCCGTCACACCTTCGCCCCGTGCTGGATCGTTCCTTCGAAGCACTCGCACAGTAGATACTGACAAAGTTACACATCCCACTTCGACATTGCAGGCTACTCCGAACCTATCAAGTACAACCTCTCGGTGGCATCCAACATTGCCAAGCAGGTGTACGTTGCCGAAGCGCTCGCACCCCCTACTTCGGTCAACTCGATCACCTCGGCCTACCGTCAGATCTACACTCACGCCACCGACAAGGCTTTCTGGGCCAAGCTGCTCACCAAGGGCGACTGGAAGCGCGTCGGCATCTACGCCCTCGAGGCCTACGGAATCTTCACCATCGGCGAGATGATCGGCCGCAGATCGCTCGTTGGATACAAGCTCGACACGAGCAACCACGGTCACGGCCACCACTAGAGAGTTGGTTGGAATGTTACTGCCAGGCTATCGCACACAGCATTCAGAACGAACGGCAATCTAAAACTTCTTCACTGGCTCAGCCTGGATCACAGTACCGTCGAGAGCCTCGACGAACATTTCAGGACTCTGATGCATTTTGATTGACTTCAGCGGAGAGGACGCAGGGTCTGATCGCTAGGAAAGACAACCGGACAATCACCATTCCCAGTGCTGCGTCTGAGTAGACTCGAAAAAGGCGAACAGGTTAGGCCTATAACGAGAATAGCCGGGCTTGGGAAGTGTGGTGCGAGCGGCGCGTTCTCCAAAGTCGTCCGAGGCGTCCATGAGATCTGCACTCCAATCTCGAGGTGGCGCTCGATGCGTGAAGCAGTCGTTCCAGTTCCACGGTACAGCTGGCAGCGTCGGTGAGAGAGAGCTGCCCTGGTGGCCGACTTCACCAGCGAGCCCGTTGAGGAGCCCCGACCAGTCAAAGTCGGGCTGGCCGTAGCCAATGGTGGTGGGATCGCACGCGAAGCTGACGACGTTGAGGAATTGGCGTTCGGTGAGACCCGGGCGCTCGTCCAGCTGACGCAGTACGTGAAGTTTGAGCTCCGGGGGCAGATCGAGGAACCTGTAAAATCCTGGTGAAGTTCTCTCTTGGTTAGAGAGTGGCCCTTTCTTTGCCCGGCAGCCCAGTGTCCTCGCCGCCTTCAAGAGCGTGATGGCAGCTTCGCGACTGTACATGCTCCAAGTTGCATTGACCCTGACTTGATCAGCCAGCAGAGCCTTCCAATTGAACAGGTTCAGGCCGCAACCCAGATAGAAAGCTTCCTCAAAGTCGTCCTCCCACTGGTCCAAAGTCACACCGAGGGTTGTCATGTGGTGCTTCACCTCGATTGGAAGCTCTTCATCAGAATCGCAGCTTCCTTTCGACCGTCTCGCCTCCGCCCTTGCCTCGAAGAAGGACACGATACTTCCGAACTCGCTGAGGGGCACCCTGGCATAACGGCTTTGGATCGCGTCAATCCTTTCGTGCTCGCTTTGCAGGTCTTCTGGTTCCCAGCCTCTCTGCATATTACCGAATAGGCTAAGGGTCTCCAAGGATGTGTTCGGTGGTCGATCACTCGCATGATAGGCGATGTGAAAGAAGATGTCGTTTTTCGGGCCATCCTTGCCTTGAAACATTGGAGGTCTGCGGCCACTGCCGATGAACGCAGATATGATGGTTCGGATCGTTCGAGCATCGAAGCTATTGCCGTCAAGGCTCAGAGAATACAAGCCTCGGCATCGCTGCGAATCGGCGATGAAGCTGGCTATGGATTTGGCGACCAGCGCCGTGTCCGCGATGTCGTTGTTCGGCAAGTTGTCAACTGTTGGAATCTGTGCTCCTAGAGTGTTCGACAAATCCAAACGCTCCAGCGAGGTTCCGGTAAGAGGCATCGAGTCGAAGAAGGCCGCCATGGACCTACGCGGAATGGGATTGGAGGAGAGGCGCAGATGCCTAAGCGCGGACTTTCCCAGAGCCTTTGCCAGGTCGGAGAAGGCATCGACGTCGCCTTCGATCTCGTTGCCGCCAAGCGAAAGGGTGTGAAGCGTAAGATTGCCCGTCAGATACGCAGTGATGGCCGGCAGACATACCGAGGTCAGCTCGTTGTTGTCCAGCTCGATGATGCGAAAGGAGTGGTAGGGCTCCCTCGGTTGAATCCTCCAAGCATCAAGGTGAGGTACCAACAGTCGAAGCCATTCGCTTTTAGCCGCGTGGTGCTCTCCCTTCTGCGCAGCCGGAGCGTCGTTCCCGTCGCTGTTCTCGACAGGCTTGTGTGTGATGCGGAGCAGATCGATGATCCTGTGGAACCTGGCATCGCCCAGTTCGGAATGCTGGATATTGAGTCTGTGGTACCGACCCTGTGCCTGTCTCAGCCCCTCTGCTATCTCTGCCAGAGACACGAGCTCGTCGCCCCCTGGGAATCGAAGCGTGCCGTATGGAGAGGGCGCATTTTTGCACGCCGTTGATGTGGTCGGGGACCCTGTTCCTGAGGACGGTAGCGACAGATCATCGACGTCCAGCTGGCTCATTTTGAGATACTGATCATCAGAGCCTTGGGTGCGAGACTTCAGTTCTGACAGCTGAGCAAGATGAGATTGCTGAAGAAGGTCTTGCGGGAGGTCTTTATAGACAACCCATCAGGAAGTGCCCAACTCACTTCATTCACAACCTCCACCTGCGCAGTCTTGGCTAGCGCGGACAGGCGCGTGCGCAGCTTGACGCACGGCTGCGCATTCGAGTTCAGGGTCCACACGAGCTGTCACCTTTCCTTCCTTATCGCCTCCCTCGGTAAGATCACGTTCATTTCAAAGTTACGCCCACCTTGCGCAGCTCCTGCAATCTTGTGGATTGACGCACACAATGCTTTCTCGAGGCTGGTCAGCGCTCGCTGCGGTGTTGCTGTGTCTCTTTCCCGCCGTCTGCGCATGGGGCATCACAGGCCACCAAATCGTAGCGACGATTGCGCAGACGCAGCTTCATCCTGCCGTTCGCGAGCAACTCTGCCACATCCTGCCCAACTACACGCGCTACCCATCGCACTGGCCGGTCACACACTCCGATGAACCGCACACGCACTGTCACCTCGCCGTGCTGGCCGGCTGGCCGGATACGATCCGCACTCACTACCCCTGGAGTGGGCAGCTGCATTATGTCAACCCGATCGACGACCATCCTCCCCACCAATGCTTGTATGGGGAAACAGGCTGGAGCTCGCCCGACAACGTGCTCACCTCGCTGGTCAACTACACCTCACGTGTAGTCACGGAACAAGGATGGGAGCGCGATATGGCGTTGCGTTTCATGGTGCATCTGTTCGGCGATGCCCACCAGCCGCTGCATCTTACGGGTCGCGCGCGGGGTGGCAACGACGTGTGGGTCCGCTTCGAAGGGCGCAAGGCTCGACTGCATTCGGTGTGGGATACGCTGCTTATTGATAAGCAGATTCGCGAGCTGTCGAATTATACCACGCGCCTGCCGTCGGGGAGGATAGAGAGCGCGCTGGTGGGGAAGAGATTCGACGCGTACATTCGATGGATCCTCAAGGAGGGGCTTGGACAGCCTGCGATGAAGGGAGAGGCTGAGAGCGCGTGGTGGAAGGACGAAGCGGCCGACTGGCCGGCGTGTCACCGGAGAGGTTCGGATGATGATACTGTCTCGCTGAAGGGTGAGGGGCAAATGGCCTTCTCTAACATGATGGAAGACCCGGGAAGAGTCGACGATACGCATCTGCCGCTATGTCCATACGAATGGACTCAACCCATGCACTCGCTTGTTTGCGAATATGGCTTCGCATCGCCCGTGCCAGCGTGGGAGCCAACACCTCCGTCGACCACAGGAAGCTCCACGACATCACCGACACCGACTCCGCCAGAGCCTGAGCTCGACGTGCCGGAATACGTCGGCCGCATCGAGAGAGACAAGGTCATCCACAAGCAGCTCGCCAAGGCAGGCATCCGACTTGCCGCCGTCCTCAACACGTTGCTTCTGCCGGCTGATGCCGTCTGATCTGGCACCCCTTGCTTGCAATGGATATGTAAAGACAATAGGATGTTCAATGTCTACATCAATACATCTACGTCGCATCAGTGGATGGGTCTGTGTCACGGCGCGAAGAAGCGAACGCTCTGGTCGGGGAGCTAGGGCCAGAGCGGCCGTCGATGCCGTCGTGCCCCGCACCCAAAGGCTCCCGCACCTGCGCACTACTCGCAAGGTTTGCTTCTGCCCGTTCCACCACCTCGAAGAAGATGTCCCACATCCTAGGGCAGTCAAGATTCTCAAGCACTTCTACGTTCTTACCGCCCTTGCCCCATCCCTCGTGCTCCACGCGGTCGCCCCAGAAGTCGACCACCGTCGCACCGCATGCGAGACCATCGCTACACTCCACTTCGACACGATATCGCTTTGGCGCGGTGCCCACGACTGCTGGATCCGCATCGTCGCTCCCACGAGCGTCGACATTGTCGAGACCCAACGAGTTGATCCCTTGACCGCTGCGCGACTTGGGCACGTGCGCGTCCTTGTTGCTGTGTGGATCGGCGTCGAACATGCCCGCGTTGGGGGCGTCGCCAGGCGACGGCACGCGGCGGTAGAAGAGCGTCGGATCGATAATGTATGCGATGGCCAGCATGTCGTGCACCGGTGGGCCGCGGGTGAACCCAAACTCGGAGGCGTAGGTCTTGGCAAAGAACGTAAGGGTCGAGCTGAGCATACGCTTCAGATCGCTCGGTCCGGCTTGGGATGATGGCTGAGGCTCATGTGGCTTGCCGGAGAGCAGACGATCGTGCAATTCGGCAGTGAAGATGGCTTGGTGCGTCACGTTGAGGCCGGCCATGACGACCTTGATGTCTGTATTGAAGCAGATCGCAGCGGCTTCGGGGTCGTTGAGGATGTTGAATTCGGCTAGGGGTCCTCTGTTGCCCCTCACGCCAGCAGCGCCGCCCATCAACACGATCTGCTCGATCCCCTTGACGAGGTGAGGGTAGCATCGGATGAAGAGCGCCACGTTGGTCATCGGACCGGTGACGGCGAGGTGGATGGGCGGCTTGCCCGTGTTGAGCCGCTCAGTGATTATGGTTGAGAGCGTGTATAGAAAGAGCGAAGGTTCGGGACCTGTGGTGGGGGAGCTCGTCTTGGGGTGGGCAGGATGCAGCCACGGTTGGCACAGAGGCGATGAGAGGGAAGGCAGACCTTGCACACCGCCAAGACCTCCTTGACCATGGATGCCGACGTCAATCTTGACTTCTTTGACTAGCGGACAGTCCGAGCCGCGGATGACCGGGATGGAAGGGTCGGATCGGTAGAGCGCCATGAGCCGGACAGCGTTGAGAAACGTATCGCGACCACCTGCGTTGCCCGCTACCGTCGAGACTCCCAACAGCTCCAAGCCAGGATGGTGGACCGCCATGAGCAAGGCTATCGCGTCGTCGTGTCCTGGATCGCAGTCGAGCCAGAGTGCCTTGACGGTGCCATCATCTTTGAAAGGGGCTGCAGACGATGTCGACGTTGGCTCGGGTGCACCTCTGGTCCTTGGCTGAAATGCAGGCGCCTGCTGGCCAGGAGACACGAGGTTGCTGAGACGCCGCAGCAGCGACGGGTTGCTCCCTGGCGATGGCGGTGTGTCCTTCTTCATCGTCGGCAGATATCGATGCAGCGATGTGGTCAAAGGAAGGAGTGAAAGAGCCCGGCTTGCATGCATGCCTTCCGCTCCTTCCAGCTGCGCGCAGGGTCCAACCCTCGGCAATCATTGTCGCTGAATTGAACGGCTTCTTTTTTGCCCCTTGGATATTCTCCACGCACAGGAATGGACAGCTGTCCAGCCTCCTGACACCATCCCGTCCGATATCCTGCTCGTTCGACAAGCATTTGAGCTCTATAATGGCGGACGTATGGATATCTCGCAAGAGGTGGACGTGCAAGTACTGCGATGTCACCATCAACGACGACCTACCATCGAGGCGGCATCACGAATCGGGAGGCAGACACAAGCAGAACGTGCGGCAGGCGCTAGAGGAGCTCTACCGCAAAGGCGAGCAAGAGCGGAAGGATGCAGAAGACACAAAGAAGGAGATGGCGCGAATTGAAGTGCTCGCTGCCGAAAGTTATGCCAAGGATCAAGCTGGCGGAGTCGCTCCTGTTTCTTCCCTTCCGGCGTCGTCAGTCGCGTCCTCGTCCTCGAAGGCGACGCCCCCAGCGAGGCCGCACACCGGCCAGGCAGCCTCCGCTCGCGTCGCTCCAAGGAGAGCTCCCGAGCCAGCGAAAGAACCAACGCAGCCCGTCGCTCAACCAGGCGAGTGGGAGCAAGTGGTGCAACCGGCTCCGTCTGCGCCCACTTCGTACGCAACAGAGACTACGGATCGGGACCGAGCGAGATCTTTCCGCATCAAGGAGAAAGCTGCTCGTATAGATGACAGTGATGACGATGCGGAGGCGAATACCATCAAGATCAAGAAGAGGCCACGCGATGTGTCCAATACTGAATCAGGACCATCAAAGGTGCAGACGGCAGCCAAGAAGGAGGAGCCGGCTGATTCGGTCGACCCTGTCAAGGCAGAGGAGAGCGCCTCATCAGCGTTGCCAGCGGATACAAGTTCTACGACGACGACGATCTCCACCGTCAAGAAAGAAGAGACAGGTGAGATGCCGGCATCGCTAAAGGAGGAAGGAGACAACGGCGGGGGCGGTGGACTGTTCAAAAAGCGTAGAGCCGGCGCGGGTGCTGGAGCAAAGAGGGTCAGAGCCGTCATCTAGCATGGTCCAATGTCAACATCATACTCTATCGTCGTTGCCGCCAAACACTCAGGTCAGAAAGGCGCGAGCTGCTTCCTTGACAAGGTCGATTTCCGACGCTCCCAAGCGAGAGTGAGAGAGAGAGGGCATACACTTAGATCGGCAGATTAGGGCGCTCTGAAATAAGAATCGGCGATCCAGCCCGCTCGCATCTGGCACGAGATGAGTCTAAATTTCCACCGTGATGTTCCACGTCACGCCAGATCTGGAAGAACGGCGTTTCACACTGCTGCGCTCGCCCCGCGGTCCACACTCATGGGCACACGTACTCAGAGCTCCCAGATTGAAAGCCAGACCCATTCATAAGCTTCAGAGTAGCTTGCGCTGCATCACAATCAGGTCTTCTCTTGTGTTTGGATTCCAACGAGCGTGCTGAAACGACGAAGATGAAGAGCCGCTCGAGTGAGAAAGCGTGAGCAGAGAAGGCTGAAGAAAATTGGATTTTGAATGGCAGGGCCGCACAGACCGGGGAAGTGGTTGATGAGCTGGAAAGCAACACAGCTCTATTATTGGCCCAGAAGATGCACACGCGCCGCTCGCCGCTCGCCGCACTCAGCCAAGTGGCACTGAGCGAGCGCGCTCTTGTGCAGCGGCGAGCGGCACTCGAAAATCATCCACGTCGACACCGTCAGCCGCGAGCAGATCAGACAGAACCTTCCAGCTCATCCCAAAGACGTGTCGGCTGCCTCATTCAGCTCTCTCCTCCGCTCCATCAACCATCCCTTCCTCAAGATAAATACTACCGAGTCTCGTAAGTGTCTGTCTTCCTGCTCCAACACCATTGTACCATCCCTCTACATCGCAAGCCCGTGTGCATTGCCGGTCGCGGCTCCCCTCAAGACCCCGTCGCCATTGCCACCGTCCTTCATACCATACCCGTCGTCGTCATCGTCATCTCGTCGAGACGCTATACCCCAAGGCATACATCTACAGCATCCCCCAAAAGCATCTTCTGACTCCATACATTCCCGCATCTTCTCGCAACATCGCCCAATCTGATTGTCTTGTGCAACGCCCCACTCGTTCACAGTCGGAAGTACAAATATGGTCACGTCCAGACGCACAACCGCGCTGGCACAGCGCCGTCAGGCTGCTCGTGCCACCGCACGCATCTCTCGTCCCGCCTTCATGACCATCATCATGGCTATCCTCGCTCTCCTCACTTTCTCGGCCTTCATGGGTCCCGGCTCGTCTGCGGGCGGCATGGGTGTCGCCGCTGCCGCCGACAAGCGCAGCGAATACGGAACTGTCATTGGTATCGATCTGGGAACCACCTACTCGTGTGTCGGCGCACAGGTCAACGGCCGTGTCGAAATCATCACCAACGACCAAGGTAACCGAATCACCCCCTCGTACGTCGCTTTCACTCCCGAGCGTCTCGTCGGTGATGCCGCAAAGAACCAGGCCGCGCAGAACCCCGAGAACACCATCTTTGACGCCAAGCGTCTCATCGGCCGAAAGTGGGGCGAGTCCGACCTCAAGAAGGACGCCAAGCACCTTCCCTTCAAGCTCGTCGAGAAGAACGGTAAGCCCGCTATTCAGGTCACCGTCAGCGGCGACAAGAAGGTCTTCACCCCTGAGGAGGTTTCTGCCATGGTCCTCCAAAAGATGAAGGAGACCGCTGAGGCCTACCTTGGCCACAAGGTCACCCACGCCGTCGTCACCGTCCCCGCCTACTTCAACGACGCCCAGCGACAGGCCACCAAGGATGCCGGTACCATTGCCGGTCTCAACGTCCTCCGTATCGTCAACGAGCCCACCGCTGCCGCCATCGCCTACGGTCTCGACAAGAAGGACGGCGAGTCGCAGATCATCGTCTACGATCTTGGTGGAGGTACTTTCGATGTCTCGCTTCTCTCGATCGACTCGGGTGTCTTCGAGGTGCTCGCCACCGCCGGTGACACCCACCTTGGTGGTGAGGACTTTGACAACCGTGTTTCGGACTACATCCTCAAGCAGTTCAAGAAGAAGAGCGGCCTCGACGCCTCGTCCAACAAGCGATCCGTCGGCAAGTTGAAGCGCGAGGTCGAGCGTGCCAAGCGCACCCTTTCCAGCCAGATGTCGACCAAGATCGAGATTGATGGCTTCTTCGAGGGCAACGACCTCGACGAGACCCTCACCCGTGCCAAGTTCGAGGAGCTCAACATGGACCTCTTCCGCAAGACCATGAAGCCCGTCGAGCAGGTGCTCAAGGACGCCGGTGTCAAGAAGGACGAGATCGACGACGTTGTGCTCGTCGGTGGTTCCACTCGTATCCCCAAGGTGCAGGCCATGCTCAAGGAGTACTTCGGTCGCGAGCCCTCCAAGGGTATCAATCCCGATGAGGCCGTTGCCTGGGGTGCCGCCGTTCAGGGTGGTGTCCTTGCCGGCGACGAGTCGCTCGGTGATGTCGTCCTGATCGACGTCAACCCCTTGACCCTCGGTATCGAGACCAACGGCGGTGTCATGACCAAGCTCATCCCCCGTAACACTGTCGTCCCCACCAAGAAGTCGCAGATCTTCTCGACCGCCGCCGACAACCAGAACACCGTGCTCATCCAGGTGTTCGAGGGCGAGCGATCCATGACCAAGGACAACAACATGCTCGGCAAGTTCGAGCTCACCGGCATCCCTCCCGCTCCCCGAGGCACTCCTCAGATCGAGGTCACCTTCGAGCTCGACGCCAACGGAATCATGAAGGTCTCTGCCGCCGACAAGGGCACCGGCAAGGCCGAGTCGATCACCATCTCGAACGACAAGGGCCGTCTCACGCCCGAGGAGATTGAGCGCATGGTTGCCGAGGCCGAAGAGTTCGCCGAGCAGGACGAGGTGGTGCGCAAGCGCATTGAGGCTCTCAACAACCTGCAGAATTTCATTGCTTCGCTGCGAAGCCAGCTCAGCGACAAGGAGGGTCTCGGCGGAAAGCTCGACAAGGAGGACAAGGACACTATCAAGCAGAGCCTCAAGGACGCCGAGGCATGGCTCGACGAGAACAGCCAGACCGCCGAGGGTTCCGACATTGAGGAGCAGCTCAGCGAGCTCCAGGCTGCCGTTGCCCCCATCACTGCCAAGATCTACCAGGGCGGTGCTGCTAGCGGTGGCGACGAGCCTCTCAACTACGGCCACGACGAGCTCTAGACGGGTTTCTCTGCTCGATGTAGCTCTATCCGAATCTTCTTCACTGGAGCATGGACACTCGGCTTCGCGCTAATGCTGGACATGCTCCTCCTCCTCCTTCCGAGCGCACTATCTTGACGATGTGCGCTGGGCGAACACGCTCACATGCCTTTTATTGGACGTGCGTGTGCACAAGCAAAATGAAAAGACCCATTTCAGCAGCATCTCGGACTTGTGACTTGTGTGATGACTTGCTGTGGGGCGTTTGAAGCTAGGAGCCGAAATCGCTATCACATTGCGGACTAGCAAACCAACTGATCCGCTTTGCGGCTACGCCGAAGCTGGAGTCAGGAATGTGGGAAGTGTGACTGTGAGGAGAGACATGAGCGGGTAACGGCGTTACCACGCCCACAACTGAGCTTGGATCCTGGCTGAATGGCTTGACGACAGCTGCTCAGCAAGAGGCTCGTGCTCGCGATTGGCGCTGTTCCGGTGCTGGGTCTAGGGTCGGTCGCTAAATGGTGTGGCCGCGGGTCAAAGTCATTTACTGCAGAAGACGGACGATGCGCAAAGCGTTTCTTCGAACCTTTCCTTCAGATGTCATATCCCTCGGACCATAGAACGCTGTGACTTTGATCAGCAAGGAGTGCTAGACTCTGCCTAGCGCACACTCGGACGTCCCAAGCTCAGGCCTAGGTCCAACCTTGATGGGATCTGAAGTGTCGTGACGAGAAGGTTGGCGTGCTCGGATCGGTAGGACCCCCTCCCCAAGAGGCCCGGGAGAAGAACAGAGCAAGAAAGGCACTTCGATATCGTCTGTGCCTATCGGTTCGACTCCCAGATGATGCTCTCAGGTCCTTGTCCCATACGCTCGCGTCGCTCGCGTCTGCGGCCAACGAAGGCGATGGACTCCGCTCCAGCCTGGCTTCAAGGCCTTCCTGTGGTCCCTGATCGCATCTTTCACACCGAAGGCATGCTCGTCCGGGCACGAGATCGGGGCGGCCTCAGCGTTCGGTATGGCAAAGCAGGGGGTGCAGCGACGGCGCTAGTCTGAGGAGGTCGCAACGTTCAGGCCTTTGACACGCAAGCGTCCCCGTCTCGATGGCAGCGACTGCAGTCCTTGGTGTTCATGCCCTCTCTGAGCACGGCTCCTATAAAGCCGTTGTCATATCAGACACGCTTGACCAGCTCCAAACTCTTCGCCTCCTTGTCGCTAAGCATCGTTCAGCTGCATCCTCCGAGCCGACCGAACACTCCGTCCTCCCGAGTCCCAAAAATTCCTTTCCTTTCTTTTACCGTTCATCGGGCTTCCACCACCCATCTGATCGAACGAAACTTGGTGTCGGAAAGCATCAAGAGGTCATCCCACTGGTCTGTCTAGCAGCAGCTGTGTAGCTGCGACGCTCACCATGTTCAGCTCTTTCAACCAGACTTTGCCAGTGCAGCTTCTGCCTCCTCTGACCGGAGACAATAACATCGATACGAGGAATCTGCAAATCTTCCTCGAGAGTCTCTATCATCCACGGACCGGCACCAGTTTCTACATTCAGCTCTATGTCTGTGGAGGGATCGTGGCATTTCTGCTGCCTGTCGGCGGAATCATGATCCTACATCGTTTCATGAAAGGTCGCGCTTGGTTCTTCAAGCTCTGGCAAGTCGCCGGCGGCACGTTTGTGATCCCGAATTCAGTCGTCGCCTTCATCGCCTTCCAAGGCTGCTTCGGTATCATATGGCTTGCGTATGCCTGGGTCACGATCAAGCATTATCAAAACCGCTCGTTTCACGGGAGCTACTTCCTATGGATGATCTTGACCTGGATCCCGCTTTGGGACGGCGGGTGGTTCACAGCCTTTGGCATGTTCAGTGCCTTTCCGGACGCTTTGACACGCAAGACCAAGATCAGCAAGCAGAAGCGACTCATACTGAGTCCGTCGGCATTCAACTGTATCTGTTGGGGCGTACCAGTGTTGCATGCCTGTAGCTTGCTTCCACTCGCCATCCTCGCAGCACGCAAGAACGATGCGGCATCGATGCGGTTCGATGCCTGGGGCTTCGAGGTGGCCTCTGCACTGTCAACAAAGCTCTCTGATGAAGCGGCCGCATCACTGCGTGCTCGTGCTATGCAACTCTGGCTGGACTTGACAAAGGTGTACTGGTATGCGTCCATCAACATGTCCTGTTGGACAGCCTGGGCGGCCGTCATGCTCATAGTGCATCTACCGGTCGGGGCGCACACGCTTATCAGAGTCAGGAAAGCGCTTGTCATCTCGAGGTCCAATTTACAGGCAGCCGCTGGACGTCCCATGGCCATTCTTCCCAACGATAGCGGCGAGAAACTGGCACTGAAATCGCAGCATGTCGAACCTCGAGGGGACACTATCGGTGCAACGTCCAGCCGGGTCTTTCCGTCTTTGCGAGAGGAACCTACTACACCTCAATCGGCGAGCTCGTCAAAGTATCAAACCGCAGAACAGCGCCGTCTTCGGAGCCTCCGACGGATTTTCAAGAACCTGACGGTCCAGTACTTGGGCATCTCGGTCGCAATCCTGGGTTTTATGATTGCTTCTGGTGTCGATGCCCTTAAACTGTACGGTGCCGCACGCACAAATGAGATCGCTCATTGTGACATGATGGCCCATCTCTTTGCCTCCTGGTCCATAGTCTTATTCGGCTCCCTCGTCGCTTTCTGCATAGTGCAACGATCCTTCGATCCATCTCTCAGCATCGACGTGCCGGACGAGGAAGCCTCCCGCATCACCTACTCCACTAGGTCGGTGAGAACCGTCAAGGCCTTCTTTTCGCCACGGTGCGCCGGACCATCAGGTCGAGCAGGGAAGAATGAGCCGACAAGCAGAAGCCAGTGCCAAGGCTTTCGGAAAGGCGGCGCAATGTGCTTGTCTGGGTCGACGACGCACGGTGCGAAAGGCGCGACAAGTAGCGAAAAGCGACATGGCAGCGTCGTAGAAGAGGACATGCATGGTCCTACTGGCTCCACAGGCTCTCTGAGCACGAAGAGAGGATCAGACCTTCGCCTCACAGACCCTGCCCATATCCATTTCGCCACTCCTTTCGGCACAGTGCCTCTGCTCGCTCCCGAGGCGCCGCGCAAGGTATTTGTTCGGTCCAGCCTTACTTCGACCCAGCTCTTGGAGCATCAAGCACTCGAATATATAAGTCGGGATGACAGCGCAAGCGACCTATTGATGCACAAGCCATCCGTCTCGAGTTTGAGCTTCGGACAGCAGAGCGGCAAGATCTCGAGAAGGTCCAGTCTGTCCGCCGACTTCTCATCAGTATCATCGCATCCGCCTCACATGAACATTCAAAGCACGGCTTTTGTCAGCATCTCACCCAGCCGACCAAGAACAGCTTCAAGTTCTGTCAAGAGAGATCAGGTGGCGGCTCGCCGAACTTCTTCTTACGTCAGGCACGCTTCTTCAACACCGAGCCTGCCCCTCCTCGACATGGACGCAAAGTGTTTCCTCCCACACCCCGCGCGCGTCGAGCTGAAGACTTGCCATGATCACGACATCGAGAATCCTCCAGGTGCAGCACGAGGCGAGATGCAGCGCGGCTTAGCTCCTCCACCTGTGACACCGTCGCGACGCTCTGTTTCGGCCGCGGTGCGCGAACCCTCCAGCAAGACCGACCTGGTATGAATAGTTTCGCTACGACGTCTCCATCGGTCTATCTCCTCCTTCCCTTCCTTTGCCCTTCTCGATAACCCACTCCACACGGTCGTTTCTTGGCCCGTCTCCAGGATTCAGCTCTTCAGCTCTTCAACAAGAGCAGATCTTGTGTCCAGACACTCTCTTCGATCCTTTGATCAGCAGCGGATCCCAGTCTCTTCATACTGTCATTCACTCTTGTCTCTCCATGAAATCAGAATCACAGTCGTTCGTGCTGCACAGGTTGTGTGGTATCGATTATGAAACATGAGCCTGATGCAAGGGCGACGTGATATTGATGCAACGTGCGATTCAGAGGGTATCAGTGTTGTCGGTGTTGGATGGGTTCGACCGATTCATACCCTCTACGAGCTGACGCAGGACAGACTCGCTCACGAGCTCGCGCAGCTCCGGCTCGGGGTCCCTTCCCTCTCTCTCGGCCCTCGTCATGATCTCGCCTACCCTGGACATGAGCGCGTCCGTCTGTGCGTCGATTCTGGCGTCCTCCTCGGTTTGTGTCGCAGCTGGCTCGTCCGTCACTTCCTCCTCCTCCTCTTCCTCTTCCTCCGCTGCGTCGAGTGACTCGCCCGTGACGCTCGCCAAGTACCGTGCCAGGTCCTCGTGTTCGTTCTCCATCGCCTGCTGTGCCGCTGTCAGTCCTTCGCTGTTCTTATGCCTTGCATCTGCGCCGAACTCCTCGATGAGACATCTGGCAGTCTCGACGGTCTCGCAGACGAACAGGGGGGTGTCGAGGTCTTCGTCGGTCGTATCCACCGCCTTTTCCGGCGCAGACGGATGTGACAATAGAAAACGAAGGATGTCGAGATGCCCGTAGGAGGCGGCGGCGTGTAGGGGGGTGTAGGTGAACTCGTCCGGTGCGGTGGGGGAGATGTGTTCGATATCGACGCACTGCTGAACGCGAGCGAGGTCGCCTTCGCCCGCAGCGACCCAGATGTTTTTCCCCTCCGCGCTGGTCGACGCTACAGAGAGCGTGGTTGATGTTGCTACTGGCATGGTGCTCCCGGTGTATGGTGTGATGGAGGATGAGGGTTGGAGTAGGTGCGCAGTTGGACAAGAAAGGCAAATGTAGGAATGGGCAAAATTTGGATTATGCAGCGCTTACTAAGCGTACCTTTCCGGGAGTCGGCACTGTGGAGAAAGTGGCTCGCGAGACATCAACTCTTCGCGCTTTGGCATTTGCTCCTTGCCGCTATCCATCGACTGCTCTCACCGTCGTCGATCGCAATCGCATCATGGGCAAGAGAAAGAGCTCGTCCAAGAAGCCCGGTGGCGCCAAGAAGCCTGCTCCGCTCGGTAAGCGCTTCGCCATCCCACACAGCCAGCCCCTCCGCCTTGTCACGCCTTACTGACTCCCTCCACCCCTTCCAAACGATACAGATACGGTCTTCACCTGTCTCTTTTGCAACCACGAAAAGGCGGTTTCGTGCAAGATGTAAGCCTTCTCCCCTCCAACCTCCAATTTCCAACTTCCAACCTCCAATCGCCACTACTCTCTGCACCTGTTCGAAGCGCCGTGCTGACCTCTAAGTTTTGGACGATGACACAGCGACGACAAGGCGAGGATCGGCTATCTGTCCTGCAAGATCTGCGGCCAGAAGTTTTCCGCCGACACCAACCCGCTGGATCAGCCGATCGATGTTTACTCGTTGTGGATCGACGCTTGTGAGGATGTGGCCAACGACGATGGACGATAGTCGGCGTACCGACACAGAACGCTGCTCTATCGAGGCTTCGTCACACGTGACACTTTCGACATACAGTCGACTCGATTGATGATCGGCGTCCACATCCACTCGCCTATTCGATACAAGGCTGCAGACGTTCTCTCCGTCCACACCATTTCACCTTCTCGACGCCCACACACATCTTCGACCCGTGTAACTCTCTGTACTTGTATGCAATGCAACCCTATTCTCTGTCAGCATGCACCGTCCGGCAAGCCTGGATTGAATCCGGAGGGCCCATTGCGATCTTCGGAATTCGATCGGGAAGGGCTGCTTATCGGGCCCGAAAGCGATCCTCGGTCGACGGGCAGGCACCATGGGCTGAAAGCTGGAGTCAAAGAGACCGGTCAATTGGACGCCGTGCAGAGGAAGGGGGGAGCCATGTTCGAAATGCGGCTGCAGTGAAACACAGCCGTGGGGGTCGCCGCGGAGGCTCCGAGGGATGATCTTTGCTTGGACGCCAACCGAAGGGGCACAGCTTCGACGGGTGTGTTGAATGCACCGCCTCGGTTGTACGTGGCGGGGTCAACGACCGGCGAACCCACAGCTTTGTTCAAGCTGTCCAACCTCTACGCGAAGGCAGACCTGGAACGATGGTGACCGAGACACCCGAGTTGTTTGACGCACAGCCTGTTGCAAGGTGAAAGGAGTTCGCTGTTGCTAGCATGCCGCACGGAGCTGACCCCGGCGAGCGGGGCACACCGCCTCCGAGGAAGCATACGACTCGTCACTGACCCCAAGAGAGCCGTCGGTTCGACCCGATGGCCAGCTCGTCGGTCCGACAAGGCAGGCTGTCAAGCTGTGCAACGGACCTCGCTGCAGGAAAGAGAGCACAGCCAGCGTTTGGTCAGGATGATCAACCCGATCCAGGGTCTTTGCGAAGAACCGCTTTCTGACGATCTGACACGTTTGCGGAATCAAAAGCCGACCTTTTCCCCCCTCAAGCGCTTGCCTGCGAAGGCCGGCGATGCTGCCGTGAAAGACTGGAATCGATAGGCTTGCGAACGCGGCTCAGATCGCAACGCGCATATTTGAGTTCCAATCTCAAACGCGAGCACACTGTGGGATTACGTGTGTTCGCAGTTTCAAGTGGCGAAATTTCTCGGCAGCGGCTGCGAGATCAGGCCCAATTTGCACAGCCTCAGCCGTTCAAGAGTGAGACATACACTTGGTTCGTTCTTCCCGCTTTCGAGTGTGATCCGCGCCCAACCTCCCCGGCTACACTAATGCAGTCGGCAAGAGTCTCGTTTGGCCATACGTTCAAAGCTGGTGGGGCCGATATCGTGGGTTGATCGACTCCGAGCCCGTGAGCAAAGGTGGGTCGTGCTAAGAATAGACAAAGACAGGAAGAAGGAAGATCACGGGTCCAGCCCAGGGTCGCGACAGGTCTCAGATGGCTCGATGAGTGGGCTGGCTCGCTTGAGGAGGAAAAGGAGAAGAAAATCGATTGAAGGAAAAAAAGGTGGCCCCTGCGGCGCGTCTTCGTCGCCATCTCTCCAGCTCGAGCAGCGCCAAACCTCTAGGGCCATCCCGAAGGTCGTTCTTCGGGGACACGCTTCTTCTCGTGCCTGGCTTTCTGTGTCTGACTTTCTCACACGCTGTAGGAACCGACACAGATCTCACCGACTCCAAAAGAATGAACAGGCACATGCTGCACCTCGCTAAGCACTGCACAAACTCAGATCACAATGAGACGATCCGATGCATCGATATGAAAAGGGCAAAGGGCATGAATGACGGTTTGAATTCGTTGAGATATGGACAGACGACAAGAGTGTGAAGCGAAAAGCTTTAGAAGGCCAAGTCAAAGTTCGGAAGGGAGTGCAAGGCCGGGCTTGACAAGGCAGAAGAAGCCATGACTTGCATCACGGCTGACTGGGGTAAATTAGCCTATGCCAAACTCGGCCTTGCATTCCTAGTTGTCCAGTCATCAGAGAGGAGTGCCTGCGTGCGGCCAGAGACCAATCGATCCTTCGTTTAAAGGAAGGGAACGAGGGCACCAACGGCAGCGAGGATCGAGAGACCAGCGGTGGCGGGCGAGAAGGCGGCGGCACCGTTGGAAGCCGACGAGGTCTGGGCGGGGGCGGCGCTGCCCGAAGAGCTGGAGGCGCGGCTCGAGGTGGAGGACTGAGCAGCCGAAGAGCTGCTGGCAGCCGAGCTGGTCACGGTGGAGCTGGCAGCACGGCTCGACGACGAGGACGAGGCGGCCGACGAGGTAGCGGAGCTCGAGGCCGATGAGCCGGTAGCGGCAGCGCCAATGCACGAAGAGTCGGACGACGAGAGAACGACGAGGGGCGAGGCGTAGTTGGTAGCACCAGTGTCATCGGTGATGGCAAGGGTGATGTTGGTGCCCGAGGCGATGTTGACGGTCCAGGCGTAGCTGCCCGAAGCGCCAGACTGGTTGGGGAGCGACTCGATAGGAGCAGCCGAGACCTGGCCACCGGGGAGAACGTTGATACGAACGGTACCCTGGGCGTTGGACCACTGGAGCGAGGCGGGCTGGCACTGGGTGATCGAGGGAGGGGTGTTGATGGTGGCCAGGGCGGAGGCGGAGCCAGCGAGCACGACGGCAGCGGCAGCGACGGAGGCGATCTTGACCATTTTGATGAAGAGGTGTGTGTTGAGGTTTGATGAAGAGAGAGAGGGGATGAATACGGAGCAGATGCAAAGATGAAAAGGTGGTGGGAAGTGACGGATGGATGTTGGAGAAGGGCGTGGCATATATACTCTGAGAGGGGGGGCAGGGCCAAGAGGGGCGGGCAAGGGCAAGGCCAAGTTAGCTCGGAGCGGTGCAGGCAGCGAGTTAGGGCCAAGACTCTGTTCGAAATCGGCCAACAGACAAAAGCGAGGCAGCCAGGCAGCGAGCGAGCGCAGAAAAGGGGCAGCAGCAAACTCTACGGCCAAAATGCAGGCTCACGGCAGGCGGTCAAAACAGAAGTCAGGCGTGAATTCGACACGGCATCACACCAGCGTGCAAGCGAGTCGAAAATCAATTCACGCTAAACGGCCGGCAGTGGCGAGCCGTCGAAGCGAAACACACACCCACGCTGCTGGGTGCTGCACAGCACGGTCACAGTTTTCTTCCACGCCGTTCTCAACGAGATTGCAGGCATACTGTAATGATTGCTGGATGAGACTCGACTGCGCGCAGCAGTGAGATGACCTCGCTGACATACGGCATGTACCACACAAGCTCGCTACGCCCCGTCTTTTAGCCTGTTCCGAGACGAGGGTCCAGTCCAGGTCAGGGTCTGCCGATCCCTTGGCTTGTCGCTCTTTGGTTTCTGGTCGTGATCGCAGACGTTGAAAACGAGCGCCAAAAGCTGCTCGCCTGTGCTCTGACCGTGGCGGTGCTCTGCCAGCCGCGCGATGGACTGCCATATGCTCGGCCAATTTACCTTTCTTGCCAGGTCAGTTCAGGTCATCCAGGTAAGCCCCCCCCCCCCCCCCCCCCCCCCCCCCCCCCCC